AATCAGTATAAATTATCAATGCTGTGCTAAAATAAAAAGGCCAATTTCAATTTCCGCACTAATAAAAAAATGAAGATCGCGCGCGTTCACGAACCAAAGACAAACCTAATTATTTTTAATCTTTTAATGGTGGTGCCAGGCGGGCTAGTACCGTTGCCGAATCCCACGTCTATTCGCGGCCCCGCCCCGAGGTTATTTAAATATACCGTGACGTATTAACGTCAGCACTACACCACTAATACGTTTCCTTGATCCCCAACCGGCAGTGCCCTTCCACGATAAAAAAAGCCTCGTCTTTATTGATACGCCGCGGCAAATATAACTCCACTTTGTTTTGTATACCGTTGGACAGCGGGTGTGAGTACCTACGTCGATACGTTATGATACGTGCTAACGCGCACGCATCTACAAGTATATACCTTCACTTCCGGCTTATTTTTTCGCGCGCTATCTCATCCATCTTGTACGTAAACTTCTAAATTCAAACTTAAAAGCTCATTGAGTTCATTCCTTATTTTTTTTAATTTAATTTTTATTTTCTTTTTAGGTTATTTTTATTAATTTATGCACGTCATTTAATATACTATATATTTTAAATATGCTGTCTAGATTGGAAAAAATGTAGACATGGTTATGACACAAAAATAAATAAATTATTCTAATTATGACTATTATATATATTATTGAAGATAGAATCTACACGAAAAATTTTTGTGTCAATTTGGGAATATTTTCCTACCGTAAGACAAAGTCGAAAAGTGATGATATTTCATCTTTACTTCCGGCTTTTTTCGCACGCAATTTCATCCATCGTGTACGTGAACTTGCTTCTAAATTCAAAGTGGTACTTCCGGCTTATTTATTCGCGCGCTTGAGTTACTTCTAAATTCAAAATTAATAGACATTTTTCGTAGACATTTATGGACCACATATGGATATAATAAAATATCAGTTGTTTTGTCTCCGTAATACAGTCTCTGCTTCGCTTGGAACTAGATGGCGCTGTATGAATTGTCTATTACTATTATAATAAATAGCAACTAGCCCTAGCTTCGCACTAGCATAGACAAGAGAGTACTAATGAACAGTGTATTTGTTCCTGTTGCTTCGCGAATGCACTAATTCGGAGACAAACTACGCGAAGTTCGCAAATCTTTGGCTCCCACAGTTTGTTAAAAGCAAAAATGCCTTGCTACAAAAAAACAAGAACACACATTTGGGGGAAGCAAAACTTATAGGCATAAAGGTTATCAGCCAGTTACTGACTAGAGGAGAGGGAACTAGCTAGTCCGCAAAAGAACTGACCTATTATAAATTGATGGAACTACAATTTTATGCACAAGTCTTCAGTTTATTAGTAGATATATAATCTTCTGAAAGAAATTATACCTATAAAAATTATTATTAATTTCTATATATAATCAAAAACAAATAAACAAAAAAAATCCGTAAGCTGGTTCAAAAGAAGTTTAGGTACTTCTTGATATGAAACTGGTGGTGAAGATAGGAAAATAGATTTTTTTTTTAAATAGACACAGGAAAGCATTTTTTTTTATATTCTCTTCTCTAAATATATGAATGTAAGGGAGAGTTTTATATATTTACTCCTTTTAATAATATATTTTTGTCATTATATTATATTTTTTAAAGTCTTTAATTTTCGGTTCTTATTTGTACAATTAAGGTATATAATTATGGTATTGTATATGTATTAACTTTTTGTCAGTCCATTATCATCTGTAATATATTTATCAAAATTAATACATTTAATAAATAGCTTTATAGGGGGTGATAAATCGAACTACACAGGCCTATATCATATCGGGCTGTATAATTAACGATACACATTTTGCTAGTTAAGCACGGTCACCTGGACCATTCTAAACGATTAATGACAATAATAATTACAGTGTAAATTAGTCATGAGCATCATAGCTCAGCAGTTGGCTTGTCGACGTAGATACAACGCGCCGTAAGTTCGAATCCAGCTTATAATTATAATGCCAATAGATATTTCAAAGTAAAAAATATTTGTATTTTTTTCTAAACATTTATGTACGTCTATTTTTTTTTAAATAGTAGGTACTCATCGCTTTTTAAGATATGTCATGAAATTCAACTGGTATTTTTTTTTAATTCTAATACAAACCTAAAGTAATCCGACAGACAGCGGTAATCTCGCCTACTAGAACTATGACTCTTGACACATTTTTATTACATAATTCAAATATTACCAACGAAATATTGGGGCATACCATGCGTTGCCCTCCCTACGATGTCGATATTTAGTAATGTAACTACCCTATCTTTAATAAAAGTCGTAAATATACATATAGATGTTATATATATACATATATTTTAAGTAAATTAACTTCCGGATTTTAAGTCGAATCGATCATTTCTTCCACCGATCATCAAGTCGATCGATTATACAGAAGTGCATTGTTCTTTCCGTCGACACGAAAGTTGTGATACGCGTGATCAGTTAGTAAATGAGCGTAATACATCATTATAATGCGTATTCATTCCCAACATGAGTGTCTGGTGTCGCTAGATTGCGCCGAGATGGGGCATGCGCGCCGCTATCGATCCGACCGAGATGACTCTGAGAGGAGTGCGCGAATTGACTGCCGCGAAGCCGTGGCCACCTCACTACGTTCCAAGTTCAAAATCTGAATACAATTACGTACTCTGTGCCCTGCTGTACTTTATCTATGTTAAATACTATTTTTCCTTTGTGAAAATTAATATTGCCATGACTTTTACGGTTGTAAAATTGACAATTTCAGACATGGATGTATGGATTAGCTTTTGCTTATGCCCTTAAGAGATGAAGAGTACAAAAAAAAAGTATTTTCTTCTTAAAGTCACTCATTGTATCATAGACAATACATTACACTTTTTTTAATTATGTATACGGCTATTGAAACATTGGCCTAAAAAGATTTTTTTGCTTATCGCTCGGCATTTGCCAAGGACAACATTTAGTAACCAAGTTTAAAAAATGAATAATTTTATAGACTAAAAAGTACATATATATCCTTAGACTACATATAAAAAAGGTTCTGAATAATATTATTACTGTAAAATAAATTTATTAAATAGATCGATAAAATAATTCTTTTAATAACAAGTGCATGATAGTTCTATTATTAATAAATTATCGATTACATTTATCGATTTTTAATAATTTAAGTCTAAAATTGGTGACTAATTTTAAAGATATTGTACTATATATAATATATTGTAAAATATACTGTAAATATACAGGTGAAAAGTAAGAAATATTGTTTACTGCAACTTGCATTGACAAAAACATACGTACTCTTTAGCATATATGTTTTAATTTGATGCTGTCAGTATTTATATATAAAATTAATAAAATCACACAATCTTACCACGATTTATTTATTATTTACCCTTGATAATGACAGTTTAACATTGCCGATATATCGGGAACTCCGTACTAATAAATAAAACGTGGTCAACTTCTGTTGTTTTATTTTTTTTTTTTCATATTAAAAAATATTTATTAAATACTTAAGAAATGTATAGATGAAAAAAATAGTAAAATATCCATTTTATTGTTATATAATTGCGAAATAAAATATCTCTATCCGTTATTATAAATACATTTTTAAGACTTTCATCTCAAATATCATCTCGAAGAGGGTGAAATAAGGGATGAATGTACATGCAGACGAAGCCGGCAGCAACAGATAACATTCCATTTATAAAATATCTACCTGTAAACGTTATTTTGCCATATAAGTACTAATGTCGCTATTAAAAACAGGGGTGATAGAAGGGTGAAAAGAGAGAATAGAGTGATGCAACATTATAAAAATATACCAAAAAATAAATGTTAGGGATGGACAATCTTTATCACTTAAGGGTATGAAAAATAGATAGTAGCCGATTCTCATAAATATAAATTTCATAAAAATCAGTCAATCCGTTTCGAAGGAGTATGGTAACTAACATTGTAAAACGAGAATTTTAAATATATGTATAATAATATTAGGATAGTTTTATATATATGATAATTTTTATATTAACATCTAGTGGTACTTGGCACATTGAGCGAGTGTAACCGCAGCACATCCTGAACACCATAAACATTTTCCAAACAACAACAAACGTATATTTTCCTTGTAAATGTAAATTTCATCATATAACTTTCCCGGTAGTGTAAAATATAAATGCAGATAAACAAAGTTATTTTGATGGCTAAGTTTATGACTAAATAGGTATCTGGTTCGACCATAACGTTCAAAAGATATTCATTATTGACGGCCTCGATGGTCTAGCGGTTTAGTACACCGCCTTACGATCCGATGATCGCCGGTTCGATTCTTCGTACACAACAAGCTTTTTTAGTAATTAGTGTAATTTTTTGTATTGTATTTGTACAGACAAAATTCTTATTATTATTATCAGTAGTCTGGTACCCATAACAGCCTGTGTTATGGGTTGGCTGCTTACCTTTGGAATAGATAGCGCTGTGTGAGTTGTCCTGAGATATTATTATTATTATTAATTAGATCCCCCGTCCAATACAAACGGGGATGGAAATTACGAAGGCCTAAGCCGAACCACTAGCGGTGCCCTCAGACTAAAGTCGTATCCGTCAGGCAGGAATTAGCCTTCAGCCGCAAAATAAGTCCTTCCGCGGGTTTGGTGTACCATCTGCACTCGCTCCCTATTGTCCGGTGAAGCTGTAATAAAAGTTACCGATAAGACCTGGATACCGGTCTAGGCCAGGAAGAGGATAATTACTACGATAACCTCCCTGCCTATCTATAGGTCTTCTCAGACCAAAACTAGATCTTGTTTCAGCCGGATCTATAAGAATAAATATAATAGAACATTCTAAAGAATTTCAATGCTATTTGTCCATTACTATTAGGCCGCGTTAGAGTAGCAGGAAAAAAATCCTAAATTTCAAATAATTAAAAATAAACCTTGGCACCCTAGTAATAATATTCAATTTGTTTCAGTGTGCAACTTCATAGTGCACGAGCGATGCGTGGGGCAAGTGGTGACGCCGTGCTGCGGGGTGGCGCCGAGCCTTATCAAGGTAATCTCCACCATAACTCGTACCATATTGCGTCCAATTTACAACAGCAAAACGTACCCGAATGGTGAACGTCTACCGAGTTATGAAAAATGTATTAGGTCGCGAGTCACGACATTGAAATGAATTGCTAAGCTTACGAGTAAGCGGTGAGTGTCATGGCGTAGTGGTTTGTTATACAGATTATAAATCGTAGAGGTCGTAAGTTCGAATCTTGCTGACTTGAAAACTTTATATGTCATGTATTTTTGTAATTATTTATATGTATAATTAAGAAAATCAGACAACCTTACCATGTTTAATTGTTATAATTGATTTGCCGATATTAATCGTATATACATACACATCTGTACTAATATTATAAAGAAATACAGTTTGAAAGGTTGTAGGGGGTTAATGTCTGGATCTACTAAACCGATTTTGAAATATCTTTTAGTGTTACATAGCCCATTTATAGAGCAATGTTATGGGCTATATAACACCACGCTATGACCAAAAGGAGCAAAGCTGCAATAAAACATGTTGTAAAAGCTAGAAAAAAGTGACGCAAAAGAACATCAGTTAATTATAACATATATAATACCAAGTTAAGTTTCTGCAGCCGACTTTATACATAATGTTCTAATAAAAATATATTTTCAGGTTGCCTGTAAGCGATAAGGGCGCCTTTTGTCCAGCATATCTATGTTAACTTTTTTTAATGTGGTCAATAAAGAGATTGTTAATGTCTATGATTTACCTGACACTTGTTTTTACTATTATTATAATGTCTTCATTAATATAAATTTTTCATACATTTTATATTCTCGAAATTCAGCATTGTAGGTTAGAGTTACGGGTCATAGTTATTATCATACATTCATATAATTATTTTTTTCTTTATATTTTCTTCTCGGCATTCATCGGTATGTTTTCTATGTACGGGTCTAACCCAAGTACATAACAATGTTATATTTTTACGTGAATATATATTTTTTCTGATACAGAACCCAGTAGCACACTGCTGGTCGGAGCCGGCACACCACAAGCGGAAATTCTGCACGGTGTGTCGCAAACGGCTCGATGAACTACCAGCCTTACATTGCATGAGTGAGTACATAATCTATCTTCAATACATAACTTATTTATACATGGTTTGTTTACTTTATAAATACATAACTTGTTTAATATCAATTTTGAAAAATGATATTAAATAAGTTATGTATTAATAAAAATAAATAGTAGAAAAAATGTAGGTATTGATGTTTACATAGTATAAAACGAAGTTGTTCCGCTGTCTGGTCGCTTACATCATTTAAACTACGCAACGGAATGTAATGCAGTTTTTAGCAATAGATAGTGATTCAAGAGGGAGGTTTATATGTATAATACATGTACACCAAAAGCCGGGGCGAACAGCTAGTTATATTTAAATGTAAAATATGTATTAATAAACATACATCAATTTATTTAAAACTTAAAATTACTAAAACCTAAAGGTCCGTCTGTACATTATATTATTTTTGAACCGAAATTTTCAAAATCTCTCCCAAACATGAAAGAGAACGAAAAACTTGAAGATAGTTTTCATTTGAATCTAATATGTATTAATTAAGAACGAAATGCCTATGCTTATGTACGGTTTTTATGTAACAACTTATGTACCTGTACTACGTACTAGTATGCACAGTAAAGGTAATATTGTTTATTTTTACCCTAGAGACGTCACAGCAGGACTAATGGGGTCAAAGGTGACTGTCATGCACTGGAAAGTAAATGCTAGAAACTTAGTAGATATATGCTATTACTATACTACTGCAAAGTGTGCTATCCAAGTGTTATCCAAGGAAATTAATTTATAAATAACATATGCACTTGGGTAATTACCTCCCCATCCCCTCCTTCTCACTGTACAATGTACGAGACGAGAGGGCCACTAGTAGGATATAAAAAATAGTCTCCAAAGGGTATGATTTATATGGTTTTAACTATATGTACTGAAGAACTGTATACTATAGAAACTGCTTAGTTTGGCTAGATAGCGCTATGTGAGTTATTATTATTATGGTTGAAAAAGGAAACGAGTTGTAGTTTAGTAAATAATACTGAATACCTTATTTAATTGCTGTAATGGTTCAGATAATATGCTAATATATATCTATATAAAATAAACAATAAAAAATAAACTATTTTTTTAAAAACGCCATTTTGGATTTAAAGTGACGACTCAACAAACCCTTTTATTTAATATCCATATCATGTAAGTGCATAAAATAATAACTAATCCGCCATCTTGGGTGAGTTGACATAATAACGGTACAATTCAAGATGGCGGTATGCAAACTTTGAGCTCAATCTATTGAGGAGGAACTGCTTTCAATTTGCAGGTAATCTTGCAACTGGCATGATTTGTCATTGCAAGTTAAATAAAATTAAACTGGCTTATAAAATAGTGTAACATATACGACGTTCACAGTATGCGAATACTATGTGCACGGCGAGTGCGTGGACTTCGCGGCGGCGGACTGCAAGGAGAATGCGACGTACTGCGCAGGCAGCGAGCCCCGCCACGTACACCATTGGCGGGAGGGCAACCTGCCGGCCAATTCCAAGTGCGCCGCCTGCCGCCGCGCCTGCTGGTCCGCAGAATGCCTCACAGGCTACCGCTGCGAGTGGTGTGGCAGCACGGTGAGTCATTCATAGCCGTTCCGTCGCTACCACGCGATCATATACACACACGACACTGTTCTTGCCGGTGAAGACGACGACCTCAAGCACACCATACCGCACGATCAACCTGGCTACTGCGGGCACCCGGGCGTTCTACAAATTGATCCGACCTGTATACTGTAATACTCCTTAGTGAGAGATTTAACTAGAATTCTCTTCAGAATCGTCGTAATTCATCAGAGTAACTAGTAATTTCTGCTTTAAGAATTAGACCTACCAAGTTAGTTATATTTTTAAAAGTACTACAAATCTTCGTCTTTCATTTAACATCTTTAATTCTCCAGTAATTTCTGTGACATTGTATAACAGTCTAAAACAGTAATTTGGCATAAATTAATATAATTATCTGTTGCAGTGTCACGCCGGCTGCCGTGCACTTATCCCGGAAGAATGCAACTTCGGCATGCTACAGCCGATTTTCTTGCCTCCGTCGGCGGTGTCGATCCCGCGAACGGAGGTGCCCATGGAGGCCATCATCGGCGTCCATGTACGGCCCCCGCCCTCGCAGCGGGACTTCGGCTGCCGTAAGTGTCTGCTCCACAGCGTTGGCCGACATCGCGCCTCATCGCTTTTGCCCTACATGTGCCTCGCAATTCGCGAGCTTCGTTAGTTAGTCGCTTGTATCTTAGCTTCGGACTCTCAAGGCAGCGGTCTACTCTCGAACAGCTGAGGGGTAGCTCGAAACATATCATTGATTCTCCAATTTCTTGTAGGCGCTCAGCGCGAACATCGTCGCGTGACACTTCAACTTAGAGTCCTACATTGTTTTAAGCTTCCGTAGAAATAGGCCACGTTTAGTCGCATCATGAAATAGTATTTCCATCATCTGTAGAATTAGGTATGACTTTACGAAAACTAGCACCATTACGAACATACATAGACCACTGCATAGCGTTAAGACAAAATCCACCTGTAAGGCCGTCGTTGTGGAAAGACCTCGGCATCGATGCAGTTCAAGAGTAGCACCGACGCGCGACGCCTCTCGTACAAATGTCGACCGATCGGCCTCGGTAATTGAACGTGAATCGCGCGGCACATGAGCGTGGTAAAAGCGTGTGGGTGTGGAGTGTGAGCGGTGAGCGGTGTCTTTGGGCAGCGCGGGAGCAGCGGGCGGCGGGCGGGTGGGCTCCGGCGCGGCTGGTGACGCTGGCGCGGCGCCTGCTGCCGGCCGCCTGCAGCCCGCACGGCGGCGCCTCGCCGCCCTACTCCAGAGGTACCTCGCGCCGCCGCACCACACACCTGCACCTGGCGCCCGTCTCCGGCACGGCATGAACGTCTTACCTGCTCTAGTCAACTCTGCAGAACTATATTCATATCATTTTCCAACTACTTTCCAATTCTAATCTATTTAAATGACACATTATTTAACAGTCGCTTCGTATTTTAATGTATATAATTTTTCCTCTGAGTTTTACTAATCACACTGATCCGAGATCAATAACTAATTTGACATTTAATGTCAAAGTCATACAAAATTGTAGTCATTTTTGTATACTTATATACTAAGTAGCGACCGAGTATCATTCGATATTTACAATTTACAAGCAAGGGAGTTTAAACCACATAGTTCTGCCAAGTTTAACAGAAAACACCTACCGCTTTCGCTGTATCTATGCTTTATATAACACAATCAAGCACATAATAAAATATTAACCAAAACCCATCCACTATAATCCGCTCCAACTAATCTTAACTATTCACATAATATTTTATCATTTCCACCATTACGCATGCAGTCTACTGCTTATATGATATCTATGTATTTATTTTTAATCATACGACTGTCTGCGCCACTGTTGCACATCTCTCTAAGATAGCCTCCAGCGACGAGCCACAGGCACTGGTCTAAATCTATACTTGAAATAAACTTCTTGTCTTCCCTTCAAATTACTATTGAATCCGAATTTATTTCATACAACTACATAAAAAAAAATAAGAATAAAAATAATAATATGTGAATATTAACTTCTACTTCTTAAAAATAAGTAGATACTTAGTGAAATACAAATGTTTATTTAATTTGTATTGTTTGTATATGTATTTGTTGCTGACAAATTTTGCAACTGAATTTTAAGGCAGTCAACTCATAGAGCTTGTAATCTGCACTTTAATAACTAAATGACGCCCTTCCAAATCCAATATGGCGGAGCACCTAAAATGGCGGACTAATTATTTTGTAGTTATAGCATAGAAGTGCCATGTCAAATAAATGGATTTACTGAGGGGAATAAGAAAATACTCTGTAAGTATAAAGTGACACTTTAAATCCTAAATGGCGAATTTAAAAGCTTGTATTCAAATATTTTCATACATACCTACAGTATTTATTATTCGAAGTTAACATTCACTTATTAAATACTTTTTTATACAATATAATTATTTAAATAAAGCCAAACAATGTAGTTTTATGAAAGAGCACAATTATATTTTATTTTCAATTCTTTCCTCTCACGATAAACACGTGAAAGCCGACCAGCCCAAGAATACTCATGATGTAGTATTCCAACGGCGTTAAGGTAACATACAGACATATTGTAACCACATGGCAATCTCCTCTTAAATAGTGTTGCAAGTTAAAAATATTTTTTTAATGTCTATAATATTTTAGCTGTTGTTTTGTAAATATGTGGTTGAAGAAATCATTACGTTCTATAATAATAATGTGTAATATTATTATAGAACGTAATGATTTAAAAATAAGCAATACTTCCTAGATTCTTTTTTACAGCAATATAAATACATATTGAAAGGCTTTTTTTTGACTAAATTAACCCTATTTGACCGGAGTTGCGACATATTATTTGTATTTGCTGCATATACATCGATAGGTGGTCATGCTGTGTGCTGCTAGCATCCAAAGCTTCGATGTCTCGGACAAAACTGTAGTGTTACGTTTTATTGTAACGTTTGGTTTTAGATGGGACGTGTGTTGTGTTCTAGAAACCGCAGGATGGACTTGGCTATATATAATACATAATTAATCAATTTCATAGGAGCAGAAAAACAGGACTTACCTTACCAATTTACCTTTACCTTTAGCTTACTAAAGTGTTTTTTTACAACTAATCTAAACTATGTAGATGAAAGGTTTGAATGTTTTGTTTGTAATGTATAAACTCAAAAATAAAATATATATATATGTAGTATAAAAAAAATATCTCTCGCCATAGAAAGTGTCATTATCGGGGAGTAATATTGGAGGGAGTAAGTATTTATTATTGTCAATTATTATATGTACCGAGTTCTTATTCATTCTTATTATTTATATATGTATATATATCAGTATATGCATAGGTAGGGCTTACCTTTCTTTTGAATCTTATTGACCATCCTACGGCTTCTAACATTAAGATCTCACATATCGAGACAAATGAACTGTTTGTCGTGGCCTAGCTCACGTCAACTTGCTAATGAGAATTTTCATTATATACAAAAACTTCCACACATAAATCTAACTATACATCTATACTTAAGTACATATAGATATAGGCAGTGGCGTAACAATAAAGTTTCAGAGCGGGCAAAATATCAATGTCATGAGGCCGAAGGATCCCTGGTTCGAGAGACAGAGATTACAGGAACAAAAAAATTTACAAAAAAATTAAAGGAAGAGCCCTACCCAATTTGCCACGGGCCATTGATGGTATGTTTATACCAATACGATAGATATTCTAATGAAAATTTGATTGAGTTCTGTAGTTACTTACTACCCAACACCGATATTGGCCACAGATTCTCTAATTCCGAAAAACATAACGATTTTTCGAAAACTCTAAAACAAAATCTAATTTCTATAATAGTTCATGATAGTACCTTTCTTTTAAGCAGTTCTTTTTACAATGTTTACATATTATCCACATTGTGGAAATGTTTTCAAAAACAATCTGATATAAATATTTTATATATTGTAATTTAGGTAGTTATATAGGAATATTAAATAAAATTACTCTCTATATGTGAGATGCTATACATAATACCTTTATTAGCGTTTATTAATCAATTAATTAATGATAATAACCTACTTTTAAATAGCCACAAAAATAGTGCTTAATTAATTAATGTACCATTTCAAAATAAATATAAACTAAATAAAATTTATATGATGTCAAATTTTAGACTCTAAATACAAGTAGATATTAGACATGTATGTGTATATTGTAATACATATTATAATCCACTTCATCATTGTATAGTGTGATGTAATATTATTAAGTCTACAATCTATTATTCCGATGTTTAAGCTATATTATTGTAAAATTTCATTGAAATCCATACAGTAGTTCTTGCGTGAAAGACGTGCGTAACAAACATCCATCCACCCACACTCACAAACTTCCGCGTTTATAATATTAGGAAGATGTGGTTCTATCCATGGCATGCCATGAGCCTGGTCAGTGTTTCCAGCTTCCATATGGAAGGCTAGCGTTGGGATGTCGGGGGGCATATTTGAGCGATAGTGCATGTTGCAGCACGAAGCGTGAGCGAGGAGTTCAGCTCGGGGTGCGAGGGCCGGTCCGGATCCGGCGGCGGCTCCACGGGGGCGCCTGCCGACCAGGACCATAGACCTGACCATAAGCAACACAGGGATCGGACACCGGACGATAGAGATGAAGGTAACAACACTAATATCCTGAACGTAAAGCAACTTGTAGAACATGTTAAATAAGTCTTTTAGCGGTTATGGATCTTCTTATTTAAATAAGAACAATCAATTTTTTACAATAAAAAAAGACTCTCCATTTTGAATGTAAAAAATTACTTTAATGGCGAGTTCGATTCATCGAACTCGCACCTTCTTTGGTTTTTCTTGTAATCATGACTGGGTGTTTTCCTTGTATATATTTGAAAAAAAAACGTATTTAAGTATTTCTATCAATCACCCAAAATACAAGAACTTGGGATTCTTGGGAACCTTGAGACTAGATGGCGCTGTGTGAATTGTCCGAGGTATTATGTTATATACATATAATATATAACTCCACATTATAACCATCATGAGACGACCAATGGGAAGAATTATATTATTTATTTCACTAGGCCCATATTATAAATACCTTATAGACTAACGTACATATGAATTAATATTATAATACTATTACCTATATTGAAATTGATTCTGTGGTCACGGCACTGACGACGGCAATCTGCCACGCTTATATAGGTTTTCGCTTGTTTACTTATCTGGATCCACGTTTGCAGAAGTGGTAAAAGTGTATGATGGCGAGGCGGCGTGGAGCAGGCGTCTGTACCGGCCCGTAGTGGTCGGTCGGAACTGGAACGATCGCGAGCTGGTATCAGCGGCTCTACGCGCGTTCCACGTGGCGCGCGACCCCGAACAGTTCGAACTGACGGACGCGCTCGCCGGGGACGAACCCCCACTCCGGGACCCTACTCCCCTCGCCAGGGTCACGCGTCTGCCTAACAAACGGCCCGCACTCTTCTTACGGTTCAAGTAAGTTTCTGATTGAAATAACCAGTGGATACAGTAGTAAATATAATCTATTCTTGATTTCATTCTTAGCAATAACTATACTAATTTTAAATGTGATGGATTTACTTTTTATTCCACAATCAACGCCTGCTTACGCTTACTTAGAGCTTTATATTCTAATGCTGTACATATACTGCAGTTGGCTATTACAGCTTCACAGAACAGTAGCGGGCGAGTGCTGATGGGACTCCAAACCCGCGGAAGGACTTATGGCACGGCTGAAAGCAACTCCTACCGAACTGATACGACTTTAGTGTGAAAACACCGCTAGGGATTCGAACCTCGGCTTAAGCCGTCGTAATTTCGATCTCAGTTAGAATTGGACGATCGATCGGAGGAAAACTGCGTCATTGTCCCGTGATATTAAGCTACCATCTATAGGTCTATACGAAGATGCAATTACTTTCTATATTAATATCATTTTACGCCTCTTTTCCGTGTATAAAAATATTGGATGCACATTGCCGCATAAATAACCAACCATACTGTATTAGAAGGACAAAATTCTGACTTGCTCCCTTTACATTACTCTAAGCCATATTACTTTAAAGCTTCGCCGGATGATAGGGGGAGCAGAAACCTGCGGAACGGCTTATTCTGAGGACACCGCTAATCGTTGTAATTTCGATACCCGTGTGAATTGGACGGGGGTCGATCGGAGGGGGAGCGTCCCCATGATGGTTATAACATCAATTACACGTACAGGGAGCCGGAGTCGGGCGGGGGCGAGGTCCGCGTGTTCCCGGGCCGCGTAGCGGGCGCCGGCGAGACCTTCGTGACGGTCACGTGCTGCGGGGATGATGCGGTCGCCGACCTCATGGCCGCCGCTCTCGAACGGTTCGGACTGGACCCCGCCCGCGCCACGCACGACTACCGCTGCTCGGAGATCCTACTGGATCGTGGTGGTATGTTTTTTTATATACGACAATCTATCTAGTCTAGCACACCGCTTTTTCAATTATTTGCTCAGAGTTAGGTGATTTTTGTACGTGCATTTGTTTCTTAAACTTGCCTTGTTATTTACCAATCACACGAAGATGACGATAAGTCTGAAGTCAACTTCTGTTTTGGGTACATACGTGTGGGATAAAAAAATGGTCTTCGGTAAACGGTAAACATATACCGTAACTGAAGAGTCAGGTAAGCTATAAAATCTGTCCACATCTCTCTGATTCCTACCGATAAAAGATGCCGATATCTTTTATATGCGAAGTCAGAGAAAGTGAGAGACTATGAAATCAAGTCAGTAAGTGCATGCATCATGGGAAATTCTCTAGGAATGAACCACGCTGCTTACCAAGATGACCATGTTAAGATCGATATCACTTGACGAGACAACATTCGCTATTCTCTAGAACAAATTGGGCAAACATACTATCTTTTATGCACTGGAGACCTAGAGCTACATATCAGGTATAGTGAAATCTAACAATTGCTTGATACGATTGTTTAAGGAATATGTTCTTCCCGCAGTATCAGAACGAGTGTTAGAGGAGGAAGAGCGGCCTTGGCGTATCTTGGTACGCTTGGCCCGCGAGTCCGTGCGGCGCATGGAGCTGGCGAGGTTCTACCTGCAGCCGAGGCAAGACCCCCACGGGCCAACCCTCGCGCTGTTCGTCGGCTCTCTACCCCCCGGACTGTCACAGCGCAACTATGAGAACATGCTAGTCGAGTTTCTAGGCGCTGGTAAGACTTGTTAATTTTAAGTACGAAAAAATTTCTTTGTGTGTTAGTGAAATATTTTTAATTGCAGTTTAAATTAGAAGTGCCTAAGCCTAAAGATGACTGGAAACTTACCTGCAATGCCTCTGGTGTTGAGGGTGCTGATGGGCGGCGATAATCACCATCATATTGCAAGCTCGTTTATCCCATTATCCTGTGCCATTTTTTTAATAGATGACAGTGGTATGGCACCGCCTCTGGCGGGGCACCAGTGGAGAATGATAGAAAGAGCTTGTGATGTCAGATCAGTTAGCCGTAAAACGTGGTAAATTCACCAAGAATTTATCACGATTCAGGGAGAACCGCGTGGAAATTAACCTGTCATGGTACATTTCTAGCAATGGGGTACAAAGTATTAACAATTCCCTTCCCTCTACCCCGTGTTATTATGTGGTGGTATTTTGTTTTGACAGAAAACAAGTTCAAATCCATCGGGCCTATTTATTACGAGTATGGTTCGATGGTGATTACATACGAGGACGCCAGTAAGGCGGTACGCGCGTTGTACGCGCTCAGAGAGGCCAAATATGAAGATAAGCATTTATTAGGTTTGTATTATCTTATATTTTTACACAGTTCTCAGTTGGGTACCTCTTACCTATTCCTTGCAGTAACCTCTTCAAAGGAACAACATAAGGAGGATTTTCGTCTTCAGGAATAGCAACGTATGAGCGACTTTAAAGAAGTAATCTTTGTACATGTCGCCATGCAGCTTGCTTAGTATATGCTTTGGTTCGAGAGTAAGGTATAAGGCAGTGAAATTCCAGGAGGCATGGCAGCTAGTCTGCATTCGTTATGGCAACACTTGGGTGATATCATGGGTGCCACACCACATAATATTTTATTTACATTTGGTTTAAGATCAATAGTAATAACTCAGGACTATTCACACAGCGCCATCCAGTCCTTAGCTAAGCAAAGCTTATATTATGCGCACTAGACAACTAACAAAAATACTTAAAAACATTTTTTTAAATACCATAATTACCAGACAGATACAAACAATCATAATCATCATAGAGCGAGAATTCGAACCCGTTATCTACGGCAACAAAGCTATGTGCTAAACCACTAAACCACCGAGGTCGCCAATTTGAACATGTCGTGGTGTTGCAGTGATGCTGCTACCCAGCATCGAACCGTCAATGGTGCCAGCGGGCGTGAAGCCGCTGCTGGTATTCGTGAACGTCAAGTCCGGCGGCTGTCAGGGGCTCGAACTCATCTCCTCCTTCCGAAAACTCCTCAACCCCTACCAAGTGTTCGACCTTGAGAACGGTGGACCGCTGCCCGGGTTTGTACCTACCAATTTTGTACTAAATATTCTGTGCCTACACTTGTAATATTTCTGTCAACACTCGGCACCCTTCCATTAGTTTACATCTCAACATAACATAGATTTAACTCCAGTGTAAAGTCCACGTTTTTTTTATTAGGGAGTTTGGGCTATTGTCAGGCGTTAGGACCTGTAACACTGCGACCTGTATACCGTGTGTATTGTGTTTGCCCTTATTCAAACATCGCTACCTACCCGTACAAAAATTGAAGGATATTCTTAGGAGCGATGGTTTTTATCTCCTCAGGATATAGTGTATACTTTCCAAATAAAATATTTCGTTTATACATGAGGGGGCTACAACCACATAGTGAGTCCACGTTTTCAAACATTTTTCTGGTAATATTATACAGATATAAAGAGAGATAGATGTTTTTTTATACATAACATTAATACTGTTTACAAGTCATAGAATTTAAAAATAATGCTTAAACAGCAAATAGCCAGTTCTTATGTATATATAAAAATTGTTGGTGTTGTCCAGGCTGTACGTGTTTCGTCACATTCCCAACTACAAGATCCTGGTGTGCGGCGGCGACGGCACCATCGGCTGGGTGCTGCAGTGCCTCGACAACGTCGGCCAGGACTCGCAATGCTCCAACCCACCCTGCGCCATCGTGCCGCTCGGAACCGGTCTGTACACCAACCTACGCCATATAATTACTCTGTGATTACAAATATTACTCCTTCTTAGTAAATATACAAATATTACTCCTTCTTAGCAAATAAACCACAAATTTCATACAGAGTAATTTATCAGCAACTTGGAAATAGTATCACGTATAGAGCGTTACGCGATTATTCTTAAAAACTCGACTTTGACCGATCGGATTTTTTTTGAGTGGTAAACGATGGAGGCCTGACAGTCCACCTTCAATAAAATAGACAAGCCATTTCGGAGGAGTATCGTTACAAAGAGTGCAAATCTGATCTCTAAGATTCATTAAGTATTGAAATAAACTTCCGCAAAATAATACCTAATATTTTTTAATGTTACAATTTGAAGTAAACGTTGCATACTTAAAAATATAGATTTTATAAACTCCTCGACAATTACATCTTCACTTGCCGAATATCTATTCAAACATAGCTTTTATTTAAAATTAGGACAAACCATTTTATAAGTAGAAATACTTATTTATTTACTCTTTATTGCTACAGAAGTAAATTATAAAGAATACAAATATGTGCCTACACTTGTAATATATCTGTCAACACTTGAGACCCTTCCATTAGTTTACGTCTCCACTAACATAGATTTCAAGTCTACGTCCCGAGTCCGCATCGATATAACCACCGCGCTAGAATTAGAAATAATAAGGAACAAAATGAGACTGCATTTTACCTTACTTAATTTTTTTATGTACCTTAATATTACTAATATATAAATAACTAGCTATGTGAAATTTATAGTCTATATATGTTATTCTGATGTATAAGCTATATTACAGTAAAGTTTCATCAAAATCCGTTTAGTAATTTTTGCGTGAAAGAATAAGAAACATCCATACTCACAAACTTTCGCGTTTATAATATTAATTAATAAGATTAAGTTTGTTACCGTTTGACGTCATCAGGTAACGACCTGGCCCGCGTGCTCCGCTGGGGCTCCGGGTACACCGGCACCGAGGACCCGCTGTCGCTGCTGCGTGACGTCATAGACGCTGAAGAGATCCGCCTCGACCGCTGGACGGTCGTCTTCCACCCCGAGGACAAGCAGGATGAACCCAAGGAGCTGTCCAAACAGTTGCCAGGTTGGTGGTTATAACAAGTCTGCATGCCAAAGCAAATATGTTGGATTGTACGCTCCAGAGACACTGCATTGCTGCGGACCCATTACTTCTGGTCGTGGACAGACATAAATACTTGTAGGGCCCGCGGAAACGGGCATGCAACACATGCGGAGCATACGGGCGCCTCGTCGAAGGGGCTGCCATCACGAGATTCGGATATATACTATAATTTTATTAAAATATAGAATCTATAGAATACTTAATAAATTATAATAAATAATGTAACTTACCTATAAATACGGAGACGTAAACCGCGATAGATAAAAGTTGCATGTGGGCGCTGAGGACTCTAGCGCCGGCCCTGAACATGAAGTCGCTCCATAAGTCATTCCGCGGGTTTGAAGTGCCAGCTGCACTCACCTCCTATCGTCGGGTGAAGCAGAAAGGCCAGATGCGACCAACTGTATTTGAGTAGCCCGAAAAAAAAAGTCCGTAACCATTATTTTTTATTTTGTTTTGTATTTTGTTACAATACAAAATAAAAAATAACGGTTGACTGACTAATGTAATTCTTTTTCTACTTTTTATTTTTGTTGTTAATATAACAGTGCCTTATGTCTGTGCCTTTACCTTTATCTATTTATCTATCTATCTATACATATAAATAAAATTGGAGTGTCTGTTTCTAATTGAAATAACCGTATTTATATTCATATGCATGTAGTAAACATGCATATGAATATAAATACGGTACACCGTTTTATATTTATATATATACCAAATAATTATTTATTTATATTATACCGTTTACCGTTTATATTATACCGTATTTATATATACACCAAAATAACATTTTTTATAATTTTTGTCTGTCTGTTTGTTCCGGCTAATCTCTGAAATGGCTGGACCGATTTTGATGTGACTTTTTTGGCAGGTAGCTGATGTAATGAGTAACTTAGGCTACTTTTATTTTAGAAAAAATATTTTATTATAGAGAAATAAAGTTAAATTCCACGAGGACGATGTTGCGAGAAGAGCTAGTCTACAATAAACCCTCTGACAATCTTTCCGGCCCGTTGCACAGTACGAGATGTAGTCGGCTGACTGTACCTTATGGTCATATTACAGCGTCTGTGAGTACAGGGTCGCAGAGCGAGGATAACTCGCAGATCCTCGTGATGAACAACTACTTCGGCATCGGGATCGATGCTGACCTCTGCCTCGACTTCCATAACGCGAGGGAGGAGAACCCTAACAAATTTAACAGCAGGCAAGTGTACTACCAACATATACCTACTTAAGACCAGCTCCATCTTCACATTAGCAGTGGTTTTTTTTAATTAAATACACTCCATGTACCTACATACAGTCATTCTACCTCAGGTAGACTGTACAAAGTACACTGCCTAACTTCCAGCGATCGTAGGTTCGATTTTCTCGCGCCGTACAAACTAATCTATACATATAAATAAAATTGGAGTGTCTGTTTGCAATATTGCAATAAGCGTTTTTTACTACATTCATATGAATATAAATATGGTAAATACAACAAAATATCATTTTTTACAATTTTTGTCTGTCTGTGTGTCGGTCTGTTTGTTCCGGCTAATCTCTAAAATGGCTGGACCGATTTTGATGGGACTTTTTCTGCAGGTAGCTGATATAATAAGGAGTAACTTAGGTACTACTTTTATTTTAGAAAAAAGAAGTTGAATAATCACGTGGACGAAGTCGCGGGAACAGCTAGTACTAAATAAAAATTCCTGAGAATGATTATTTGTATTATTCTGGGTGTTTTCTATTTATTTATTATATTTATATATGTATTTAAAAAATGTGTATAAGATTTTGTATCACTTGTCTAGTACCCATAACACGAGCTCTGCTTAGCTTGGAACTAGATTGTGCTGTGTAAATTGGCCAGTGCCAATATTACTTGATAACGTGATATCTGCAGTGCTAATCATGTACATAGGCGACGGTTACCACTCACCATCAGGTGAGCAATTAGCATGTTTTACCAACTACCTACCATTATCTTGATCACTACATAGTATAAAACAACAAGCTGTGGAAGTCTGTCCGTCCCTAAGATTTAAATCTTTAAAACTATGCAACGGATTTTTTAAATAGATAGAGTGATTCAAGAGGAAGGTTTCTATATATAATACATCTACACCTGTGCGAAGCCGGGACGAGTAGCTAGTATAAAATAAAATAAAGTTTACCATTGTCTCAACGAATCACGGTGGTATTACAGGTTACGCAACAAGGGTGTGTATGTTAAAATGGGGCTGCGCAAGATGGTAGGTCGTAAGATGTGCAAGGACCTTCACAAGGCCGTCAAGCTGGAGGTGGACGGCAAGCCAGTCGAACTGCCTGCCGTCGAGGGCATTATAATTCTGAACATACTCAGGTAAATCTACTATTTTTTTATCTACTTTGTGATAAAGGACCGCGTGGGGGCGGGGGGGGGGGGGTCGTTAGTAATGTGGACTAATAATCCCATTGCTAGCAATAGCATTGCTATAATCCTTGGTGAATTTGTCACGATGGGCTTACTGACCTGACTTCATGTTCATCTTATCATCCTCCACTGGTGCCCCGCCAGCGTAAACCGTTAGCGCAGGCGGGTGCACCCTTCCATTATCATTCATAAAAAAAAATGACCGCGTGGGTATCTCTGTTGCTCCTCATTTAGTCGCCAAGTACTTTGCTATGTAAGTCGTGATTAGAAATAGAAATATTATTTATTTAAATAATGTTGCTGGCAGTTTGTTTATCATTCTTTTTATATACATTTTTTAATCTCTTTTTTTTTATATCACTTTTGACTAGTTCTCTGTGAGCCCTTTTTGAAAATATACACTTTTATTACAAATGATTTGAGTTTTAAAATAGTATTAATTTTGTTAAAATAGTAGTTGTGTTCCCTCTCCAGTCACAAATAACCTCAATACAAGCACTTTTGAATAGTGATATTTTTTATTCTACCACTCATTCGGAATACAGACTCGTCGCAAGAAGAATTATCAAGAAACTTGTGTGTTGCTATTTTGAATAAATGTTATTTTAAATAAATAATTACACAAAAACAATTAAGAGGCATGCGATGATCAAAATAGAAACCTTTAGAACTCATTCCTTGTGCAATCAAATAATACTGTCAGTGCTATGAATTTAAGTTTTTTCTACAAAAACATTATTATCATTTAGAAACTCTTCAATTTTATAGTAAGTACTTTTACACAGAAAGTGTTTTGTACGACATTTTAATATTTTTTCAGGCAGATGTAGAATAGGCTCTGGTAGCTTGTTGTAAAACCTTACGCAATTACAATAAAACGAATTGCTGACTTTAGTTAAGCAACATTTAGGTATAATCAGTTTGTTATTATTGTTACTGTTTGCAGTGGCGCAGTTAGGTAACCAAGAACCCTGGGGCACCCTACATTAGTTACCTACTACTTACCCTAGTTATTTAAAACGCACATATCGCTTTCCGTCAAATTGACAACACTGACAACCCACAGAAAGAATTTAGGGGAATTCCGAAGGCATAACTTACGAATATCTGTCAACTGAGTTGCCATTAAAGTCAGGTTGCAACCTATATATAGTATAGTCATATTTATTTTGAAAATGGGAGAAATTTAACGTTCAGGTCGAACGATCGAGATTTTCTGTTAAGGGTTCGAGGGCCCTCTGAGCTTGAGGGCCCAGGGGCACTGCCTCGCCTAACCCCCTAGGTAACTACGCCACTGCTGTTTCGGCTGAAGGATGAGATACTATATTATATATTACTGATGACAATTTTGTCGTAGAAACAGATTTTTTAAACGAAACACCAAAATATTATTAATATTATTATTATATGAAATAGAAATAGAAATAGAAATAATCTTTATTCAAATAAACTCATTACAAGCACTTTTGAATAGTCATATTTTGATTCTACCACTCATTCGGAATGCAGATTCATCACAAGAAGAATGAGCAAGAAACTTGTGTGTTGCTCTTTTTAATAGATGTTTTTTTTATATAAATAATTACAGTATAACAAGTAAGAGGCATGCGATAATCAACATAGAAGTCGCTACGCACTCATTATTAATGTAATCAGATAATATTGTCAGTGCTATAGATTTAAAGTTTTTCTATAAAAACATTATTATCGTTAACGAATTCTTCAATTTTATAGTAAGCTTTTTTGCAAAGGAAGCTTATAGTAAGCTTTATATGGAAGTATGGATCCCTAAATTAAAGTGTATGTACCCGTCCGTCAGCTGGGGCTCCGGCGCGAACCCGTGGGGTCCCGAGAAGGACGACCAGTTCAACAAACCCAACCACTGGGACGGCATGCTCGAGGTGGTCGGCGTCACCGGCGTGGTACATCTCGGACAGATACAGTCCGGACTGCGCGGGGCCATGCGCATAGCACAGGTACATAGAATAGAACAGAATAGAAGATCATTTATTCATATAAACTTACATTGAAGCAATTTTGAATAGTCATCAAATTTTTTCAATCTACCGCTCATTCGTAAAACTGTCTCATCACATGATAATAGGGCATATAATCTATATATATATAAATAAAATTGGAGTGTCTGTTTGTAATATTTACTACATGCATATGAATATAAATACGGTACATACACTAACATTTTTTACAATTTTTGTCTGTCTGTCTGTTAGTCTGTTTGTTCCGGCTAATCTTTGAAATGGCTGGACCGATTTTGATGGCACCTTTATTGGAGGTAGCTGATACAATAAGGAGTAACTTAGGCTACTTTTAATTTAGAAAATTCTCTAATTAACTTTTTTGTTAAATTCCACGAACCGAAGTGGCGGGTACAGCTAGTATAGTATAAATTTGACGGCCTCGGTGGTTTAGCACGCTGCTTTTTCTCCGATAATCGCGGGTTCGATTCCTCGCACGATGCAAACATTCGTATAATTGTTTGTATCGGTCTGGGTGTTTTCTATATATATTATGTATTTCTATATATATCAGTTGTCTAGTACCTACCGTGGGACTAGATGGCGTTGTGTTAATTGCCCAGGGTTATTTATTTCTTATTATTATAAAACATTACAGGGTGGACACATCAAGATCAACCTGAAGAGCGAGATCCCCGTGCAGGTGGACGGCGAGCCGTGGGTTGCGGCGCCCAGCGAGGTGGTGGTCCTCAAGTCCGCCCTCAAGGTATAGTACACGGCCCTCAGTCTGTGTGTTTGTGTGTGCATGTGCTCGCTTCCGACCGCGGCCGATCAGACTGTAACCAACCAAATCGTTAGATGTACATATATATGTACCTACGGGACATTCGCTTCATCAATTGATTGATTCTTTTTTTTTATTTAGGATCACCAATTGTTATAATCATACAATTTATTACATGTAATGGGTTATGATCTAAATGAACAATTATTTATAGGCGCAAACGGCACGCAAAATAATATAGGAAAGTTATACAACAAAAAAAATTACTGTTTCATATTATGATTATGCTTATTATCTACTACTGCGTGTGTGTGTGTGTATGGGTGCGTGCGTGTGTATGATAATAAGTTTCATTTGTATTTTAGTACATATGTGTAGGTAGGTTTAATTGCAGAATATTTAGACCAATATAGTGGAATGTGAGTCTTTACCCATATTGTGTAGATGTACACCATATGCCACAGCAATAAAATATGGCTCATAGATTTGGAGAATCACTGACAGAGCAAAACAATTATTTTTAACTATGATGAGAGAGTGGTAGTTCATATTTACGACAATTAAATTAGGAACTTAATATTGACGAAAAACAAACATTATAATAATATATAAACATAATAAGGAATACAAAATGTACTTTAACCATTTAAAAAATTCTTTAACTTCTATACAGCTATATTATCAGATAGTATCATAGAGTTTATTTTTTTAAATTAGTAATCTGTGCCATAGCTCCGGAAGTCAAAGCTGTAATTCAGTTCAGCTGTAAAATCAATCTGGGTAGAACGCATACTATAGCTGCAGGATGTATGCAAAAATCATGACTTGATTTTATCAAGTATGTGTTGTATTCGTATTTATATCAATTAAGTATATATAATATTACCATGAACAAGGGTTGATATGATATGTAGTGATGAATTTTATATAGGCTGGCAATACTATAGTCTGCTTTTTAAACCCGGAGACAAATTTGACGTTTCCGATGTTGCCAGGTTTTTGCATTTTTTAAATAAGGTTGTGGCACTATCGGATATTAATATTAATTACCCATTTTAATAGGTTATTCAGAAATAATGTGAGTGTTTAAATAAAACGCATTAACATAAAATTAATAAAGTATAGGTATTCATAAATATATGGTTGTGTATTCTATTCTGTCATATATCATAAAAAAACAACAATTTAAATATTTTGTTATTTGAAAGAAAAAAATATACAACATTTTTTTCTTTCAAACAACAAAATATTAAATGTAGCTTAATACTGTAAATATTACTATTTGCACGGAAACGAAAAAAATGTATTTTTATGCTGTGTACTACGACGATAATAATGGAAACACTAGTATATATACGTAAATATTAAAATGATGTTGTGGAAACGTCATTTAAAGCTTTAAAACTAATATCTTAAAATAAGTTTCCGAATAAACAAATCGGTATCACAGGTGTATCACTGCTCCGCTATAGGTGGTAACATTATTTGAAGTCAATTTAGTCTCCCGGATTAAAAAACAGACTATAATTAATGTATTTAGATTAGACCCGGTAGATAAAAAGTAGTTGATTAAAAATATATATATGAGATAGATATGATTTATATAAATAACGGTACGATTGATGAAGCGGCTCCTACGGATGATACCTGATATTCAAAATTCCCGAGTCACGTAACGCCCGAGCACTCAAACTCCACGCAGCACCAGTACTCCACTAGTTCATGGCCGCGTCCCCGGGCCGCCGCCGCCCGGACCTCGCCCGGATCACGGCCGAACCGGCCGACGGCGGCCCGGCGGACGCGGCAGGACCTCAGTAAAAGTTCCGACTCACTGCGTGCATACCCCAGACACTCTGGCCCGTTAGTATAGGGCTTGTATAATTTAAATCAGACACATGATTGCTGATTAATAGACTATCATTACGATAAATAAACTTAAATTTTGGAGATTTTAAGATTTTGGCATATGTAAAAATAATTCAATAAAAATCGACCGTCAAACCGTCCGGCAAAACCGCCGGACGGACGGCGACAGCCCTGGAGGCTAGACGGCAGAGTGTCGGGGGAGTAGCGATATACGCGGCGGAAAGACAGCGCGGGCGGGTGCGCGGGTGTGCGGGCGGCGCGGGCGTCACGTGACCGAGCTGTTGTGTCCGCTGTCGGCAGGCGACCATGCTGAAGAAAATCAAGCGCGGGTCGGGCGCCGGCGCCGGCGGCTCGGCGGCGGCGGGCCCGTGACGCCCGCGCCCCCCGCGCGCCCCCCTGCTCACCCGCGCCCCGCGCCCCGCGCGCGCGCAGGCCACCATGCTGAAGAAGCGCGGCAAGGTGCGGCGCCGCGACACCGAGCCGAGCCTGCCCGCGCCCCCCCCGCCGCCCCCGCCGCCGCCGCCGCCCCCCCCGCCGGACTCCTGAATCTGGCTCAGCGAGCGCCTCATCTAGCGCCCGCGCCCGCCTCGGGCTCAAGGCCGGCGCGCGCGCTCGGCGCTCGCTGGGAACCCGCTAGCCGGACCGGCCACCGCCGGACCGGACACTGCCGGACCGGACACCGCCGGACTGGCCCTCGCTGGACCGGCCCTGGCTGGACCGGACTGCACCGGACCGGCCCTCACTGGACCGGGCCTCGCTAGACCGGACCCCGCCGGACCGGCCCTCGCTGGACCGGACCCCGACGGACCGGATCCTCTAAAAATCGCCCTAGTTGTAGTCACCGTTCGAAAGATGTACTATGACACAGTGTAAATAAATTATTAACAGAAGTAATATATAATAAAACTTATAATAATAATAAATTTATAGAACTAGTATTTGTTTTATTTTTTAGTCTGATATGATTTGAGAATGTGTAAAAAATAAATAATGAAATAATATTTTGTCTTTGATTTCGTTCCGTTCTAGTATCCCCACGACGCCCATGTGCACACATTTATATATATATAAAGAGGAATAGTTACATTCTTGGTATGTTTGTAAAGGACCAACTCGAAAAATAATTTACTAATTAAATAATCAGACTTTGAACAGATTCAATATTACATAACTGTATATATAAAACTAGCTCGCAAAGGATATGAGTGTATGCTGGGACGAGGTTACGATGCTATATTCAACGTATAACTTTAGATATATACATATATAATGGTATAAAATAATTAGGCGTATAACAGTCAACAAATATATAATACTAACGTATAAGACATTGGACTGTGTGAAAGATATGATAAGAAAGGGAGTAAATAACGAGATCACTGAGAACTGGGATGAATAGAAGAGAAAAACATATTACGCCGACCACAAATAAATGGGGTAAGGAAGAAGCAGATGATGATGACCAACGGACGAGACATATGTCGCCTACCGAATTCAATTGTGTTTTCCCACCATCCGGAAACCCATTAAAATATGAAACCAAAATTTCATCCAGTCTTTAGGCTTTAGTCTTTTAGGCAATCCATGCATTATCAACAGTCCATCTTACTAACATTATAAACGCGGAAGTTTGTGAGTGTAGATAGATGGATGTTTGGTACTCTTTCACACAAAAACTACTGAATGGATTTTAATGAAACTTTCCAATAATATAGCTTACTAGCTGTCCCGGCAAACGTTGTTTTGCCTTAAAATAAAAAAAAAATTAGGGGTGGACTACCCCTAACATTTAGGGGGATGAAAAATAGATGTCGGCCGATTCTCAGACCTACTCAATACGCTCACAAAATTTCATGACACTCGGTCAAGCCGTTTCGGAGGAGTATGGGAACGAAAACTGTGACACGAGAATTTTATATATAAGATATCAGATTAACATAAGCTATGAATTTCACACAGGCACGGCTAGTATATTATAGTAATGTACCTATATTTAATATATCACTATGATGTACCTATTATATGTGCAGATAAAAAAACAATATAGACAGGTATTCAGTAAAACACATTAGATTAATTGAAAATATCTTTATTTAAATTATTACTTAACCTAAGGCATTAAGTCTCACATTGCTGTGACTAGCTACGTTTCCTTCACTGGTTTCAAATTATAGGAAAACAACATATCACAATGTTTTAAATAAAACTCGAATAGCAAAATAAACTAACATTTGGCTTCAAGTATCTGATACGTTCTCAAACCAATAACTGTATATAATAATATGTTGCTATAATAATAACAAAAAAAATACTTAAGAACTAAGTTTTCGAGTAATGTTACCAACAAAAACTGAGTTTTTGTTACTCGACACTTAAATAAGTGAGCTTCGCGGTCAATTTTGCACAGCCACTTCATCCGCTAAGAATTACCAAAATAATTTCCTCATTTCCAACCCCACATTATATCCATCGTTTTCTTACATAAATCGATGCCATAATAAACATATTTATTATTAAGATATATATCTCCTTTTGATGGAGAGGTAAACTTGTCTTTCGTTCTATAAAGTTGCCAAACAATGACAACTATAAAACCATAATAATAATAATAATTATTATTATTATAAAAGTAATCATCAAAACCACCTTATTATTATTATTCCTAATATTATAATTAATTATTATACAATTAACCCCTTTTAACATAATAATTTTATGGCAACACTTATGGATACGTTGTTTTGCCATGTACATATAGTATCTACTAATATCGCTATTTAAGAATAAGGTAGATGGTAGAAGAGTGAAAATTTAGGGCTGTATGTATTTTTATTTAATACCATATCATAATAAAATAAATTAAAAATAAAACTAAATATTTGAGGTGGCACGTATCACTAAGTTTATGAAAAATAGTCTAGTTCCTATCAAACCTAGTGAATATACATACAAAATTGTATAACAATCGGACAGCCATTTCGTAACCGTTACAAATACTGTCTTTATATCTCATAATAATAACAACCCTGAAAAATATCTAGTCCCAAGATAAGCAGTTTTTTATGGGTACTACTACAATTCTTTAACGGTACATAAATGTGTCGGATAATATACTTGATAGGGTCTGTTGGTCTATTTACTTGTACGTTATAACTAAACTGAAACACTGTCATTTACTTCAATATGTTAAAATTGGCTAATAAAAATTTTATCTGGTAATACTATTGGCGAAGATTATTAATTGGCATAACTTTTATATGACGGATAATCCGTAAAATTATTAATCATTCCATATAAAAATAAAAAAAATCCGTATCCTGAAGTTTAATAAAAATATATAAATATATTAGATAAATATCCCTTTAAAAAAAGGTTATATCCATTACATCATAGTACTCTGAATGGTAACGATTAGTGACAGATACCACTTAGTGCGGTCATGTAGATAGGCTTATCTGTCATTCCAAACTACAGATTTTGAAAAAATATCGTTTAGATTGCGCTGGTATAGGATAATATCGGATAGAGCCAGTCTCTTGTGTTAAATCCTTAAAAATAATGATGACCAATGATATCGACTCCATGTAATCCATATCCGTATCCGTATCCGGTGTAATAATCATATGAATCCTGTCAACATCTTCTGACGATCCGCAGTATAATATAACATAAACTTATTCTTCCCAACCATTTTAGTAAATCGAGTTGCAAATACAAAACTATAGTACTCTTCGTTAGTCATTACTTATAATGATGATTCCGCTGTTTACAACAAGAACGATCAAGAAAATTGCGTATTGCTATTACTATAATCTGAATTGAATCTGAACAAAAATAATATAAACGGCAAAGTTTTTTTGCTCCTACAATGTCAAAACCGAGTCAAAAATTGGTAGTAAGTATTTTAAAAACCCAAATGTAAGAAACTAATTTAACAAATCCTCGGAAAGTTGAGGTCGCTCCGTGAAGCATGTGAGGACACAGGCTTCTGCGCTTCTGGGAGGAGCTTCGCTGGCTACTTTGGTAGTCTCGGCTCTACACGTACAACGGCCCAGAGAGGCTAAATGCGGAGAATAGACTCCATATTACAGTACAAAAACCTAAGTCCAAAATCAAATCTTGGGCCCCTTAAAAGAATTTGCTACAGCCATGTCATAACCCGTCCTGCTTCACTGTTAGTCAGGACTTGATTATGTAAACCAGTAGCAATGCAGATGTAAATCGAGGTAGTTGACATACATAAGAATTTCTATAGTAATAGTTTATGATTATACATATATCTTATTAATACACGCGAAAGTTTGTGAGTATGGATGGATGTTTCTTACTCTTTCACGCGAATTTTGATGAAACTTTACAGTAATATAGCTTATACATCAAAATAACATGTAGGCTATAAATTTCACACAGGTGAAATCGCGGGCACAGCTAGTAAAAATAAATATTGCAATTACAAACAATGTTCCGATTCGCAATTAAAACTGTTAAAAGTCAAAATAAGTTATTCATTTAGGACCCTTTTACTACGTCAATATTATTTAGCACTATCCCTACCGTCCATTTCAGCTAAATACTTAAATTGAGAACAAATTAAAGAAACTCTTGTACATTTTATGTACTGGAACATTTTAATTAAGGCTGTTTAGATAAGTTAGTTTTAAAACTAAAACCCGACTACTCAATGATCTCGCCGAAATAACTATAAAACAGGGAAATGTAAAATCTGATATTTATAGGTATATCGTATGCATTTTACACTAATACAATAATGCAACAGTAGTAAACGATAATAAATTTTAGGGCAAAGTTCATAACGCTATACAAATAGAGGGCACCATATGAACATAATTATGTGAAAGTATAAGACCTGTATGACAGTTAAAATATTCCTATGTTCTATTCCAACGAAAATCTGTCTTACGACGGCCTGAGCCAAGGTTCGAACTCCTAGCGGTGCCCTCAGACTAAAGTTGTTTAATCAGACAGGAGTTGGCCTTTAGCTGTTCTGTAAGTCATTCCATGGGTCTGAGGCGTCCTCTGCATTCACCTCCATTATTCTTAAGTGAAATATTATAGACCAGCTGTCTTATAGCACTAGAATAGTTCGAAAAAAATCATAACCCTTCATTTTTGCTTCGCCGTAGTCGGGTAAAAGTAAAATAAGACTCCAACAACATTACACAATCAAGCCTCAACGGCAGAAACTTTAATGCCTGTTAGTACACTTAAGTATATTAAGCTCAGTATCAACTACACATAAAACGGATAGCTCTTCTACCGGATACCGGATATCCGGCCAAAAATATCCGAACGCCGATTTAGAACATAGCCAATAGGAGAATCGCACAAACGTAAACGTTCATAGATAACGAACGAGCGCATTTCGGATACCGGAGTTAGCTTTACAACTATTTGAAGTCTATACGAAAATGACATTGAAATAGACCATTTACCTATCAACGTCATTTTCGTATTAACTTTGACACATGAACATTCATTTTTAAACATTTATACCAGAACTATTGTTACCAAGAATAGAATGAAAAGATAGTCCAAAAAGGATTCTGTTAGTGAACATTATGAACACAATTTTGTAGCACAAAGAGTGTAAGATACACTAAATCTCAGCGTTAGTTTGCCTCGACGAAATCTCTCGCTGCCTATACAATATATTTATGTACGTATACAGCCATAGAGATATGCACATACATGCTCACAGTTTTCTTAACAACAATCTTTTAAGATACACGTTCAATACAGAATATACTCGTATGTAATTATTAAGAACTGTAAGAATTACGGATGGGTACATAGTATTCTGACTAATATTAATATTCCAGGACGAATATCGAATTTTATGAATATTATCAGAAATACATTTAACTTATATATTAATATTAATTCCATGCCGGATATCCATTTAATGAATATTACCATACATACATTTCATGTAATTCTATCTACAATCTAAATATGCAAGAATATATTAATTATAATAATAACAACCCTGGACAATTCAAAGCCGCTGTCATCTAGTCCCAAGATAAGCAGTTTGTTATGGGTACTAGACAACTGAAATATATACTTAAAAACAATTAAAATACATACATACTATATAAATAGAAAATATCCAGATGAATACAAACAATATTCATAAACACAAATGTTTAATCCTGCAAAAGAAAAAAACCCGCGGCCATCGCAAAAAGACAATGTGTCCGAGGCCGTTAAATATATAAGAAAAAAATATAATACATAAAGTTATCCGACATTGATACTTATTATAGAATAATTGATACATATTCATACATAGTATAGAATAATTGATACATATTATATATCAACATTGCAAGACATTTCATGAACTATTTTTAAACTGGTAATCACATCAAGTTACTTATTTTCTATATTATTAGATGTCTTTTATTCGACAGAAGTAAACATTCTACTTGAAAGGTATGAGTAGATTATCACTATTTGACGATGAACACTGTTTAGCTGATGACAGTACCTTAAAAGAAAAGATTTTATTAATAATAACACTTTCAGTTAGGGGCTGTCCATTAATCACGGTCGGCAAAAGTCACGAAATATCACAAAAGGGGAAAGGGGACTGTAGTAACATATCACGTGTCATTTTTCGTCAAAAGCACGATTTCTAAACGGAAAAGGGGCGTGAAGTGGCCTGACTTTTCTAAATGGATGGAATTTTATTACTTTTTCGCGCAAAAAAACTTCCGAACGGATTTTAATTAATGTTTACAGTAATATAGCTTATATATCAGATTAACGCATAAATTTGTGGGTAAAATCGCGGGCACAGTTAGTATACATTGATGATACTTTACAGTAATATAGCTTATACACCAGAACCACGGATAGTCTATAAATTTTAAGCGAATAAAACCGTGGGCACAGCTAGATAGTTTTTTTTTCAGACTACTCTGTACCGCAGCTGGTCATTACAGCTTTACCGGACGATAGGATGCGAGCGCAGATGTCACTCCAAACCCGCGGAAGGACTTATTAAGCGGCTGAAGGCCAACTCCCACCCGGCGGATAGGACTATAGTCAGAGGGCACCGCTAGGGGTTCGAACCTCGGCTCGGGCTCTCGTAATTTCGATCCCCGTTTGAATCGGACGGGGGATCGATCGGAGGGGAGCTGGTCAGTATACAAGGTTATTATTGTTTTGGTTTGGGCTATTGTCAGATGCTAATACCTGTAATACCGGGACCTGTATAGATCTATCGTGCTCGCCATACATACCTAGGTGTAGGCGTGCGTGTTGAGCAGCGGCGCCTGCGCCTCAGTGGTGTAGCCGCGCACGCGCGAGAACGCGAACGGCGGGAACTTGCCCGTGCTCAGGTCGAAGTGCGTCCAGTGGTCGCGGCACTCCCGCGGCGAGCACACCGAGTACCCGCGCCACCACAGCTGGAAGTTACGCCGCGACTTCACGTCGCGCAGCTCCAACTCCTGCACACGACCTACTCATCACCGATCGGTAGTATTTACATTCGTGTACCATTACAATGGTAGTGTATTATTACAATGTTAGTGTATTATTACAATGTTAGTGTACTATTACAATGTTAGTGTACTATTACAATGTTAGTGTACCATTACAATATTAGTGTACTATTACAATGTCAGTGTACTATTACAATGGTAGTGTATTATTACAATGTTAGTGTATTATTACAATGTTAGTGTACTATTACAATATTAGTGTACTCTTACAATGTTAGTGTACTATTATTACAACGTTCATATAATAATAATCTCAGGACAATTCACACAGCGCCATCTAAACCCAAGTTAAGCTAACTAAAGCTTTTATGGTTACTAGATAAGTGATACTAATAGATAGATTATTTTTCGAAAATACATACATAATATACATATAAAACACCTAGACTGATACTATAGTGATACCGATAGTGTGCTATTACAACGTTCGTGTATTATTACAACATTCGTGTACTATTACGTTTTGATTGAAGAGTGAAATAAGACTAACAATACATTTATTTATAACAATTCATCATTTATGTATCAATCACAGAGCAATCCATATTACTTGATAAAAAACGTATACCCGCTAGCTAGTAATACTTACAATGTGGTAGGTCTGCTCGAGCTGCTCGTGGGGCTCCTTCCGCCGCGGCCGGAAACGCGTGTTCGTGGCCTGCGCAGGCTTCTTCTCCGCATTTGTCTTTTTTACCACAATCACCACCTGACAACCATATTTTCATACATTAGCGATTGTAACGATTAATTGAGGAGCGTATACTTGTAATATTTCTGCCAACACTCGGGACTCTTCCATTAGTACTTCTCCAGATAACAAAGATTTAAGTTTAATGTAAAATCAGTCCACGTGACGACCCCGCGTCGAATGTACGCTTTACTAAGCCATGTGGCACACTAGCAAATAAACTTACTAATGTACAATAAACAGTACAATTATTTTATCTGTATACTCACTACCTACAGACTACACATAAACAATATATTATGTAGGGAGACCTCATCACATCATATATAACGATACAGTGGTGAGCTCTAACTACCGCGCTGCAAGGGAATGAAATTGATAGTAATGTGTAACTAATTAACTCATTGCTAGCAATATACCATTGTCAGGACCTCCACGCGCTTCTTGTTGGAAACCATCGTGAAAACCATGGTGAATTTACCACGATAGGCTAACTGACCTGACCTCATGTTCATCTTATCATCATTCACTGCCCTGTGCCCAGCTAAAACGGTAGCGCAGATAGGTGCGCCTATCAAATTCATCCATTAAAAAAATATGACTACATTGTAATACATATGTATTTATATATATATAGACGTAACTTATCCAGCTAGGTAGATCCATTTCGAGAAAGAGGTCAATCGTCGAATCCAACTCGGATGGGCAGCGTTCGGGAAGCTCCGATATATCTTTTCGTCCAAATTTCCGCAGTGTCTCAAGACGAAGGTTTACGACATTGGTCGTGTTGCCAGTGATGACTTACGGAACAGAGACGTGGTCGCTAACTATGGGCCCCATCAACAAGCTCAGAGTCACTCAGAGGGCAATGGAGAGGGCTATGCTCGGAGTTTCTCTGCGTGATCGAATCAGAAATGAGGAGATCCGCAGAAGAACCAGAGTGACCGACATAGCCCGAAGAATTGCGACTTTGAAGTGGCAATGGGCAGGGCACATAGCTCGTAGGACAGATGGCCGTTGGGGCAGTAAAGTCCTCGAGTGGCGACCACGGACCGGAAGACGCAGCGTGGGAAGGCCTCCAGCAAGGTGGACCGACGATCTGGTCAAGATCGCGGGAAGGCATTGGATGCGAGCAGCGCAGGACCGATCGTCGTGGAGATCTTTGGGGGAGGCCTATGTCCAGCAGTGGACGTCTTCCAGGCTGCGATGATGATGATGATGATAGACGTAACTTGAATCCCCTCCAAAGAAACACATTAAACAATTAAAACTTTTGTCATATCAAATCGCGGCTGAAGTAGAAAAATCTATTAATATACATATACAATGAGAAATGAAACACAACAGAAGAAAAATAAAATATGACTTTAAATATAAAATGTACCTACCCTATCACCAATAAGCCGGTAATGTCCGGTCATGATCCCGAGCGAGGCCTTCGGCTGCCTGTAGCGGAGGTGCGCCACGCACGCCGCCGGCTCCTCAGCAGTGGTCCACATCAGCACCAAACCCTCAGGGAAGAACCTGCCAACAATAGCAACGTTAACGTTAACAGCAACCGTTGGCGTCCGAACCCCTCTAACTCTTTAGATGTTTTTATTATTTTTAAATTTATATTTTAGTTATTTTTCGGACTACTCTAATGCTGTTGGCCGCAGCTGGCTTTTACAGCTTCACCAGACGATAGGGGGTGCTTATGGCACTTATGGAGCGGAGCACTTACTACAAACCCGCGGAAGGACTTATGGAGCGGCTGAAGGCCAACTCCCGCCTGACGAATAATACTTTAATCTGAGAGCACCGCTAGGATTTCGAACCTCGGCTCAGGACGTCGAAATTTCGATCCCGTTTGAATTGGACAGGGGAACGATCGGAGAACGTGGACGGGGATCGATCGAAGGAATATTTTTTGAACTGTTTTTATAAATGTCATATTTTTGTGATATATTTCCCATAGTTGTTTTGAGTACAAGATGAGTTCTGATTTGACTATAACGGTCCTACCTACATACTGTCTTTAAATAGAACCAATAGTGCACAGTTCAGTTCGGTTTAAATTTTCGAAGTGTAAAGTAGGTACATATAAATAAAAGAAGTTCATAGTCGTCATGTTACGTTTGTTGCCGCTACGGAACATTAGGTATCAGATCCAACCAAAGATAGACTAAAAGTCGTGGGTGAGGTACCCAATGGTTAATCTATATCAGCCGCCAAGCAGCTTGCTTTATAAATTGTATTTAGATTGCAGGATGAGTTTACGCTGTGAAATCACATCATAAAAGTCATTACATTTTAGTGCTCTGGCATGGCAACGAATGTTTGGTATCACTGGTAAGATATCCGATGGTCCGTCACCTTATTTGGCATTCCAACTACATAAAACAATATAATACACTTAACAGGACCTAATAGATTACATACAGTATGGTTTCAGAGAAATTTAGTGTTAAAATACATTTTTAACCGCTGTTAAAATCGTTAATAACCGACTATGCATCTATAATCTCGTGATAGTCACCTGAGGTACCGGTAGTAGTCGATGAGGTACCACGGCCGGTAGAACTGGTCCTGGAACGAGTTCTCCCCGTGGCGAATGTAGGTAGTCTTGCTGATGTAGCAGCCGTGGAGCAGCAGGCGTGGCCGCTGCACGTACATGTCTCGCCAGGATTGATAGCCGCCGCCGCGGGGCAAGCCGCACTCAATACCCCATGTCCTGCGTCAACATGCCATCATCAATCATCATCATCATCATCGCACCGCCCGGACTAGTAAAACTAAGGGGTGTGATCTTTGACGCCCTCGGTCGTCTAGCGATTTATAACCGCTTCACATCCGATGGTCGCGGGTTCGATTAATCGCAATCGTTACAAATGAGTTGTTTTTTTTGTATCCACTATTTTTTTTTATTTAATTCAGGATTTTGTATTATCCCTCCACTTTCACTTAAGAATGACATGTTTAAAATTAAATTAATTAAGTTCGTTAGCCCCATGTTCTTTTTTTGAAAAGTAATAAAATACATTGAAACAAAGAGGTTGATACTCTTGTAAATAACAATAACTAACGTCTTGGACAGTGATTGAAAAAAATAGCGCAATACTCACTTAACACACAGCGTGCGCCATATGTCGGGCTCCCGGGCCGCGACGTAGAACCCGCGGCAGACGGCGGCGGCTTGTTCTAGCGACATGGCGTCCAGCTCCGAGCTCACCACCCATCTCAAGATCAGCAGCACCACCTCGTACGGCAACCACGAGAAGTGAGCACCCTGTATACAATGCATTTTCTTTGTTTTGTTTTATGGTTGATAATAGAATGGTGCACCCGCCTGCGCTAACCGTTTATACTGGCGGGGCACCAGTGGTGGATAAGATGAGCATGAGGTCAGGTCAGTTAGCCCATCTTGACAAATTCACCAATAATTTATCACGACGGTTTTCAGGGGGAACTGCGTGGAGGTCAACCTGACATGGTACATTGCTAGCAATAAGATCATCAATCCATTTTTTAGGGGAGATTATCTGAAATGAGCAGCCTGTACATAATTCATATATTTTTTATAGATGAATGGAATGGTGTACCTGCCTGCGCTAAAGATTTACGCTGGCACCAGTGAAGGATAATAAGATGAGCATGAGGTGTTTCAGTTCAGTTAGCCTATCGTGGTAAATTCACCATGAATTTGTCACGATGGTTTGAACCGCGTGGAGGTCAATCTGACATGGTACATTGCTAGCAATAGGGTTTTTGGGGTTATTAATTGGGTCCACATTACTAACAGTCCCTTTCCCCCGGGGAGATTGCTTTACATAAAATTAAATAAACCTTAGTAGGGAATTCTGGCACGCAAAATGTGCCTTTTCTGGCGAGGATCCTCTGCAGCCGTGACATCAGGTCCTCGCCCTCCACGGCGTCCTCGTCGTCGCTAGTATTCGCATGTTCCACTGTCAGCACCTCTTCTGTTTCTAATTCCACTAAACAGAAAAATAAATAAATAAATAATTGACGGTCTCGCTGGTCTAGCGGTCTAGCATACCGCTTTACATCCGATGGTCGCGGGTTCTTCCTCGCGCGGCACAAACATTTGTATTCATGAGTATGATTGTTTGTATCGGTCTGGGTGTTTTCTATGTATATATTATGTATGTATTTAGGAAAAGAAAACTATGTATTTGTATCAGTTATCTAGGACCCATAACACAATCTTTTATTGAGATTAATAGATATTCTTCAAGAAATCAACTTTAACATATAAATCCATGTAAACTTATATATTTTATATATAATACATTAAATCTATTGAATCGCCTTCAAGTACATATTATGCTATATTTTTTCGGATAGTAAACAACGTCATCTAGATTTTGTGTAACTGAAGATTGCGGTTAACAAAAGTGAGAGCAGATAGCGACATTTCTGGCTGCTGAACTTGCGGAAATGGCTCGGCTGTAGCACAAACTCGCTCTTTAGATCAAGAGCATCAAAAATTAAAATTGCCCTGATGTTGTCCAACCTCCGATAGGAGTGGAACTAACTTAACTTCTCTCTCTATCCCGGCCTTACTTAGCCCATCTTAATTAGGGTTGTCTCTCCTAATCATCCTTTGCCAGAGACATTGTATCTGGATCGTCATTGGGTCTAAATTTTCACGCGTTAGGTCTTTTTTGATGGCGGCTATCCATGTGTCGAGGTCTTCCACGGTTCCTTTGTTTCGGATTGACGTTTAGTATCTTAAAGTGGATCTACTTAACTTAAAGTTAGAGTGGATCTAACTTAACTTAAAAAAACTAAATTTTCTATACCTTCCGGTGTATCGCCTCTCAGTTCTGAGCTCTCGTACAGTCGAGTTTCGATGTCTGGTAGAATCTGCATGGCCCTCTTGTAATGTTGGATGGCTTCATACAACTTGCCGCCGCGCTCCATCTCCACACCTCTCAGGAACAGTTGTTTTGCCTAAACCACATGTAATTTTTGTGTCAATAATACTGGACTGTCAAATCTACTATCAGTTCAGAGTGCTTTCCAGACAACAAACTCAGCTTTTAAACTTTTAAAATGAGCTAGTAAAATACAGTACAATAATATTCATGAATATGTAAAATTATTGAATAGTTTAGAAACACAATTTCACATATTTATTATTCCTTACCTTTTCTTCATCAGTTTGGGGCTCAACCTCAACCTCAGGTTCAGGCTTTGGTTCCCGCGTCGGAGTCGGGGTACACTCCAACTCTCTCTGCCATTGTTGACGGAAAATGGTTAACTCATCTTCACCATCTTTGAACTATTAAAAAAAATAAAAATTAAATGTTAAAGTAATCCACAAAAAATAACAGATTGAGAATGATAGCAATTGCAAAGAAATCATTAAAATCAGTGGAAAATTAGCCCAGTTATTATGGTATAAGAAATATATTATATATACATATAACTAGCTGTGCTGTTATTCTCATGTATAAGCTACATTACTATAAAGTTTCATCAAATTCCGTTCAGCAGTTTTTGCTTGAAAGAGTAACAAACATCCATCATCATCATCCATCCATACTCACAAACATTTGCGTTTAGTAAGATTGTTAAGAGCTTGAATGTTGATATATTATTGTTAACGGTTTTTATATAGTTAAGTACAGGAACTATTCGTCAGATTTTTGTGAGAGATAGAAGTAGACTTTCCATATCATAAATACAGGGTTATTGTGAACGATATATGATCTATCTATGCATCCGTCTATACTTTCATATTCACAAACTTTCGCGATTATAACATTAGTAAAATTCATCAACTTTAAAAATGATAATATATATCTCTCTATAACTCTATCCTATTACCTGGGAATTATCCTGTAATTCCAAAGAGGAGAGCTTGTCACTTGCATCCTCAAAGTCTTGTGAGGAGGATGGGTCCTCCTGCTCTTCTCCCTCGCAGTCGCTACTGCTGACACCGGCTCCCGAAGCCACCGATGATGCCTATAATATGCATTTTTTTTATTGCAGTGACAAACAGTATTATGGCCAATCTCGTGAGTGGTAAATATATAATAAGGTAATCCTCTACGTTACGTTGGCGGTCCAGTAAATCTATACATATAAATAAAATTGGAGTGACTGTTTGTAATATTGAAATAACAGTTTACCTACTACATGTATATGAATATAAATACGGTACATATTCCAAAAAAATACTTTTTACCATTTTTGTCTGTCTGTCTGTCGGTCTGTTTGTTCCGGCTAATCTCTGAAATGGCTAGACCGATTTTAACGGGACTTTTTTTGGCTGGTAGCTGATGTAATAAAGATTAACTAAGGCTACTTTTATTTTAGAAAAATAATATAAATTCCACGCGAATGAAATCGCGGGAACAGTTAGTTTAAAATAAATATACACAATTACATTCATCAGTTCGTTTAATGATAAAGAAATGGTGGACGCGCCTGCGCTAACGGTATACGCTGGCGGGACACCAGTGGAGGATGATAAGAGTATGAATCGTATCGTCACCAGGAACTTATCACGATAGTTTCCAGTCAACCTGACATGGTACATTGGTAGCAATGAGTTTACTACTGCACATTTCTAATACACATATCGGGGTCTAGAATAGTGGATATTGGTTAGTTAACAATCTATACATATAAATAAAATTGGAGTGTCTGTTTGTAATATTGAAATAACTATTTTTTACTACATATGAATATAATTACGGTACATATACCAAAAAAATTTTTAATATTTTTGCATTTCTGTTTATTCCGGCTAATCTCTGAAATGGCTGGACCGATTTTGACGGGACTTTTTTTGGCAGGTAGCTGATGTAATAAGGAGAAACTTAGGCTATTTTTATTTTAGAAAAACAAAGTTAAATTCCACGAAGTTAAAACCAATTGGACTAAGTCGTGGGAACAGCTAGTATATACAATATAGGTACAAACAACGTATGAGTAACATAATGTGTGCATCGCCGATTCCCAGATATTGTCCAGGGACTTAGAAGGATACACGCAACAAGATTACTGCAGTCAATTAGCAAAATTACATTGTCATATCTCAGCTTACAACCGAAATTCAGCTTTCAAAGCAAGCAGCTTCGTGAATGAAGATGAGACAAAAATGGCCACACAGTCAACTTAATACAACATCATGTAGGTATATTATATACAGTATATTAAATAATATTGATATATAGGAAATGTGTTTATGCATATTTCCACATTTATATGTTCTTCAACATCATGTTTCAAACAGTTTCAGATTTTATGTATGTAAACCACCAGAGGCTCATGAATATGAATGTGGCAAGGCAGGAATTGAACCCATGAATAAGATGCAACCATGCATTTAATTTATCTTTTTTGTAAAACATCTTGGTTAATGAAATAAAATTTATTATTATTATTATTATTAACCTATTACATTTTTACATTTGACATATTATTATATTTACCAAAACTAAAAGGTAGATGAGAGGTTGTAGAAACAGAATAGTTTATGTAGATTCTATTCCTGATATGTACATTTATTTTTAATCAAACAATTATAACCAATTGGCTCTTTATGTCATTATCTAGGGCTGATTAATAATGGAAACTCAATTTTGAAAATACAATCTCGCACATCATGATCAAATTGATTTGAAAATTTCTTAGGGTAATGGTACTTTTGTATTTTATTTTTAATGAATAAAAGATAATATAGATAGTAATGGTATGTTGCACCCTGTAATGTTGATGGTACAGGCTGATAGAAATAAAGTCTTTAATATATGTATACTACCAAGCTTAACATACAGATAGCAAACATGGTCAAATCAAAGAAGCATATAGACAAAGACATGCCAAATCACTATAGAAAGGAATGGCATCGGGGTAAAATTATAATATTGTAACACAGTGGGAGATATAAAGAAATAAACCAGATTTATAATGTAGTAGTATAATGTTTTTATAGAAAAACTTCAAATCCATAGCACTGAAAATATTACCTAATTACACTAATAATGAGTGCGTGTTATACTGTAATTATTTATATAAAAAAATATCTATTAAAAAGAGCAACACACAAGTTTGTTGCTCATTCTTCTTGTGATGAATATGCATTCCGAATGAGTGGTAGAATCAAAATATGACTATTCAAAAGTTCTTGTAATGAGTTTATTTGAATAAAGATTATTTCTATTTCTATAAAACTCGATTTAAAAAATATTCCCCCCAGTTGGTATAAAAATAATACGGCTGGGCAGGACTGGTTTCTGGTTTTAAATGTTACAAGACTGTTTAAAATGATGTCTATTGTTTATAATGTTTTAAAATAATAATAAAAAAATATGTATAATTAATGATTGTGTTTATTTATCTACCGTAACATCGTTGATGATGTAACAACTAGCCCCAATTGGGAGGCAAGATGTTACAATCGACTTGTTTAGTTAAATTTCCAAGTCGTGAAAAAATTACATACATTTTAATAATTTTTCAGTCATATTTTAATAGCTGAATAGACATACTGACTTTAGAAGTAATCAATGTGCAATGTGTAATTTGTTTCATAGCTTTTGTCATATTAACATTTATCTAAAAATTGTATAATGTACCCCCGTCCCCTACAGTAAAATATCTAAATTGGAAATGGACAGGACATACAATGCAATGAAGGGAAAATAATTGGATATAGTTGGTAAGGGTTGTGTATTCTAGACAGACCAAAAGAATCAGAGGAAGAACACAAAAAAGGTGGGAAGACAACTTAAAAGAAATAGCAGGTCCTTCGAGAAGGAAGGCCAAGGACAGAGAATTAAGAACATCTCTAGAGGAGGCCTATGCCGGTTGACAAACTGTAGATAATATTTACATTTAATCATTTACACAACTAGGTACTGAACATGAATATCATAATTAATTATTCTTTTTAATTATTATGTAAAAGATGAGTAAAACCATAAGAAGTATGTTGAATATTCCATATTAACAAGCTTATGTATATATATATATATACATTGTTACTTATGTATTACGGAATATTGAACATACTTTTGTATATAGACCACTCTGTAAAACAGGAAATACAATGCTAGATTAAATGAACACATATATGAACTGGCTGCACAACTGCAGTAAGATTCTCTCGACTTAAGATGTGACATCCAAAGCACTAGTGGAAAGATTATCAGACAGCACTTTGGAGTTGACTCATTGGACTAGCCTCATATATTGAAATAAATTCAAATAATTTTAGAAAAAGAATCATCTGATTGGACTATTGTATAAAAATAGATGCCAATTAGCAGTATTCAAAAAGAAAAAAATGTAATAGAAGTAACAGTTATAAAACCTATTATTATATTATATCAAATACTACAGATACTTGAGAATAATATATGGTATTTATTATCAATTAATATCATTGTGATTAAACAATAATTTTATAAGTTTTTACTCTATTAAATTTATTTTAATGTTTATATAATTTGTTAAACTTATTATTTTTCCCAGTCATATGTAAAATTTATTTAATGATTGAAATTGAAACCTTCAATAGATTGTTCAAAATATTGAATACAATTGTTGATTAATATTATTGACAATTTAAATCATACTGCTATTGTCATCACTAGACAGTCTATGGCCAGGTTAGAGACCTTATTAGTAAACAATAAGGTCTCTAACCTGGCCATAGACTGTAGGCCCTTTCTGTAAGTTTTATTGGACTGGAGGATAGGAATGATGACAAGTCCCCATTACTAACAATAGCCTTCCTAACTAGTTAATGTTATTTAAAACAGATTTATATAGAAAAGTGCATCCATCTGATAATAGAAAGAATATGGAGTCAGTCCAATCTGGTGAATTCACTCAGTATTAACAATTAATGCTTTTGAAAAGTAAACCATACGCAAACCAATAAATACAAACAATTTTATCATTCCCAGGTTTTTTTCAGGGTGATGGGGATTATAAAGGAAAAAAAGGTTCCGTTCAAAACAGGATGTGTAAAATTGTAACTAATAAAGTCCTAATACTTCTAAAAAATACAATAGTAATTTCACATTTCTATTACTGTACTGATGTTTTACTAAAATATAGAGTAACATTGTAACAATACAAGAGCATGAAATAAGCCATATTTTGAAAACAGAAAAATCTATTTGCAAAAAAAATTTACGTAAATGTTTATTTTGTGGCAACTGAAAAAAAATATAAACATGATTCTCACCATTTTTATAATATTAAATTCTTATTACTTTTCTATTATAAAACGTGAAAAATCATTAAAAGTACATAGAATTGAAATAGAATTTAAAAAAAATTAAAATATTTGGTTTATTAATTTATGGGACACAGATGGCTAAATGACAATGACATATTTTCAAAATGTGTAAGTATATAGACTGTCAATATAATTCATACCGTCAGTCAATATCGCACATTGCCAGCCTTATCTGTGCCTACTCTATGATTTTAAAATATGCAGAAAGTACTCTGTGATTAATGACGAAATGAAGTCATACATTATATAGAATTTATCAATTTATTCAATTTACTGTATTATAAAGGAGAAAAAATTAAAACCTTGTTATTTTTTTTTATAAAATGAAATATTCGCAAACAATAATAGATAGTATATATATCTATTGAATTAAATAAACATTCCATTAATATAGATTGACCTGCTTGAGAAAATATTTTCAAAATGGTAAATACTTAATATATTTATTAATATTTTCTTTATTAATAAGTTTTTTTAATTCTATCTGTTACTACGTTTTGAGTATTAGAGGTATATATATTAATATTAGTATGACACATTCGTTTATCATTTTTTTGTGATATTTTACAATTTTCTAGATGCAATTCATGCTGTTATTCAGCCGCCAAGGTAAATTGCGGTTGCAGAAATGGTACGTGGCACATCCAGATAAATTGAAGAAGAAAATCACACGTGAATTAATCACCACTGTCCTGGCTAGGAAACCCAAGATGTGTTCCTTTTTAGAGTGGAAAGATGTCAAAGTTGTCTACAAAAGGTAACTTAATTTCAATTTATACAAAAAAAAAATATATTCGTAACATTTTTTTGGTATATTAAAGGTAGAATATGCTTCTAGGAATAAGGTTGCTTGTACCATGTTTTTTTGTTGTTTAAAATGTTATTTAGTTATATATTAATGTACATAGAAACCAATACAGACCATCATCACTCATGAATTTAAATGTCTGTATCATGAAGAATTTATAAGAACCCATACAGGGTTTTCATTGTAAAGCAAGGAGGTATGCTAAACCACTACACTGCCAAGATCAAAAATGTTCATATCAATAAATTATGATATTCAATCAATTCAAATTCAAAAATCATTTATTCATGTAGGACATTTTAGCTGCTTATAAACATCACATTTTTGCATTCTAATTTTAATTTTTTCCCTACTGTCTGCCAAGATCAAAAACTATTTTTTTTAAAGTTCATATCAATAAATTTTATATACAGATGTTTTGAATTTATTTAAGGGTAATCAATTCAAATTCAAAAAATATTGCTCATTTTTGCCATTCATGTTGTTCATTTTAGCATCCAACCTCTTCAAAACCTTGCTTAATGATAGTATTTTTATGTACCAATTTTTCTTATCCTGTGATATTTGATGGTCTGCAAACATATGTATCACACAGCTTATGTCTAGCTATGTGTTTTTCATGGATGATTATGGAATGGGCCTCCCATCTCCATCATATGATGTCAGGTCAGTTAGCCCTTACAAATTTACCAAGAATTTAACACCAAGGGGAACCACATGGAGGTCAAGTCGACATGGTACATTGCTAGCAATGGGATCAACAGTCCACATTATAACAACAATCCCCTTCCCCCTCTCTAAGTCATGTAACAGTTTTTTTTCTTTCGCTAAGTCAGGTCAGAAATGTATTTTAATTTAGAAGGGTGTTTTGCCTCTAAATTAAAACACATTTACATACAAACAGTGAAGTAACACTATAATATAAAAGTATTTATCTACAAACAATGAACTATGTGACTGTTAATTTAATTTTTACCTGTTGAGGTATTGTCTAATTAAAATGACTCTAAAATCTTTTTAGGTATGCATCACTCTACTTCTGTTGTGCCATGGAACAGGAAGATAATGAGCTACTCACTTTGGAACTCATCCACCGCTATGTGGAACTCCTTGACAAATATTTTGGAAGTGTAAGTAGTAATTCAAATATAGAATACTTCATATATAATAATAATAACCAGGGCAATCCACACAGCGCCATCTAGTCCCAAGAAGTGTGCTGAACAGTCTCTAGAAGAATCTAGTCTCTCTTTTAGTATTACAAACTAAATAATATACATATTTTCTTCACTTTCTGGTATTATCCTGTTTACACATAACAATTCTAGATACTTTTTCCTTATATCATTTATGTTTTGTAATTTTCATTTGAACATACCTCTGTGATAAAATATATTTTACCGTTTATTCCCCTTAGCATCATTCCACTGCCTTCTTTAAGAATGACATAGATTTTTCAAATTCAAAATATCCTTATTCATGTAGGTCTATTACAGACTCTTATCATATGTTAAAAAACTACCGTCAGTTCAGAATGATTTCGAAATGAGAAGAACTGACAAGAAACTCAGCTCGTATTCTTTTCAAATAAATGTTGTACATGTTTACAATAATACACAGTCATTAAAATTCGAATTTGGTAGAATAGAACGACCAACAGCATATGCTATTAAAAAAACAAAAAATCTAATCAGTGTTCGCAACCTGAACAGACCAGTCCCCACAACACAGCACCCGTTCACGATTATGACGGATGAGCCAGCCATCATTGCACTCAACCATATTTGAGGGAGCACATCGACCCGGCTCACCACGCCGCCACAAGTTTGAGCGTTATAGGGAGCATGACTGATTTACGATGACATGTATTTAAGATGGGAAAGCCCAACATATACTGCAGATTCAGTTTTCAAATGAGAAATTTCTGTAATCTCTTACAACTTTACTATAACTCCCTTTATAGTTTACATACTAAACATATTTTTCTGTGTCCTTCCAGGTATGTGAACTGGATATAATATTCAACTTCGAGAAGGCCTACTTCATATTGGACGAGCTGGTCCTCGGTGGAGAGTTGCAAGAGACCAGCAAGAAGAATGTTCTGAAGGCAATAGCTGCACAGGATCTGCTGCAAGAGGTCAGTAGCCAGGATAATGAACTAGTCTAAAAATAATATCTCTAATTCGTCCCTGGAGATAACCGCTCCACTAAAGTATCATCTTATTTAATTGAAAAATAAAACATTTCTATTAAAATAATAGTAATTTACAACAGGTAACAGAATTTGAGCATTCATTTGTTTTTCTTGCTAATTTTATTTGAAAAAGAGCTACAAATCAGTAACAATATTTTTTCAATTATTCTTAAATAAACTGAAGGCTAAAATTTGCAATAATTAATAATATATTCATACTAGTCAAAAACTTTGCAAATATTTTATATCATTAAAAGATGATTGTCAATTAATCATTTGTACTATTTAAAAAAAAGGACAAATAAGCAAAAGCAGACTTTAATACTTTTCAAAATTGAATTAAACACATATTTATAATTTTTATCTTAAAAGTTACAGCAAATTAATTTAAAGATATATGTATATGCAAAACTCTATAAATATAATATAGTTTGTGCAAATGTGGATCAGTTCTTATTAACTTTTGGATTCAAATCATCCAAAGGTCTACTCAATGTTTATTTATTTTGAAAACATCACTTGTAAGCACCCACTTTGTTGATTCATAAACATGATATAAATGGATTTTCATAATAATACTGGCAAGTTAATGAAAATATGACGTGTCAAGGAAGGATCTAAGGTTGCAGTGATGTTATTTAACAGTGACTTAAATAACTATTGTCTCCCAGTAGATCTTCACCATTTTGTGATCTCAGTATTGATATTGAGTATATGACTATGAGATCAAAGTCTCTCTTACGTGTAATATTTAACTATTAGATTTTTAATTAGAATATACTTTAGTATTTACATATCTTGCTGTTTTTTGTAGTGAGAGTTGTGATAAAATTTCTAATGTTAAATTATTGTAATGTATTAAATTGGACCAATAGGACAGTGGCCTCAGTAGTGCCTTTTCATGTTGTATTAGAAGTTTCTAGATTGTTAGGTGCACTGCATTTAAGTGTAACAATTTGATGTTAAATAAAATATAACATATCAGCTAATAATTGTTATGTATAACCACATATACAGATTTTCTAATTTCGTACCACAAGCCTGCATTAGGAAACGTCTTTAACCTTTTTCTGCGTTGTGCTTTATGATTCCAATTTTATTAAAATAACCTTTTAGAAAAATTTCGGATTTTTTTTCTAATATTAAATATCTGTTCTTTTTCGATCAAGATTAACTCAATCTAAGATCTTGTCTCACTAATATATGGATATAATACATTTATGATGGACCAACATTATTTTTTGTGTATTTAGATAATGATTTTTAATATTCCATGTACTCGAGCACAGGTAACTTCTACAGTTTGAATATAGCAACAATATTACTTCTTAATTAACATCTAACATGTATGTTGTGTTTATTTGCGTTTCTATGACCTCTTTCTAACTGTAAGAATATTTTAGGCCTGATGACTATTTTAATAAACTGCCTATTGCCTATATATTAAATCCATTCTAAAAGACTGCCACTGTGTTGCTTATGTCTTATTAAACGTTATTTTAAGATATTTTTCTAATGCCGGCGTTATGTTATCGAATTTTGGAATAATCTGTATTTAACATTAAAACACTCCACATGATATAAATATTAAATCCTTTTCTTGCCTTATTAATACTTAGTACAAAGTTCCCACTGCACCAGAACACTAGTCTTAAATCGTCTGGAGTTCTAGTTTAGAGCTTGCCATACCAGAACTAAAATTAGTTGTGATGCTTTCTAGTGATAAGAGTTAACAAAAAACTAATTTTCAACGTGTAATTTATATTTTATTCATTTTCTTTACTAACTGCATATTTGAAACTCGTTAATAGCTCTCAAATTGACAAGAAATTAAATTGTACTTAGGAAAAAAGAAAATAGCTACAGAACGTTGTTATTGCGTGTCCTAAAACGCTTGGGTTTTTTGTCTATTAAAATATTCTCCGAAATTGGACAATATTTTAATAGACGCTACGTTTAAGGGTAAATATAACATCGAACATGTTCCTTAATTTTGTGACCTGTCCGTTTACTATTTATCGTCTCGTCAGCAGGGAGTGGCTGAGTAGATATACCTTGTATTCTGCACATTGCTAATATGACTTTTTGTTTTCGTGTGATATATGCATGCTCTGGTGGCGGGCAGGACCTGAACGATGGGTTGTTGCACTGATGCAGTCTTGCACATCCCCGGACACTGACGGGAACAAACGCTAACGTGTACTCTCACTGTGTGCTCATACGCTTGCTTAGTACAGTCACCACCGAATATGTAAACACTTTTGTTATCTAAGACCGCCGCTCAGAGTTTGGCTTTCTGACAGGTCGGGATCGACCAATCAACTGTTCGTTTTGGTATGTGACCAAATAATCTCGAACAACGCAGTTTGATGTTGTTTGACTTTTAAAAACTATTGTTTTTATATTTGTTAATAATTTTAGCCCAAAAATAATACGTGTATTGTAAGTTGGAATAATTTAATTGTTAATGTTATTACTCTTTAATGAGGTAAATAAAAGATATTTAAAATTTTACTGTTAATTGTACGTCAGTTCAAAGTTACTTCGTCCATTCGATCCCAACCTGTCTGAAACAAACTCTGAGCGGCCGGACTGTATATTTTCGTAATTATCTCATTACTAGCTGATACGCGCAATTTCGTACACATCATGCTTACTTGACATTTATCAATATATTTTGCCCAATTTACATAATATCTTTTTAAATTATTGTCTATGTGTTATTCGGATGTATAAGCTATATTACTGTAAAGTTTCAACAAAATCCGTTGAGTAGTTTTTGAGTGAAAGGTAAAAGAGTAACAAACATTCATCCATCCATACTCAAAAACTTTCGCGTTTATAATACTAAGTAAGATTTCTCGTATGTATCATATATACCTATATGGTTTTAGAGTTAATTTAATTTTGTGATAGGAATTACAAGTATTTTTTGAAATGGTTTTCATCCTTAAAATATAGTAAGGCATAGAGGATATTGGTATTACAATAATGTAAAAGCAGCTAAGCTTGAAACATAGTAAATTTTTCTCGTATAAATAAGAAGAAGAATGAAGAATCATGAGGCGATCGATGACTTTAGTACTTTTTCAAAATAACATTGTCGACAACTTAAAACATTTTCACATATTTAAGAAATACTGTTACTAAGACAAGGTAAAAGTGTTTACATATTATAGGTCGCGATCTTAGCTAGAAATGCATTTTGTATAAATTAATTTTGGCTTTATCACAAATTAGACATAGACAGCTTTTGCAATTTATATTTCATTACACTCATATACAAATAATTTACAAACGCTTTACTAATACATATTATATTGTACAACACCAATGCAGGTTTATATTCACTTTCTTATATTGTATTAAATTTTTTGTATGCATATATATAATTTAGTTTTAATGTGCAGAGCATCAAAATAATTTTCACTTTTTTATTACCAACGGTATATAAAATATAATATTTTTATTAATTCTTGACATATAGTCTGTCGATTTAGACACCCTCTTACATCCGATGGTCGCAGGTTCGATTCCTCGCTTGTATAATTGGTAGATTTGGTATAAATATTCGTATGTATTGGTGTGGGTAATTACTACACATTATGTATGTATTTACAAAAATATGTATTTAAATATGTCTATCAGTTGTTCAGTATCAGTAGCACAAGCTCTGCTTAGTTTGCAACTAGATGGCGCTGTGTGAATGTCCTCAGTTATTAGTGTTATTTTTGTTGAAATGAAATAGTCTTTCTAGTAATTATAATGCGAATTCACCTTATATAAAAACTTGACTCTTTTACTACATTAATAATAAATCAGATATATATGTTATTAAAATCTTAATATTCATTAAACAGTTGTCCAGTTCATATTGATATCTCATAGATGTCATAGGTGTATCACATATGTAAGATTATTTGTAGGTTAATGTAGATGCGTCCATTGTAATTTAGTTGTTATATATAAATGTTGCTTTATATTCGTGTTAGTGATATTATTGTATTGAAGGCAAAATTTTACCATTTAACTAACTACGATATAATAAATTACTAACTACCCGTCCCGGCTTTACACGGGTGTACATGTATTATATATATAAACCTTCCTCTTGAATCACTCTATCTATTCGTAAAAACTGAATTAAAATCCGTTTCGTAGTTTAAAAGACCTAAAAGAACAGACAACGGAAGCTACTTCATTTTATATATGTAAAAATTAAAAATATATAATTAAAATTGAATTAAAATTAAATTAATTAAATCGATAGAATATATACATAGAATAGATAGATAGTAAATCAAAATATGTTCTATTATATAATTTCAGCTGATATATTCAACGTGGACGATGTGGGTAAAATTTAGAATAATTATTCTTAAATGAAAAATTTGTGGCATTACATTCCTTTGTGGGGGAATAATGTGTTACTTTCTTCGGTGTTATTTAAAGATTTTCCCGAGATTTAGCACTCGTTATATAGCATATTAATAGTATAGTAGTTATTTAAAATTACTACATAAATAAAATGTTTAATTAGGATTAATAAATTTTGATTCTCTATATCTAAACCTGTTTGAATTCTAATTATTTTATATTATGACAAAAAGTATATTCTGGCATGATACCAAAAGCAAATTCGAATACAGGCGCCTGTGATATAATTAGCTATTTATTTAGCTTAATATAATGAAAAATACAGTATGCAAACGTATATACCTTCATTCAATTATAATTTAAGAGCCACGGTCTTGTTAGCGGACCTCTTGCCATATTATACATACCTTATTAGGAGTATATTTAAAATGTTAGTTTGATGGTAAAATATTGCCTGCATTGGTGATGGGCTGGCTGTTAATGCATTTACTGTAATGGGATGTGGAAATATATTGTTTTTAACTAAATAACTGTTTTCTTGCATGTACCTACCAAATTCCTAGCCGTGGAGATACGCCTATTAACTGAATTTGATGCGTTCAAATTGCAAAGATTGTTTTATATTTATGCTATGATATCTCAAACTATTAAGTGCCATTAATGTTCTTAATTCATCTCAAATTGTATATATTCATAATTTTAAGGTAATATTCTTTTTTTCTAGATTATTTAATAGGTTTTTGTTAGTCACTTGATTTAGGAAAACTCAGGAAATGATTAAAGAATAAAAAAATAGTTATTAATTTAAAATTACTTGCATTAAATCCAGTAACTAACAAAAACCTATTAAATAAGCATAAAAAAGAATATTAGATATAAGTTTTTATTAGTTAGTTAGTTAGGATTTAAGAATACTCAGGAGATGAATAAAGAATAGAAAATGCATATGAGTAAATTTATTATTAACTATTGCTTCCGGATTCAGCAAGCAAAAAAGGCTAAATTTAAAAATTTGCTAAATTAGCTTAAGTGGTCGAAATTTGACATTTGACTCTATAACTTACGGACTCTATAATATAGTTTGGCTGGGCTGAATAAAAAGATATGACTGAAAGAAAAAATCTAAATTGTAATTGGAAAGGTCCCTTCGAAATGTAGTTTCAGAGATCTGTTTCTAGTATATGATCTGGTGCTACACCTTTAAGAATAGTTTATCAGCCCAACAGTAGACAGATGAAATATCCTGTCAATACACCCTTTACTTTTCAGGTATTACTAAAAAATAATCGTAAGTGGTATATATATGTGGAATATATTTGGTAACTTATTAATTTCTGTTGAGTAGGTGTAGGTTAATTTGGCTATAAAAATATTTAATAAGCTTCCCGATAATATACGGACCCTCTCTGTAATATTATTTATAGAAAACTGCATGAATGGCTAATTTTGAAATGTTTTTATTCAATTAAAGAGTTTATGAAAAATTTAAATTATAAACAATTATTTTATGGACCTAAGGACGTTTATATGAACATTTGGAATAAGAACATACAATAATATATATTAACATATAGTTGTGGGAAATCTCCTAGTTTAATACTTAAATATTTGTACGCTTGATATATGCAGATTTTATAAAGGCTAAGTTTTCATAACATCTTATACTCGTAATTATTTTTATTATTTGTGTTTCTAATATTTGATGTTACTCTTTTATCATGCAATGGTTTTGAGGTGCTTTAAAAATTTTGTATATACACCAGAAACTGCTGCTTTATCACCGTTAAATTATTAGGTTGTGGATACACCGCATCATTGTGGGATATTATTATTAAATATTCTATTTGTGGGTATTTCTGGTGATAAGAAGTTATTCTTTTTACAATTATAAGATTGTAAACACTAGTAGCTGTGTTCGCTGCAGAGGAATACACCAGTTAGTTTAGTGAATACAGAGGATACTGTCTTTCCTCTAAATTTCAGTGCATGAAGATCTCCATAGACATTAGCGAACTAATTATATATATTGTATCCACATACTCTAATATCGTAAGCTATTAAATTCCATTATTTTCAAAATAATCAGAATACATAAAATAATAATGATGATATATATCAATAGATTAAAAAACATATTTAGAATATTTATTCATAATATAATATGATTTAAAATATACTATTTACCCATTAGGACAGTGCTATTCAATAATAAATAATAAAATAAACCCTGGAAAACTCACTAAAACAACTGCATCTAACTAAACAGAGGTAATATGGAGGATGCTAGACAATAAAAATATAATAAACATACGTAAATATCTACCATTTTTTAAGTTATCTCTATATCTTATATAATATACTTTACAGGAATAAACTAAATAATAATTATAAATTGATGTAACAACATCAATTTCTTCAACAAATCTTTAGCCGAAAAAGAATTATATATTTCAAAATACTTCCCTATTGTAACTTCGGTATATGCTACGATAACAAAAATAATCATCATAATCAGTCCAGTTTTAGCGAAAATATTGTATATAATGTAAAAATGCAGTTAAATTAAGGACTTCGTCTTCGAAGTCAGTTTGTAAGATAAGAGTTTCCGGATTGTTGTGTTAGGACGAGACGGTGGATGCCGCGCTCCGGGAGGTGGGCCTCCTATGAGGGCTTGGACTTCGCCAGCAAACATCCGCACCTATACAGCACGGATATTGTACCTAATTTCTACAAGCCTGCCATAAAGATGGCGACTCTGTCTTCCCCCATTGGTGGAATTATAACTGCAGCGAACTGCGTTTATGTAACAACTCTTAAAATGTTTTAATTGAAACAAATTAAAATCAATTTGCGATTTTGTACGAATTTGAAAGTTATAGTTGCAATATTGTTACAACTCACTCCTGCGACTGCAACTGTCAAATAATACTTACATAGTCACAAATATGTATTTTAATCTGTTACAAAAAGCGTTACATAATAAAGTTCCAGATTAATATGCATTGTGCTAAGTATTTGTTATTATATATATATACGTAATAATTTTTATTTTTATAAAATGTTAGAAAAAAATAATTGAAGTTATCCATAAACATATGAATCTGAACTAACAACTTTACTGGGCATTTAATAGGTAATACATATTAGTAAAATTACCTAATTAGATATACATCTATGTTGTAGCCCCTATTTTCTAAATACATACTCTAATTTCATATAATTTTAATTTCTATTATTTTCAAAGTACTTAATCAATTTTCAAGCAGTAATTTTTTTTTTTAATTTATATATGATTAGAACGTGTTCAACTAAAGTACCTGTATCCATATACAGGTTCTTCAGTTGAACACGTTTTGATACAAATAATATATCAAAACAATAACTATATTGCCTTTAAACGATCAAAATTGACGAAAAATAAGTAAAGTTATTTTTGGTATATATCTAATTTAATAAGACAATTATTTTATTTACCATGTCTTTAAATATCTTTAATTTACATTCCATATATGATTTATTTGTATAGTATACCTACAAATAATAAAACAAGAACTAAACAAATAATGTATTTAGGGTAAGCCGTTATCTGTAGATAGGAACCTAATTTTTGTTTTCATTTTTCATATATAGTAATTACGTTTTTTACAATCAACGAATTTATTTAATGTTAAGCAATTCTTATACTATTACAAAAGGATTTTCTACTTGTAAGTAACAATGTAGTACTCTTCGATATTTTTATCTACTATTTACCCCTGAAAATAGTTTTTATGATTAAGAATTTCCAATAAAACATTCCGCGTTTACTATCGTACCTATATTTACTGTATTTATCCATAGATTCTAAACTGAGAAGCTTAACTGTTATTTAAGAAGAAATAGTAAGTGTGTAGGTCAATATACACCTAATATTTACCTATTATGTAAGGTATAACTGAAGTACTTATTTACAAACAAACCCAGGCTCGGTCATAGGTCTTTTTCCAAAAATCTTAAGTAACTTGGACAAAGTACTGTACTGTAATAAACAGTGATTGTATTATACAAACGAATGACTTGAGATTACTTTTAAAACCAAAGCGAACTATATTCATAAATACAATATTAAAGATAAAATAACATGTACATACACATATATTTTTTAAACAGATTTTTAATATAATATAATTATTGTTAAATTTATAACAACTTGTATATTATTGAATACTTAAAGACTTATTGTTTGTTATATTTTCTTTGCATAGTTTAACGTTAATTAAATGATTTTATGCGCATTATTATTATATCTGTTTTAGTTTATTAACATATAAAAACTTAAACATCAAAATAAGAAATAGATATTTTGAAGAAAACTTACCTACTTGCATTTTATTACTGAGTACTTTTTTATAACTAGTTTAAGATTACAAAATAAGGATTTTTCTATTTGTTTTTTTATAATATATTTTTTTTAATCAGAAATTTTAGATGTACAGCAACGTACCTACATGTATGCTGAGAAGTTTTTTATAATTAAATAAAATGTCATACCTACTTATAACAATATCAATTTATCATAAGATTTGTTACCTAAATATATCAATAAATGTTTTTTGTCTTTTATTGTTTTAGTCTTTTATTGAATGCAAAAATAAAGTATGTGTATTTCGAAGCCTGATAATAATAAAAAAAAAATAGTATAATTAAAAAATAATTAGGCATTGGTATTTTTTCATACAGCTGAAAAGCGATGGCTCGGTCTAATATGGCCACGAGCGACACTGGCTCAGTGATGACCCTTGTTGCAGGAGGAGACTCCGCAGGGCTTCTTCGAGGACCACGGGCTGGGTTAGAGCGGCCTACCACCACACCACTGTCTCGGCGACGTAACGGCGTGACATCATAATGGATATTGACTAAACGACAGCGACATATTGTATTTTACTGTTTCTTTTGATTCTCTATTTGGGTATATTGTCTATAGGTCCACAGAATGGGTAGTAAAAATTGTGCGTTACATAATATAACCTAGATTTTCCATTAATTAATATTTGAGCGAAAATATTATCAAATAACAAGTACGAGACGCTAAAATACTGCTACATAATATATATATACTGTATGTTACACGCGACTTCGTCCGCGGCGAATTTAACTTTTTTCTATTAAAACATATCAAATATCCATAACATTACCAATCCAAAAAAATAGTGGAAGTCCCGTCAAAATCGGTCCCACAATTTCAGATATTAGCAAGAATAGACAGACAGACAAAATAAATAAAGTATTGTATTTACTTTAATAACCATTTTGAAAAAGCTGTTAATTTGAAATTACAAACAGACACATTAATTTCATTTATTTGTATAGGTAGACTTACTGCTTATACAACAGATAGTGTTTAATAATACGCACATAATTATTTTAATAATTTTCATTATATCGTCGCCGTTCCTTTACATGAGCATAGTCACGTGCAATGATTACTTTATTAATACGTCATCTCATTGTTTCTCATTGTTACATAAATATCAAGTCCGCTGCCTATAAATGTTAGCGTCAATCAATAACAGTTAAATGGTACTGATTATGTAATACTGTTGCAATGGATTCTTATTGACAGTTGCAGATAGAAACAAAATAATAATAATAATAATATAACTTTACCGAAGACTTATAGGCTGACTCCTTTAGCCTTTCCCTTTTTTTTCGGACTACTCTAATGCTGTTGGCCGCAGCTGGCCTTTACAGCTTTACCGGACGTTAGGGGGCGAGTGCAGATGGCACTCCAAACCCGCGGAAGGACTTATGGAGCGGCTGAAGGCCAACTCCTGCCTGACGGATACGACTTTAGTCTGAGGGTACCACTAGGGGTTCGAACCTCGGCTCAGGCCGTCGTAATATCGATCCCCGATTGAATTGGACGGGGTATCGATCGGAGGGGATCTTTCCCGAGATGGAAAAATCGAACCAAAAAACCCTTTATTGCGCACACTTTTTAATAAAGAACTATAGAAGTACAGTACAAAATAAAAACAACATATGGTTTGCAACTACTAATTTATGCATAGTCGCAAAAAAAATCTCTATAATAGAAAGTGTTTGTCGTAAAGCCAAATATGTTAAATCCAAACGTATAATTCTAAATTATTTTATAACGGTCTACCGTAATAGACCCCGTATTTATTACTTGCTAAATATCTGTCACAAATTTTTCTACCACTCGAAATCCTTACTAATAATATAAAGTACTATAACTCTGTCACGTTTTCACGCAAAACTATTGAACCAATTTAAATTAAATATGGTACACAGATAGTTTTTACCCTGAGAATGAGTATAGGCTACTTTTTAATGCGAAAAAAGGGCTGAGTGGGGAGATGAATATGTTGTACGGAAGTATTGTCGTTTTTAAAGCTATAAGCTTATTTTTTAGAGAGCTTTTAATGATTAAAAATGCTATCCAGTTACGTTGGATTCCACGCGGACGAATTCGCACGCATAATTAATAATTGTTAATATTTTTGAAGGTACAAAGATATAACTTTACGCTACGCTGTACGCTTTTTTAGCATAACAAAATAGCACACGTTTATGAAAAGTACATAATTAATTTTTAAGTTTGTATCTTAAAACACACATACTAGTATTATTTTCTGATTTTTCCCTTAGATATATGTTTATTATTAATAGTATTATTATTTGTATAACCGCAGATCAGAATTTATTTTTTGATACTACGATGATGGCAAACAAGCATACGGCCCATCTCATGGTAAATAGTTATAGTAGCCTATAGACGTCTGAAACACCAGGGGTGTCACGTGCGCGTTGCCGATACTTAAGAAACCCTAATATACCCTTCTTGCAAAACCCCATGCTGTAGTCTCTCGAGAAAACCTCGGCAGGTAATTCATTCCACAATCTAAATGTACGCAAGGATTTTTTTAGCCTTGGTATACCTTTGTTACATTTAGTTATTTTTAAACTTTCGGTTTTAATATACATTATTTATATTATTAACCAGGTCTTAACTCTAATAATTTTATGGCAAATAAAGATATTTACCTCTCTCGACGTTTCGACTAGGTTGCACTAACGTCCTGAGAGGTAAATACCTTTATTTGCCATAAAATTATTCGTGTTAAGACCCGGTTAATAATAGAAATAATGTTACAATTTCTCAAAGTTACAGTATTTTTTATCTACTATCATAATTATGTCAAAATGTTAAGTATGTCATGTCTATTATTTCAATACAAATATGAATAGATAGTAAGTTGAACGTTACACGTATTATTTAAATAATTTATTATATTAATTTCGCTTCCTATAATTACTAAAAAGTATTTGAACGGCAGTTGTGTACTTAATTTGTAGGTATTATAGTTTTGTAAGTTGCACTTTATCATTGTAGTGACTGCGTGGGGGCAATATGGCGCTCCTTAAAATTTGTATTAAAAATCGTATGTACTGTAATAATAACTGAAAAAAATTTGCAGGCTGGAATTGTATATTTGTCTTCCATTCCCGCCCCAATTGGTCCGAGATAGTTTTATAAAGTCGGTTAGAAAGTAACCGAGTTTATAGATTACCTGTATGTTTTCATTCTGGCTGCTTAAGGAATGAAATGATTATAGTCTTTACATTTGATTTAGTTATAAAAATATCAGCCAACCCTAAATAAAATAGGTCTTTACTCTATAACTTTACATGTACCTATTAGATATGTTTTGTCTATGGAACTGATTTAATAAATAATCTTAGCATATTTAATTCTTATATTTTTATCAAAATCACTTCTTTATAATAAGGCAAGTATATAAAGAATAATATAGATATTTACCTATTATAGAAGTTATTGAATTTTTCCTAAGAAGCAATCTGAAAATGTAAATTTTATGGACTGCGTGATTAATGAACCTAGTATTATTATTTATTAACTTTAAAAACCTTTCAATGTACCTAATTGTTTGCATACTTATTGCAATAAAAGACATGCCAAGATTGTTTGTTAAATAAGAAAAAAATATAAATATATCCATTTATCTACTTGTATTTTTATAACTACTTACCTATAAGTATTCATATATATATATATATATATATATTACACAGGAAACGGTTTGTGCCAAAAATATGATGTATTGTATATTATGGCTGTATGTTGGCCCTCTGACTTATTTTTGCAGACAGTTGCAGAAAGGGTACAATAGGAGAATATAGTTATATCATAATAATGAAGATTTCAATTTTATCTAATAACCAACTAAAATCCATGGTAATAGAATTTCTCCAAGGAACATTTAAATTCATGTTACTAAATATACGTTGCTAACAAGCGAAATTTCTATATATATAAGATTCAAAAAAATTATTTTGTTTAAGACAAAAAATTGGATCATGTGTGTTCATAGTTAAATTCACATTTAATTTAATATATAATAAAAAAATATTATATAAAGTTCGACTGCATTTAAATCTAGTCGAACTTTTCATTACAGAAATAGGATTTTATAAAAAAAACCCTAAAACTAGTGATAATATTCAGTATTATCTTTAGTTTTTTTTGTATAAAATTCTAAGTACGACATACCTTTGTCTAGACTCGGAGACTTCTCAACTTTTCTACTATATTTTGTTCATGTATGATTTTTTAAACAATTTGTCAGTATCCCATAGAACGGCACCACGCATGTTAAATTGTACCCTACCTAAGGAAAGTTACCCTTTTTGTATTACTGTCTGTAATTGTAGAGAATTGAAATATAACAATTTTTATTAATGTATTGAATCTTTCCATATCATATTTCATATCCCACTCGTAGAGCTACTATCCTATGTATTTCGAAGGTAGTTAGCAGAACTGTTCTTCCTAAGATCTCTTTTTATCTATTTACTGGCCTAAAAACATGTTTTCTAGGAAAATAATGTACACAATTAGATATGTAATTTTGGAGTAATAAAGTATTATGAAAAAATTGTACTTGTTAATCCCGATTCACAACTCTTATTTCCTACTGCATAAGACGCGACATGTGATGTTACGGCTGCCATAGCTCATGGTATAATACAACAGAATCTTAGTCTCTAGCTAGTACAGCCCTAAACTGACCTTTCACGATGTGTCCTAGATTAAAATTTTCTAGTTTGTAGAGTATAAAAAAAAACAACTTACTATACCAAAAATATATTTCATACAAATTCACAATAGTAAAGTAATATCCATTAATTAATATTAAAGCCGTAAATACATTAAAATATAAGACATTCAGACAGTCTTTAATTTACATTCTTATAATTAAATTCTATCGCCAAAACAATACGGATAAATCCAGTACCCGCATTGTGGCTGTAAATAATTCTTATAATAGAATATTATAAAATAAACTATTATTAATATAGTTAAACGGGTTTTAACACGAATAATTTTATGGTAAATAAAGGTATTTACCTCTCTCAATCACCTTGTGATACGGCGAGTGCAACATTCAAATTCATATTACGAGAGAATCGTTTTGGATTCAGTTTTTTTATGACTCTATAGTCAATTCTCCTTGGACATACAACTACAACCGACAACGTAGTCCAAACGTCGAGAGGTAAATAAATTATTTGTGTTATAAACCCGTTTAGCTACATTAATAATATGTACTAAACGCGAAAGTTTAAATATAAAGACTATTTATTGTTTGTTAGCTTTTTCCGATATGCCGGATTTCCCTTCGGGTGTGGTTTTGAGGACGGTAGCTGTGGGGGGCGCGGTGGGCTGCGAGGCGGGGGGCGAGGTCGTCACGGGCGTGGGCTCGGCGATGTTTTGCGTCTCTTTCTCCTCTTGTTCCTTCTCTTTCTCGTGCTGTTGATTCGTGACATTGGCGAGGTGTAAAGCAGCCAGTAACGCCGCAATGTAACGACGTACATCAAACTCTATACCTGTAACAAGTATAAAACCTTTATGGTATACCATTGACTGATAATTATTTAATTATAAATATTGACGGCTGCGGTGGTCTAGCGATTTAGCATACCGCTTTACTTCCGATGGTCGCGGGTTCGATTCTTCGCACAGTACAAATATGTATTAATGAGTCTAGTTAGTTCTAGTTTTCTATGAATATTATTGTAAATACACACATTTACAAAAAAAATATGTATCTGTGTATTTATATCAGTGATCTAGTACCCACCACATGCTCTGCGCCAAGCTCTGCTTATCATGGGATTAGGTGGCCTTGTGTGAATTGTCATGAGATATTACTGTTATTATTTGCAGTATTTTTTTATTATATTTTTCTATCCGCAATCAGCCGTTCCAGCTATAAACAAATTCTGTGTTTTTTTTGCGCATTAGGAGAATAATTTTACTAAAAATTTACGAGTATGTTGCTTACCCGAGTTTCTGAGTTCATTGATCTTGTACGCGAGGTTGGCCCACACTCTCCTGGCCGCTACCGCGCTTAGTCGGCCGACAGTCTGCACCGTATGCAGTGCCGGATCATTGCTGGCCAATACTATTTCATCTGTAAACAAAATACCATATAATGTGTATGCTGAACATGACTAGACTTGTCGACTCATTTACTACCCTAAATTAAGAGGCTAATGGGGATGAACTAAGGACCCCTTGCTAGCAAAATACCATGTCAACTAGAACTCCACGAGGTTCCCCCTGGAAACCATCGTGATAAGTTTCTGATGAATTTGTCACGATCAGTCGATCCGAACTGACCTGATCTCGTGCTCATTTTATTACGCACCACTGATGCCCCGCCACTGTACACCTGTAGTGCAGGCGAGTTCACCATATCATTATCAGTCAATAAAAAAGTCTCATAGACGAAAGGTCCGTGAGTTAAAAACTTATACAGTTAGTCAAATATATATATTTAACTAACTCGCCGGTAATGGAAATACCTATAACAAATCATAAAAATATACTGCGTGATTGGGCATACCAAGTGTGCTATCATAACGTGGACAATAGCCAATTCTGACTATCCCCATTCCTCATTAAAATCTATATTCAGATATTTGTGACAATTTCATGGTGAATTCACCACGATGGGCTAACTGACTTGACCTCATGCTCATCTTATCGTCCTCTACTGGTGTCCCGTCAGCGTAAACCCAAAACGCAGGCGGGTGCATCACTCTATTATCATTCAAAAAGTAAAATATAAATGCAAGTTGGACTACTGTTATCCGCAATCAGCATCTCATCTGCGCCGTTGTACATATAGAGCCGAGCCAAGCTCCTCCCAGAAGCGTGACTACTACGCTTCTGGTGGCTTAACGAAGCGACCTCATCGTTCCGAGGATTTGTGTTCGTTATATGGCTATACATTATCATCTATAAGATACTTGTGTTTGTAAAGTAGGAGACACTTACTGGTAGGCTCAGGCTGGGGGCCGACAGGCGGCAGGTAGTGGTCGAGGAGTTGCATGACGTACATGGCGCCGGTGTCCACGCTGTGTAGTGCCTTCTGTCCGTATGCGGTAGACAGCAGCGCATTAGCCTTTGTCCAGGAGAGCTCCTTTAGTGATTTCACGCGTTGCTCGGCAGCATTACGAGCTCCGCACACCTACAACAATCATAGAAAACATTATAGACTATTACTAAGTACCAGTAATAATCTTATTAATATTATAAATGCGAAAAATTGTGCGTATCTCACGCACCTCTCACGTAAAATCTACAGAGCAGATTTTGATGAGACTCTACAGTAATATAGCTTATACATCAGAATGACATATACTATATATTTCACTGAGGTGAAACCGCGGGCACAGCCAGTAAATGTTAAGGAAGAGAGATGGTTGTAGACGTTTATAGACGCAGCCACAGCGCGCAGTGACAGAACTGATATATAAAACAAATGTATAAAAGGAATTCTCATATTTTAAATATGGATAAACGAATATACAAAACTACCAGGGACTCGTTATCGGTCTACCATAAATGGATTGTATTTTTTTATTATGGCTTGGCACAAAGTGCATTTGCCAAAGTTTGGAAACGGCAGGTTGGGTAGAAAAGGAATTAAATGGACCAGGTAAATTAGGATATTTATTTAATATTTATACGTATTTAATTATCCAGGGTTACATTCGAAGTCAAAGCCGATTTATCAACATTTCAGCAATAAGTAAATATCTACTGGAATGCAATTTTCGTTATTCATTTTTTGCATACGAGTCATAATGAAATCATATACCTAGATATGTGATAAATGTATTAATTTCCTTGTCATAAGTGATAAATTTATCAGTCTTTATCAGTATGGAATATTTTTTAGTTTAAACCAACTTTAAAATAGGACAATTTCGTATTCGATTGCCCTTTAATTATTTCTGTATCGACTGTCTATATTAGTTGCCCTATCCTATGACAGGCTCGGTCGTCTAGCGGTTTATTTCCGATGGTCGCGGGTTCGATTCATCGCACGGCACAAAATTTGTATTCAAGAGTATGATTGTTTGTATATGTACGTAGTTACGAAAAAAATCTATGCATAATATTTGTATCAGTTGTCTAGTACCCATAAGCTTTAGCTAGCTTAACTTGGGTCTAGATGACGCTGTGTGAATTATTCTGAGATTATTATTATACTATGGACATCATTTTATCGAGTTTCATTAGTCATTATAGAAAATTTACCTATTATATTGGCACGTTTTGAATAGAAAGCCCTGGGACATGGTCTTAAGTCGATATATTCCAATTTCGTACGCTATTTGATGATTCTTTTTGCAATCAATATTTACTAACTACCTACTTACACTACTACCATAGAATCTTCCTAGCAATAAACGCTGGGGTTTTTTTGGTACAAAGAAATATATAATAATAATAATTTATTATTCAGACGATTTAGTGATAGCCGGCGAGCGATCTTTAGATAACATAATATGCATTAGATAAAATAAAGAATTTGTGTGAAGGTGAACAAAAAACATTTTAACATCAAGGCTCGTTATAAATAATGCGATAAAAACTTTAACACATAAGCAATTTGCGTTAATATTTCACACGTAGGTATACAATATTTCACAGCACCGAAATTATCAAATTATATTTTTTTATTTTGGTATCGAAACTTACGATTCAGTTGTGTGTATTGATTTCATATGCGTGAAAATTATTTAATTCTTAAAATGCATATAGTCGACGGCCTCTGTAGTTTAACAATTAAGCACACCGCTTTACTTTCGATGGTCGCGGATTCGATCTCTCGCATGGTTCCAACATTTGTATTCATGAGTATGATTGTTTGTATCGGTCTGGGTGTTTTCTATGTATAATATGTATTTACAAAAAAATATCTAAGTACCTATATTTATATCAGTTGTATAGTACCCATAACATAAGCTCTGTTCACTGTGTCCGTGGGACTAGATTATGGCAAGGTTACTTATATATATGATAGTTATTTATTTAATTCTTATATTAGTGATTACATTATACATGTAAACCTTCATTAGGAATGAGTGTGTGATATTATATAATGATAGAATAACAGACCCAACCATATCATACAATCCACAACCATAAAACAAATCTTGGATCTTTTAAACAACGCAACAGATTTTAATGCAGTTTTTAGTATCAGATAGAGTTATTCAAGAGGAAGATTTACATGTACACCCGGCGAAATTGGGGTGTGTAGGTAATATAATGATAAAATGAGCATGAAGTGAGATCAGTTAGCACATGTAGGCAAATGGCAAGTGCACAACCACGATTGTTTCCAGGGGAAGCCGCGTGGAGTTCAACCTGACATGTTATATTGCTAGCAAACTAGCAAAATTAGCCCTCATGACTAACAACCCCCTTCCCCCTGTAAGAATTTATTAAATATGTGGAATGATATCGAATATTACCCACACACACAATATCGCAAAATTCGCTACAATAATATTGTGGATATATTGTTCTTTTAATTTTCAGTATAAACGCAGTATTTTAATTAATAATTACGATGCAAATTATGCAAGATTTGATGCACGAATGTAGAAGGAAGCAATGCTAATTGATACTAATGAATACGTTGCAATTTATTCTTTATTTATTGTTTCGATGCAAATATGAACCGATTATAAAAGAAATTAATTTTAAAGTTTCTTTCAGCGTTGAAGTATACATTTCTTTCTATACTATTTATACATTTTGTATTTCATAAGTTTACTGTATAATCATTTAATATTCAGACTACTCAAGTTACAACGTTTCAAGTTACATAATGTAAGCACTTGCACTAAGCACTGCATAATGAAAGCATTTCAATTGCTAATTAACAAAAACCTCAAATTTGATTTAAAAACTGACCACAGGACTGTGACGATATCTCCTATACCTCGAAAATACAATATTTTATATAACACTAGCTGCGCACCCGAGACTTCGTGCGCGTGGAATTTAACTTTATTTTTCTAAAATAAAAGTAGCCTAAGTTACTCCTTAGTACATCAGCTACCTGGTAATAAAAATCCCGTCAAAATCGATTCAGCCATTTCAGAGATTAGCCGAAACAAACATACAGACAGACAAAAATTGTAAAAAATCTTATTTTGTTATATATACCGTATTTATATTTATATGCATATATATAGTAAAAAACGGTTACTTTAATGTTACAGAAAAATCTTTTAATTTAGAAAATAAAGTTAAATTCCACGCGGACGAAGTCGCGGGTACGGTTAGTAGTTACATAAAACTTAATTAAAAAAAAACTAAATCTACAAAAACCTTTACCATAGTTGTACAAACGACATGTGTTCTTTTTTAAATAAAAGATAACATATGACCTAGTGTTCTACCCTCAAACAATTTATATTCAAGTATTGTATTTCAATTTACCTATATACACGTATGTGTGTATGTGAAACAAAAGGTAACAAATTTACGACCCCTTACAATTAACTCTGTAGTATCATGAAAGTTTAAAATATCTTACAATGTCATATAAACAAAAAAATCCACAATTAGATAAGCAGAATTATATAGATTCCGGTTCATTGCTCAGTTGTCGTAAACAAGCGCCTACCATACAATCTTATCAGTTGGTCATGAGTTTACATCCTGCTTGATTTGCCGCCACGGTGGCATGTAGAACAATTATTTGACATTATAACCTGTCCTAAAATATACGATAACAATTTTGTACATAATATATAATCCTATATATAAAATTCTCGTGTCACAATGTTAGTTACCATACTCCTCTGAAAGGGCTTGACCGATTTTTAGGAAATAGGACTCAGTAGGTCTGAGAATCGGCTACTATTTATTTTTCATACGCCTAAGTGATAAGGGTTGTCCACCCCTAACATTACTTTTTTATTTTTTGGAAAAAATTTTTTATTTATATTTTTTTATTATGTGTCATTAAAAATAAATACAACTCTAAATTTTCACCCTTCTATCACCAACCCCTATTTTTATTGCGTTATTAATTTATATGGCAAAACAACGTTTGCCGGGACAGCTAGTATTTATATAAATCAAATAAAAAATCATTTATTCAAGTAAGACATTTTCGCCGCTTATGAACGTCAAATCAATTGCAGTTCTATAGTCTCGCGAAAGATAGGGGTAGGCGGTGTCTCTGGAAAAAACGTTTTTGTTGCAGTTGAGAGGGGAAGGGAGCTGTGGTATATATCACTGAAAATGTCAAATCTATTTGAGTGTTTAATTCGTTAAGAGTTTGTGTGAATTGGTTGAAATACCCACGATAGTCGAGGTTGGTCGCTAATCTTATATATAAAATTCTCGTGTCAGGTTTCGTTCCCATACTCCTCCGAAACGGCTTGACCGATTCTCATGAAATTTTGTGAGCGTATTGAGTAAGTCTGAGAATCGGCCAACATCTATTTTTTATCCCCCTAAATGTTAGGAGTAGTCCACCCCTTATTTTTAATTATTTTAAGGCAAAACAACGTTTGCCGGGACAGCTAGTATTTAATAAAATTCCCTCAATGTATCCTCTGAATTAAAATACAGAGTATTGTGGTTATTGATTCCAACCCATTGTGACTCCCTGTAGAGGATTATTAGTAACGTGTACGGATAATCCTATTGTTAGCAATGTACCATATCAGATTGACCTCCACGCGGTTCCCCCTGGAAACCATCATGATAAATAACACGAATTTGCCACGATGGGATAACTGATATGACCTCATGCTCGTATTATCAACCTCCGCTGGTGGCCCGCCAGCGCAAACCGTTAACACAGGCTGGTGCACCGTTTCATTATCATCATTTAAAAAACTTATTGTGCTTTGTGATAATGTAACAGTCGCGTCGCGTCAAGTGGCTCGCATCCTGCTTATGCGAACTTTGAACCGAACGTAATGCAAGCAATATTCTGAACGTTCTATTCACACAATACCTTGTATGTATTACAATGTATGACACATCTATGTATACCTCATATTGCATCATTTTATTATATCTTACATGATTTACTATTTATATATAGATATGAATTCACACAGCGCCATCTAGACCCAAGTTAAGCCAGCTAAAGCCTGTGTTATGGGTACTAGATAAATATGTCTAGTACCCACAACACTTGATGAGAGATATCATAACGAAGGGTCTCCACAATTTCACCCTCTTAAATTTTATAGCCAGCGGTGAAGCGTTTAAAGGACAGGCTGCGCTGTTGTCCATAGTACATCAGCTCCTTGAATTCCATGTCCAACAGTGGACTTTAATGATAATACGTAGAATTACCCAGACCGATACAAAAAACAATACTCATGAATATAAAAGTTTGTGCCTTGCGAGGAATCGAACCCGCGACTATCGGAAGTAAGGCGGTGTGCTAAACCGTTATGCCACTGAGGCCGTCAAATAATACAAAAATTACCTTAGTTACATGTGGTGAGATTCTTGACAAAACAGCCTGTTTGGTTGTCTCCACGATGACCTTAGGCTCCTCGGTGACGAGTGGGACCCGGCGCTCCAGTTCATCAATGGCGTAGGCGATCTTCGCGTCTCCAAAGGCTATTGGGGTCGCCAACAGTGGAGCTGCTCTGGTGGCCGCCAGGGTCATGCTGGCTTCTGCTGTTGATAGCGCCCAGTCGAGGAGGGAATGTGCACCTAATGACCAAAGATAGATATATAAAATAATCTTTATTCAGATAAACTTAATATATATATAAATATACCAGTGTAGATATACGTAGTAGACCATAAGAGCACATGTTATATGCAATGATGGTTAAATGTTAAATACATTGCATTCCATACCTTAATCATATATTATAGTTAATTATTAACAGGATACAGTTACTGCAATCATGAATAACAGGAAACAACTCATTATGTGCTCTGAAGGTTAACAAGTCAGTAAACTTTAGCTAACCTATGGGTTAATAGATTACTATTGGGTTATATATATGTAGAAATAGGAGGGTAGGTGAATATTTGTAAGAAAATGTGATTTCAAATAGGTCAAAATTCTTAATTTTTTAATAGTAAGTCCATCAAGATATGGTTGAATACTATTTTAGAATAGAATAGAATAGAATAGAATAGAAAATCATTTATTCAAATAAACTTACATTGAAGCACTTTTGAATAGTCATAACATTTTTTTTTTTTAATACATTGCATTCCATACCTTAATCATATATTATAGTTAATGCTGTCTCATCACAAGAAGAACAAGCAAGAAACTTGCGTGTTGCTCTTTTAAATAATTTTATTATTACTTTATATTTAAGTTTAAGTGTGTGAATACAAACCACCGATTAGCACTAATTCAATTAAATACTTTAAAGTAAAAAAAATATGGTTGAATACTCATTAAATTGAACCATGTTTAGCAAGAAATAAAGTGGAAATATGAAAATACTTTTTTATTATTATACACTAGCTGTGCCTGCAGTTTCACCCACATAAAATTTATAGCCCATATGTTATTCTAATGTATAAGATATATTACTGTAGTTTCATCAAAATCCGTTTATTAGTTTTTGCGTGAAAGAGTAACAAACATCCATCCATACTCACAAACTTTTGCTTTAATAATATTAATAAGATTGCACTATTTACATCATCTGTCCAATACTTCAGTACTAAGAATGCCGGCTAATTACCAAGTAACTCACTGTTTTAGATAACCTGGAAGAGATCTCTTTCAGACAAGACCCTTGCTCACATTCTTTTCATTGTTCATGTGCTATTACTAAGTTACAAGTGCAATAAAGTACATATATCATCAGTTAAATAGAAAACCATTAAACTATTAAACCATTTACAAGTAACCCTGTATGTATTAAACTACTTTGACAGACAGTTTTGATGTTATGATATGGTGCTTAAAAAAGGGTGAACACAATAGATCAATGTAGGTTGAAGTGCTACAGGAATGAGCACCTGACAATAGCCCAAACCAACTAATAAAAAACAATAGTGCTTAAAGGTAATTTTCAGAATAAATGGCAAGTCTCCTAGTGCTAAATAACATAAGTTATTGTTGATATGAGTACACAATGATACTTGAGTGTGAAATAAAGATATAAATGATATTCTCACCTTTGACTTTAGTATATAGGACTCCGAACTGATCAACAGCTGCCCCAATTGTCGGTAAGGCCATAGCCTTTTGTAAGGACTGCAACTGTGGCATGGCTGCTGCAGGATTGGAATTCACTTCTGTCGCCATCTAAATAAAAAAAAAATGATAACATTATGAAATAACTATAAAACAATGGTATCACTAAACACAAATATTTCATTTCACTTAAAAAGAACCATAAATCACAACTAAAAAAAATGAAGAAAATATTTTATTACAATTCAATATTATACATATATATATAGCCAATCAGTACTAGAAACATCCTAAAACATGCAGTATTTTTTTTTTATAATTTTAGACACAAAAATGTGGGTAGTTAGTTAAAAAAATGATAGTACAAGTTTAGATTGTTCCAGATAAAAAAATTGCTCAATTGATAATTACTTATTTGTGATAAAGGTAATTATTAGAAAGGACAAAGGACGACAAGTGACTCGTAATAAATAAATTCATAGTCGAATACTAAATTATTAAACTTTACATACACACCTTGTAATAATTAATAGTTTCAGACTTCAAATACGAATAATAATTAAATTATAAAGATGATTTGAAAGTTCTTTAAATTGTGATCAATCAATCGTGAACAATTATATCAGAAAAAAAAACGATATAAATTACACTGTATTACGTTTGAAATCAAATATGGAACTGACTTGTCGGACGATGTGAACGTCGTCTATATAGTATAGAGATTAGATAATTAGGTTGGTAGCACTTGGTAGCGCCGCGCCGAGAAACTGTTTTGGAATTGACCCACGTTATTACGATTTTGTGACTCACTGTATGAAACCAACAGCTAAATAATTACCTAAGCAATGTTGTTGGACTTTGGTCTTTGATCGATTCGAGTTCGACGACGAATTCACTGACGTAATGCAAGTAATTCAGATAAATATGTAGACAATAGTGTACTTGCAAACATAAATAAGAAAAAACTAGTATTTTTCAGACTATAGAAGTACAAATTACTATATAAAGCAATTGTTATTATAGTTTTAAAACATTTTTCTTGACAGTGTTACCAGGATGTAGTACCCTTTATTTTATTTATAATAAAAACTTTATTTAAGATATGAAATATTAATTCAATTACAGCAGGATTAACTAATTTAATTCCTATTTACTTAGGGCCTTATTATTTCCCTAATAGTCTATTTTGCCAATTTAGCCCCTTAAACAAGGACCCTAATTCGAAAAGATATTTACCTATGATGTAGTACCTCCTTTCACCATCATCAATAATAAAAATAATCCTGGACAATTTACACAAGGCTGTCTAGTCCCAAGCTAAGCAAAGCTTACTATGGGTTCCAAACAACTGATAGAAATAGGTAGGTTTATTTTTTTGCTAATGCAACATATTATAAGGACATAAAGTAAAATACATAAAATAATACAGCATGAATACAAATATGTGTATCAGCAGGATACAAATTTCAGAATCGAATCCAAGACGAATGGAAGTACGGCGATAAACTTTAGTTTTTTTTTGTAGGATGAATATAAAATGGCGTACTAGAGGCACAGACGGGTGTCTGTGCCTCTAGTAGAAGATAGACTGAAAGGCGGAGTTGGGCATGTTAGACTCTTCAGAAATCATATTATACTTTGTAATTTACCCTGAGTATAATATGAAGTTAATGTCAAATAATGTGAACACAGTTACAGTACCTACACTTGAATACAATTTACAAAGCAAAGAGAATGTCCATGGAGACAGACGACTTTATACAAACTCTATTTGGTGAAAGTAGACTTTATCTTCACTTTACTGACCTTTGAAAATGTGTATTATATTTTAGTATAGTTTATAACCCTTTTAGGCTTTGAGGCAAAATAAAATTAAAACTTGACAACACTGTATGGTGAGTGTTTCCAACACATAAATATAAATTTGTTTATTCGTCTTTAAGCAGCTGTTATCGAATATTAATTGTTATTTATAGGATGTGATAATTAGTTATCTATGTGTGAGGTAATAACGCGTGATATACACAAAAACATTTTCTCAAATGATTCCTAAGATTAGATCAAGTAATGCTATAAAATCAGACCATTATTATTATAGTTAGACCGGAAGTTTGTTATTGAAAAGTTATTGATTATTTATTAAATTTTTCTATTTTAGAAACATTATTCTATTTTTCCTCTCAAGTTTACATACTCAGATCTTTATGGGCTGTAATTATTTCAGATTTCTGCTTTAAAACAAATAGATTATTTTAACTCCGGTGGTCCAGCGGCTTAGCACACGTCTTACTTCCGATGGTTGCGGGTTTGATTCCTCTGAAGGTACAAAAATTTGTATACATAAGTATGATTGCTTGTCTGGGTGTTTTCTATGTACAATATGTATGTATTTACAAAAAAAACAATGTATTGTTTTTTACTACCCATAACACAAGCACTGCGTACCTTAGGACTAGATGGTGCTGTGTGAATTGTAGTGAGATATTATTATAATTTTCCGTCATAGTTAAAAAATATATTTTGAAAATACCTATAAAACTCGTTCAATACTTCAACACTGTGTCGGTACCTATTTATTTTCGATATATGTATGTATATATTTTTTTCTTTAATGGTATATTTTTAGCCACTTCCGACATACATAATATAATAAGAAACCAGAAACCAAACCAACCGAGTCATTCTCGTGAATACAAATATTATTATTGTGTGGACTTCAAACCTTCAATAATCGTGATATATTACACCACTACACCTTGATGGTGTGGTGTGTATAAAAATATAAAAATACATAGCAAAATTATAATTATGACTACTTCATTCTCACTTATGACAACAAATATTTGTAATTGTGAAGCAGAAATGCCACAAATATATTTTGGTTGGTCGCCAAATGCCACACGCCAAGCCAATGACGAACATCGATCGCATAATTTGTGGAGCGAGGCCAACATACTCATAAACAAACATTGGACAGGCGGCCGCGTCTGATTGGTCGTCGAGCTCAGTAGCGCCGGTTTTTTAGCGGCGTTCACACGTAACATATGTTTTCATTTCACCAATATTGCAATTCTCAGCACAATAATGTCGTGGAGCAATGATGTTGTGTTAGAATTTTTAGATCTCTATAGAAGAGAACAACTTTTATGGGACCCCAAACATCCATTGCACAGGAATAGAAGTGAGGTGACGAATGCGTGGCTCAGAATACAGACGTCTCTCAGTATAAATTGCTCGATCGTCGACCTTAAAAAGAAAAAAGAATCTTTAATGACCTCATTCAGAATGCATTTTAATAAGAAAAAGAGATCACAGGAAGACTATAGTACGACTTGGTTTGCTTATTCTATGATGGAAAGTTTTCTTGGCGGCAAATATGAATGCGATAGCACTAATCAAATGGAACAAGAGGTAAGAATATTGCGGAATCTTATTAGATACCTATAAGAAACAATACCTAAGTACGTAATTTGTTACATATATTATATTATTTTGTAGAATATATTCAACATTCAGTTTTTAGAATAACTATTATGACAAACTTGGCTGACAATAATAGTATTTTCATTTAATTTTAGACATAGACACCTACATAATTACACAATATAAATAGATTGGCTTTTAAAAAAAAGATTTTTAGTAGTGTTTTCGCACGGTAGGGAAAATGTTCTACGTGAATTATTTTTGATTTGAACTAACATTGGTTCAAATATACTATGTTGATGGCAAATGCGTGTTCAAGTGTGTTTGTTTCTTGTATAGACATTGGACTATTGGTTGGCCTTGTGCATTATGGCGCAAACTCAGTCGACAAATATTCGATAAAGCTTACAAGGGCTATTGGTCATGATTCTTAACCGGATTCCCCATTACGTGTTATGGCGTGAGGTTCTAATAAGATTAGTCCACAGATAAGATAAATTTTATGTCTGTGCAGTTGGATTTAGTGTTATATTTATTATGTCCTAATACTTATAACCTTATTTATTATCCCTTAATTAACGTATAAATAACAGATTATGCAATTTAATGATTACATTATTATAGGTTTTGCCGGTTTTAGTCAAATGCAAAAAAAATGCACGTGAATTAAAAAGAACATTAGTAAGTCTATAACTCTGTATGTATGCATAATATCTATACGTAAATGGATACCTATATGATAATCCGGCAAATTACTTAGCGTTATATGTAATACGCACTTACTTAAATGCATTAGATATGCCTATAAATAAGTAGGTAGGTAGTTATAGTTATATGCCTTCCTATTCGTTTAATTTCGGAATACGATTAATCTAAAATATCTTTCAATTACTAGATACTTAGATACTTTCAATTAATAATTATGAGTGCGTAATATAGACTACATAGATTTATTATTAATAAATAAAAACTATTCTTTTTTGAAGTTGGTAATCAAGGCATAATCCATACCTACATATTAAGAAACTCGCTTAGAATTTTAGTTCTGATTCTTCTTCTTCTGTATGGCCACAGATAACATAATATTACATAGTATGACTTTCACCAGATGAGGTACAACGTTAGGTAGATTATTACACATATATGATATTTTACATACTTATCTACTACTTATGTTGACATTTAACAATGACATTCGTTTCTATTTCAACATAGACTAAATTATATATTAACAATTATGAAATTTATATATCACTAGCTGTACCAGCAACTTCGTCCTCGTGGAATTTAACTTTATTCTTCTAAAATAAAAGTAGCCTAAGTTACTCCTTATTATATCAGCTACCTGTCAAAAAAAGTCCCGTCAAAATCAGTCCAGCCATTTCAGAGTTTAGCTGGAACAAACAGACAGACAAAAATTGGAAAAAATGTTATTTTGGTGTATGTACCGTATTTATTCATATGCATGTAGTAAAAAACGGTTATTTCATTATTACAAACAGACACTCCAATTTTATTTTATATGTATAGATTACAATGTCCATACCGTATAAAAAGTAGCACTTATAAAATAGTTACGTTTGTAATTTAATACAATTTGTATTGGTGTTGTACCGTATTTATCTAATACTAATAAAATACTACATACTGCCAGTACTCGTTGCAATTATGTAGTATCTAATATTAATTTTAATGTATTTTTTTTATTTCAGTTTTACGGAAACGTTACATATTCACCAAATACTAACACACAGCAGCCCGTGATCGACATCTCTGGTCGAACTATACAAGTGGTCGAACGACCCACTCTCGTTACCAGGCAGAACAAAGCACAAGCGAGCACGCCAATCTCAAAAAGCACGAATCACTCCAATTTAGTATTCGCGAAGAAACAAGAAGAACCGACGGGTCATATGAGGAATTCACCAGGCGATAAGAGAGAGATGGACGAGTATGAACTTTATGGACAGCTGCTGGCAAAAAAATTAAGAAAACTAGATGAACACCAGCGAGATGTGGCCATGCATGATATTGATAATATAATGTTTCGCGCCAAAATGCAGAGCAGTTCGTCACAGTCTAGAAGTTACTCTTCTTCACCTTCCCCTGTGCAGAGGAAGGTGAAATCCCCTATATTTATAGTGGCACAGCAGTCCCACTCGCAGTATGAGGACGAAAATACTCCGTATCAGGACCATATGCAGCCTCCTTCCTAATGCCGGCTTTCTGCTTTATGGCAGTACAGGATTCTACCATAATGGTTAAGGTAGTCATGATATGGCGCCGCAAATGGTCTTTTCCAGGGTATAGATAGAAATACGCGAAGCGCGCATTTCAAATAATATAATTACTAACCCAGGACAATTCACTCAGCGCCATCTAGTCCCAAACTAAGCAGAGTTGTGTATTATCTATATATTTTTTATTTGTAATATTAATCTTTTCATTGCTTGATGTCAATTAACGAGATTTTACAAATTGCATTAAAATCCATTCAGCCATTAAGTCGTGGAAAATTAAAATACATACACACTTTAAAAAAAATACTCATTTATAGATCACAAGCTGTTACACAATGTATAATGGTATGGACGATGCACACTAAACGTTCTTCTCGTATTTGTTTTTTTTATTTATCCACGGAATATTATTGATATAAGGAGATCCGCAGAAGAACCAGAGTGACAGACATAGCCCGAAGAATTGCAAAACTGAAGTGGCAATGGGCAGAGCACATAGCTCGTAGGACAGATAGCCGTTGGGACAGTAAAGTCCTCAAGTGGCGACCGCGGACCGGAAGACGCATCGTGGGAAGGCCTCCAGCAAGGTGGACCGACGATTTGGTCAAGATCGCTGGAAGGCATTGGATGCGAGCGGCGCAGGACCTATCGTCGTGGAGATCTTTGGGGGAGGCCTTTGTTCAGCAGTGGACGTCTTCCGGGCTGAGATGATGATGATTAATATAAAATATAGCCTATTTCTGTCTTCAGTAAACAGTCGTATTCCTATCATGTGAAATTTCACTTCAGACAGATTCATTCAGCCGTTTCGGCATGAAAAGATAACAAACAGACAGATATGCCTTTTATCATTTACTAGCTAACAGCCCCGGCTGCATTATGGATATTCCATATAAACCTTCCTCTTGAATCATTCTATCTAATGCTAAAATCAATACGCAAACAGACAGCACAAGCGGTCATTTCATGCTATGTAAAGATAGTAGACACGGATGTGTAAATGTTTCTACATAAACATTACAAAATATTACGAGATATTCGACACGTAACATAACATACTAGTAAGATCGAGACAGAACGGTGATTCATAATCCTAAAAAATATTGATAAGTAGGAATGTTATCATTGTACTTTGTACTGGCCGTTTATGTCTGTCTATACAATAGAGACTATTCCCATTCCATTATTTATATCTAGTACTAGTACACTAAATAGAAATAATATTTTTTCAAATAAACCTAATATAAGTACTTTTGAATAGTCATATATAAAATCTTGATTTTACGGCTCATACTGAAAGCCTTATCCCAAGAAAAACGTACATAAAACTTGCATGTTACTTTTTAAATAAATATTGTTCAGCATTAGATTTTTAAGATTTTGTGTGAATATATACTGACAAATACCAAGATAGACAAACATAATTACGGAAAAATAATACGGATACAGCTGGGCTGGGCAGCTTTTTGAAAACTTCGTCAAGTCTGTCTTCTCGTTGTCGCTTCCATAAAGCTTTAAAACAAATGTATACTTATATATAATCGGTGCGTCCTACCCGTTATGACTTACGGTGGCGAAACGTGGACACTGGGGATACGACTGGTCCACCAACTCAAAGTCGCTCAACGAGCTATGGAATGAGCTATACTTGGAGTTTCTTTGAGGGATAAAATCCAAAACGAAGTAATCCGCCAGAGAATTAAGGTCACCGACATCTGTAAGAGAAAGGCTGAAGATCTTGCCCAGGGAGAGAACTATGTCTGAACATAGGACTGTTCACTGCTTGTGGTGAACTGCAGTGTCCTGATAATGCGGATGACAAAAATAAATAAATATAATAGACTTGAGTAACAAAATGTCATCTGTGTGTAGTGTCTGTCTGTTTGTTTTTACCAATACACAAAATTAAAAAAAGGAATATGTGCTCGGACACATAGTAGAAGGAAAAGTCAACGCGCGAGTGGAAAAACGAATGGCAACAAAAATTTTACTTGATATTTTACGGGCAGATTGTTAATGTACTTGTTCCATTTAAAAACCTATGATAATGAAATAAGTGATAGTTGTATTGACTTATTTTTGTGATCACTTCCACACCTATTTTCTGGGAATCAGCTGTTCAGTTTGACAATTTTCCTCGGTGGTGTCAGATCTCCCATTTTTATGGGAAATCTTCTGATTTTAATGCAATATTAGCCTCCTACTTTTCATAACATTTCAAGAAACTAGATTTTAAAAAATATATCAAATATATAATAATATTTGAAGATACAAAAGAAAGAGAAAACATTATTTATCAAATATGCTAGCTCTCTACTTTTCTATTCTTCATATTTTTTTCTTGTTACGTCTAGGTATTTCTTTAATTTTTGCTGGCAACACTGGTCCTCTATCAATCTATCAGTCCATAAGTCAAGTGGATTCTAATCTTTGATAAACCGTAATTCCCCAATCAAAAGTCAAAACAATAAAGTCACCATTGTTTCAAAGCTAATTTGTTTATTTATATAACAGTAAACAAAGTGTGTAGATATTTCATGTAAATAGATTCAGTTCTATGCGTAGAAAACATGGCTACGATGATTAAGGAAAAGCGTCGAGAGGTACGTATTAAATATACAGTAGATTTGTTTTGTGGCAAATGATTTGTATAACACAGTCTCCTTGTCATTGTCTTTACAGAAAAAGAAAGCAAAGGAGAAAAGTTCTATCAGCCAAGTATTAGAGATAGAAGATCCTCCTATTCCCACTCGGTCATCGTTAGAATTAAATGCAGATATTATGACTGCCGATGCTGCCAGTGAACAACAAACTATTACGACGCCTGCAGTTGAAACTTACAGCACTAAATCTAGTCATGAACATGTCAAAGATACAACTATAACATCACATTCAGTTGAAAATACAACTGAATCTAATAATCAAAAGGAAGTAGTTAAAACAGAACAATTAGAGGTTCAACATTTGAAACCATTGCGGGATGAACATGCGGGGAAAACATTTGAAGATTTGAATTTAAAATTAGAACGAATGTCTATACCAGCTCCTAGTGCTGTACAGACATTAGAAGTAGAACAAACATTAGTATTACCTAATGAATATGTATCAAATGACTCTACCATGGAAATAAAGAGTCAGATTATTGAAGATGACATCGTAGTACCTTCTGCACCTACTTTTGAAATAGAGGAAGTCCCTCAGGCCACATATACACATCCTGTATTAGTCAAGGAAGTACCAGCACCACTAATTGAATATAAAGTCCAGTGTATGCCTCTGGAGCAAGCAGTTTGGATTTATGGTGGGAAAGAGATAGCCGAAGTTAAATCTTTAAGTGAGAGGGAGGAGGCAGCAGTAGAAACTGGACCAGTCAGTGGACCTGAACATCCATTAGTAGATCTACTCTCAACTTTACGGTACATACATTTATCTTAATAATAATTTGATTCTAGCACATGTTTTTCTGTAATTCTAAAGTCAAAGATAAAGATGCCCACCTGATGATAAGTGGTAACTGTCTCTTATATACATGAAGAGCTCTAACAACATCACATTATCATGTGTGTGTTTGGAATAAGATGTCTTGCCTCTTATCCTATATATATTTAACTCCCTTCAACCAAAACACAGCTTACAAAGCAACCTACTTAGCAGCTGAAGTAAGAGAAGCAGAGGTGCCTATGCAGATGACTGCTTACCTCAATCGAAAGTTATATGTAGATGACAGCTTATGAAGTACCTCAGTAGAAAGTTAATTATAATTAGCAAAGAATTTGTGTCCTTTTAAATAGATGTTTTGCTCTTAGAGTAATGTTTGTGAAATCCACATACTTTTGTTTTCCTGTATTTCAAAAGACTGTGTCAAATTAAATAAATTTCAAGCTACATTTATGTATGTATAAACATGTTCTATATTGGCAATAGTGTAATTGTTAATAATTCATTTTTTATATCTGTTATACTTTACATAAATGTATATAAAACTAAATATAACATGTCTAATAATTGTTTTAGATTAAACTCGTAAATCTATAAATCAAATTAATATGTGGAAGATCTATAGATCAAATGAATTCAAATGTCTCAAAATAACATATTTAAAAAAAAATCTATATTGAATTAGAATGACCACTTTTTATAGATATATTTGAATAACCTTACTGACTTTACTCTTTTACACATTGTCAAGTATTTCTGTTTTATTCTATTATTTTTAAAAAAAAAATTATTTGATAATTATTGTCTATATTAAATGGACAGTCAATAATTATAAATAGTTAGTATCCCTTCATATAAATTATTATACACACCAATGCTAGAGCCTCAATAAAAATAAAAGAGCTCAGTTGCAAAACCTAAATAAAAAAGACTAGATTCCTACAAATTTATTTAGTTACTCAACAATAAAGAAAATCTCTTTAAAATCATGTTTCAGACAATCTTACACAGCTCTAGAACGTGATCGAACACAATTGTTCAATGGATTCGCTGAAGAAGAGAAATACAGATCAACACTTTGGAAGATTGAAAAGAAGACTTTACATTTGTCGGAGCAGTGCAAGTGTGGGGCCAGTGTGGACTTTTGGGGCTCATATGAAGATGCTCAGCTGTTGAAGGATAGAATACCTGCTGCTCGAATGAGACTGACAGCTCTCTTGAGAGACATCCAGGAATCATACTGCCATCATCAATATTCGGCTCTTTTAGCTTTTTGCCAGGTATGTAGTTATTCTTTTTAAATTATTTGTGAATAGAGAGACTGTAACTCACTGAGTTAATTCTCTCTCAACAGATTTCTGAAACAAGTCTGCTAAGGACTTGGTGAGCTGATCATAAGATATGGAAAACGTAAAAAAAAGTAATCATGAATAATATTTTTTTATGCAATTTGAATAGTAAACAGGCTGATGATAATAAGTAGATACCAGGGACTATATAAATAAACTGCACTATGTACATTACGATATCATGTTACGCCAGTGATACTGTTTCAGTATTGTTATTCTAAAAGACTAAAATTTTATGCGTCATGCTATAATTTCTCTGACTTATCTTACAATAACACTGAAACATGGCGTTAAGAAATTTGCCTTGTAACATTTATTTCGGACTACTCTAAAGCTGTTGGCCGCAGCTCACCTTTACGGCTTCACTGGACGATAGGGGGCGAGATAAATAGCACTCCAAACCCTCGGAAGGGCTTATGGAGCGGCTGAAGGCCAACTCCCACTTGACGGGGCACCGCTAGGGTTTCGAATAGACGGTTCAGAGGTTCAGACCATCCTAATTTCGATTACTTTGTAGCAGCTGCTTAGCAGCTGAAATAGTTTAGACTTAGGTACCCATGAAGTACGACTTATCAGATAATCTACTATAGTATAAACTGTTACAAATCCAGGCTGACATTTGAAGGCCAAAGTAGAATTAAATTAAAATTACATTCAAATGATGCAAATGACTGTGCAATATGCATTATTATGAGCATTAACTTAGTATTATTATTTTTTGTTTTAGATAGAGGAATTTTTATCTGGAATTATCAAAACAAACAAAAACGAAATACGTGAAGCTCTTACTTTAATACTGCAAGCGTTAAAGTTGAGCGACAATGCACCTCCGGCGCTAGCTAAAGTGTTGCAGCGTTGGGCGACTGCACTCTCCGTTGCACTCGTCGACGGTCGAGATTTGAGGCAGTTGTTATTTCTAATACATCATTTGTTCAGGTCAGTTCATTAACTGTTTATTAAACATGCTTATAATAATAATTAATGTGAAAGTGTCTTTCTGTCTATTTGTTACCTTTTCACAACTAAACCGCTGAATGGATCTAAATGAAATATGAAACGAAGATAAATGGTATTATGATGATGAACATAGATAGCCTATGTTCATTTTCATAATGCCATTTTACCTTTTTTCTTTTAAATTTAATGCTTTTACCCTTTATCTAAAAAAATCGGGTATTGAGTGAAATGGAGGTTAGTGTAGTCAAAGTCGCAGTCAACAGCTAGTATGTTATATAATACAAACAATTTTTAGTACTGAATAATAGTATCGGTCCCATTGTCCTTGTCCTGTTTTATTTATGGGAAGGGTTTAAATTATAAGTAGGTATTATTGTGTAATTTACGACACACCGAACAGTCAACACTTGGCTTCCAAATTTATTTAAAAATAGTCTTCATCCGCGTGGGATTTAACTTTATTTTTTTAAAATAAAAGTAGCCTAAGTTACTCCTTATTACATCAGCTACCTGCCAATAAAAGTCCCATCAAAATCGGCCCAGCCATTTCAGAGATTAGCCGGAACAAACAGACAGACAAAAATGTAAAAAATGTTATTTTGGTGTATGTACCGTATTTATATTCATATGTATGTAGTAAAAAACAGTTATTTCAATATTATAAACAGACACACCAATTTTATTTATATGTATACATTGTATTCAATGCGTCGTTTAGAGGCGAAACACGTTTCGCAATATGAGTGTAGATAGATAAAATTTTATAACTCATAGTGAAGGTCATAACGATTCAAGTACCGGTAGTCAGGCCTCCTAACTGAATACTTGTAGTCTCACACATGCTAATGATAACGGAATTAAACTAAATAATATAAATCCAATTATAATAAAATGGACTTTTGCAAAATAACACATAATTTATTAAAAAATATACAATCAATCAAGCAATGCATCAACAAGTCAATCTTTTTCTCTTGGTTTCCTTGTCTATCTGCGATCAGCCAATTGGATTTTGTCAGATTTGGTTTGCATTGCTATCATTATCTTGCACTTTGAGTTTACACACATCCAGTGAAGTAGTCCTCCTTTTAAATAAATCTGTTGTGTTAGATCAGCCAGACGTGACCTTTTCAGTCTGAATATGTGACCCCTGGAATCCATGAGTGTTGTGGCTAATGGTTTTAACAACATGGGCTGTAATAAATCAACATGATTCTAGTAATATACCATGTCAGGTTGACTTTCACATGATTCCTTTTGGAAACCATCGTGATAAGTTTTTGGTGAATTTGTCACGATGGGCTTAACTGACTATATCATCCTAGACTGGTGCCCCGCCATCGTAAACCATTACCGCAGGCGAGTCCACCATTCCATTATCTTACTAACATTAAACTTACTAATATAAACGCGAAAGTTTGTGAGTATTGATTGATGATAAATGTCAAGTAAGTATAATGCAGACAAAGTTGAGCGGATCAGATAGTCATCAATAAAAATATGAATATAATTGGTTTAATGTGCAGACAAACTCGGTCGGTGCGGTGGGCGGCGCCGGCGGTGTCGGCGGGTGCGGGCGCGGCCAGCGGGCCTGAACTGCTGGCGCTGCTCGAGCTGCTGCTGACGAGGCCGCCGGCGCTCGAACATGCCGCCGAGTGCACAGAGGGTACGTATACTATTCCAGAAATAGACACGTGGCTGACTGGCCTACCCGCTGCACGATATCAGTTACTGAAATACCCTAAAATGTATGGATAAATAGTTTAGTTTCATTGCCAAGAGACATAAAGACTATGATGAATAACTGTACGGTTTTGATGCTAAAAGACGCCTTATGGACATGTTTTAGTTGTTAAAATCATAAACTCGGAGTAATAATTTTGGAGAGAGGCAGAGTTCAGTTTGTTCGTTCAGGTTGTGTCTACTATTCTGAGCATAAATAAATAATAATAATATGTTAGGATAATTCACGCAGCGCCAGTTTGTCCCAAGTTAAGCTAGCTAGAGCTTGTGTTATAGGTACTAAATATCTAATATGGATACATATGTACTCTGTCTTTTTTTGTAAATACATACATATTATACATAGAAAACACCCAGACTGATAGAAACAATCATACCCATGAATACAAATGTTGGTGTGCTAAACCGTTAGACCACAGAGGCCGTCAAATCTACTACTGTTATAGATGGACAAAAGAATTCGCAACAGCCTTTTGTAACAATATTCTTTTACTTACACAATTGGGTCTTCAAATTCATATATTGAGATTGTACCTACTGCCACGACGTAAGTGTGAATCAAATTCACGTACTACCATTATATTTTGTATGTACCACTTGGGTCGTTATGCAGAGGGCGCGGGCGGCTCGGCGGCGGAGGCGGATGCGTGGGAGGAGGTGGGGCGCGGGGGCGCGGGGGGCGCAGTGAGCGAGGGCGCGCTGCGCGAGCGAGACCTGCTAGCGCTACTCCGCGCCGCGCCGCTACGACGTCTCGTCGGCACCATCATGCTGTTCCCAGATATCGTTTGTATCCTCATTTTTTTATATATCACAACGGCTTATATAGCACAACATATCCTTTCAACTGTTAGCTGTCAAAATGACTTTAATTTCAAAATGATTCTAATGGTTTTAACGCTTCATCTGCGAGACCAATTACAGGACTTCTAGTAGATGGGGCTATAGTATGCTCCTTCGCAGATAAGAGAATAAATGTAATGTTAATACTGATTGCCAAACCCAAAACTGTTAGTGATGTCTTGAAATGTAATTAATTGTACAAGCGAGCTTATGTATTGCGGCAGGACGTGCGCAGAATGCGGGCGGAGGACTGGCGCGCGGGGGGAAGCGGCGCGCTGCGGGCGGCACGTGGCGTGCGCGCGCTACTGGCCGCGCTGCATCGTGCTCGCGTCGCGCATCCCAACTACACCCGCCTGCACCGCGCCCTGCGCACGCTCTCCGCCCGCGCGCTGCGGGCGCTCGCCGCCCTGCACCTGCACGCCAGGTACCTCGCGCGGCCGCACTACACGCACACTACACACTACACCCGCCTGCACCGCGCCCTGCGCACGCTCTCCGCCCGCGCGCTGCGGGCGCTCGCCGCCCTGCACCTGCACGCCAGGTACCTCGCGCGGCCGCACTACACGCACACTACACACTACACCCGCCTGCACCGCGCCCTGCGCACGCTCTCCGCCCGCGCGCTGCGGGCGCTCGCCGCCCTGCACCTGCACGCCAGGTACCTCGCGCGGCCGCACTACACGCACACTACACACTACACCCGCCTGCACCGCGCCCTGCGCACGCTCGCCGCCCTGCACCTGCACGCCAGGTACCTCGCGCGGCCGCACTACACGCACACTACACACTACACACTACACCCGCCTGCACCGCGCCCTGCGCACGCTCGCCGCCCTGCACCTGCACGCCAGGTACCTCGCGCGGCCGCACTACACGCACACTACACACTACACCCGCCTGCACCGCGCCCTGCGCACGCTCGCCGCCCGCGCGCTGCGGGCGCTCGCCGCCCTGCACCTGCACGCCAGGTACCTCGCGCGGCCGCACTACACGCACACTACACACTACACCCGCCTGCACCGCGCCCTGCGCACGCTCTCCGCCCGCGCGCTGCGGGCGCTCGCCGCCCTGCACCTGCACGCCAGGTACCTCGCGCGGCCGCACTACACGCACACTACACACTACACCCGCCTGCACCGCGCCCTGCGCACGCTCTCCGCCCGCGCGCTGCGGGCGCTCGCCGCCCTGCACCTGCACGCCAGGTACCTCGCGCGGCCGCACTACACGCACACTACACACTACACCCGCCTGCACCGCGCCCTGCGCACGCTCGCCGCCCTGCACCTGCACGCCAGGTACCTCGCGCGGCCGCACTACACGCACACTACACACTCCACCCGCCTGCACCGCGCCGCGCACGGCTGCACCGCCCGCGCGCTGCGGGCGCTCGCCGCCCTGCACCTGCACGCCAGGTACCTCGCGCGGCCGCACTACACGCACACTACACACTACACCCGCCTGCACCGCGCCCTGCGCACGCTCTCCGCCCGCGCGCTGCGGGCGCTCGCCGCCCTGCACCTGCACGCCAGGTACCTCGCGCGGCCGCACTACACGCACACTACACACTACACCCGCCTGCACCGCGCCCTGCGCACGCTCTCCGCCCGCGCGCTGCGGGCGCTCGCCGCCCTGCACCTGCACGCCAGGTACCTCGCGCGGCCGCACTACACGCACACTACACACTACACACTACACCCGCCTGCACCGCGCCCTGCGCACGCTCGCCGCCCTGCACCTGCACGCCAGGTACCGCGCGGCCGCACTACACGCACACTACACACTACACCCGCCTGCACCGCGCCCTGCGCACGCTCGCCGCCCTGCACCTGCACGCCAGGTACCTCGCGCGGCCGCACTACACGCACACTACACACTACACCCGCCTGCACCGCGCCCTGCGCACGCTCTCCGCCCGCCAGCTCCGAACAGCCCACCTCGCGCCGCCGCACACACGCACACTACACACTACACCCGCCTGCACCGCGCCCTGCGCACGCTCGCCGCCCTGCACCTGCACGCCAGGTACCTCGCGCGGCCGCACTACACGCACACTACACACTACACCCGCCTGCACCGCGCCCTGCGCACGCTCGCCGCCCTGCACCTGCACGCCAGGGACCTCGCGCGGCCGCACTACACGCACACTACACACTACACCCGCCTGCACCGCGCCCTGCGCACGCTCGCCGCCCTGCACCTGCACGCCAGGTACCTCGCGCGGCCGCACTACACGCACACTACACACTACACCCGCCTGCACCGCGCCCTGCGCACGCTCGCCGCCCTGCACCTGCACGCCAGGTACCTCGCGCGGCCGCACTACACGCACACTACACACTACACACCCGCACTACGCGCGCCTGCACCGTGCCCACCAACTAATTCTAATTCTTGATGAAGATTGTGGACTACTAAACAACGAATCCTTTCAGATATCTGTATAATATGCATTGATTAAAATTGTTATTTATACAGTACGTCGTACGAGAGGGCGCTACGTGATGAGATAACGGCAGAGATGGAGGCGTGTTACATGGCGGGCGTGAAGCTGTTCGGCACCAGCCAACTGCAGCGGCTGCCCGCCACTCTGCTGGCGGACAACAGCGCCAGCGACTATTACTACACGCTCATCATCGGACTGCACGGTATATATCGAGACACAATAGATTGATGCCATTTTTACCTCTATATTATAATTAAGTTTTATTTTCTTTTTATATTTGATATACATATTAATTTATGTAATTATTCTTTCTGTGAGAGGAACAATAAAGTGTTTTTCATTCATTCATTCATTGATGGAGTAGGTGCCCATTTTTTTTATGTCTCATTGAATGTTCTCTGTATCCTTAATATTACATGAATTGCATATTTGATTGCTTAAATGGCACATTGGTTAAGATGTATGTAATAACAAAATAAACAACTTCATATTTATTTTATTCAAATATACATAATAAGAATTTAAAATGTATGTTAATAAAACTATTATTTATTAAATAAAATGTCATTGCACTTTTATCAGTGAAAAGTAATTAATTAATATTATATTGAATTTTCGTTACTGTCATCAGATAAGGACCAAAACCAGCTGGAAGTTCTGCCAATAACGGTACCGTTGTTGTCATGCAAGCAGCGCGTGGAGGTGGTGTCGCAGGCGACCATCGACCGTCGTCACGACCACCAGCTCGCCAGGGTCGTGGTCGAGTTCTTACTACAGGTTACTATTTAATATTTAGTAATGCTAATGTTTAATGCCGAAACTCCACTAAATTTTCGGTACCGTAAAACCTTGTCATCAGTATCAACTAATTCTAAATTTGATAGTTTTATTAATAAAAAATACGCTAATAATACTACTGATATACGAATCGAACCGTAATATACACGTACGTGTATGTCTGACGCAAGAAAGAAATAAAAATGGAAGAAAAGAAAAAATATGTACCATGTGCAGGCATGTGTGAAGCGTAAACCAGCGGCTTGCGGCGGCGCGGGCGGCTGCGAGCACGCGGCACGTGCGTGGTTGCCACGTGTACTGCACGCGCATCCATACCTCTACACCATCGCTCTACATCTGCTCGCCGATATCTACCAGAGTCAGTATTACCACACATTCTTGTTAATATTGTAAACGCGAAATTTTGTAAGTATACGCAAAAACTACTGACCGGGTTCTAATGAGACTTTACAGTAATATATTGATGAAAACAACGTATGCATCCTGATTAGGGCCCTCACAGAATTTACTAAGCTGAAGAGCAAACACCACACTATAGCCCAAAACCCCCAATAAAAAAATACAGTAATATAGCTTCAAAATAACACACAGACTATAATTTAAACAGGTATTATATAAATTGGGCGATTATTCATTGTACATATTTCTTATGTTATTACTGTATAAAACGAGTTAATAAATTCTATTGTATTCTATATGGTGGTAAATCACATGTGCTTGGATAGTCCGTGAATGATTGTGTCTTTTTCGGACTACCTTAATGCTGTTGGCAGCAGCTGACCTTTATTACTTCACCGGAGGATAGTCGACAAGTGTAGATGGCATTCCAAACCCGCGGAAGGACTTATGGCTTTATAAGTAGCTGAACACTAACTCCCGCTTGACGAATTTGACTTTAGTCTGACCGTTAGAGGTTACAACCTCGACTGGGCCGTCGCAATTTCGATCCCCGTTTGAATTGGACGGGGGTCGATCGGAGGAGGAACTTGTCATGTAAAGGCAGTCATTCATCATTTAAGAGCGACGCTCTCGTCGGTGGAGCGCTTGCCACTTTCCACGATCTTCCGTCATACTCTTTAAACCTTGATACGACACGACTCCAATTCTGTCTTTCATTTGCTTGATGTAGTTGTGCCTTGGTCTCCCTCTCCCCCTCTTTCCTTATATCTGCCCCTCAATAATAACTTCCATAAATTAATCGTACCGTATCAAGTGTCCTAACATAAAGGCAGCTAAATATGACGGTAGTGTCGCCGCTGGAGGCGTGTTGCGTGCAGTACCTGCGCGTGCAGGCGTGGCGGCCGACGTTCGGGGACGCGCGCGCCGTGCTCGACGACTGGGCGCGCCGCTGTCCGCCGCTGCTGGCGCCGCTGCTCCTCAACCTCGACTATACTCCGCACAGGTCAGGGGAATCCTATACTACTATACTATACTGCTATATAGATTGTACTAGAAAGGTATATATATTTTCGACTCATTTAATGTGTTCATTCTCGTGAAAAGCTGATAGAAATACGTAAATAATTTTTTTTGTAACTCTGTACATATAAATAAAATTGAAATGATTATTTGTTATTTCAATTTTTTTTTGCCTTCGTTAAATGTAGTATGAAAGTATATACGGCACTTATATATGTATAAAAATAACGGGACTTTTATTTGTAAATAGCTAATATTATAAGGAATAATTTAGCAATTTTTATTTTAGAAATTATATTTATTATAAAACGATTGACATATTTATTTTCAATATTAGTATTTAAAAATGTCGTGAAGGAATAAATACACAAAATAATAATTTTTATTTTAGAAATTTCAATATTTATTATAAAACGATTGTATATATCATTATTTTCAATATTTATCATATTTAATAAATGTCTCGACCAGCAACATCTATATATTCACCATGGTGTTGTACGAGTATAAGTATGCAGCTAGATGTCGTTGTGTATGTTTTTTTTTTATTTATTACGCACCGGACGACAGCGGTGTGTCACTGGAGGTGCAGCTGACGATCGGGTCGTGGGTGTGTGCCCGCGGGCGGTCGTGGGCGGGCGGCGGCGCGGGCGAGGCTCTGTGGCGCATACTGCGGCGGCTGCGGGTGCACCGCGCGTGCTGGGCGCTGCCGCTGCTGGCGCCCGACCCCGACCCGGAGCCCGACCCCGATGATCACTTCGCCAACGCGTACGCGCTGCTCTCCAGCTCTTGGGGGCATTGTATTCCATTGGTAAGTTTGACAGCTATCGTTTGCCGTGAGGGTATCAAAGTAGCGACTGCCTCCGAAATGTGTGTCCTCGCTGCTGCCTCAGCTCGCCCCCGAACTTGACGACCACTTCGCCAACGCTGCTCTCCAGCTCATGAGAACGTTGCATTCCGCTAGTGAGTTTGCACTATTCTCACTACTATATTTTGACGTTCTCGTAGCTACCTTATGGCTTAAGGGTATACTAATAACAAAGTAGTGGGGATGACAGAGGATTGTTGTAATGTAGACTGATTACATTGTTAGCAATGTACCATGTGAGGTCGAGCTCCACGCGGTGCCTCCTGGAAACCATAATAATAAATTCCTGGTGAATTTGTCACGCATCAGTATATACACTCAGTATCGTAATCATTCGTAAATTCTTGACGTAATTTATGGATGATCTATTAAAGATAAATGAAATTAAAGGTACGTATATGTACAGTGTAGTGCGTGCTCGTGCGCAGATATGTTCGCGAGGCGCGGAGGCTCTGGCGCGGTTGGCGGGCGCGGGCGCGGCACGCACTGCTGACGCCGTGCACTGCCTGGCCGCCGTCCTGCTCGCACTCTCGCCCTCGCCAGAGTCCGTCTCGCGCGCGCACGCGTTAGTACACCCACACGCTACCTCGCTACATTACAATTGAGACCTTACGTTATTGTTGTTAGAGATTCGATTCAATGAATATAAGTTTTGCCATGTTATGTTGACTTACGTGATGATTGGTTAACATGAACAAAATGAAAATCAAATTTAGTTTGATTAAATATCCAATAATTGCAGATTCACAGAAGTATTTAACACGTTACTAAACTCGGGCCCGAAGCTGGTGCTGCGCGCACTGGGGCTGGGCGGCGCCAGTGGCGCCCAGTTGCTGATGAAGCTGATGTTGGCACAACTTGCTGACGGACAGTAAGAATTTTTTATGTAAATTAAATAAATAAAAATATTGCAAAAGGTGGGGAAATAAAACGCAGATAAGCGCCGGTCGGCTAGTTCTATACAAAAGTGTATGTCGATGAGTGATGAGTGTCTGCACAGATGCGGCGAGTACCCGTGCGGCGCGGTGCTGGCGTGCTGGCTGCGGGCGGCGTGGCGGCCGCGGCTCGCAGCCTCCGGCGCCGCGCTCGTGGACGCCGCGCTGCTCGCCGCCAGGGACTGGCCCGCCGCAGACGCGCACGCCGCGCTGCTGCTGCAGGTCACTCCCGCACACTAGTATAGCCCCCTCCGACCGCTCGCCGCCAGGTTGATTAAATATCCCGCAACGCGCACGCCGCGCTGCTGCTGCAGGTCACACACTAGTATTCCGACCGCTCGCCGCCAGGGACTGGCCGCCGCAGACGCGCACGCCGCGCTGCTGCTGCGGTCGCACACTAGTATAGCCCCCTCCGACCGCTCGCCGCCAGGGACTGGCCCGCCGCAGACGCGCACGCCGCGCTGCTGCTGCAGGTCACTCCCGCACACTAGTATAGCCCACTCCGACCGCGCGCCGCCAGGGACTGGCCCGCCGCAGACGCGCACGCCGCGCTGCTTTTCCCGCACACTAGTATAGCCCCCTGACCGCTCGCCGCCAGGGAATTAAATAACGCGCTGCTGCTGCAGGTCAATCCCGCACACTAGTATAGCCCCCTCCGACCGCTCGCCGCCATCCCGCCGCAGACGCGCACGCCGCGCTGCTGCTGCAGGTGACTCCCGCACATATTGCATAAAGACCGCTCGCCGCCAGGAACTGGCCGCCGCAGAAACGCACGCCGCGCTGCTGCTGCGGGTCGGCTCCCGCACACTAGTATAGCAAACCGCTCGCCGCCAGGGACTGTCGCAGACGCGCACGTGCGCTGCTGCTGCAGGTCACTCCCGCACAGTATAGCCCCCTCCGACCGCTCGCCGCCAGGGCGGCGCGCAGTGCTGCACGCCGCGCTGCTGCTGCGGGTCGCACACTAGTATAGGACCGCTCGCCGCCAGGCTCGCAGCGCGCACGCCGCGCTGCTGCTGCGCTCCCGCACACTAGTATAGCCGCCTCCGCTGCTCGCCGCCAGGGACTGGCCCGCCGCAGACGCGCACGCCGCGCTGCTGCTGCAGGTCACTCCCGCACACTAGTATAGCCCCCTCCGACCGCTCGCCGCCAGGGACTGGCCCGCCGCAGACGCGCACGCCGCGCTGCTGCTGCAGGTCACTCCCGCACACTAGTATAGCCCCCTCCGACCGCTCGCCGCCAGGGACTGGCCGCCGCAGACGCGCACGCCGCGCTGCTGCTGCAGGTCACTCCCGCACACTAGTATAGCCCCCTCCGACCGCTCGCCGCCAGGGACTGGCCCGCCGCAGACGCGCACGCCGCGCTGCTGCTGCAGGTCACTCCCGCACACTAGTATAGCCCCCTCCGACCGCTCGCCGCCAGGGACTGGCCCGCCGCAGACGCGCACGCCGCGCTGCTGCTGCAGGTCACTCCCGCACACTAGTATAGCCCCCTCCGACCGCTCGCCGCCAGGGACTGGCCCGCCGCAGACGCGCACGCCGCGCTGCTGCTGCAGGTCACTCCCACACACTAGTATATACATACATCATACAACCTGGTATACTTTATCTATTATTAATGGTCCTGTTTCTATATTACGTTATGAGCTTTACGGGCGATGTAGCGACAGTTAAATAAATTTATTAATTCGTAATTTTTTTTAAGAATTAGTCTATTGTTATTAGTGAAAGCCTGTCAGTGGCTTACTGTGACATATATATTGATTTTATTTAAGATGTACTTGAATAGCCTTGGTTTTCCTTTAATAAATAAATAAAAATAAAGTAATTGACCTTTTGCAGGAGTGCAACCGCGAGCAGTTGACTGCGTGGTGCCGCGCGGTATCGTCCGCGCCGCTGGCGACCGAGTGTCTGCTGCGCGCCGCGCACGCGCACGAGCTGCGCGCGCACCTGCCGCGCCTGCTGGACGCGCTGCACCGACAGCGCGCCGCCGCACGCAGGACACACGTGGACCACGCGCTGCAGGTACCGACCACGTAGCGGGGAGCGAGTGTCTGCTGCACGCTGGACGCGCCGCAGGTACCGACCACGTAGCGGGGAGCGAGTGTCTGGACGCGCCGCAGGTACCGACCACGTAGCGGGGAGCGAGTGTCTGCTGCAGGCTCCACGCGCTGCAGGTACCGACCACGTAGCGGGGAGCGAGTGTCTGCTGCACGCTGGACGCGCCGCAGGTACCGACCACGTAGCGGGGAGCGAGTGTCTGCTGCAGGCTGGACGCGCCGCAGGTACCGACCACGTAGCGGGGAGCGAGTGTCTGCTGCACGCTGGACGCGCCGCAGGAGACCACGTAGCGGGGAGCGAGTGTCTGCTGCACGCTGGACGCGCCGCAGGTACCGACCACGTAGCGGGGAGCGAGTGTCTGCTGCAGGCTGGACGCGCCGCAGGTACCGACCACGTAGCGGGGAGCGAGTGTCTGCTGCAGGCTGGACGCGCCGCAGGTACCGACCACGTAGCGGGGAGCGAGTGTCTGCTGCAGGCTGGACGCGCCGCAGGTACCGACCACGTAGCGGGGAGCGAGTGTCTGCTGCAGGCTGGACGCGCCGCAGGTACCGACCACGTAGCGGGGAGCGAGTGTCTGCTGCAGGCTGGACGCGCCGCAGGTACCGACCACGTAGCGGGGAGCGAGTGTCTGCTGCAGGCTGGACGCGCCGCAGGTACCGACCACGTAGCGGGGAGCGAGTGTCTGCTGCAGGCTGGACGCGCCGCAGGTACCGACCACGTAGCGGGGAGCGAGTGTCTGCTGCAGGCTGGACGCGCCGCAGGTACCGACCACGTAGCGGGGAGCGAGTGTCTGCTGCAGGCTGGACGCGCCGCAGGTACCGACCACGTAGCGGGGAGCGAGTGTCTGCTGCAGGCTGGACGCGCCGCAGGTACCGACCACGTAGCGGGGAGCGAGTGTCTGCTGCAGGCTGGACGCGCCGTAAGTACCGAGTACAGGTAGCAACCTGTACCGAAAACTGCTATTCAGTCTATGCTTGAATCAATAAATCATTCCCATTCGTTCCTGTAACATTTTGTTTTAAATGTTTACCAGGAAATCAACGCAAATGTGGCCGCAGATGAGCTGGTGGTGTACCGAGCGTGCGCGGCCGCACTGTCGTCGCCGCCGCAGCACCCCGCGCACCTGATGCTGTGGCGGCTCTTCATGCACATATACCTGCAGCGCCCGTCCTGCAGCCCGTAAGTAGTCCAATTGTCAAATTCCAATTAACTAATAAAGGCTACGTAATAATAACGACCTGATTCTACCTAAATGTATCTTAATTAAAGTTAGTAACTCATTTTATGGTAATTGCATTTGTAATGACAAAAACATAATATGTACAACAGGAACGCACCTAGAACATTCCTCTATTGTAATTATGTTGTTTTTATATTTGGTATACATATTAATTTATGTCATTGTTATTTACTTTCTGTGAGAGGAACAATAAAGAGTTCTTTTTTATTTGTTTTTAGGAACGAGGCCACAGCACCAATAGGACCGTTGTTCTTCAGCGGGATTGTAAAGTCGCGAATGCTCTCAAATGTAAGAAAACGATTACAAGAAGTTATAACATACCATCAGAATGAGGCGAAGTCACTCAGCGCTACTTGCACTACTCCGAACAGTGAGGCTGAAGCCAAAACCCTCACGATTTCAAAATCGAATGAAACGAAGCGAGTTAAATCGAGTAATGCAATCGATAGTGACTTGCCGCCTGGTTTGACAGCTACCGATTTCACTGGGGAAGCGAGCGATGAAAGCGATACTGATAGTGATGAGGAGGATCTTGAAGAAGACGAGAAGACCGATACTGATGAAGTGCAGCAGGCGGTCAGTGAAACTGTAGAAGAGGATAAGACCAATCTGATTAATTACCATGTTTGTGCTGAAAAGTAAGTAACGTGTTTTTGTACTTCACTAACAATAAAACGGCGCACCCGTCTGCGCTAGCGGTATACGCTGGTGACGCACCATTGGATCATGAAGGCAGTTCAGTTGTCCAATCGTGTTGAAATAACAAGGAATTAACCATGCTGGTTACAAACTGATGCAGTACTAACCCTATCATTTAGTATTCAATCAAAAGTGTCTGTCGCGTACCAAGCAGTAACAAAACGCAATACAAAGGGAGCGTTCTGATTGGACCGCACACCCATCCAATTTTAAATACGCAAAGTAACGTACAAACTTAAAATATCAACCGACCAACCTCTCTGGACGTTTCGACTAGGTTGCACTAGCCGTGGTCACGAGCTGACTGGAGTAACAGCGATGTCAATGTAGGTAGGAGACAGCAGTTTTTCTTCATCTCGAAACGTCGAGAGAAGTAAATACCTTCATTTGCCATAAAATTATTCGTGTTACGACCCGGTTAATAATTTAAATAATGTATATTAAACACGAAAGTTTAAAAGTCAAAATTACTCTTCGACAACCACATTGATAACATTGTTACGAAAGCTACACAAGCACTCGGTTTTCTTATGCGTAACTCAAGTCTTTTTCAGCAAGCCAAAACCTTAAAAATATTATACTGCACGTTGGTTAGAAGTAAATTGGAATACGCTTCGCAGATTTGGAATCCTAGATACAAAACCTACATACTACGTCTCGAAAATATTCAAAAGAAATTTATTCGTTTTTTAGCCTACAGATTACGAGATCCGTATGATTCATCTAGGTATCTTGAGTTTTGTAAAAAACACCACCTTCTGCCTTTGAAAAATCGCGGATATAACATATCTCATGAGAATAGCCTCTGGTGCTGTCGATTGCCCGAATCTCCTGGGTAAATTATCCATTAATGTACCATAAACAAGGCACAATCCTCTTCTATCTGTTCCCCTAGTGTCATCGAACTATAAGCAGAATTCATTTCTCTGGCGAGCTAAACAATTTTAATAAACTATCTAAAACAGTTAATATAGATCTATTTTTTAATAATATTAAATCAACGAGACACCAACTAAGTGAGCCCTTCTTTAAATAACAATTAATTATTATTGAAAATCATGTATATGTATATATTTCTATAAATTTACTATTTGTTACTGTACTCTTGTTAATTAATTTCATATTCTCTGTTAACTTTATAATGCCTTTATACGTAGTGATGTAAAACTTTTTAAGAATTAGTCTATTGTTATTAGTGAAAGCCTATCAGTGGCTTACTGTGACATATATATTGACTTTATTTAAGATGTACTTGAATAGCCTTGGTTTTCCTTTAATAAATAAATAAATAAATAAATAAGTAACATATTGTCCTATTAGGACAGGGCTCTGGTGTTAGGGCTGTGTCTTTTGTTATTGTATATTTATATATAAGACCTTTAAATCCAAATTTCTTGAAAAATATGTATGGTTTCAGAGAAAGTTGCTGAATAAAAGTTGTTCGTTACCATGGATACTGTAATATCCTTGTGGCTCCCATTTATTTGGGGTCGGCGTAATATGTTTTTCTGTCCCTTCCATTCCTATACGCAGTTGTGTACTCACTTCCATACCATATCATCTTTCACATAAGTCCATCTATTTTTCGGCCTTCCCTTTTCCTCATAACTATCCACAATAATATAATTAAAAAACAAATGTATTATTATTAAAAGAATGGTGCGCGAGTACTCGCGGTGGTTGGACGAGGGTTCGCAGACGCACGCGATGCCGCACCACGCCGACCTCGCGCGGTACATGCCCGAACAGGTGAGGTGCAAACACTATCCAACACGTACAATCCTACATACACTATAAGTATCAAATCAAAATATCTTTATTCATGTAAGTCTATTACAGACTCTTATCTTATGTGAAATTTACCGACAGTTCGAAATGATTTCGAGATGAGAAGAACTGACAGGAAACTCAGCTCTCACTCTAACATTTATTTGAAAAGAATACGTTTCAAATAAATGTTGTACATGTCTACAAAAATATAAATTCATTTTTAAATTCAAATTTGGGAAAAAAGAGTGACCACCAGCATATGCTATTACAAAAGCAAATAGTCTAATCAATGTTCGTAACCCGAACCCGTTACGAGTATGACGGAATAATCATGAGTATCATTATTAGGTAATAATATTTTAAAAGATCTCAGCGAATAAACAGCAGAAGCGACTTCATTTTATACTACGTAAAGACTTCCCCAGTTAATTCGAGGTACTGTGTACAGGCACTGTCGGCGGCGTGGCAGGCTCGCCTGCGGGGGCTGCGGGCGGCGGCGGGGCCGGGGGCGGGGGCGGGGGCGGCGGGGGACGGCCAGTTCCCGCTGCCGCCGCCGCCGCGGCCGGGCGTGGCCCGACGCCCGCCCGTCTATACGCCACAGCCCACCGTCTTCGAGACAGCCGTCGCCAACTTACTCGAGATAAAGGAATACTCAGAAAAGAGGTATCTTTCTTTACGATCATCATTTATGACCTGTATCATGATTAAGCTTCAATAAGAGTCAATTTGTGATACTGATAAAAACTAGTAGTAATATAAATAAAAAACTAATAAATTTTACTGAAATGTTAAGTTTTCCACAACGTTGACCTCTTCAATTACAGACAGATTATGTAGAATTTTTAAGAAAATACGAAAATTCACAATGTAAAGTATTCCTTCCCTGTAACACCTACTACACTACACACGGTAGATTAGTACCGCGTTATAAGAAAACACATAGGAGTATTCCCATATAATGCGTTTTTGCGATAAACTAAAAATATTTTAAATAAAAAAACTTATAATCATAAATTTTACAGTACACAAATATGTGGGAAATCTCCGCGTTATATGGATGAATGCCCATGTTAACGCGTAATATGAAAATGCTTTATAAGAGTACTGTGTTATAGAGTGGATTACTGTACTTTGACAATTTGTTTAACTATAATATATACTCTGTATACAATGTTTAATATACTGTGGTCTGATCGTTACGATATAGCCGATCAAGAGGGCCGACACTGAAGTCACCAGTTGGCGACTTGACGTACACAGACGCCCGTTCACTCCTCGCATACATCGACAAGTACGTCAACGATATCGAGCAGTTTGCCCGGTGAGTGATGCCAATTTTTTTAACTACTCAAAAGCTGTTTGCCGCAGCTGGCCTTTACAACTTCACCGAACGAAAGGCGAGTGCAGATGGCAATTCAAACACGGAATACCTTCTGGAACCTAACCACTGATTGCAAACAATCTAAAGTGGCAATTCCAAAAACGAACCATCGATTAACAACACGTCTACTTGATCTAGATAGACATAACCCCAAAATAATGATAGGGACAATAACGGGCCATTGTTCCTTAAACAAACACTTATACAAAATTGATGCTACAGACAGTCCCCTTTGTCGGGGCTGCTTTGAAGCTGAAGAAACGGCGGCTCACGTAATCCTAGAGTGGCCCAACAACGAAAACAAATCCTCGGAACGGTGAGGTCGCTCCGTGAAAACAAGAAGCCTGTGAAGACACCAGGAAACTTCTGCGCTTTTGGGAGGAGCTTGGCTGGCTACCTTAGTACTCTGGCTCTACACGCATAACGGCCCGTATGAGAGGCTAATTGCGGAGACTGGAGTCCAACATACATTTACATTTACCGTACCTTCTGGAACGTCTGAAGACCGATTCCTGATGAATACGACTTTCATATGCGGATACTGCTATATGTGTTATGTGTTCGAACCTCGGGTAAGGTCGTAATTTCAATCCTCGTTTGAATGGGACAGGGGATTGATAGGAAGGGAACGATGATGATGCTAGATGTCTCTGTTACTGCTTTAATAATTATTATTGCAAAATATATATAGTTTAGCGGTTTTCTTATTATAAATTTATTGTCAGTGAGTGGTGTAGTGAAGTGGATCGCATCACGTCGCTGGACGGCCGGCTGCTGGAGCTGGTGGTCCAGCTGCGAGTGCCGCGCTCGCTGCCGCCGCAGCGGAAGGCCTGCCCGCAGAACTGCAAGCCCATCGTGCTAGTGCCCGACGTCAGTGTTCACTTGCATCTCATATAAATAATCAATATACATGTACGAAACTTCTGGATGCTATGACCAATAAATGTATTACTTTTGGAGTGAAACTTCTAGATAGATGTATTAGGTTTTTCGGTCACGAAAAAGCATAACCAGTCTAGACAGTAGAAATAACGTGTGTAGAATTGGGCATGGAAATATGAGTGGAAGGAAAAGAGACATGTGCAGGAGAGTGAGAAAGAAGTAGGTAGAAAACAAAAGGAAAGAATGTTAACTATAATTCTAATTCTTTGCTTTCACCTATTTCCACATATGTTTAAAAAACAGTGTCTTTCTAATATTTGCAGTAAAATAATTATAGACTTAATATTTTAGGTTCAAGAATGGTGTAGATCAACTGGCGCAGAAAACAGTATTCGAGAAAATAGGTAACTATTAATTATAATATTTTATTATTCTTGTAACTTTAATGCAATAAAACTGTTTGCTTAAATAAGGGAAGATTTAATGGATTTATATATTGTTAGGGAATTTACTCTCTGCTACCAAAATGTTAGGGAAAGTACTATGTATATATATAGGGAAAAATATTTGGAAGCGTCTGTCGCGTACCTGTATGGTTCTGTATGGTTCTGCGGATTTCTTGGGATTCAGGGTCTCGAAGATATCTTCGCTAGCTTTCCAGTTTCACAGTAGGTTTAACACAGTTCTAATTTATTTCAATTCACAACAAAGGAGCGCGCGCGTCAGGGCCGCTGTACTGTCAGTTCAGTACTGTAGGTAAGGGAGTGGAACAGAAACCGCGGGAACACAAACTAACGGACTCTAATATAATAATCTGTGCTTACGATGGTACAGGGTAAATTTTGAACATATATATTTTTTTAATTCTGATACCATAAATCTGAGCACCGTTACTGGAAGCGCCACAATCTTCTTTATAGATCATGATATAGATGATTCCGACCGTTATTGAGTCTACACCCATATTGAGACACGTGCTTCGCCTCTGAACGAGGCATCATTAGGCATTAAATAGAGTTCGCATGTAGCTTGGAAGCCTAATGTTGACTGTTCGGTGACTAAACTGCAACTTTTGCGAAACTTGCAATAAAATAATAATTAAGAATAAAAAATAAATAAAATAATAAATAAATAAAAATAAAATTATTTAAAAGAGCAACACGCTCTTTTAAATAATTTTATTGTTACTTTACGTTTTTAAGTTAAAGTATAATATATGAATTTAAACTACCAATTAGCACTAATTTAATTAAATACTCAAATAGAGAAAATATTAAATATATAACCCAACTGGTTGAGTAACTAAATAAGTGTAAATCAGTCGTAGTGATTAGAGTAGACTATAGGTGAATTATTGTTTGTATGATGCAGGACGAGCGCGCGCGCAGCAGTTCGTCGTTTAATGCGTCCCGCACGCGTTGCGGTGCGAGCTGCCGTCGCTCTGCTAACTCTAGCCAGGTAGTTACCGCACTTTACATATTTATTTATTACTAGCGATGCGTCAAATACCTAATGACCACCGAAGCTATACTATGTTGCGCCTGACTTCGTTGGTTGTACACGCTGTCGGGGTACTATCATCATTTCAGCCCGGAAGACGTCCACTGCTGAACAAAGGCCTCCCCAAAGATCTTGACGACGATCGATCTTTAGATGCTTCCGTCCAACGCCTGCCAGCGATCTTGACCATATCGTTGGTCCACCTTATTCGTGTGGTGTCGCCGTAAGAATAGAACCACCCTGCAACTTCCCATGGGTGTCGTAAAAGCGACTAAGGGATTCGACCGGCAGCAGCATGTTCTTCTAAATATTACCATCACACTGCGATCACCAACCCGCATGCCAAGCGTGACGTTTACGGCTATATCCCATGCTATCAGCACGGTACTAATAAATAAATAAATAAATAAATAAATAAAGGGGCTTGTACGATAACAGGGAGATCCGCAGTGCGGAGACGGCGCGGCGAGCGGCGGAGCGTGCAGCCGCCGCAGACCGCGCCACGCCCGCGCTGCACGCCTGCACGCCCGCACGGGACGCGCTCATAGCGCACGTGCAGCACCTCGCACAGGTACACTGCTTCATGATCCACGCCCGCGCTGCACGCCTGCACGCCCGCACGGGACGCGCTCATAGCGCACGTGCAGCACCTCGCACAGGTACACTGCTTCATGATCCACGCCCGCGCTGCACGCCTGCACGCCCGCACGGGACGCGCTCATAGCGCACGTGCAGCACCTCGCACAGGTACACTGCTTCATGATCCACGCCCGCGCTGCACGCCTGCACGCCCGCACGGGACGCGCTCATAGCGCACGTGCAGCACCTCGCACAGGTACACTGCTTCATGATCCACGCCCGCGCTGCACGCCTGCACGCCCGCACGGGACGCGCTCATAGCGCACGTGCAGCACCTCGCACAGGTACACTGCTTCATGATCCACGCCCGCGCTGCACGCCTGCACGCCCGCACGGGACGCGCTCATAGCGCACGTGCAGCACCTCGCACAGGTACACTGCTTCATGATCCACGCCCGCGCTGCACGCCTGCACGCCCGCACGGGACGCGCTCATAGCGCACGTGCAGCACCTCGCACAGGTACACTGCTTCATGATCCACGCCCGCGCTGCACGCCTGCACGCCCGCACGGGACGCGCTCATAGCGCACGTGCAGCACCTCGCACAGGTACACTGCTTCATGATCCACGCCCGCGCTGCACGCCTGCACGCCCGCACGGGACGCGCTCATAGCGCACGTGCAGCACCTCGCACAGGTACACTGCTTCATGATCCACGCCCGCGCTGCACGCCTGCACGCCCGCACGGGACGCGCTCATAGCGCACGTGCAGCACCTCGCACAGGTACACTGCTTCATGATCCACGCCCGCGCTGCACGCCTGCACGCCCGCACGGGACGCGCTCATAGCGCACGTGCAGCACCTCGCACAGGTACACTGCTTCATGATCCACGCCCGCGCTGCACGCCTGCACGCCCGCACGGGACGCGCTCATAGCGCACGTGCAGCACCTCGCACAGGTACACTGCTTCATGATCCACGCCCGCGCTGCACGCCTGCACGCCCAAGATAGATAATTACCTATTTCAGTTATTTCTCCTGACTTAAAGAGTGAGTTAGAATTAGGTCTACTTGAGGTAGCGAAAATGACGGCAGAATTTTTACATTTCATACTTGATTACATAAAACATAAACCTAGTTCACAATACATAGAATATTAGCCATATATATAATCTATTTTTATCTATACACGCTAATATTCATCATTATATAGGATTCATAACACAGTGGACTGCTTTATGACTTAAATACAATTTTGATACGTGGACAGAAGTGGTTGAGCGGCGACGGCGAGACGGTGGTGGCGCTGGTGTCGCGGTGGGCGGGCGGCGGAGCACTGCAGGCCGCGCTGGTGGGCGCCCTGCTGCAGCCGCGCCGCCTGCCGCCCGCCCAGCGAGCGCGCGTGTACGTGGCGCTGCTGCACGCCGCGCTGCCCGACCACGTCGCCTTCAGCCACCTCTCCAAGGTACCGCTCGCTGTACTGCCTCCCCCTGCCCAACTGACATCTTTTGTATCTTGGTCTATAATAGAACACGTGTTTGTGTGTGCGACAGTTCGAGATGTCGCAGTGGAGCAGCGAGGCGCCGGCGGAGGCCCGGCGCGGCGTGCTGGAAGCACTGCTGGCGGCCACCACCCGCTGGGGCGCCGCCGTCGACCAACAACACCACATGCTGCTCGAGGTACGTTCGACTTACAGCTTTTTGTCCGTATACTTAAAAATAACCTTATATAAGTACTAGTTTTTACTACTAAACTAAATAGCTGTACGTAACTCAATAAAATTGGACGAGAAAAAGGAATATACAAGGATGAACATAAACTATCTTTTAACAAAATAAAGTAGACAATGTCGCGCGTTACAACTAGTATGAATATAATAACGTAGTATGTACGGTGTAAGGAATAATTGTCCATTGGGTCCGTTTATCGTCAGATGGGCCATAGACTTATTTACCGCCATCGTAGATATAAGAAAGCCAATTAAACGGTCGTGTTGTGTGTTATAGTTGGTGGGCGTACACAGCAGTGCGGTGGTGACGGCGGACGAGGCGTGCTGGTACGTGGTGGCGGCGGCCAGCGAGGGCGCGCGGGGACGCCTGCCACCACCACACTACCACCACCTGCAGCGCGCGCTGGCTCGCCTCGCGCACCACCTCACCGCGGACCAGGTGCGTACACGGCGGCGGGTGGTGCGGGCGGAGGATGCGTGCTGGTATGTGGCCGGGCTGCCATTTTTTAAAGACGTCAAATTATATCGTCTATAATAAACTGATAAAATAACTTATTTTGATTTATGAATTTATTTAGAGCCGTGAATTACATAGTCATAGTCACGTGGTTATTCGTCGTAAATAATTACATAATATACAACTAGATTTCAGGTATCAACCGTGTCACATTTTCATATGAAAAAATTGTTTTTTATATGTTGCCCAAATTAGGTATGAGCTCTCTTAAATATGTTGAGACTACACTTGTGATATAATATTTCATAGCCGACACTATATACACGACTACCTACATACTATAATCTAAATCTATACATCTATACATATAAATAAAATTATACATGCATATGAATATTAATACGGTACATACTTACGCCAATATAACATTTTTTACGATTTTTGTCTGTCTGTCCGTCTGTTTGTTCCGGCTAATCTCTGAAATGGCTGGACAGATTTGAACGGGACTTCTATTGGCAGGTAGCTGGTGTAATAAGGAATAACTTAGGCTACTTTTATTTTAGAAAAATAAGTTACAGCTATAATAATAAATTAAGTAGCGGCACCTCATCACGTCATATATAACGCTATAGGTGAGGATAAGCATCGCGCTACAATGTAACTAATACGAATCATATTACGGCAGCTGGGCAACGTAGCGCGAGAACTGGGCGGCATGTGGTGGGAAGTGCGTTCCCGGGCACCGGCTGCTGCAACGTCGCAGCACACGCAGCACGCAGCACAGCAGGCGGCCGGGCTGGCTGCGCTGCTGCGAGACATCCTGCGGGCCTTCGTGGCTGCCGCGCGAACTGCCAGCTACACACCCGAGCGGGGTACGGTTTGTTGCACATACAATACCATTATATATTGTTCAAATTATGATAATAATTTATGATTGTGATATTTTTTTGTTACTATAACATTTCGGTGTCGTCTAATATCAGGAGTGATTAATTAATACTGAAAAGAACTAAACATTTTATTTACTATTAATTAAATTGTGAATTATTAAAGAGCGAATAGCAGATGGAATAGTAGACCAATGTTAAAGATAAGGAATCTTACCCTACCATTCGTATCGTCTAGTTCAGTTAGTGTATATATTGTGAACTGTACAAATAAAATTTTATTTGATAGTAATAACCATGGACAAATCACATAGCGCCATCTAGTCCCAAGGCAAACAGAGCTTGTGTTGTGGATCACATTTGATATAAATACTTAGATTTTTTTTGTAAATACGTACATAATATGCCTAGAAAACGCCCAAACCGATGCAGACAATCATACTTAATAATAAAAATCTTTGTACCGTGCGAGGAATCAAACCCGCGATCATCGAAAATAATGCGGTGTGCTTAATTATTTAATGTTATAAGTGCAATAATGGTGTATTACTATATAAGTTTGTTATGATGGTTATAACACACGAGGCGGAATTTCAACACGAGTCGAAGCCGAGGACGTAATAGAACTGTTGAATACGAGTGCGTTGTAAAATGCGTGTTGTGTCCGCAGTGGGCACGTACGCGTGGTCGGCGGCGCGGGAGGCGTGGTCGCCGTGGCTGCAGCCGGCGGCGGGCGTGGCGGCGCTGCTGCCCGCCCTCCTCCACCACGCCGACCACGACGCGGACCACACCACGGACCATTACGGAGACATGCTCACCAGCTTTGTCTCCATGCTGCGTGTCCTCTGTGATGATTTTCCCGGTCTGTAAATATTTATCATTGAACTTGTGTAGGAATTTAAGTGGATGGTTAAAGTATTTTCAATAATAATGTGTATCGCGATGGTTATCATCATCTCATCACTGTTGCGTTATATATGACGATGTTGCTACTTTGTTTATCTGTTTCCTATAGTGTCTAGGTAGTGAATACAGGTGTAATAATTGAACTACATTAGTAAATATATTTTATAGTGTGCTTTCATGTCTTATTAGTTATTCCACAGATTATATTTTCCAAGACAAGTTTAAGATATATAAATTATTAATAATATATAATTCTCTCTGCTCCATAGTCTGATGTCCGCCATTTTGCAATTATAATTAATCGATGATGATAATCAAGCGGAACGTTCCCTGAGCTTTTAAAAGCATCCATAGTAAAACCCCTGTATAAGAAAGGTAATAAAGATGATATGGCAAATTATCGTCCAATCACATTAATACCAATTTTCTCAAAGATCTTTGAAAAATGCATGTTGACGCGATTAATGGATTTCTGTAACAAATATGAAATAATTTCAAAAGACCAATATGGGTTCCAAAAAAATAAGTCGACAACACTTGCCTCATTTTCTCTCATAAAAACAATTTTGACAAATATAAACGACAAAAAATACACTACAGCTGTATTTTTCGATCTTTCAAAAGCTTTCGATTGTGTATCCCACAAAGTATTGTTGAATAAACTGGTAAACGTTAGAATAAGAGGCCTTGTCCTGGATTGGATAGCTTCTTATCTTAACAATAGAAAACAATGTGTGACAATCACAAAATTGGATAAATATAATATTGTCACACCTTATTCTTCTGGATACAGATCAAATAAATATGGAGTTCCACAAGGAAGTATATTGGGGCCCATACTATTCTTACTGTATATTAATGATTTAATTGAAATAACTACAAATAAATGCATTGTCTTTGCAGATGACATTTCTATTATAGTAACTACTGATAAAAAATATAAAAACATTGAAAGACCACGAAATTGATATAAATGAAACTATAACTCTAATAATTAAATGGCTTGACATGAATAATTTGACAATAAATGTAAATAAAACTAATTATATTAATTTTAATAAATTGAAAAATGAAATCTGTCATCTTAATGTTAACTACAGAAATATACAAATTGAATCAGTTAATGAAACAAAATTTTTGGGTATAATGATAGATCAAAAACTTAATTGGACAAAACAAATCGAAAATATTAGTAACAAAATTAATAAGTTTATATATGCAATGAAGCGTGTTAAAACATAACAAACAGAAAGACTGCACTTACTGCATATCATGCATATGTGGAATCTGTACTGCGTTATGGACTATTAATATGGGGAAATGGTACAAATATGATAGGGCATTCATTGCTCAAAAAAGTGTATTAGAGCATTGTGTGGTCTTGCACCGTACGAGTCATGTCGAACACGTTTCAGAGAACTTGGACTACTGACGCTTCCATCGCTTTATATATATGAGGTAGCTGTTTTTGTAAAACAAAATTTAAATTCATTTACGAAAGCTCAGGACATTTATCCAAGAAATACCAGAAATCCTAATAGATTGGTACTTGCTAAAACCCATACAATGACACAGTACACAAAAAACTGTGAAAATATGTGTATAAGAATTTATAATTGCATTCCTGAGACATTAAAGACGAATAAGAAAATATTATTTAAGAAGACATTACGAGAATGGTTAAAAAATAAGGAATTTTACAGTTTAAACAATTTTTTTGACAATGTATAAATACCGACTAGAGAGTTTCTTTCTGTATAGTTAATTATGTATAATTTTAAACAATACTATTTTGCATGCCACTACTATGGCAAAACACATGATACTAAGTTTTAATTACCATCTTTTATACTGTGTTTTTTAAGCAAATAAATTATTATTATAATTACTTTAAAAAAGCGCTAAATCACGCACTATTGAAGGACGCGAGAATGTGTGAGCTGAGGTCGCGGTCTTTCTCGTTCTATTTGTCGACATTTACTTGCACCTTCTTTTCTGACTATCTTGTAAAAGTCTATTTAGTAGAAGAGCGTACGTGTAAATGCAGCTATTAACCGATTGTTTAGTAAGGTTTTCTAATTAAAATTTAAAAGAGTGGCATATATTATCAGATATGGAGCGGCACCTTCTGGGGCAGGTGTGGGAGTGGAGCATACAGACGTACGTGTCGGTGCAGGGCGCGCCGGCTGCGCAGGAGTGTCGGCTGCAGATGTCAGCGTTATTGTCGGCGCTGTCCCGCCTCCCCTGGCAGAGACACCAGTGGGTCACAGGTCAACACGTGCATGCCGCGCTGCAGGTATATATGCCTCATTTAAATATATATATATATTATATCTATCTCTATCTATATATTATATCCTATATATATTGACCTAAATTGTAAGGTTTCTTGTTAAAACAAACATGTTTCTGAAACCAAGACTATTCGAAAAGAAAACCTTCATCATAACAAAATCAGCAACAACGACTCGCGGGCCTCGAGAAGCCCGTGCACTCATACAACCAAATGCAACTAACGCAAAAATAAAAATATTTTTATTCATATAGGTCTATTACAGTCTCTTATGATATGTCTAATCTGCCATCAGTTCGGAATGCTTTCGAAATGAGAATGAGAGAAGAGAAGAAACTATCTACCTTATGTATGGTCTTCCTCTACTATTTTTCATATTTTTTGTGTACCAATACGTTATAGCTTTACTCCATTGGTCTTTCCCCCTTATTGTATATCCCGCCAACTCCCATTAAGGTTCCCACCAACTTCCACATAGTTAATTTGTGTCTATTTTCTTATCGTTGTTATTTTAATTTCATCTGATAATTTTTCAATCACATTTAGTTGAAAGTACGTACTTATTGTGCACAGGTCTGCCGCAGTCCGGACAGAGAGATCACGGCTTGGTGTAGCGCGACGTTCTCTGGTATAGAGGCGGATACGTGGCTGGGTGACGTCACGGGCGGTGACGTCACGTCGCCGTCGGCGGGGGTCGACCTGGCGCGGCGGCTCGCTGCTCTGCTCTCACTCTTCACCGCCGCCCCTATGCCTTACACTGCACAGGCAAGTACATCGCATACTATATATAATGTATATATATATCACTCTCAATGTTTTAGTGATTTTATATTGTATACCTATAGGGTTACAGTGCATTCGTTATGACGTTTAAAAATACAGTAACAGTGATAATAAATAAAATTTACATTTTTAATCTGACATTTTAAATATTATTCATGTTTTAATTCTTTTTCAATTTTCTAAATCCATTAGCAATTGGAGGCTGCGTGTCGATTGCCCTGGTGGTATCTTCCTGAGACGACTCTGGATGAAGCCCTTGATAACTACTTTATTGAACACTACGACACCAATCTGCCATACCACGAGATACCGCAGTTCAGGTAATATATTATCCGTTTTTTACGTTATGCATGTAACATATGAATATAAATAACATTAAACACATATACACACAACCAAATTATTTTTATTACAATTTTTGTCTGTGTCTGTTTGTTCCAACTAATCTCTGAAATGGCTGGACCGATTTTGACGAGACTTTTTTTTGGCAGGTAGCTACTTTTACTTTAGAAAAAATCTTTTATTTTAGAAAAATAAAGTTAAATTCCACGCGGACGTAGTCGCGTATACAGCTAGTTAAAAATACTTTAGGATGTCAGAGAACACTCTCTGCCCTAAGTTTTATTTATTCAAAAGTCTGCTAGAAAGGAAGAAAATGCAGAAAAATCTCTGTCAATACGTCAACATTTATTAATATACATTTTGAAAGCTTTGATAGGTATGTATGTAGTAGTATGTAGAATGAAGCTTCTCTGAAACCATACTGTTGTCCTTGACTTAGATTCCAGGGTATCGGGTTGAATTCCCTATAGTATTGACAGTGATATGTTAATTTTACTAAACAGAACCAAGATTTAGAACTAATATTATGTGATTAATGTGTTATTAAAGATCACTTACAAAAATAAGTCAATCCTTGCACACACTCTTCTTACTATTAAGTTACAAGTGCAATAAAGAGTATTCATACCTATTAATTATCAAGAAATTATATTAATCCATGAATTTCAACGTCACAATATAGTTAGTAATAGTTGTGATACGTACATTGCAGCGTGTTGATGCACGAATATATATTTTTTCGGACTACTCTAATGGCTGCAGTTGGCCTTTATAGTTTCACTGGACGATAGGAGCCAAGTGCAGATGGCACTCTAAACCCGCAGAAGGACTTATGGAGCAGTTGAAAGCTAGCTACTGTCTGATGGATACGAGTTTAGTATGAGGCACCTAGGTGTTCGAATCTCCTCAGACTCAGACCGTCGTGATGTCGATCCCCGTTTCAATTGGTCGGGGAATCGATCGGAAAGTCACAATGGTATTTAATTAGGCTAGTCCTAGTTTAGATACTATTAGTAAATTGTGTATTTAACAAAAATGTAATAGTTTATAAGAAGAATAATTGTAACTACGTAAATCGGTGTGACTAGGCCCATTGTAGTTGGTGAAATGATACCAGCGGTGGACTAATGGTAGAAGTTATAAAAGATGTGAAAGAACTCGCGGTGCCTAATGCATGGAACGCCCGAGTGAGGCGCTGCGGGAGATCGGGTTCGATGCCGGTTCGGACGCCCCGCTGTGTCCGCAGGGCCCGCAGCCGTCCGCTGTCGTCGCTCGCGCGCCGACAGGTGTCAATAAAATATTCTGATTATATTGCAGCGTGTTGAGGAGTGCGTGCGCGCTGCGGGGCGCGGACGTGTGGGCGGCGGGCGGGCTGCGGGCGGCGGCGTGGTCGCGGCGGGCGCGCTGCGTGTCGCGGTGGCAGAGCGCGGCCTCCTCGCAACAGTTGGTGGCGCACGTGCCCGCGCATTGCGCCGCCATGCTCCAAATTCTGGATGACCTCGGTAAGCTCATACTTTTATCAGAATTCATGCAATTCTTTATACAGTATTGCATGAAAAAGAAGCATGAATTCTAATGACTAATATTTAAACATATATTTATGTTATATCATAAGTAATTATATACATATATATTCTAACGCCTTTTTTTTAAGTATGTACACAATGTCTTTAAAAATCAGTCGTCAGTAATCCCAGACAATTACTGGAGCAGTATTAACTAATAAACTCTTTTAAAGGTCTAATAACTGATGTTCTATCAAATATATGAAGAAATATATTTTAGTGGTACGAATTTACCAAGTAATGTAGTTACAATAAATGTATGTTTTGATTAATATTTAATTATAAAATATGTTGTCACTTTTTATCTAGCGCCATTTGTAGAGGAGTCGAGTGGAGAGTTGGAAGATTTGTTCAGTCGGGCGGTCGTCATCATGTGCGTGGAGTCGGCTGCTACTGTTGCACTACCTGTGAGTGTACCCACTAAATAGTTTTTAAAAGTATAATATTGATAATATAACTGATATGTTTGCTTATATAAAACTAATTATTAATCGAATCGAAATCTTATTTAACCTAAAAGCCTTACTTAACCTGAAACTAGTGAGTTTCAGGTTAAGTAAGGCTTCGAATTAACCTAAAACACTTAGTTTAGGTACACACAACAAAGTAAAATGTAGATATTGGATGAAAAATAAAATAAATTGTTTAGTAATTTGTAAAATTACTGGGCGTTATCATGTATATAGGCGCGGTTGCTACTCGCTGTCAGATGTGCCGTCAGCTCGTTTCCAGTACCAAATATATATATAAAGGCAAAATAGTTACGTCGTATGTAAGTAGTCAGTGGGTAGTGACGGGTGTTACGTGGTGTTACTTATATTGTTAACGGGGCCTCAACCCGAATAATATCCACGAATGGTACGGGAGGCGGGTTGAAATGGACCGGTGCTCGATTCGCGGGGAGTGATGTGGTGTGCGCGTGCGCAGGCGTGGGTGCGGTGGGTGCGCGAGTGCGGGCCCGGCACGCGCGCGCTGCGGGCGGCCGCGGCGGCGGTGGCCGCGCTCACGCCGCCCGCCTACTGCGCCGCGCTCGCGGACGCAACCGCGCGCACCATGCTAGCGCGACACGGTACGTTAACTAATCTTTACATATACCAAAGTTTTATAGGCCATACAAAAGTTTATATTGATCCAGAAACGATAACTTGGGCATTTTCTAACAGTGCTGACGTTGATTCTCGGTGACTATTTGAAATTATTTTAAAAATTGAAAGTTTTATGATGAATTGAAATATAAATAATTATTTACCAACATTATTGTATTTTCAGTAATTAAAAAGATTATCATAAAAAAATAGAAAATGATTAAAAATTACGGGAAATCCTTGATTTTTATATATAGTTAAGCACACTGAAGAAAATAATATTATTAAAATTGTCCTTAGAACGAATAATTTAAAATGATTTTTCTATAATATGGTATTGAAGTTGTGATGAACGTCGCCAGAATGCGGCGGGTGGGAGGAGGTGCGAGCACGCTGGCAGCGCTGCACGTGGGCGGCGGAGGCGGCGGCCGCGCACGCGCACCTGCACGCCGCCTACGGGCTCGCGCACGCACTCACGCACCGCGACCGTGCGCGCTCCTTCCTCGCGCTGCTCGCGCTCAACATTGACTTGTGAGTACACGCCGGCTGCGCTGCACGTGGGCGGCGGAGGCGACGCATAGCATACCATTATATAGTTGTATATTCTAAAAAGAAAATCAAAGGTGAACTATAAAAATACTCGCCTATTTCTGGCGCCAAGTAGCTAGTTATAACAGCTAATAAACAACTGAAACTAAGAATCGTAACGTTGTAAGGTGTATATTAAGCAGTAAAGTTCCATTATAAGAGTGATGACATATTTGTTCTCTGGAATGGCAATAATGACGATGAATCACGGGTGTCAAAGTGTATAAGTGACCATCATATGAGCCGTTAGCCTGTTTTATTTTCATATTATAAATCTGTGCAATTTTCACAGAGTATTATTGTAATACTATTACTATATTTGTAGCTTGGAAAACGAGGTGATAATAGCCTTATGGATATGCTATGCATGCCGCGCGGTGTGGCAGAGCGTGGACGAGGCCGGAGTGGAGGCGGCCGAGGGAAGCGCGGGGGGCGGCGGGGGCGGTGACGGCGGCGCGGGGGGCGACAGTGTCGCGGAGGTACGAACCCTAGTACATCATGTTGTACCTATACTGTTAGTGTGTGCTAGAGACGTCATAATGTTTCCCTTTTGTTCCCACATATACAACGTTAATCGTAAAGGATGAAAGCCGAGTAGAAAGCTTACGAAATAGAACCATATACTAATAGTAATAATAATGACACTGGACAATTTACACAATGCCATCTATCTAGTCCCGAGCTAAGTCAAACTTGCGTTATGGGTACTAGACAGCTGATATAAATAATTACATTGTGTATAATATATACGGCATGATCACGGGTAAACTGAGAAGCAACAAAAGGTTACATGGTAAATAAAATGTTTTATGTGCAGACATAGACAAGCGAAGACGCGTGAAAGTAAACCAATACTTTCACGCGTCTTCGCTTGTTGCTACTATCGATGTATTATACTGTTTTAAATTTGACGCGGTTATTATTTATAAACTGGTTTACCCGTGATCATGGCGGTTGAAACATTGCCGAAATATCGAGAACTCAGCAAATAAATATAAAACGTGGTATGATCGTGTGATTTTTACTTATTATACGTATTGATGTACATATACTGATTTTGTGATAATATGTATACGCAGGCGGAGGACTGCCGTCGGGCGGCGGGGACGCTGCTGTCGCGGTGGGCGGAGCCTCCGCGCCGCACGCTGCTGCGGCTCGTCACGCTGCAGTCCAGCACTGACTCCCCCACTGCAGAGTTAGTATACATGACTTGTTCTGATAACACCTGCGCAAGATATACATAGATACAATATCTTATAGAAAATCTCCCGCTCTCAGCATTTGGGTATTGGAGATTTAATACCCAAATTCAGAGGACCCGGCTCCGAGTATGTACAGACTCGTTAAGTGTTGATGTGATAACACACGGGCGGCATATATACGCAACTTCGGGGAATGGAGGGGATTGTTAATTATAAGAACTAGTGGCCCTATTTCTAACTACAGTCAATGTAGACTACATTAGATCTTTACACATTCCCCTGGAAACCATAGTTAAGTCTTGGCTTCTTATGGGATAATTTACCTGCTTGACTAGGTGCTAATGCTGCTATTTGTTCCATGGTGTCCCCCAGCGTATATGTACTTTTAGCGCAGACTGGAATCTCATAATCATAAATTAATTTCATATATTGAAAAACTTCACTAATGCCTATAAATTCACCATGTCTTATGTTAACATTAGTGTTTAAAATTTGAACTAAAGATATCTATAGCAATTTATCCTTATCAATTTTCGAGTGTACAAAAAATTACAATAGCATGTTTTACCTGGTCATAATCAGAATAAATATGTATCAGGCACCGTGTGCTGTGCCTGCTGGCGCTGTACATCCTGTCGCCTGGTGAGTCCACCGCGCGTAGTTACAACGCGGCCCTGTCCGCCCTGCCGGCCGGCCGGGCGGGGGGCGCGGCGGGGGCGGGGGGCGCGGGGGCGGCCCCCGATGCCCCGCGCCGCTCGCGCCTGCCTCATCTCGCCGCGCTGCTGTACCCGCGCTCCCGGACCTACTTCGATCTCGAACTACAACTGGCCGTCGACGACTGAATCCTAGTTGTAGCTCAAAACTATATCATGATACTTTTTATATTTTGATTTTATTATGTATTATTAAGTAGTATTCTAATTAAAATATGTATAATGTGAAATTTTCCACGTCGAGTAACGCACTCAACGTGGAAAATGGACTGTGTGATTGGGGTCGACGCCCTCGTCGGCGAGGACGATGTCATGTGTTTTTGTGCAGCGAGATAAGAATGGAGCGTAACAATTGAAGGGAGATTTGCTAATATTATAGCTTTTGGTATTATCGGGGTCGTCACGAACGTGACTCGAGCGGTTTATGACCATGTGTAGATACTGTAAGTCAAATTGTTCATTAAGATTATTATGTAGGACATTTTAGCCGCTTATGAACTTATTTTTTTTATAGTATAATTTTTTCCCTACCGTCCAGTTCAGTATATCGATCCAATAACAACAAACTGGCAATAAAATCAATTTAATTACTTTTTTTTAAGCCAGTTTATTTACAGTGTATATTTATATAGGCGTCTATGTCTAACATTACCTGAAAATCCCGTGCATGAACAACTATTGCCATGCACACATTTAGGAAATTGAGATTTAAAGTTTTATTAAAAAGAATTTTGCTTTAAAAAAGAAGATCGACTAGACATTAGCATTCATATGTCCAATGTGAAGAAATGAAAATTGTTGCACTACAACAAATCAGTATCAACGTAGATATATGAACTGTATGAGTGAAGAAGATATGATAGTCTGTAGAAAGGACGAAGATAATCTTTTATAAGACTTAGACGACTGAATATGTAAGTGTGACCTCACCAAATAATGTAAAGGATAATTAAAATCTTAATTACTATTAGCTTGTATATTAGTAAATAATAGGATATAGAAATGATTCCCGAATGGACTAGTCCCCAATTGTAATGTTAATTATCGCAATATACTATGTTGTAGTATTTTAGAATATGCTATTTTTTTTATATGTATTTTATCTTTTTGTTTTCCATTATCATATGATTTTGTACATTTTATTATACTACGTAATTGACAAAATCAATACTCTAAAATTGTTTGATATTAATACGTGGTGTAAAACCTTTATGGGGTATAAACGACGAACGAAAATTGCGCGGACGAGAGATTGCGAAGAGTATGATTTCACACACTTGTTAGTGCAGAATACTAATAAAATTCGGTCAAGTCAGACTAGTACCAAGTGACTGCGATTTTTATTAATATATAAAGAAATGAATCGATTTATTTATCTATGCTTTATGGCCAATGATATAAAATTGTAAACTGTAATTAAATAAGAACTATTGAATATGAATATATGGATTTTGCTAGAGCGATGTCTATTATGCGCTAGCGTATTAACGCTTTAGTTTTCCATTAAAATACCTTTTAAAATTTAATCGAATTTAAATATAATTATTATGACAATACCTTGCAATCCCTGTTGGGCATTGATCTCTTCTCAAAGTTCCTCTTACTTTTAGGAAGAAGAATTATCCTTATTTTTGTTTGATTTTTTCTCTTCACCTTTTGTCGGGGTTACGGTCAGTCAGTCAGTTGCGAATAGTCTTCTACAACCCCGACGGCGCTGGTCCGCCTATGCAGACTCCTTCTCATTTAGACGATTTAGCCGATGTTAGGTGTGACAACACTATCTTGGTGACTTGTATTTGTGTTGTGTTTCAAAATATAATTTAGTAATCCACAAAGTAAATTAATTTAAATACCCACACATAACTCACATTGATTTATTGGTACCGACTACCAATAAATCAAAGTGATCAGTTGTGTGATAATAATAATAATAATAATCATCAGGACAATTGATACAGCGCCATCTAGGTCCAAATTAAGCTAGCTAATAGCTTAATTTGGACCTAGATGGCGCTGTATCAATTGTCCTGATGCTTGTGTTGTGGGTACTAGACAACTGATATTGAATTTCGTAAATACATACATATTATACATAGCCATGCAGACCGATACAAACAATTACCATGAAACATGTACTCATGAATACAAATGTTTGTGCCATGCGAGGAATCAAACCCGCGAAATTGGAAGTAAGGCGGTGTACTAAACCGCTAGCCAACCGAGGCCGTTAGGTTTTGTTAATATATGTTTGTTATCATCTGTTTGTAAAGTTTTAAGATCATTAAATTGTTATTTTGAAATAAATAAATATTATTATTATTAAATATGGAAATATATAATTTCGTGCAACGTCTATTCTTGTTCTATGTTTAAAACATTTATAATCCTCCATTTTGGTTGTTATAATAAAAATCAAAATGGCAGAAAAATAGTTTATTTGTTTCAATAAAATATATCTTATTTTTAAGTATTAAATGTTCAAAATTGCAAGTCAAGTTGACTTCTTGAATCATAATGATTGTATGTGATCAAGTGGTGCTATAAAGCCATGTAATTTTTATATGAATAAAACTAGAAATTTAATTAAAAATTGGTTTTTATTTCATACAGTATACTTTCAGTTTGACTTATAAATATGACTAGTAGAAATAGAATGTAAATATGTAATACCATAGAATAAATATTATATCAGATGGGACAGTCAAAATCATAGTTGACAGTCGATGTCGTGCGACACTTGATATGTTCATATATCACTCGATATAGCCAGTCATTAGTATTATGGTTTGTTAACGATGTTTCTATCACCAGAGAATCGGTTAATAATAGTAATATCTTAGGATAATTCACCCAGCGCCATCTAATCCAAAGTAAGCAGAACTGTGTTATATGTACTAGACAACTGATATACATAGATTGTTTTTTTAATACATACATAATATAGTTACGTAGTAAACACCCATATCGATACAAACCATTATACTCATGAATACAAATTGTACCGTGAGAGGAATCGAACCTGTGACCATCGGTTGTAAAGCGGTTTGCTAACCACTGGACTACTGAGGCCATCAAATATTTAGTAATAATAGGTAGAAATTTTATATGTAGTAATATTTATTCTATAGTAATATAAAACATAATAAAAATATATATTACGTACAAGACACTGTTGCTTACTACTGATAGTATAAATAACAGTAAAATTATGTTTACATAGATATAGTTAGATTACGCGCTTGTGAATATAATTTTGAATAGGTTAGACACTGTAGCGTCTAATTAATGTATAATATATTAGTGCAAGTTATAGTTTGATATATGTAAATAGCTTTTGTAACATCAATGCAAACATTGAAACAGGATTACACGTACAGAGTGAAAACTTTAGCCAGTGCTCATTTTGTAAACTTGTTACCCGTTACATAAATAAACGACTGCTATAAATAATATTAGATATTATCGTTATCAGTAAATATTTAAAGTAGGGAAGAATCTAGTTCATGTTTTCCTTAAACAAATAAACATTAATCTTATAATTCTAAACTATAAACATCCTTATATCTATGAATGTTGGAAAATAAAAATGCGTTTAGAATAGTCTCTCACAAAACACTACCTTCATAGTGTCAGGAAATTCGTTCTCCACGTGCATTGCCGGGATACGCCTTCTACACAGATATCTCTACATACTCAGGAAGGGTTCTGTCATTTTCTTTCAAATGAACAAAAGAACTTGAAAGAACAAGACAAAACAAATCTACAGCTACAATATATTTATTAAGCGACCTACACACGACACTAAAGTCAAGGACAATATCGGACTAGTGGTGGCAGTTTCCTAGATCGTCTCAGCCAGTTTACACACCCTGAATGAAAACAAATATATGTAATTAGGGCTAACTCTTGCCTTAAAATTAGAAATAATGGTGTTCACATTAAAGTCAGTTTTCTAATGTATAGGAGACGAAAGATGTTCTCTTTCCTAAATCATCTATGTTAGTATTATATCAGAGTAGTAGTAGCGACCGTAGGTACTGAGGCGGTAAAATGTAAGTAAAGTAAATGTAAATGTATAATGGACCAGTGGATAAGACCCAGTTTTCACAGCCTACATGAAAAAAAAAAAAAGAAGCGCCTCCCATGCCTTAAAGTTTCTAAATTGACTTTTAACGTCTTACTATTAAAGTCTTTTTTTTCTGAATGTACAGAACAGAATACAAGAGATAGGTACTTCCATCCCTAAAAATTAATAAGTCGTCTAAGTTAGCATTAAAATTAGCAAATTAAGGTTTTCTGTCGACTGTTTATATAAGCTCCCAAGTTCTCAACAAAGTAGGTCTTAGACCTAAACCTTAAAGGGACGTGTACACACACTCCCTTAAAATGGCTTATTTGTATATCTACTCTTTTAACGTAGTGATTACTTGCTCAATAAATGATTTTGTATTTGGTGAAATTGGGGCCGATTTTACCATCATCACAACTGCTCCAATATTGCCCATGATTTTAGTGTTGTGTTTACAGCGTTTTAACCCTTTATTTTCTAAACTAATAATAAATAACAAAGAGGAAATATTTGATTTTTTATATGTAATTGTTGAAGTCAAAAATAAGGCGACTGATTTTTAAATCTATCACTTATAGAATATAATAGTTACGTTGTCGTTGATTGTCTTTGACATTAAAAAAAAACTTAGGTATTTCTATTTTAGATTTCTAGATTATTTACTACTACAAGTTTAATTATAAAAATAAATACCTAATACCTTCTAATAATTCGAAACTCTTTATATAATCTAACGCAGTTAGTTTAAGCATTAAGAATTACTGTTTTGCCATAGTTAAGCGAAGGGTGAATCGCGGAGCGATCTTACAAATCAGATTTGCACTCTTTGTAATGGTAGTCCACCGAAACGGCTTGATTGATCAAGACCAAAACTTCATCAAAGGTCGTTCTTCAGCTTCCATCGTTTACCACTTTTAAAAAATCCGAGCGGTCAAGGACGATTTTTTAAGAACAAACGCGCTCCGCTCAACATGCGACATGGTGTGTAAACAACACACCAGTAACAAACCTAGTTTTATTAGTACGATTTCTTTAAAATAAACGCCTAATCATCACCACCTTATCATCAATGATAGCTAGAAATGTTTAATGACTATCTAGCTAAGCTATCGTTACAGGCACTTCGTTATGTCTAACTAATGTACAATGTCTGCGAGGAATAATACCAAACATTATCAGACAGTATCTTATCACTATGTTACACAATCTACATTAGAAATAAATCTGTTTTATGATATATTGCTTCCTAGACTATATTCTAGATTACCTTGCTTTAACACAGTTTCTATTAGTAAGTGAAGTAGGTAGTTTTCTTACTGTGATATTTTTAAACAATTATGCATAGTGTCAACAGTTGTTGGTTAAAAAAATATTTTTTTCTTATGTAACTCGTTGAATAAACATTCTATATATAATTAAAGGTGAACACGCACATTTTTACCGCGACCTCGAATGCAGTAAACTTCAAAAACCACTCTGTTATCCGATTTCATCTACATTTGTTTATATAGAAGATAGTCTATGTCCATCTTCGAGTTACAGTTCAGGCCTTTAGTTGTGGTAAAGTAACAAATAGACAGACATATTTGCATTTATAATTTTACCACAAATACCACCTGCGTTAAAATTATGTATTAATAAAAAATAAACATTATGAGTGATGAAATTTATTTTGAAATAAACCTAAAGTACCAACTTTTAAATAAAAAAAGAATCATCGAAATCGATTCTGAGGTAACACAAAAGATGCAGTCAAATGTCAACCTCCTTATTTTTTTGTCGGTTGACAATCACATTTTTGCGACGCAAAATTTTATAAGATATTAATTAGAGAGTAAATTATTGTTTGTATTTTTTTTGTCATTATTGTAATGTCAAGACGAGTCAATAAGATTCTATTTTATTTCTAATATAACACGCAATCTCAGCACGCAAAAATAAGAGCATGTTCACCTTACTCAATAGCGCATTCTATTAATGTTTTTTTATCACGTAGATACCCTGTAATATCACTGCCATATCACAACCAGCAAGCTGACGGCAGAATTACATGCGACAGAGGTACCCACGCAGACGTGACTACGTTTCAAGTCAATCGGAATGATCGAGATGATCGAGAATGATCATTACCTTAATTTTAAGATTAACTATTTAGAAGAAGCTAGTCTCTTTCCGTTGTAATGTATAATGAGTGCTAAAACAGCCGATACAGAGGCGACAGCGCTAGCTTTCTTGGCGCTGAGGGCGCCGCCCCATAGCCAGCCCGGGGGCAGCCAGCTGACCGCGTGGATGACGTCCAATATCAGCTTGGTGGATGTCATACACGCCTGTCTGTACTGGGCTGGTGCACACTTGGTGCGTTGCGGCGATTTGAGGACCTTCGCTTTTGAGTGCAACGCGCGGATGGACCTGTCACACAAATTTATTGTTATTAAACTCAAACTGAAAATATCTTTATTCATGTAATTACATAAAAGACACTTATGACAAATCTAATTATATGAATTTTATGTTAATTTATCCCCTTAGGAGTGGAATTTATCAAAATTCTTTCTTAGGGGATGCCTACGTCATAGTAGCTTTATGCATGCAAAGTCTCAGCCCGATCGGTTTGACAAAGTTTCATACAAATTTTCATCCCCTATTTTATCCCATTGGAGGTAGAATTAACCAAAATCCTTAGCGGATGCCTACGTCATAACATCTATCTGCATGCCAAATTTTAGCCCATTGGTTTGGGCTGTGCGTTGATAGATCACTATGTCAGTCACCTTTCAGTTATATCTATTTAGATAATAATCTACAGTAATAATAATAATATTGTAGGACAATTTACACAACGCCATCTAGTCTCAATGAAAGCAAAGCTTGTGTTACCTTTAACAGATATAAATACATAAATACATTTTATTTGTAAATACACACATAATATACATAGAAAACACACAGACCTATACAAACAATCATACTCATGACTACAAATGTTTGTACTGCGCAAGGAATCGAACCCACGACCGTCGGAATTAAAGCGGTGTGCTAAACCGCTAGACCACCGAACAAAGTTTGAATGTTATATTCATTTATATTTAAGCAACAGCCTAAAAAATAAGTTACAAGCTTCTAGCTTTAAAAATGACGATACTTCCAGAAACCTTTCATCTTCTCTTGCAATTCCTTACAACCCTATTTTCGCATTAAAAAGTAGGCTATATCCTTTTTCTGTGTCTAGACTAATTGTGTACCAAATTTCATTGAAATCGGTTTAATAGTTTTGGCGTGAAAGCGCGACAGATAGAGTTAGGTACTTTTGCATTTATAAAATATTTTAACCTAAACATCTATACATATAAATAAAATTGGAGTGTCAGTTTATAATATTGAAATAACCGTTTTTTACTACATACATATTAAATACGGTACATACACCAATATATTATTTTTTACAATTTACGTCTGTCTGTCGGTCTGTTTGTTCCGGCTAATCTCTAAAATGGCTGGACCGATTTTGATGGGACTTTTTTTGGCAGGTAGCTGTAATAAGGAGCAACTTAGACTACTTTTATTTTAGAAAAATAAAGTTATATATTAACCACGCGAACGAAGTCGCGGGTACAGCTAGTACCTAATAAGGTAAGGATTTTACGTGCTCTAAAATCGGTTGAATCTGAAAATCAGTGTTACGTTCTCTAAACAATCTTCTACACTGAGCTTACAACCTATTTGTATTGATGCCGATCACACATAATGGCACAAACTTGTTAATCTTATATCGAACTATTTATTGTCTATATTTATAATAGAGTAATTGTGTGTGATTTGTAACAATAAAATAAAACAGTTATCTAATCTATCTATTGCGAGTAGTTCTTTTTAATTTTTTTTCATTTTCTTATAATAATTTTATACCCATTTTAGCCCTTAGTGAAGAAATTATTGGTTTCCCATACAAACTTGCATCCCTGTTTTCAACCACTTCCAGATTAAATTATTTAATTAATATTAACATCGTGACATAATCTTCTACGTCGTTAAATTTCATTAGGTGCAGCTGTGATACTGTAGGTATATATATTATATATATATATATATATATATAAACTCATAAAGTTATAAGCAGCGAGTCAATGCCGAGATGACTAATTACCTGATAAATCCGACGAAAGCGGAAAGCGACCAGAACAACTTATGCGCTGTCCTCACCCTGAAGTCCACATCCTTGGAGACCACAATGATGCCGACGTCAATAAGGAACATGACCTTCTCTGCTTGCAAGTATAGCAATGAGAACACGCTATTTGCTACACCAATGGGTCCCCATATCGGTCCATCCTGTAACACAATATACAAATGTAATAAAAAAAATGTACGGCATAGACATTATTGTAAGAAATCATTTGTAGTCAAAGTAAAAATGAAATTGTTGAATTTGATTAAAAAAAAAACCAATATACCTATTATAACCTAAAAATGTAATTAGTCTGTGGTCTGTATTCTGTAGTATTAGAGAGTCTGTAAAATGTCGAGTTGTTAAAATTAGTGGAAAAAAAAGTTTTGAAGGTTGTTGTAGTGAAATAATTCCTTCAAATATTGTGTAAATAATTATTGAATATTGTAAAATGAATATTGAATATAATACTCCTAGATGAGGTAGGCATTGTTTTTTTTTTTTTGGTGATAATGGAATGGTGGGCCGTCTGCGCTAACGGTTTACGCTGGCGGGGCACCAGTAGAGGATGATAAAATGAGCATGAGGTCAGGTCAGTTAGACTATCATGACATATTCATCAGGAATTTATCACGATTGTTTCCAGGGGGAACCGCGTGGACGTCAACCCAACATTACTTGCAATGTACCTTACAGTGCAGGTAATAAGGTCAACACCACATTACTAACGCCCGCATATTACTGACCATATTTGAATGAAACAGGGCTTAAATCCAGTAAGCTGTATTATAATAGACATTTCTATCATAGGAGATAGATAAATAAAAATTTACACATAAATTATAGATATAAACTAGATTGGAACCAGTATATTTTATGGTTTATAACTCGTAAATCCAAAAATGTATCCGTAAGTCGTAGTTATAATAGGCCGTTCTCGATATATTTGTGTTTTAATTTATTTAGGTCATTTTATTATTATTTGTAATTTTAGTAAAAAAGTTGTTTACTAATCAAATCAAATCAAAATATCTTTATTGATGTAGGTTTATCAGACACTTATGATAATCACTTATCATATAATCTACCGTCAGTACCATATGTAGTTTGAGTCGAGAATAATTGAAATGAAACTGCAATATTTTGTTTATTGAATTTGTATTCTTGAAGATGTTTGTACCGTGCGAAGAATCAAATCCGCGATCATCAGAAGTAAGCCTGTGTATCGATGAATCGATAGACCACCGAAGCCCTCACATGAATGTGATGACCACCAGCATACTCTACGGTTTAATTTCTTTTACTCTGTTTACTATAGGATATAGTAGGGATACCCCCCTGAATAAGTGGCGATCCACAATCCCATTTCTAGATCATTTAACAACTATAAATAATTGAAGAGTGCGGTTTCAGAGGAGCTTGCTCCCGCGTACACTTAGATTGTGGAATGAACTTCCTGCCGAGCATTTCCCACGAGACTACAGCATGGGGTTTTTCAAGAAGGGTATATTAAGGTTTTTTAAGGGTCGACAACGCGCACGTGATACTTCTGGTGTTTCAGGCGTTCATAGGCTACGGTAACCATTTACCATCAGATGGACCGTATGCTTGATTGCCACCATCGTAGTATAAAAAAAAATAAGTATGTACCACCATGTATTGTAATCACTAAATTTTTAATTGAAATGGTTGATGAAAATTGTAATTAATATCTTAAGATACGAAAAAGATCGACAGCGCTATATATAAAATTGAAATCACAGAACAAAATAATCAGCAATCATAACTTGAATGGAACAGTCCCTACAAGCAAGCTAATATGCACCTTATACATATATGCATGAAAGATCAGAATATAACTACTGAACCTGTTTCCCGAGTCCATACGCGACCCAAGTCTTCAAAGCGGTTGCATCGTCAAATAAGCGTGTTGCAGCGCGCGCCGCCGACAGCTTGGCACTTGCGGTCATCAAGTCCTTCCTCTCTGCTGATGATCCCCATAACTTCAACAAGTAGCTCGCTAGTGATACCACCTGTTATATATTTGTAATATTAAGTATATAATCCGCCTACGAAGTGCAATAAAATATATGTATATTGTACAAGATTATCTTTATATAGTAGGTATAAAACAAAAAGCCCGCCGCTGTCTGTTCGCTTATATCTTTTAAATTATCCTACGCATTTTAATGCAGTTTTCAGCAATACATAGAGTGATTCAAAAGGGAGGTTTATATGTATAATACATGCATGTTATAGTATGGAACAAGTCGAGAAATTAAAATATTTGTAATGCATCCGTGAGAAGCTGGGACGGGTCGTTAGTTATTATAAAATAGAAGTAAAGAGGAAGAAGGGAAGACCAAGGAACAGCTATATCAACTAATTAAAGACTAAATTGGAGTCGTGCCACAACAAAAATTAAAAGGCATGGTAGAAGATCGTGGAAAGTGGTTACAGCTCCACCGACAAGCGCGAGTTATAACTCACAAGGATGTAAGTTGTAAATAAAAATTATTATCATTGTTGTTGTTTTTAATTGTTCTTAATCCTGCTTGTATTATGCCTTCTTAGATGACAGTACATTTACTGGATACAAAATACCTACAATCTACCCCTAATAAAAGCAACACAGAAGAGGAGAATGGAGTCTTAGTAATAGGGGCTGGCTATATTGCTAACAAGTCATGTCAGGATGACTTCCAATGTTCCAAGCTCCACCAGGAAGCTATTGTTATGGTTAATTCATGGTAAATTCACCACGATGACCTTCCTGACTTGACTTGTAATATACATGACTATAGTCCTATTTCCACTGGTGCCTAGTCAGCGTATACCTATCGTTAGCGTAAGCGAAGACACCATTTCAAATTCACCCGTACAGAATCTAGTCAGTAATAATAAAGCCAAATCTCTAAAGATCTATTTGAGCTATCAACGTTATGCCTGTCTTTAAAGCTATTTCCTTCAAAAAATAATATTAGGCAAAATAGTTTTAGTTTTTAAATATTATGAATAACGAATTAATAGATATTATAGTGTGAATTGTAGAGGTTGTGAATTCGATTTCTACGATAAACTGTTGGGTTGACCTTGAAAATCATCAATCATGCGTGTTCAGATCGTTTATCTCTGGAACTGCACACTACACTTCTTTAAAATGTCTTACAATATATTCAGGTAATATCTACCTACATATTAGTAGACATATGTTAAATATTCAAACTAGACAGTAAAAATAACCGTTAGTAAGTAATAAACATCAACCTACCTTATCACGGTTGACGTGACTTTGTAGCAGATCACAGAATTCATTCACCACATCCATAGCTACAACACTAATGTATAACTATATAAATAATATATGTAATAATAAAAGAAACGAGTATGTGATACGAAATTCTGAACTATAGTCACGAGACCTAAACAATTTTATCGTAAGTCATATCTGTGTGATAATATAAGATATAGTATATTCGGTAGTTAAGTGTCGAACGTCCAAGTACATTAAAATTTGCACTTGTTATAAAACCTCTTATGAAATTTGTATTAAAACTTAGATTGCAGTAAACTACAATAATATTATTATATTTTACATTCTCCGGCATATCACAACATCAATAAAGATTTATACTGACAGTATTATAATGAATGACATCTTATATGACCTAGTAAATGTGTTTATGTGTGTACAATCGCGTTCTAGATTGTTTATAGCATTTATTTAATTCTCTATATTGTCCCAACATTTTACATTGAAAACGTTTAATTCCCGAACATATTGGATTTTGTTTAATTCCTTTACCATTAGCATAGGTGACTTCAAAATATTCAGTGCGGAAACCTGACCACCGCCACTGGAACTCACGACCTCATACCATTGGTGATCAAATTTCGACAGTTATTGAGTCTACGCCCAAATTCCCTACCGTCAATGAGTCTACACCCAAATTGCGACACGTGTTTCGCCTCTGTATATCATCAGGCATTGAATAGTGTTCAGATATAGCTTGGAACCCTAGTATTGACTGTTCGATGACCAAACAGCGACTAATAGTCGATACAAGACGGAAATGGACTTCCATGAAATAACACCTAATTTTATTAAATGTATATTTCCGTTCCAAAATAAAAATGAAACAATTCTAAAAAGTATAAAAACGTTTTAATACAATTATTCATATATACATATATATTAGTGTCAATTATTACATTCATATAAACCGACATTATCTTCGTATTAAATACAAAATTGTGATAAATTTTATTTATCAAAAGTACATACATATACTTCTTTGTGAACATTCACAGTTCATGAAATATTGACAAAATTAAAGTGGCCATAGTTCATTTTAACAGAAACCTTATTAAATTTATATAGGTCGGATTATTACTTTCATAATGTTTAAAATAATTAATTCAGATTAGATTTTATACAAATCACTTTTAAAATCTAAAGCATCTATTAAAGAACATCATGATTTACGTAATAAATTCATTGTTATACAATTTTTATCTATTTTTGTTACGATTATAACAATTTATTAAAGCCTTGCGTCTGTGACGAAATCTAATTGTTAATACCATTTGCGCTGTAGCATGGTGCGGGTGACAGTTTCATTAACGTTTCGTTTCACTCTTAAAAGTTGCCGCGATTTACAAATTATGACTTAGTATTTCAGCTGTACCACATTCGTAATATATTAAATAATTAATAACCGTATTAAATTAAATGTAGCAATTGTTAAATAAAAAATTAATAACTGTCACCCGCACCATGCTACAGTGCACACAGGATAGTCACATAAATTTTAATAGAACAGAGTTTGCAGGAAGTCATTGCCAATATATAAAAACTCTTATTTTATACAAGTATAATTTATATTATAACGAATAGTCTTTATACAAAATTGTATTAAAATATAAAAAATAACTCTTCAAATATTTATATTTGAAGTATGCCGACGGGGTATGAAGGTTCAATATAAAAAAAAAATATTTTTCATATACTATATATAAAATAAATACACATCTCTGTGAATATATATATTATATATAGTCAAGATAATAAGAATAATTGCTTCAAGGGAGGCTTGCTATTGCCTGGTCCGATGCTCCACCATCCCAGACTACAGCCCACCCTATTGGCACAAGGATCTAAAAAATGCGACCAAAAGTCGTCGCAACATTCTGGGAGAAATAGATTTAGTTGCCATTGAAACGAAAGAAGAAGACGAAGAATAAGAATAAAGATTGATATAGAATTTATTATAGTTCATTGATTTGGCAAAGCTTGACTATATTTTTGTTTACTGTTACACTTATGTATATTTTACTATATAATATATTTACAGATAAATACTTTATCTATGTCCATCATAAAAAAATATAAAATTGATACGTTAAATAGTACAAAACAAATTTATTATAACACAACTGTGTAACAGCACACAATAAAGGAACATTAATTAAATTTGTACTCAATGGAAGTTTTAAAAAAATGCAAAACGGAAGTCAAACTTAAACATAATCTACATCTATACGCGCATATAATCCAAATACAAAATGTTTATGAAACATTTTAAAATCACACTTTCTTGATCCGTCTAAATGTAGTCAGATACTCGGTCAGCCGAAGGGTTGCCATAAAGCGAATCCCATTAACACTGGCGTATTTCTTTAATTATAGGAGCTCACAGAATATAAACACTTCAGATTTATCTGTAGCTTTATGGTGAGTTAGTTGCGTCTTCATCTTTGCGACATAAAGCCATAATTTTTTTTATATGTCCAATTTATTTTCCATTAAGTCACGTATGCTGAGTTGGTAATTGATGAATAAAGAACTTATCTATATATCTATGTATATCTCTATCTATCTATCTATATATCATTTCCAAAACTGGCGGAGCGTTGCAACCAAATGCACCAATCGAAGGAGTCGCATACGGCAATTGTTCGACGAGCCGAATGTACGACAGTACTAAGTCCCATATCACCATCCCTAACCAGACATATAAATAGTACACCATTACATAACTATCTTAATAACCGTTTCCTCGCGAAATACATTGCTATACCAATAATTGAGGAGGTTGTCGCGATGGCCGCAACAGTGGTAGCGCCCAGCTTCTCACCCCAGAGCCAACCGGATGGCAGACAGCTGACCGCGTGAGCAATGTCCAGGCACTGTTTACCGGCAGTAACGAATTGCAAGGCTAACCGCACATCGAGTTTCCGCCGCGCGTCCGTGTCGCCGTTCTCTGATGATTTCTTAAGGCAGTCGCGACTCCAGGAGAGTTGGTGGATCGAGCGGATTGTCCTGTGAATTAAAATCTTCATTTAGTTCAATAATTATGTCTGCAATCTTCCATTTATTTCTTCGTCTCATTTGTTTTCAGTTATTTCTCTCTCTCTCTTTCTCACACATATTTATCTTTCCATTTCACGCAACGTCCCATTTCATACATCATTCTATTCTATCCTAATTACATAAATAATTAGCTTAATTAACATTTTTCAATAGTTATATGAACAATCTCTACAATTCACATCATTACATTATGTATGAATAATGGGATTGTACAATTTTGCTTTAGTATCTTGAAAAACATGTTTTTTACTCAACTTTCAATAATTTAAGTTGATTCATTATTAACATTAAATTAATCCGTGCAACAGGTTTTTAAAATTACATAGCAATATTAAAACAACAGTGAACGTTGATACAACATTTTGCTCTTTCTTGTATTATGACTAGGTTTGTTGCCGGTGTGTTCTTTGCACACCCACGTCACATGTTGTGCGGAGCGCGTTTATTGTTAAAAACTCGGCCATTAAAATTAAATTATTTTCAGTAATGTGTGAATTATTTTCAGTTTCCGCCATGCTGTCTATGGCAACCTTTATCACCGATCATTCCTCAATGACACACATGACCGATCGGAATTTTTTCAGTGGTAAACGATGGAGGAATATCTTTCGACGTTCGATGAAATTTTGGTCTCGATCGGTCAAGCCGATTCGGAGGAATATACTGACAGAGAATGCAAATTTGATCTCTAAGATCGCTTCGCGCTTCGCACTCTACTATGTAAACAAACTGGCTTAAAGAAAAAGAAATTCAGTTGAGTTTCATGGCAGTTCTTCTCGATTGAATCTGTACAAACTGTACGATAGGAAAAAATATTAATACAAAAAATTTTACGTTCATAAGCTACAATATTCTACATGAATATTTTTTTTATTTGATTTGATTTGATTTGATCTATTCACTTACTGTATTAGGGAGATGTAGAGACTGGCGGCCCATAGTCCTGTGCTGATTGTATCAAAAGTGTATGCTGTTTGGGGGCTCAGTTTTAGAACACCCACGTCATTCAGCCAACATACTTTTTCTACAGGCAGGAATGCTTGGTCCACCATGTTGGCGAGAACACCTAATATTGCTGCTACTCGTGTTGGCTCCTACAAAATATGTAATTTATTTAACTTTAATGCACACAATACAAAATATAGTACAATACATTTGACAGACACCATGCAGCATTTTCTACATGTCAACCATAAGTGGTGAAGAGAGTAATCGCTAGTGGTGCAAATATAATGAATGATAAACATCTACACTTGCCGCCTAACGTCCGGTGAAGCTGTAAAGGCACTCTGCGGCTAACAGCATTAGAACATAAAAAAAAGACAGTGTAAGATGATAGGATGTAAGTAAAGTAAGACTGTTTAGCCCGCCATGCAAATTAAACAGGAGTTAACTGCGGGAATAGACCGCGTCGAGCTCGATCTTATTTTAAAATATGAATATACAAACTTAGTAATCAAATCTAATAATCATAAATATAATCGTGAGTATATTAGTAAAATGTCAAATAACAGCATAGAAAAAGTACAATTGAAACTATATAAATCTAAAAATATCATAGAATTAGTAAAGTTGCTTTCTGAAAGCATGATATAAAAATAGTGGAATAGCAATGTTACACCTTTGATGTATAAATAAATGGCTCAACTAACCATCATATAATTTAACACACATTTATACATGAGATACGAGATATAAATACATAATTAATAACAACAAATTTCTGCCAGTAACATATATGAAGACATGGTTAAAAAATAGTTATAAAAGAAATCTTTAAAGATTTGATTGAAATAATTAATTGGTGACAAGAATACAACATGATTGACACAGTAATCGAGAGAACAACTAAAGTCCATCTCACAAATCAAATTGATCGTAACATACAGATAAAACTGGACTTTGTTATATTTACAAGATAAAATATTTAGTGTAAACAAGTTTTTTATTATAGTTTTATAATACACTTCTAATATCAATTTTATCATGTATATATCTGTACTATAGTCCAAGAGAGTATAATACAATTAAATTGGATTGAGTGGCTTACATTATAGTACATGGATACAATCAAATAGACCAAGATATTGAAGTTGATTTAGTTTTTGCTTTATTTAGCATATTTAATAAACAATTCTAGTTTGTAATGCAACTGCTTAAATATTATTGAAAAAAAATACTATTGAGATAAGTAATTTAATATGATTGTTGAAGATATTTAATGATGAGATGATTTTTAATTGGTTCAGAAGGTAAGTGAGATTTTCAATAGTTCAGTAAGGTACATGAAATGTGTATGTGTGTATGTTTTTATTTATTTATTCTTCTGCACACTAAATTGTATATACGGCGAAATTAATGCCTGATGGCATTCTCTATCAGTCAAATGTCCTGTTGGACAGTATTTAATGTCTGACAGTGAACCATAGAGTTACATTCTTATTTCAAATTAGTTTAAAAATATATATGAAAACTATTTTCTACATATTCTAAATTTAAAGACAACTGTCTTCCAAATAATATGGCTATAAAAAAATATTGTTCCTTACTCACATGCCTGCCTAGACCATAGTTGTATGTGTGTCTTATCATAGGAACATCATCAAACAGCCGCAGCATAAGTCTAGCATTGGAGAGCCTAGACCCAGCTGCCTGCCATGCCTTCTCATCTTTAATGCAGCCATATAGCTTGAATACATAGCAAGCTAATCTCACCACCTGCACACACAAAATGTATTATTCATTAATTTACATGTCATAGACAAATTAATACAATAAACATAATGCAATGTATTCATAACCAAAAATAAAAAATAAAACATAAAAGCATAAACTTGTAATGCCACATTATGGTATGTTCATTCTTATAAATGTTTCAGTAAGTTTCTTCTTTTCCCTGACACTTAAAAACATTAATTTAAGATTTCAAGACATTAGTACTAGTCATTTAAGCTGTGTTGATATATCAATAACTTATTATAAATAACTTTCATGCTTTGGATATTGCACACAATGTTCAATATTTATTTTATATTGTGCCGGTTATAGAAAAGTTGCGAGGTAAGAGATTGAGCTGATATGGGCATGTTATGCGGAGGAACGAGGATCATGTCTTATGGAAAGTGTATAATATGAATGTGGATGTAAAGGGAGGAGACGCCCTAAGAAAAGATGGGTGGATTGTGTGAAAGATGATATGAATAAAAGAAGAGTATGTTAAGATATGACGACTAATAGAGAGCAGTGTAAGAGAATGACTTACTGCGCCGACCCCAAATAATGGGATAAAGGCAAGCAATGATGGATAATGATGCATAAAATTAATTAAAAGTTTTTATAATTCCTATTTTTTCTATAGTACAATATATTACTATAGTAGATATTTACTTTATTAGATAATTATTCTATAATATAGTTGTTCATTATATATCATATTGGAAACTATTATTTTTCATTTCATATACTATTATCATTCATAATGGTGTAACAGGCGCTCTCTTAATATACTGATTATTAAATGACCAAAATTTTCCAATACGAATTTCAAGGCTGCGATATATTCACATACTTTACCTTATCTCTCCCGTTATAGCTCTCCAAGAGTTCGCAGATATCTTCCAGTGTCGAAGACATATTCGCGTAAACTTAGATCGCACTAGTAGCACACGTCGCGAATTCTTCCTACTGATAACTTATCAAGTGTAACTTCTATAACACAAAATGAGGGCCGACTATACCCAGTGTCCATTTAGATTTGTAACTACTATTACATTTTTCGAACAACTCATTTAAAAAGTTGTAGGCCTTGGTTTCGAAGGGCAAGTCAGACAGCAAATATATAAACCGACAGAGAGAACTTTGAAACGAGAAAGCAGCTGATGATTATTTATATTTTTTATTCTGGATCTGGATACAAAATTAATTAACCTGTGCTAATTGACAATATATCAATTTGACGTTGACAGTTACACTTACATATTGTTAAAAACGTTTATCTTCATCTACGGTGCGCTTACACCCGAATGTTCTTCAGTAATTTAGAATTATAAAAAAAAGCACTTATTACACAATTTTTTTCATAGGAAAATAACTTAATACATACCTAGACAGTTATAATTTTAAAATATACTTGCAAATTGTGCCAAGCCACAAAGAGAAAAAAGTCACATGATTACGCTGTCACTGTCAAGTTCGTTCGAAGCTGTTATTGTAATTTGTAATGTCATTGTCACATTGACTTATGATTTGTTTACGTTCGTTCATTTACCATTAAAATTTTTCTAATAAATAAATAAAATAATAATAATTTTTGTAATTGTATTTTAATCATTCAAGTATCAAAGTATAATATATACTTTTATGTAGTCCAGTAGAAGTATGAAGAGATTTAATATAAGAGATATACCGGAATTTTCCAAAAAAGAGCGAATTGTGGTTGTGGGTGTAATTGGAAAATCTCCATATCGGTACCCTAATAAAACGACCCCACTTTTGCCTTCAGTTAAATATGATGAGGTATATTTTTACTTTTATTAATATATTTATATATATAACCTTATCGAAATAATTTTAACATTTATGTTAAGTACATTAAAAGTTGCAAAAAAATAGCTTATTGAACTGTAGGTTCTGTTAAGGTGGGATATAATGTAAGAATGATATATACTTGAAATTGTAATTATATGGAAAGTAATAAAGCTTAAAAAATATTCTATGATAAACAACCCTTTGCTAAATAAATCTATCTTATAAAAAAGAAATTACAAGTACATAAATTATTATTTGCTGAAAAGGAGTTTTAGCACACAGTCATTAATGTATAATAAATTTAATGTATTTGTAAATTTTTTTGATCTTGTTTTTAATACATGGAGTAAAACAAAAACTAGAGTCATAAAATTAGATTGTAAGTTAAATATGAACATCATATCTATTTTAAATTGCAGAATGGTATTGAATGTCATTGGGATGAACAAAGTGGTGTGCTATATCTACATGCCATCACATATCTTGACACACAACGGCTCGCTGCCTTGACAGAAACTCTCGACGAAAACTCTAAGACCACAGAGAAAGATGCAGATGCTGCACACTGGCTGGTAGCTTCGGGGGAACTTGCTGCGGATTCCTGCAAAGATATAGCTTTGCTGTTCCATCTTTGTCACATTGTGGTGCTCTCTTCACCAACTTCAGTGTTTGATCTTGGTTACTTGCAGTTGTTTAAAGCTATTGATGCATATAGGTAAGAAGTTGAATTAATTAATTGTTTAATGTTGCTTTAATTAGTATGGGCATGTCCAATGACTATGTGAGGCAATTTTTGACAATTGTCAACACTGTCAGATATAAATGATTGAATAAATTAGTTTGCAAAAAAAGGCAAGGAGAGTGTATATTTAAAATGACTTATTTGTAAAAATTTTGGAAAAAGTAAAATTATGTAGATATGTAAAAATTTTATGCAATTTTTTTAGTTTTGTGAGAAACCTTTACCCTTTAAAATTTTATACTGTGGCCCGCCAAGGCACGCTACGCTTCTGGAGTGAGGGGTACCTCACAATCACACTCATAGGCAACTTTTAAAAATAAAAATTATGTTTGATAAACTCAATAGAACCACTTTTGAATAGTTCTATTTTTTACCACTCATTAAGGACACTAACTTTCACAGACTATACCTGATAATGATAAATAATTAATATTTGTAATTGGGCTTACTTAGTATTGCACAATCCCAAATGAACACAATTATTTGGGAAGAAACATTGACACAATATTTTAATTTAATGATTTCGGAATGTGTAATATATTATATGTAATACATAAAATAACTGGTTTTATGCATGTTGAATATGATCAGTAAATCATTATATAACTTCAACAAATCCATCACGAAAATTTGATTTGCATTAATATTCTGTTATTTTTATTTATAGAAATGAATTATCTGAACATGCAGCTACGTCTCTCGTTGACAACCACCTTGGGGGTGCTTGGGAAACCCACGGGCGCTCGTGTTGTCCGCGCTTGTTGTTTCACTTCCGGCGAGCTCCAACGCCGCTGCGAGGTGCCCCAGCAGCACTCAAGAGGTTGGAGCATGCTGTAGAGGACCAATTGTACTTTATATTGCGAAAAGCGAGGATCATTACTAATGTTTGGTAAGTTTGATTATCTCCAATATGATTATGAAACGTACTTAAACCTGTTATTTTTCATTATTGTGTTTACTATCAGTAAAAACAGTTGGGATTGTATGGAAACTACATTAATAAAGATACTGATAAATAATAATAAATATAACTATATTTTTTAATTTTAATTAAACTGCTTAATGATGAATGAGCTGAACTTTCTTGGTTACTAAATGTAAACTGATTTTGGGAAATAATAAGAGATATATGACTAGAGGAAACTTGTCTGCCTTGTATCAGCTTTTTATTGTTAACATTCGTCCCAATTTTCTTCCGGTAAAACTGTAAAATTCAACGGCCAGCATTAGAATAGTTAAATAAAGTATATAACAAGGGTTATCGGCTGATTTTGAAACGTTCTAGCGCAAAATCGCTTTTTGCAATACCTAAAAACGAAGAGTTCGTGTACATGAATGCGGATGAGAGTGCGGCCGGTGCGCGCGATGTGAGCACATTACTGCGCGGCTTGCTGCAGCGCTGCGGAGCGCACGTGGCCGCACCAGTACGAACGAACGCGCAGCGGCCAACCTTCAAGCAGTTCCTGCAGGCGCACATAGACCTCGCCTTCGCGGAGGGCTTCGACGATAACGTCGGAAAATATGCAATGAGCACATCGTTTTTTGAGGTAAATTTAAACTATGATGACAGAAACTGTGGTGAAAGTAAACATACACAGTAGGGTTGGAAGTTGTGTATTAACGTACTCAGGCATGATCTATTTTCCTACGTGCTGAATTGCAATTACTATATGACAAATAATGTGAAACATATTTTTTTTATAGGGTCGCAAGTAAAGTATTATAATTTAGTGTGTAAACAACTAATGCAGTTGATTAATACTCTATTTACTTTAACTCAAAATCTACTACCGCACTTATTAAAATGACTACGAATTCATTCTATATAGAACAACCGCCGTTCATTCGTATCTATATATATGCCCCTTGTATTATTTACTTATTGTATTTATTAAATCTTATATATAAAATTCTCGATCAAGACGTTTTGGGAGTATGGTAACTAACATTGTGAAATGTTAGTTACCATACTCCTCTCAAAAGGGCTTGATCGATTTTTATGAAATGTGCATAACTGAGAATCGGCTACTATCTAATTTTCATACCCCTAAGTGGTAAGGGATATCCACACCTAAATATATATTTTTTATTTTTTCGACATAATATTTTATTTTCATTTTATTACTATTTAGGATTGAAAAATACATACAACCATAAACCTTCTAGCATGAACCCCTTTTTAATAGCGAATTTAATTTATATGGCAAATGAACGTTTGCGGGGTCAGCTAGTAAAATATATAATATAATATGGATGTCGATGTGTACACAATTTTATTAACATAATTTACATTATACAGTATGCATATGTATGACACACATAATATTCGAGGAAACTTTATACATCTCTTATATACTGGTGGTGAAAAAATAATCTATACATAAATTAAAACAGTAACAGCACTCTGTTTCATTTCCAATATGTAACAGACATTGGAATTGAAACAGAGTGCTGTCGTATATGTACATGCTGTTGTATATTGTATATGTACATTGTATATTGGAAGAAAATTGGGCATTATTAGAGCTACTAAACCCAAATTAACACTTTTTACATTATTTTCTGTTGCATGAATGGAAAGGAAAGATGTGTACGAAAGAGAGAGAGAGAGAGCAAGTGGGGACAAACAAAATGATGTTCAGAACATAGAACAATTGAATCGAGATACATAAATACATGGAAGATTACAGAATAATCTGTAGATTCTATTCTACCACAGGAATATATCTTGTTTAAGAAACAAGGCTATGCTAAAATGTTGCAGCTCCCGAGTGCGTCATCATGGCGGAAGGCTGCACAAATACTAGCGCCGCTGTATGCAGGCGAGGCGGAGCCCGAGCGCGAGTCTTCAGGCTTCGACACGGGGCCCGGAGCGCTGTATGACGCTCTAGCCACCGACGTTAGGTTTTCTCAGGCTCGTTGTGCTAAGGTATGTAATATTATATACACATATATATGTAATGTACATACGGTCGTGCACTTTTAATTGTTCATAATATAATGGTGAATCTGTCCGCTCTAATGGTATACGTTGGTAGGGCGTAGCTACCAGTAGATTATGAGCATTAGGTCAGGTCAGTTAGCAGTATCATTTCAGCTATTAGGTAGGTATGTAGGTAGGTGACCTTTATTTACTTCAACCAACACATTAGAGTTTGTCCCTCCATGTCTGGTAGGTAGTCTTAGACTGTGTACAGGGCCATTAATGGAAATCCTTTTTATTTCTGTCTTCTTATTATATTATTAAATTAATAAACTGGCTTTAAAAAAAAAGTAATTCAATTGAGTTTCTTGCCAGTTCTTCTCAATTGGATGTATATACGTACCGAACTGGACGGTAGGGAAAAAAAATTAAATTAGAATGTAAAAATATGACGTTCATAAGCGGCTAAAATGTCCTACATGAATAAATGATTTTTGAATTTGAATTTGAATTCTTTATGTGCCGTCTCCTAGCGGAGGTTGGCGATAATCCTGGCGATCTTAATTTTGTCCGCCGCTTTTCTGAACAAGGATCTGGTGCTAACCCCAAACCACTGCCTTAGATTCTTTAGCCAAATAAACATAATGCCTGGCCTTCGGCGGCTCTGGATTTTTCCTTGGATAATTAATTGTAATTTTATATTATGTTTGTGTAGGTGCTGCCTATAGCGCAGGCGTCATATACGGAAGGACTACCTGCGCACTATTCTAGTCAACACCACGCGCACAAGGTATATATAGTTTTTTTTTCTATGTGATCAGAAGTTCTAATAGGTCGAAATAGATCGTCCTAATAACGAAACGGGGTCTGCCCTGCATCATCTATAAGGCTGGCCATCGCCGCCAGAGTCGCTGTAGAATACTAACGTGACTTTACCACTCCGGCAATGTCGCTAACTAGTTTTAGTGAGGCTTTTTAGTGTATGGAATCCCATACAAACGAAGGGTTGGTGCCCCCTGCGCCGCGCCATGCCTGTCACGTGTCGTGTTTGTTGTGAGGCGGGCGCGGCGCTGTCGGTGCTGTCGCAGACGGCGGCCCCTGCGCCGCGCCATGCCTGTCACGTGTCGTGTTTGTTGTGAGGCGGGCGCGGCGCTGTCGGTGCTGTCGCAGACGGCGGCCCCTGCGCCGCGCCATGCCTGTCACGTGTCGTGTTTGTTGTGAGGCGGGCGCGGCGCTGTCATGCTGTCGCAGACGGCGGGTCTGCGCCGCGCCATGCCTGTCACGTGTCGTGTTTGTTGTGAGGCGGGCGCGGCGCTGTCGGTGCTGTCGCAGACGGCCGCCCCTGCGCCGCGCATGCCTGTCACGTGTCGTGTTTGTTGTGAGGCGGGCGCGGCGCTGTCGGTGCTGTCGCAGACGGCGGCCCCTGCGCCGCGCCATGCCTGTCACGTGTCGTGTTTGTTGTGAGGCGGGCGCGGCGCTGTCGGTGCTGTCGCAGACGGCGGCCCCTGCGCCGCGCCATGCCTGTCACGTGTCGTGTTTGTTGTGAGGCGGGCGCGGCGCTGTCGGTGCTGTCGCAGACGGCGGCCCCTGCGCCGCGCCATGCCTGTCACGTGTCGTGTTTGTTGTGAGGCGGGCGCGGCGCTGTCGGTGCTGTCGCAGACGGCGGCCCCTGCGCCGCGCCATGCCTGTCACGTGTCGTGTTTGTTGTGAGGCGGGCGCGGCGCTGTCGGTGCTGTCGCAGACGGCGGCCCCTGCGCCGCGCCATGCCTGTCACGTGTCGTGTTTGTTGTGAGGCGGGCGCGGCGCTGTCGGTGCTGTCGCAGACGGCGGCCCCTGCGCCGCGCCATGCCTGTCACGTGTCGTGTTTGTTGTGAGGCGGGCGCGGCGCTGTCGGTGCTGTCGCAGACGGCGGCCCCTGCGCCGCGCCATGCCTGTCACGTGTCGTGTTTGTTGTGAGGCGGGCGCGGCGCTGTCGGTGCTGTCGCAGACGGCGGCCCCTGCGCCGCGCCATGCCTGTCACGTGTCGTGTTTGTTGTGAGGCGGGCGCGGCGCTGTCGGTGCTGTCGCAGACGGCGGCCCCTGCGCCGCGCCATGCCTGTCACGTGTCGTGTTTGTTGTGAGGCGGGCGCGGCGCTGTCGGTGCTGTCGCAGACGGCGGCCCCTGCGCCGCGCCATGCCTGTCACGTGTCGTGTTTGTTGTGAGGCGGGCGCGGCGCTGTCGGTGCTGTCGCAGACGGCGGCCCCTGCGCCGCGCCATGCCTGTCACGTGTCGTGTTTGTTGTGAGGCGGGCGCGGCGCTGTCGGTGCTGTCGCAGACGGCGGCCCCTGCGCCGCGCCATGCCTGTCACGTGTCGTGTTTGTTGTGAGGCGGGCGCGGCGCTGTCGGTGCTGTCGCAGACGGCGGCCCCTGCGCCGCGCCATGCCTGTCACGTGTCGTGTTTGTTGTGAGGCGGGCGCGGCGCTGTCGGTGCTGTCGCAGACGGCGGCCCCTGCGCCGCGCCATGCCTGTCACGTGTCGTGTTTGTTGTGAGGCGGGCGCGGCGCTGTCGGTGCTGTCGCAGATGGCCCGTGGTCCGCTGGCGGCGGCTGCCCGCGCTCGCCTGTCGTCGTCGTGCGCCGCCACGTGGCGCGCCCGCAGCCTGTGCGAGGCGCCGTCGCTCACCCACCACCCCTGCGTGCTGCCCGAACAGTGAGCACACCACACACACTTATTTTTTATTATCAATGAGAACTATTTAGGATAATTGACCTCAGATATTGATGTTAATATGGATATTCCATTGGATTCCAACTAACACTCCGGGATTCGATTATTATAATTATATCCATCAATAAGTATAAAAAATGGTATACGTAAGCCCATAAGCGTACGTCGCTCGTGTTTGTATTACATTTTTTATACGTACCAAGCTAAACATACCAGATTTACTCCTTCTATTTCTATACCTTCTGTATCATCTAACTATAAGCAAAACAGATATATGTGGCGAGCAAGTAATAACTTCAATAGATTAAGGGTATTAGATATTGTTTTTCGATAGAAAATCTTTAGAGAAGGCCATAATGAGCAGGCAATTCTTTGTTTTATAAGTATCGTATTTAATGTTACTTATATGCATTTCCATTATTTAAAAATGTTTTGTTTTTTAATTTAGTAGATTGTTATTTTATGATATATGATTTTATGAGTGCTTATGACACATACACGCCTCACGTGTTAGTACTGTAATTTATTTTGTATTACGTCTCTATCCGTGAAAACCTGTAAGTGGCCGTTCTGATTTAATTATGTTTATAACTGTTTGTGAGTAGCCTTGGTTTTCCGAAAATATATAAATAAATAAATAATTTGATTGGTAGTAATACTATTTGTTCTGTTATTGTTACCGTGTCTGCAGCGACGGCAGCGTGGAGCACTCGTCGGGCGTGCGGTACGTGTCTGCGTGCAACTGCGGCCGCACCAAGTGCTCCCGGGACGACCCCTACACGGTGCGCCAGGCCAACCACGGCTTCTACCGGCTGGCCGCCGAGGACTGCGTCGGCTGCGACGCGCTGCAGTCCATTGAGTTCCCGGTCTTTCAACCTTCCACGCCTACTTACAAGTAAGAACACGGTCTTTTTTTCGCAACTAACCTAAAAATGTTAGTCTATAGGGTATCTTATTATTAAACTTTCGCGTTTAGTACACTTTTTTAATATAGTAGAACGGTAGTAGCTAAAGTACTGTTACAAAAATTTTTTTTTTATAATTCACAATAGAGTGGCGTTAGTGAAGTCAAGTCCAGAAGCGACAGCTGAGGGCGGAACGACATCACCGCCGGATGCTCCGGAACCGGACGGCGGCGAGCCGGACGTCCCGGACGGCTCGGACGGCTGGTCCGAACCGGACGCGCTCTCTCCAGGCGAAGCTCGCGACGAAGACGACGACGACCGGTCCTCGGCGTCAGAGAAATACGTGGTGCCAGTACGCGGAGATATCACATGTGGTGAGTATTTTTATCTCTTTATTTAGTTTATTAAATTTATTTTTATTTAAACTCTTTATTGCACTAGACAAAGACAACACACAAAATGATAGGTTACATAAACTGATACAAAAGGCGGTATTTCGCTAAGCAATCTCAGAGAAAGTAACATTAAGATAAGAAAAGGGTAGGTGTGCAACGAACATAAATATATACATAAATATACCTATTAATATATATACATACATATATTTAATAATGCACATATAATAACAATAATAATCATTTATTCAGCATAAAAAAAGAGTACAGAGTAAAAAAGAAAACTTAAAAACTAATAATTCGCTATGCTGAAAAGGCTTCCACTCAGCTGGTGCCGCAACATATCTTCAATAAATTATTTTTTTTTATTATCTCCAAATTTGGTAGAAAAGTGTTCGGTTGAAAAGCAGTGCCACACAGGACCATCCTGTACTGAACCGGGCCCTTTTACCGCCCTTAATTAAGTATCCTTTAAATGTATTTCTTTTATGTACTTTGACTGGTAGCAATAAATTATTCTTGACCCGAATGAGTGGTAGAATATAAAAAATGTGACTAGTCAAAAGTGCTTATATTAAGTTTATTTGTATAGAGGTTATTTCTATCTATCTCTATTCTTATTGTGCACAGAAAAATATATAAAAAAAACTATGTAAATATGCTGAACAAAAGGCGGTCTTATCGTTTAAAGCAATTCAAATTCAAAATATCTTTTTTCATGTGGGTATATTACAGACTTATGATACATATGTCAAATATACCGTCAGTTCCAAACTGACGGTATATTTTTTGACGCTTTCGAGATGTGAAGAACTAACAAGAAACTCAGTTCGTATTCTTTTTAAATATATGTTGTACATGTTTACAATAATACAGATTCATTTTTAATTTCAAATTTGGAAGAATAGAGTGACCACATCTCAATCTCTTACATACATATTGTTTGCGATAGCAAATAGCCTTTTACTTTATTTAAAAATTCAAATTTCGAACGTCAGGCACAGAACATCGATGATATTTTATATACAATTTTGCAGTCCTTCTCGAACATTCCGTGGCGTCATTATTAAAATCAACGTACAATACATTCAAAATATTCTTTTTATTTCAATTTAAAACAAATCAACCACTGCAATATTCCTCCAGCAAACACATATGTTTTTATACATATGCTGTTTCAGAATATAAAAAGAACGTACTGAATTTAATATTGTACAATTTTATTAATTAAATAGATATAGTTTAAATTTATTAATAATTACGTGAATTAGATGTTATTATTATTCTTTTATAATTATACAAAAATACAATACAATTATACAATTTTATAATTATACGTAAATTTATTCGTCCCCTCTTCTCTTCCGCTTGCTGTGCCCAACAGGGTCCATAATTGATCTACTTTTATATTATAACAAGCTGTGCCCGCGACTTCGCGTGAAATTAACGTTATTTTTCTAAAATAAAACTAGCCTATGTTACTCCTTATTACATCAGCTACCTGCCAATAAAAGTCCTGTCAAAATCGGTGACAGTCAGTCGTTTCAGAGAATAGCCGGAACAAACAGACAGACAGACAAAAATTGTAAAAATGTTATTTTGGTGTATGTACCATATTTATATCCATATGCATGTAGTAAAAAACGGTTATTTCAATATTACAAATAGACACTCCAAGTTCATTTATATGTAAAATTATGGAATGCATAGCTTTAATGAATATATCAATAACCAACCTCTCTCTTATTGCTACAGAAAAGACGATAACCCGTCAACCCTCGACCACGGAGTATCTGCCGGGTATGCTGCACACCGGTAGCCCGGCGGGCCTGCTGCCCGCGTTCTCCAGCTGGAGCCTGGTGTGCCTGGGGCCGTCCTCACTATACTCGCATAGCCAGGGTCTCCCCGAACATCTGCAACCTGGATTCCTTCCGCACACTAACTATTTACTGCCCTGGGACTGCGCTGTACGGTATGTAGCTTGCAGAAATGTTATTTATTGTTGTGCATAATTTTTTATTTAATGTGACTTGTTTATAAAATTCTCGTGTCTCAATGTTAGTTACCATACTCCTCCGAAAGGCCTGGACCGATTTTTATGAAATTTTATATGCATATTCAGTATGTCTGAGAATCGGATACTATTTATTTCTCATATCTTTAAGTGAAAAGTGCTGTTTGAAAAATAAAAACAAATGTTAGGGGTTAACATTTTATTATAACTGTATTTATCATAAACATATTATACATGTTTATGATAAATACAGTTATTAAAATCCCAAATTTGAATTTTAATAACTGTATTTATCATAAACATGCTCCACTATTATTTGAAAAAAAATACGAGCTGAGTTTCTTGTCAGTTCTTCTCATCTCGATATCATTCCGAACTGACGGTAGATTTGACATATCATAAGAGTCTGTAAAAGACCTACATGAATAAAGATATTTTGAATTTTGAATTTTTTTGAATTTTTTATATTTATTTTTCGGAGAATTTTTTTATTTATAATGTTGCATTTAAATTTTGTTTTTAAATTTAAAATTTATTTTTTAAAAGCGATTATTATTACATATTAGAAAACAAAGTCGCTGTCGCCGTCTGTACGTCCCTGTGTATGCTTAAATCTTTAAAACTACGCAACGGATTTTGAAGCGGTTTATTTTTAATAGATAGAATGATTCAAGATGAAGGTTTATAAGTATGATACACGTATACCCGTACGAATCCAGGGTGGGTAGCTAGTATATTTATATGGCAAAACTCTAGTCTAGTGTGGGTGTTCTCTTTAACGCAAATAAAAGTTTAACTACCTATCTATCTGTTGAATTTAACCCTCGAAAAACCTCAGTAGGTAGTGCAGTCCATAATCTAAGTATATTAATTGAAATGGTCGACAGTATGGAGCAGGCGAGCGCGTGGCGGACGGCGGCGGCTGGAGGCGGCCGCGGGCGCGGCAAGCCGGCCGGCCCCCACCACCTCACCGTCAAGATATTCATCGGCTTCGAGTACGAGTGCCCCCGCGGACACAGGTGCCCTATACACTCTAATTTACATACCCCATTTTACATCCTTCCAAATAGTTATCTGAAGTTCAAATAAAAGATTTTATCATTTCCGTCCACGTGATATTATAGGATACTTCAGGCCAAATTTCTTTAAGATCTGTTTAGGAATTGAATCTTAATTTTAGCGATCAAACGATCCAATACAAACGGTGATCAAAATTACGACGGTCTGAGGCGAGGTTCGAACCCCTAACGGTGTCCTTACATTAAAGTCGTATCCCTTCCGCCTTCAGTCGCTCCTAAGTTCTTCTGCCGGTTTGGTTACATATACCTTCTATTGCAACCCTTATTTTTTAAAAGCAATATTAATTTGTATTTTAAAACAATATAAATATTGCAATTACTAAGGTAGACTTTGTTTAAAGTAGCCATGTTGAGTAGAGTTGATGTGGTCGAAATATAGAGCGTAGTTGTGTAGGTTCATTGTGTGGTCAGAATGTAGAACGTATATGCTGCTACACCGACCACGGCTACATTACGCTATTAGGGAGCAAACCATTGTAGATTATATACGAAACAAAAACAAGAGTAACTTAACATTGAGGGTTAGGCAGCTGGGGTCACGACGCGAGTTTCAAGGCGTCTATGGCCCGGGTCCCCACTAACGTGCTGCCCACCTTCATGAAGAACTACTGCCCGAAGGGCGTGGTGTATCGGCGCTACCGTGACAGATTGCCGTCGTCGGTGTCGTGACCGCTCAGACAATATCAATGTATTAGTTTTAAAATATCCATTCATACGCATGTTAGTCTGTAGAGTACTTATAATATGGGCCTAGTTGCCAGGAATACATAAGTGTACGGCGCGTGCAGGTTCATGATGTCGTCGCCGGAGAGCGTGGTGAGCGGCGGCGGGGGGGCGGCGGGGGCGGCGGGGGCGGCGGGGGCGCGGCTGGCGGCGGCGGACATGCCGGTGCACGGCGCGTGCGTGTGCCGCGGCGCCGCCCCGCGCCCCGCGCAGCTCGCGCGGCTGCACGTCGTCACGCCCAAGGCGCCCGTGCACGTCACGCTGCACCCCAAGGTGACACGCTCCCCACCTGAACTGGAACCGCACCCGAACACACTGCCCGGGCGAGGAGCGTATGCTCGAAGTTCATACCCAGCGATAAATAAGGGCCTACAAATGTCCAGAACTGAAGTATCGCCAGTCGCCAAACACCGTCTGTTCCCACAATAGCAGAGCCTATGTTATGGGTAATACTTACAAAAACGTTGTAATGTTTTTGTAAGCACATACATAATATACATAAAAAGACCCAGACCGATATAAACAATCATATTCAATTCAATTTATTTACTGAATACATACTCATGAATACAAATGTTTGTACCGTGCGAGAAATCGAACCCGCGACCATCAGAAAAAAGGCTGTGTAATACACCACCAGATCACCGAGGACGAAAAAATAAAAAAATAAAACGTATGTTATATTAGTTTTTGTAATTGTACCCGATAGGTGCAACCGGTGGCGGGCGGGCCGATCTTCGTGCCGCAGCCCGAGGGCTCCCCGGCCATTAAGCTGTCAGGCTCCGCATACTGGGTGCTGCGGCTGCCGTACATGTACTGCGACGAGCGGGGCTGCCTGCCGCGCCCGCGCCCCCGCCCCCCGCACCCGCACGCCGCCCCGCACCGCTCCGGCATGCTCATAGCACCAGTCTTCGGCTTACAGGACTGATGACCCACCCAATGCCCTAATGATAAAATACAATCTCGATGAACGACGTTTATCCAGAAACTTTGCCAGGCACAATCTTAAGGAATCACGTTCCAGCAATGGTATTTCCAATACGATATTGAAACCTTCGAAAAAGGAGCTTCCACCCCCCCGGTATGCTCTTAACCCCAGTCTTCGGCTTACAGGACTGATGCACTCCTACCCAATGCACGGATAATCCTCACAATGATAAAATAATAATCAACGACGACGATGACTTTCTTGATGACGCACTGTTTCGGGAAAGGTCTAGAATATTCCATGATGAATTTGAATGTCACTCATTAATAATTGTCTATCTGGACTAAAAAGGCCTCGCCTAGCCTGCAACAGAAACAAATAAATAATATTGTACCTCACTGGATATACATTTCCTAATGTCCATAACAATAGTAACAGTAGTATGTCACTAATTATAGCTGGAAGGACTGATTGCAGATAAAAATTAAGAAAAAAAACATGTTCCAACGTTATAGACTATTTAGCTAATTATACTTTTTGACGGTTCCTTACAATATTGACGAAACTTGAGTTCAACAATGTACTATGAAAATTGCTGATAAATTGAAATTTTTCACTAGAGGCAGCGTGAGTTTTTTCAAGTTCAATATTAAAGTTTCTAATACTCGTCAACGCGCAGATGTCACCGATGGTGTTTCAGACGTCTACAGTAATCGTTTACCATCAGATGGACCGTATGATTGTTTGCCACCATCTTATATATAAAATTGTCTGACACGAGAATTTTATATGTAAGATGGTGGCAAACAACAAATGTTAGTTACCATACTCTGAAATGGCTTGACTGATTTTTATTAAATTTTATATGCATATTCAGTAGGTCTGAGAATTGGCTACTATCTATTTATCATATCACTAAGTGATAAGGGTTGTCCACTCCTAACATTATTTTTTGGGCAAAATTTTTATTTATATTTTTTTAGTATGTGTCATTAAAAAATACATACAACCATACATTCACCCTTCTATCACCAGCTCCTAATTTTGTTATTAATTTATTTGGCAAAACAAGGTTTGCCGGGACTAGCTGTAGCATAAAAAAATAACATCTCAGTTCTCGGGAATGGCTTCGCATGTGTATCACTGGTGTTACATGATAACGTAAAATCCGTAGTGATACAGGTATATGGTCAACAGTACGGGTTACCATCATGTAGACAGACAGATTTTTTGTTATTACATAAAAATTGGGCTACTTTGAAGCCGAAGAAACGGCTGCTCACGTAATCCTGGAGTACGTAGCAGTGGGCACACAACGTAATATATCCTCGGAACAGTGAGGTCGCTCCGCGAAGTCTGTGTAGACACCAGGACACCTGCGCTTTTGGGAGGAGCTTGGCTGGCTACTTGAATAGTCTCGGCTCTACACGTACAACGGCCCAGATGAGAGGTCGATTGCGAAAAATGGACGCAAAATTACATACTACATAAAAATTGTCAAGTGTTGCGTTCAATGAGGTGACAGTTGCAAAGGTTATATTGTTAGTTTCTATGTGTAGAACCATTTTGTACGTCTAAATACCATTTTATACGTTACTCCATTCTATAACTGTTTAAAAACTACATTATTACAGTGATATAAGATATAAATGTTAAAATATACAAAACTCTATATACGAACCTGGGCAGGCCACTAGTGTTATGACTTGTAAGATTGTTATACCTATTGTAAAGATATTTAATAAAAAGTAAAAAATATTTGCGTTTGTTTTATTATAATATCTTAACATCATATTTATATTTCATATGCATGTTAAATTAAGCTTAATTATATTACATACGCATTTTTTTTGTGTTGTTGTTTATATTGTATCTAAAAAGCACTGAATAAACATTTCTGACTTTCTCTTTCATATGTTCTCTGTCAACAATACAATTATCAAAAATTTTAACGAGCCAGTAAAGAAAATAAAGACTGCTGTCATTTTTCTTGAATACAATAATAGATTATAGTATAAACATACTATATATATATATATATTATTAAATAAAACTGAAAAATAATATGATCCAATTAACAAGTTTCAGACTGATGCATTATCAACATCCCAGTATACACACATTGTTATGATTACAAATTCTCATTATAATACAAATCTTCATTACAATACTTAAGAAATTATATTCTATATGATTCAATGAAATAAGAAAAAGAATTTAAACGTCTAACTTAGTTTAGTACAAATAATGTTCAAATACCGGAAGTACTAAATTAGTAGTTTCGGTGTCCGAAAGTTATTTATCCTTATTATATTTCAATATTGTTAATAACTATGTAATATTTATTGGTTAATTAATTCGTTGGTATAATTAAAATGGAACAATTATATTTTTATATAATTATTCTCAATAACTTGTGTTTGAAAGCAAACAAAAAGCAAAGAGCAAACTTTGAAGTTGACTCAATATTTGAATTCACGCATGCGCATTATGTACTTCCGGTTTGTCTAATTTTGGCGCGAACATTTTGTATCGTGTGTTTGCAATATACATAGAAATAATTTATATATAATTTGTAATAATATACAAAACTATTAATACGATTGTTTTATTTGTATTTCGTAACCTGTTTTCTAGTGAAATTGAAAAAGAACGAAATAATAAAAAAAGTATAGAATTTGACAATTATGTGGAAATCTGTAGAAAAGTGGGAGTTAAGTGGGGGTGTCGTAGTGGGGTGGCCGCGGCTTCTTGCAACCAAGCGCGCTGTGCTCTCGTTAGTTGATTGTGCGCCGTCGCGCGCACTGTTGATCGCGAATTCTGCAAGTCTACTGCTGACTAGCCGAGTACATCGAGACTTAGAAAAACTTTTCAGCGGCACCCATGCCGCTTTTACACCGGGTAAAGAGTATTGAAAATATTTCTTATATATAATATATTGTAAATAAATAAGTTCTTGAAATGAATTAATATTGCACGACTTTCTTTGTAGCGGGTATCATTTTTTTCTTCTACTGACATTTTTTTAAGTTTTCATTAAAAAGTTCTTTAAATAAAGAAGTTCCTATTTTTGTGATCATGTGCTAAAACATTTTCTATATACAGGACAACAGTCGCGGAAGCGACGGCGACGGTAACAGTTCTAATGAAAACCGTCGTTCGTTGTTGGAGTTTCTTTCGCTGGACGCGCAGAACCAGCCTGGCCAGGCCGCTGCCCCATTAAATGTAAGTACTAGAATTCTTATTAGGCTATAGGTTGCCATAATTGTAATCTATTTTATAAGTTTAATAATATGGCGTCGATTTTTGTCTACCCTCGCATTTTTATACAGTACATTGCAGAATTTTCACACTTTCGTCGACCATATGTTTCTAATATTCTAATTTTTGTAGTTTCTTTCATTAGGTATGTAACTCTTGCGTTTTAGTAAAGTATATACGTTTAGTTACCCATGAATATACTATATATGCTGTATAATTTAGTTTTATGCGTCCATTACTATACTTTTTTCTTAACAAAGGAATTCTTAGTCTACCCTCGTGTCCCACGTTGGGCGCCATTTTTACAAAGGCCCACTTTTCATTACTTATGCATCTCACAATAATCATAATAGCGTCGGCAGGCTTTATTGTCCGTTCATAACGTTGCATACGACATCCGTTCGGATGGCAGTTAATGTTCGAGGGGGCTGCCAACGGCGTCCGTATTAATGGGCGGCCGGTGCCAACTGCCACGATTGTGCCTTACTAGGTTTGCATTAGCCGGCACCCACGAATTGGTTAGCTCTATGTTAATGATAGACGGCATCGGGCAGACTTTATACGTTTTTTATTAATTAGTTTAGTATTCGTATTAGAAACATCTATCGAGATCAATTTGAGCATTTTTAATGTCGTTAAAATTTACCGCGTGTAATTTAGGATTATATCCAACCATACTGTTCGACTACTATAGTCTAGACTTAAAATTGTTACAAAGCTTTAGTCTAAATGTTCCATGGCAGCAAATTTAGATTTTTTTACTAATTCGGTTTTAGAATCTACATCGATTTAAACATTTTATTGAAATTACCGCCTGTAAGTTAGTATATTTAGTCTATAAGGACTTATAAATCTTATCAGCGCTTTAGTTCTCTCGTGTATTTAGTCGGATTTTTATCACTTTGGCTACAGTTAATTCAATTTAAAGCTACGCATTTCAATTATTTAGATTTAATCTTCATATTGATTTATTGTAGAGACTAAAGACTTAGATATAAATCCCGATACCTTATTTTATTCATTACCGTAGTTTTTTTTTAAATTAGTTTTAGTCTAGTTTATTTTTTACCTACAATGCATTTTTCTTTATTCACCTACTTTTTTTTTATTTAATTTCCCACCGTTTTCACTTACCGTTTTTCGTAGTTCTGATAATCTGCCTTTCATTTATTTGTCGGTTTTAAAATACTTTTTATAACTTGAACTTATTTTCAATTTCTTTTTCTGCCGTTTCAATTTTTTTTTTTAAGATAACGTAATTACCCTCTATATATTTTTTTCTATTCGATTACTTAACTACCCTATCCTAAGTTTTCGAGAGTCTACAATATACGAATGTAATAAATAACCGTTACTTGCCAAGTTTAAAATCGTAGTCTCTACATTATAACAATGTACGGAATATAAGGTTGCAATCGCGCACTTGGCAGGCGTCTGGCCGCGTATTGCCGGCTATTGGCATGCTGTTGGCAATTTAATATTATTTGTGTAGGCTCTGCCAAGGATCAAGACTAAATCGGTCCGCGCCCGCCACCCGGAAAACCGTCTCGTGTAGATTTCACGCACATTGACTTTTGGACTACGGAGGTTATTAAATATTACGGGTAGTATCGAATGCTGCTATAAGGGACGATTTATCCGTTGGGTTTTATTTTAAACTTCAGTTTCGATGTTTTAGATTCTAGTTTTTTTATTAAATCTACTAATATAAATTTATATAGTTACGTTGTCAGGGTATTAAGTCCTTACATAATTTGTTCGCAGATATTAGATTTGATACGATCTTTTGAAAAACAATTTTTTTAGTAGCTAAGTTTGTAGTTTAAATACGGAAATACTCTTCGGCATGGATATTTCACTATATATTTGTATGTACATTTCACAGTATAGCCTCTAAATCTCTTAAGATAGTTTCTAAACTTGTGTATTTTTTTCTAATTATAGCGAGCTTTTGGGTAAGAGTTCTAAGATTGTCGTGTGTAATAATTGTCGAGATTTAAATACGAAATATATATTTACTTAGTTATATCATTCAATTTTAAATTAATGCTAATCTTTATTCCTCTCAATGAAAACATTTACGTACACAATTATCTATAACGGCCGAATTTATCGCTGAAATCTGATCTCTTCAATTTCTTCCAGTTTGCTTGTACAGATGTAATTACATTTGAATCCTTTGTATAGGATCAGAACGGTCAGAATGGGGACCATGATTGGAGATGGGAGAAACCTCGCAGCCCTGAGGTGGCTCACACGCCGCGCGCCCTCGTGCCTCCCGCCTGCTTCCCGCCAAGGCATCCCCGTGCCTTCGCTAGCTACAGGTAAGTCTTAATCTTAAGAGAACCGATGACTACAGATATCTACCCACATTTCACCCGAGCGAAGCCGGGTTTTCATCTAGTTAATATTATTGCGAAAGCTTGTAAGTATGGATGTTTGTAACTCGTTCATGTAAAAACTATGAAACTTTACAGTAATATTACTTATGCATCAGAATAACACATAGGCTGTTATATTTTTTATTGAAATTTAACGCGGATGAAGCCGCGGGCACATATAGTATAGATACTTTAATGAGTTTACTGTATTTAAAAATTTTAGAAATTAAATATTTATTTGTACCTATTATTTTTTCGTTCGCGTGGAAATGTAACTTTTATACCGTTTATAACATACCGATTGAGATCATAGAGTATTGGACAGACTAAAATTATAATTTTTAAGTGCATATTCAGTTTATTTCTTATGCATTTTTAAAATTACAAACGCACACTTGTAATACATACGTGCTTTCATGAGTACAATGTACTTTCAAATATAACTTAAAATTTTTAAGAAAAGTTTTCATTATAAATTAGAATTTATCTAATTTTTTTTTTTCACGAGTAAAGTTCGCCGGACCATTATATATATTTAATACTATACTCCTGTACTTAACTGTATTACTTTCGTATTACGAAAAGCAATACTTTTGTTCTATATACATTTTTATAGGCGAAGCATTTACTGATAATATAATACTTATCTATCGGTAATATAAAATATCTTAGGATTAGATTTTAAAGTAAGCTCTGTTATTGTCATTATAGCATCTTTCTATAAACGCGAGTTCAGTAAGTACTGATGGACAAGTTTCAGGCAGGAGTTGGCCTTCAGCCGCTCCATAAGTCCTTCCGCGGGTTTGGAGTGCCATCTGCACTGGCCCCCTAACTTCTGGTGAAGCTGTGAAGGCCAGCTGCGGACAACAGCATTATAGTCAGAGAAAAAAAAGTATTGATGTTTGTTACAGGTATAGTAGTGTGGTTTAGGTATAGTAGTAATGCAGGCATTAATGTGCTTCCACCACTCTTATCACCAACAATCCTAACTCTAAGATTCTAAGATATTTATATTGTACCTGTTAAAAGTAAATTTAGAAGTGTACTTTTATTAAATTTACCGTGCACTTACCTAAGTGACTTATTCATCTCGCTTGCATATATTACCTAATGAAGTAGCGTACGGTATTATAGCTTTACTCTAGTGCAGAGGTTCCCAAAGATGTAAATTGTCTCGTCTCGTCATGTGTGCAGTTTTATTAAAGCAGTTCTTTATCCAGAATTCTGGTATATACTTCAAAGGTTTCAATATCAATTGGTATACTCCCAGTATTATAGTGATCGAAAACTCTACTAAATAAAATATTTAATTCTCGGAAATATTCCTTGAAATTATGAAACTACGTTTTGAGCTAGCATTGGTTAGGACTTTCAGAACCTGTTTAAATTTACGGTGCGTACGGTGTACTACCTACCTCCGGGTTGATCATAAAACCTGGAACATCCAGGTTTTATGATCAACCCGGAGGTAGGTAGTACACTGGGAGTATAGATTGAAAATCACCATAAGTCAAATAAATTACATTTTACTTCCACAAAGGTTCCGTCTCTGCAATTGCGAATCTGTATTGCAATGGTGGTAATATTCTCACCAAACTATTACTTTCAAAATTAAAAATCAAAATTCATAAAACATTGGAAAAGAGATGCAACCAACTTGTGGAACTTTTAAGGATCTGAATATTTGTCCGCGACCCACAGTTTAAAATTCCAAATCCATAAACGATAGAAATGCTCTTTTTGAGGTAACAAACATTACAAAAGAGATACAACCAATTTGAGGATCTTTTAAAGACTTTCAGAACCTACATAATATTTAACCCACAGTTTGAGAAGGACTGTACTAGTACATTAAGTGCGTAGCGTTGTTTTAATGCACATACTTTCGCAGTGAGAGCGCGCGCCCCGGCGGAGGATGGACAGAGGAGCCGCCCCCCCCAGCCCAAGGACACAGCATCACCGACCTAGTCGCTTCCTTGGTAAGTTGCATCCTGTGTACAATTTCAAACGTGTATGATAATAGCAGTTCATGCACGGGATTTTCACTTAATAATTGACATACAACTGGCTTTAAAAAATTGCAGTATTTTCTTGCCACTTTCTCAATTGAAACTGTATGCTGAATTGGACGGTAGAGAAAAATATTAATACAAAAACGTAGATTCCATAAGCGGCTAAAATGTGTTAATGAATAAAAGATTTTGGATTTAATTTGGAAAAAAAATCAATATTTTTTACCCTTTAATTTTACATCGTTCCTGGAAAAAAAATCAATATTTTTTACCCATAATTTTACATCGTTCCTGGAAAAAAATTTATCATTTTTACCCATAATTTTACATTGTTCCCTTCTACTTAAACTAAGTAGAAACCTGTATTTTAGGTACCAGTTCCTTCTCTTACTCATTGCTGGCTCTTACTGGGTGCAAATTTTGTAGCCGCCAAATGTAAAAGCAATTCAAACCTATCTAATACTAGTTATGCCCGTGGCTTCACCCGCGAGTAATTTATAGCCCGTTATTCTGATGTATAAGCTTATCTTGTAAAGTTTTCTTAAATTCAGTAGTTTTTACGTGATAGAGTAACATCCATCCATCCATCCACCCACACTTTTAACTTCCGCGTTTATAATATTAAGATAATTTAAATATAGAATTAAAACTATATTAAATATACCACTAGCTTTGCACAACGACTTTGCACGTGTAAAATTGCATGTATATTATGGAGTGATTGATCCCTATAGGCAAATTAATTTAAATCCTATATAGTTTCTCTATTACCATCTTACTGATTTAGATAATTTGTCATTTTATAAATGTGCACTGTTGGATTCTCATAAGACCTAAAATGTTAGTGATCTGACTCCAGTTTAAGCAATTCATTTAAAAAAAATATACTTCGAAAATCATATTTAGAGATATATATAGTGAGTAACTTTGCTGGTATTCCTCGGAGCACATATTACTATTGTAAAAAAACTTACTAGTATATAATTCAAATTTAAAAATCATTTATTCATGTAAGACATATTAGTCGCTTATGAACGTCAAATTTTTTAAATTTCCCTATCGTCCAGTTCAGTATATGAATGCAATTGATAACGGGCAAGAAACTCAATTGAATGTCTTATTTAATTTTTTTTTAAAGTCAGGTTAATTTCAATGTATACACATATAGGTGTCTGTCTAACATTTAATTAAATTAATCCCGTTCATGAACAACTATGCCATGCACGCTCGTCATTCAAGTAATCGTTTAGTGAGTAATAGGTTTTGCTAATGATGCAAACTTAAAAGAATATTCTCTAGATTATACTAGATTATCTACCAGTTATGTTGATATTATTACCTATTGGTTAGTCTAGTCTAGCGATTTAGCACAGCACCTTATTTCAGATTGTCGCAGTTTTAATCCCTCACATGGTATAAACATTTGTATTCATGAGTATTTTTTGTATGGGTTTGGGTGTTTTCTATGTACCTACACTTACAAAATGTAGCTTCAAAGTCTATCCGTTGACTAGTATGTATACGAGTACATATACACATAATGTACTTATGACTTTGTTCATCTCACAGAAACTGCAATTATATACATAAATTATATATATTGACGACCTCGGTGGTCTAGCGGTCTACCGCTTTACGACAGATTGTCGCGGGTTAGATTCCTCGCACGGCACAAACATTTTTATTCATGAGTACGATTGTTTGTATCGGTCTGGGTGTTTTCTATGTATAATATGTATTTACAAAAATAAGATCCATGTATATGTATCAGTTATCTAGTACCCATAACACAAGCTTTAGCTAGCTTAACTTACACAATAATAAACGAGACATAGATATTATAAATATTATGTTTGGGTTACTATTTTCACTAAAATTATATCCTAACTAGGTTTCTAAAATACAGGCTTTTATATATTAGTACCAAAATAATTGTAAGAATCTTTTATATATATAATTATGCACAACGTTAATCATAAAACAAAGCATGTAAGAGGCCGTATGTTTCAGAAGGCCCTGGCAATACCGACAGCAGCGAATCCGCGCGCATTGCAAGCCTCCCTAAAGGTGCGAGTCAGCTTTGAGGGACTAGAAAAGGTTAAATTATAAGAAATGATTTGAAAACGGTTTCAGACCACATGTTACTTGTGTATGTTACATGGAAATCCATACATACATGTACATTTGTTTCGCGTAGAGTAAACGCAGACGTTATCAGAACTATAAATATATTTGAGCTAAGTTTTTAAATTTTTACATAAATATGAAAGCTAGATGCTGTTGGCCGCAGCTGGCCTTTACAGCTTCACCGAACGATAGGGGGCGAGTGAGTTCGAACCTCGGCTCAGGTCGTCGTAATTTCGATCGCAGTTTAATTGGACGGGGGATTGCTCGGAGGGGTACACGCATGTATATGTAACATCAGACTTGTATGTTATACAATAACTAGAATTTATTTTTATATTTTACTAAGTTTATTTTTGTTGAACAATACATTAAGGGGTTATATTTTAGGTTAAGGTTTATTAGTCGACAGGGTCATAAACCTCTTGACCGTTTGACAGATTCTCGTGAAATTTTGTGTATATTCAGTAGGACTGAGAATATGACTGAAACTATTTTTATACAAGTGTTAAAGGTGGTCCATCTCAAAAAAGTTATTCTAGGATTCGGCATAGAACATATTTAATCAATTTTAATTTCATTCTACCTCTATAGATACTAATTTTATTAACTACCAAAATATTTGCTAGGAACGATTTACATTAGCCATAATATACTCATCGTAAACTCGAGGTCTAAGTGGATTTGATGGTCTACCTAGTTTAACTGTTCCTTTATTAACTCTACATACATTCGAATCTAAACTACACAATCTTAGATCGGGAGTATTATAGTTACCATGCAATACTACAAAAACTACTATGCATATGTAATCCTGATTATTCTTATTATTTATATTTCGTTTAAAATTAGTCTTTAATTAATATTTTACAGATAGAGCCACAGTGGTCGCCGGAGCAAGCCAATTCTAATATGCAAAGACATGACGACAGAATGCTGGCGCGACGAGCCTCGTTTTGTGAGTAAAACTTCATTAACAAAATAATATTAATTGACTTTAGAATGGAGATGATTATAGGTATACGTTTCAATGATTATTTTCACTGCTTTAAATCAACAGTAGTGAGTTAATAGAGGTAATACAGATTATTGACAGATTAATAATACATTTTGCACACCAAATGTGCGTTGCTCCCATACAATTCAGATTTATTTGTATATTTTTTTATAGTACTTTAAAGGATTTTAAATTTAATTATAAATAGAAATAATCTTTATTCAAAATCATGTTTTTGATTCTACGCACTCATTCGGAACGCAAATTCATTATAAGAAAGAAACTTCTTGCTCTTTAGAAAAGATTGAGAGCTCACGGTTACGCAATAACCGTGAGCTACATGGAGCATGTCGTCAGGTAATTTAGCCCATTTTGGTAAATTCACCAGGGATTCACGATGATTTCCACCACGTCGGGAATGGGTCCACGTCATTTCGGGCGGTCGCATATACTAGGGAAAAGCATATATTTGGTAACATAAAAAACATGGCTGCGGCGGGGGTCCGTCGGGGTCGCATGCGGGGCCCGGCGGGCCGTGGTCCGGTGCCCCGGCGCAGGGCCCGGCGCGGGCCCCGGGCCGGGCCCCGGTGCGGGGCGCGGCGCGGGCCCCGTGGCGTGCGCGGCGCCGGGCCCGGCCGCGGCGGCGCCCGACCCGCTGGTGTGGAGCGGGGCGCTGCCCGCGCGGCGGCCGGACCCCGCCGGGGAGTTCTCTCCCAAGGTCTTCCTCGGAGGCCTCCCCTGGGACATCACAGAGCAGGCGCTGAAGCAGGCGCTCGGACAGTTCCATCCACTGCGGTATGTGGGTTTATAGTTTTGCTTTTGAATATTCATTTATTGGAATAGAATTGAAATGTTACAGCGACTCTGTCTAGTGTGACATCACTACGCAAAGCTGCTGTAAAGTTTCAATTGCGTACTTTAATTTGAATCTGATGACGTCAACAATTTTCTCGAAGCCAAATTTAACGGTAAAATGTTATCAGCGATTTTAACAGTACCAAAAGCTAGGAAACTACCCCATCAGTTGTAAAAGTACATAAATATGGGAATTCAATTCTGTACAGCGACTCTGCCTAGTGATATCATTTGACCAGAACGCAAATTCGAATCTAACGTCGCCAATAATCTCTTTCTAGTCTCTTAGATAAACAAAAGTTAAAACAAAATTCAATAGTGGAAAAGATTGACCCCATCTAGGGTCGTTTGTAAGTCTTTATAAATATGTACAGAAGTGCAATTGTTTTATTGTAATAAAATCTTTTCTTCTTAGTTTTCCTTTAAGCAGTGGACGTCTTCCGGCTGAAATGAACTTTTGTAATAAAATCTTAAAATGTACTTGTTAATATAGCATTTCCTCGTAAATGTTTCAATGACGGTGTTGTCATCAGCGTGGAGTGGCCGGGCCGCGAGTCCGGTGTAGGTAGCGGCACGCCGCGCGGGTACGCCTACGTGACGCTGGAGACGGAGCGGCACGTGCGCGAGCTGCTGGCCGCCTCGCGCTCCGACGGCTCCAACTGGTACTACAGGATCACATCGCGCAAGATGCGCGCCAAAGAGGTAACTTATTGTAGTTACTCGCCTATAGATGCTATCCCATCAAAAACATGGATGTAATCCGAATTAAAATTAAATACATAAAATAAAAACATAAATGTGAAATGATAGCAGAGTTTAATATTATGATATATGCCTTGATTGTTGACTTCTACGACAAAAGAGATCTAAATGGGTGTCAAGTTCAATGGTCTGTCCTGAAATGTATTTATAACAATATAAAATATTTCTTATAACTTAGGATAATATACTGTAACCTAAGGTCTGACTTGGCTAGTTCTCATATACCAATAATTACTTTCGATGGCTAGTTACTACTACTAATAATAAAATAGGAACCGACAAGTAACATGTTTAGAACTTGCGAAGGCTACAGTATATTTCGTATATGAAATTTGTATACCATTTGAGTCGTTAGTTTTTTTTTATTTTCAGTTTATGAAACTTATGTAAATACACTTATAAAATTTGATTTCATACTGAAATAACGTGGTTTAAAAATATCTAAACCAAATAGATCTAAATGAATATAGATATTGACCGACGATTATCATGCACGGTACAAACATTTGTATTCATAAGTATTGTCTGTATCGGTCTGGATTCCTTTATCTTTTATATATTTGTCTGCATCTTTTTAAATTATATCCTGTGTCATTCTGATGTATAATCTATATTACTGTAGTTTTATCAAAATCCGTTACATATATGTCAATAGTAATATAACATAACAATAATATCATTACTTAAATACTTGCTATAACAGGTACATATATATGTACAAAGAAATTACTGATATATATCGTATATGACAACGGAAAGCAGTTAACTCTTTTGTTGCTTCAACATATAGGTATATATAGTTTCCTTTTGAATGTTGCCTTACATTGTGATTATTATTAGATGAGATTAGATAGTATGTGGTGTGTGCAGGTGCAGGTGATCCCGTGGGCGGTGTCGGAGTCGTCGTGGGTGTCGGGAGGCTGGGCGCGGCTGGAGCCCGCACGGACCGTGTTCGTGGGCGCGCTGCACGGCGTACTCTCCGCCTCCGCACTCGCACTCATCATGGACCAGCTCTTCTCCGGAGTCGTCTATGCCGGTAACTGGCTCTTATTTATACTTTATTTACTTTAAACAATAGTCCATCGTGTCAAATTTATCATTCATCCAGTTTTTTTGTCTGTCTGCTTGTTTGTTCTTGCTAATCTCTGAAACAGCTGGACCAATTTTGATAAGACATAGCAGATAGATAATATTATAAGAAGTAACTTAGGTTAAGATCTTACTGTAAAGCTCTTTTTGGTAGTGGTCTTAAAATTGGCTCGCAATATTTACATACTTCACTATTTCGTCTTAGGATCATACTGTAAAATAACACCAAAGGCGACTAACTTTTACGTGTTGTCTAATATATTTTACAACTATTATAAAATTCCTGAAAGACAGGGACGCCCTAAGAATCTTTTCTTAGGGCAGCGAAAGGATTGTGTCAAAGATATATGAATAAATGACGGAAGAGAATGACAATAATGGGATAAAGAATAAATGATGAACGGTTGTTAATAATTACTATATTATGGTACCATTTTTTTTGCCCGAGAGTGATGTTTCTTTAAAGTTTATTAAATTAGGGATTCATAAGTGCTACTATTACTCGTGTACTAATTAGGGGCCGTTCAAGTATTACGTAAGCACTATAGGGGGGCGGGGGGTCTTTTCTTTGCTTATTTTGGATGACATGGGGGTGGGGGAGTCTGTATGATGATTACGTCATCGGTCGTAATTTAATTTTTTTACACGAATGGCAACCCTCACATTGTCTTTGCTAAAAAAACAATACATTAATTGAGAAATGTTTACGTAAGCATGGGGGGAGGGGGTAAGAGCTTTGCTTACTTTTGCTGACAAGGGGGATGGGGGGTAAATAATTGTGATAAATCTGCTTACGTAATACTTAAACAGCCCCTTACTGAGATGCTCTTTTCAGGCCTAGACACCGACAAGAACAAATATCCAATCGGTTCGGGCCGCGTGATGTTCAACAACATCCGCTCATATTTACGGGCCATTGCTGCCGGCTATGTAGAGATCCGCACTGACAAATTCACAAAGAAGGTACGTACCAAAACTAATATCTTGTCATTGGTCAGTTTGTTTGACATTTATATATAAATGTCAAACAAACTGACCAATGACGTTGTCGACAAGTAGAAAGTCTCGTATATTCATTTCATTCGTGTTACTTGGCTCGTATTATAAATCCTTCGACTGACATACACGAGATATAGTAATAATATATAAATTCAAATTGTCTCTATGATCACGGCATTGACGACCGCAATCGGCCATGGTGGCGCCGATATAACCCCCTTCTCGTGGGGTCCCGGGCCACGAACGCTTTGTATCGAAGTAGATACAAATAAAGTTCTCTATACAAATAAAATTGAAATCTGTAATTTTAAATTAATAGCTTTTCACTAAATACATAAACTATATACGGCAGCAATATGAAAACTTTAATTTAAAAAGAGATCTATATATTTTTGCTAATCTCTAAAACTGGTGGCTCAATTTCGACGGTACTTTCGCTGATAGCTAATGTTATATGGAGTAACTTCCGCTAGTTTCATTTTAAAACTAGATTCTGGTGAAGTCGCTGATTCTCCTACATACTGATATTTACATACATTCTACAACAAACTATTCACAAATGTATTGGTCTTCAAAAAGTCGAATACCACCAGTCGGTATGTAAAGACGAAATACCAAAACCATAACTGAAATCTGACTTTTTTAATTCCTTTAGATTCTATGGTGCGATTATGCAGTGAAATTAAATTACAGGATTAGGGGAAATTGTTAGTTCTTCTGAATGTATATAAATAGGTAATAGATAAATTGTAAGTTGGTATGAAAAAAGATTTTTTTAGACCAATGAAACTTTATCTAGCTTTTTTGGATTACATTATATTAGTGTCCAATTTCATTGTATACTGCTCATAACTTTAGAGTATCTGGCTATCCAATGCAAGTTAGTGGCACAGACAATATAATACTACATAGTAGTGCCAAATGCACATTCAACCATAAACTTATATTCAGCTTTTGTATTACAGGTTCAGGTAGATCCGTATTTAGAAGATTCCATGTGTTCCATATGCAATCTCCAGCAAGGACCCTACTTCTGCCGGGAGCCCATGTGCTTCAGGTATGTATCTTTTGTCTTTATCTATATGAACGTAAATTCTTAATCTTGAAAGACGGTTAATTAGATTAGACATTTTTTTTATTAATTTTTAACAAGTAGCATTATGGTACTTTTTTCTTTTTACTGTATTTGTTTGTAAAGTGTAGTTTTTCCAAACATCTACAGAATATATACTATGTTATTTATTCAAATTCAAAAATCATTTATTCATGTAAGACATTTTAACTGCTTATGAACGTAAAATTCTTAATTATATTTTTCCCTACCATTCAGTTCAGTATATAGATCCAATTGAGAAGATTAGTGTCATAATGTATGTTTATGTTGACAGATACTTCTGCCGATCGTGCTGGGTGTGGCAGCACTCCGTAGAGGATCACCACAAGCCGCTCATGCGCAACTCTAAATGCACGCACCCGACCATGACCAGCGCGGCCTCACCCCCCGCCCCCGCCCCCGCCCACGTGTACCCGCCCCCCGCGCACACATACGGCCGACACAACGAAGCTAACGCCGGTAAATAAACCCAGTTGTCTAAAGTCTCAATTTAATTATAAAGGTAATGTTAAATTTGCTTGACATAATTAGATATTTTTTTATATAAAAAATTCTATTATCTCTCAGCTCCATTCTATTATCATCCATAAAAAAATCTAGGGCAGAGCGCCAGCATACTGCTTACGGCCAGTAATGTAATTGTAATTGTCAGGCACGCCATCGCCGACGAGCGGTACGAACACGAGCGAGGTGTCGAGCGCCGCCACCAGCGACGAGCACATGGACGGCTGGCCGCCGCACTAGCGCGCCGCCCGGCCCCGCCTCTCGTCTCGAGCCGCTATTAAGTTGGGCGCGCCGCCACCTACACCTAGCTACTTCCCTTTTGATACGCTTGTGAAGATTTTGTACAAGTTTCAGGAGTTTTCGTTGATCAGTCGCATATACCAGTTATACATTTTTAATAGATCTAGTGTATAAAAGTTGAGCGATATCAACGAACACGCTCTTATTACTCTTGTTTAATATGTTGGTACTTGTGAAAGTTCCTATTTAATTTTGTATACAATCAAGCAAGTTACAGAATTTTTTTGTCGTATGTATATACTACAGATTTTTAGTGGTATAGTGTAAAACCGCATCAGTTGAGCGATATTACCGTTCGTAATTTTGCATACGTCAATTTCAAAAATTTCCGTTGATCAGTTCACGATTAAGCGATATTGTTTTTTGATGATTTGTGCCTCTGTAAGAAAGTTTTGGTTTATATACATTGTGTATTTTAATTTTTGTATAAGTTTACATTGCAAGTAATTTGCAAGTTTAATCATTATATAACTTTGTTTCTTTGTATTATAAGTTTGATTGCAACCTTAAGATTAATCTTAATGAATTATATATATATTAGTAAACAATATGCAATAAAGGATTTGATATCAATATTTCATTAGTACGCTAAACGCGTAGGGATGTTACATAGACAAATTTTACGTGCCTCTATTATATTAGGAAAATCTCCTATTTTAAATAGTTTTACCAAGGCTGTCCATTAGTGATCATTTTAAACTTTTTAATGGGCTTTTATAACCTTATAATCGTGATTTTAGCGTTTTAGGCGTACTTTATATTGAACGTTGATTTTAATCGGTGCTTGTTCGATTTTAAATTTGTTATCAGGAAATAAATGTTTATTAAAATTGAATTTACATTTTATTTCTTACCTTTATTTCAATACTTTCCCATGATAAAATGTGCATGTAGCCTGGTCAGTTAACCCATCTTGGCAAATAGCAATTTACCGCTATGGTTTCCAGAGAACGTTCTGGATATCGACCAGATAAGGTACATTGCTGCAATTGGGTTTGGCCACATTAATAACAATATTTTCCCATCCAACATTTTTGGTTTTTACAATGTTCTTTTAGTGGCGGTGGAATTAGCTGACTGTAAGTTATTCAGATCTCTAAAGTCGTCTAGATGGCGCTGTTCCTATTTATCAAGGATTTTATAAAAATAACAAACTTAAAAGTTAGACTTCGAAAGTAACGAGCACTAAAATGTCCAGACATGTGGCGACGTGATGGGCCTAGTCGATCCCTAAAATAAGGTCGGGCGCAGTGATGGCTCATCCGTCATACTCGTGAACGAGTGCTGCTTGTAGGGTCTAATCTGCTCCAATCACGATTGATTTAATCATATAGTGCATTTAATATCTGACCCAGGACCCTAATAAAGTAGTACTAGTTTGTTCCCACGTTTCGAATTGGAAATATAAAGTTGCAATGATTATTTAAAAGAGCAACACGCAAGTTTCTTGCTCCTTGTGAGAGATGGCTTTCTGAATTACGGGTGATTAAAAAATAACTAGGATTATTCAAGTGCTTAATTTAAGTTTATTGAATAAATTATTTTCTATAGATTCTATTCAGAGAAACCGTCACTCAAGACTATATCCCATGGCAACAAATTAACTAATTAAAGTTGACCTAATCTTATTACTATTGATATCAGGAGGGGCCACATTTTATCTCGGAAAGACAGAGTTGTAGGAGACAAGACAAAAAGCAGAACTGTATAAATACAATTTATTTACAAGTTTTATTTACAATAGTCTCACACTTACAATTAAGCTTATTATACTTGAAATTCATATTACATATTTTAAGAATATTATATGGCATCAAGTTACAAAACATGTGCAAATTAATGCAATTTAAAATCCTACTTTGAATACATAAAGAGAGCAATTTCATTGCAGTAAAAAACGTGTATTAATAACCCCAGCAATGCTAAGAAATGCTAAAAAAAAGCAAATGCTAGCAATGTACTGTCAGGCTGACATCCACGCGTTCCCCTGGAAACTGTTGTGATAAATACCTGGCGATTTGCTACGATGGACTAACTGACCTGACCTCATATTAACCTTATCATCCTCCACTGGGGCCCCGCCAGCTTAAACCGTTAGTGCACGTATGCAAATGCTATTATTATGTTCCCCGTTAGAATGAGACAGGAGATGACCAAAGAGTCTGATTCTTGTCTTAAAATCCATTTCTTTTTGTTTTTTTACTATAACTCCATCCAGCTGACGTCAGGAAACGTCGTCTTCTTAATGGTGGGTGCACCTGTTTAGACAAATGGTTTTTTTTTATACTACGATGTTGGCAATCAAGCATATGGCCCATCTGATGGTAAATGGTTACCGTAGCCTATGAACGCCTGAAACACCACGGGGTATCGCATGCGCGTTGCCGACCCTTAAGAAACCTTAATATACCCTTCTTGAAAAACCTCATGCTGTAGTCTGTCTGTAGTCTCGTGGGAAAACCTCGGCATGAAGTTCATTCCACAATCTAAGTGTACGCGGGTTGAAGCGCCTCTGAAACCGCACTGTTCCGGAGAACAGTATATAGGCCTTTAGCCACAGACATATTAAACTATTATATAAATGTATAAAAATATTATATATATGTATGTATCATAATAATCGATAATTTTCACCGCACTGTTCTCCCGAACAGTGCGGTTTCAGAGGCACTCCTACCCGCACATGCCTGCTTATTCTGCAATACTCAATTGCCAACATACAATTTCATCTCATTACGTTTTTTGTATCAATAAAATCAGTGTTGGAGTAGCATTCAATCAAGGCGGTTTTATTTATCAAAACCCCTCATCAATCAATCAATAGTTCAACTAATATCATTATCACGGAACTGTGGGCTTAAACCCCCATAGTGGCAATATATTCCAAACGGATGGTATGAGTTAGTGTATTTTTTATTTAAAAGCTATATTGTGTGATCGATATCAGTCTTAAGTTATCTATTATCTAGATCTATTAACAATATTAAAGCTCGGCGTTAAATTTCAATATAAAACATAGCCTATATATTATTCTGATGCATAACTGTAAAGTTTCATCAAAATTAGTTCAGTAGATTTTGCGTGAAAGAGTAACAAACATTTATACTCACAAACTTTCGCGTTAATAATAATATATTAAGAGCAGAGCAGATTTGTAGAAGAGTGTGTACACTGTACCGTGCGAGTACCGCTGGTGTTAATTCAGTCGAAGCTCATGCTCATGTCGGCCATGTTGGTGACGTCAGCTGCGCCGGTGACGTCAGCGGCGGCGGTGGGCGTGGCCGGCGTGTGTGGCGAGAAGTTCAGCTCCGGGAACGGGAACTGGGGTATCTCTTCATCTGTACCATTAAAGAATTAGAAATGTTTTACAAGATGGCGGCCTACGAACAGTGACTCAGACAAAAAGTGATATTATAACAGTAGCCTACGGAAAGAACGAGTCGTGCGCATGTTTCTAATATTTATAAGTTACTAGCTGTATCCGCGATGCTGTACGCGAGGAATTTATTATTCACAAATATAACAAAATATCTGAAAAACTTGATTAAAAATAGGTCAAGCATGTCCAGATAATTAAAATAATTAAATAGTATATACAATATATATGGTATACACATACACAATAGAAACAATCTTCATTGACATAATTTAGATTACACATTAATAAAAACAGAAATTCAGTAATAATTTACATTGTCTTAGAAATTTAAATCTTTCGACCCATTTTTGCTCGTCTTATTTTTCGCTATACCTACCGTCCTTGTGATGTGTACATATACAATATACATAGACAACATTAGGCTTTCTGTAGTGAGGTTTTAGAGTTTACCATTTCTATTGTTAGTTTATCTACCATTCTTTATCGAGGTGATGTGTATTTATACATATAAAGTTCATTCATCGTGCGAACCGTCGGCTTCTTTACCATTTCCATTACATAGAGTGTACATAGAAGATACTAAGTACTTTCCATAATGAACTTTTCGATTTACCAATTGTTGGAAACACTATATTTATTTTATTCGTAGCGACATTAAATTTATTAGCTGGCAACTCTCGTCCGTTAATCGAGGCGCACACAGCTCCATATATAAATAATATAAATTTAAACACTGTCCACTAGCAGCACAAGCGGCGATGAGTACCTTGCGAGTCCACGTCGAGGCGGTCGATGACCGCGTCGAGCAGCGCGTGCGCGACCACGTCGTCGGCGTCGAGCGCGAGCGCGTGGTGCAGCGCGCGCGCGGCCTCCCGCTCGCGGCGGAGCAGCGCCAGGCACAGGCCGCGGGCGGCGTGCGAGCGCGCGCGCGTGGGGCGCAGCGCCAGCGCCCGCTCGTGCCACTCGAGCGCCTCGCGCCGCCCGCCCAGCGCGCGCGTCGCGTGCCCCAGCGCGTCCAGCGTGGCCGCCCACCGCGCGCCCAGCTACACCTCGCACACACACGCACACGCCTCTCGTTACTACCGGCTACGTTTGGTGACGTCACAAGTTTTAGGACGGTACTGGCAAGTCGGGTATTGGAAATCACTGGGTGATAGTACGGCGTGTAACAGAACGACGCGGGGTCTTTGTAATTCGTATATATTAGGGTAACATTAAGATTGTTAAGTGATGTGTCTCTGCATGCGTTCACACTACCACAGTACTGAGAATGAAAATCAGTGTTTTGCTCGTTGAGCAAATTATTCGCTGATTAGCTCAACCCTTCCATATCCCTGTGGCACCTAATATGTACTTTAATGTTATTTTTTATGTTCTTATTTTATTTGTAAATGTATTGTTTTTTTATTATTATTATTATTCTTATGTCACTACACTACACTTCTTTATTAAATTCTTTTGTACTCTGAATATACGAATAAAGATTTAATCTGTATATCTAATTAAACTATTTTTTATTAAGTCATAAATTCATCTTCTTCAATATTCAATAGTAAATTCGAGATAGTGATTCTACCACCCTTCAGCACGCGCGCGGCCCGCAGGTCCCCGGCCTCCTCTCACCTGGTCGAGGGGCCGGTCCCCGCGCGCGGCGTCCAGCGCGCGGCCCAGCAGCACGCGCGCGGCCCGCAGGTCCCCGGCCTCCTCTCACCTGGTCGAGGGGCCGGTCCCCGCGCGCGGCGTCCAGCGCGCGGCCCAGCAGCGCGCGGCCCAGCAGCGAGGGGCGCGCGCGCGCGCGGCCCAGCAGGCGCGCGGCCCGCAGGTCCCCGGCCTCCTCTCACCTGGTCGAGGGGCCGGTCCCCGCGCGCGGCGTCCAGCGCGCGGCCCAGCAGCACGCGCGCGGCCCGCAGGTCCCCGGCCTCCTCTCACCTGGTCGAGGGGCCGGTCCCCGCGCGCGGCGTCCAGCGCGCGGCCCAGCAGCACGCGCGCGGCCCGCAGGTCCCCGGCCTCCTCTCACCTGGTCGAGGGGCCGGTCCCCGCGCGCGGCGTCCAGCGCGCGGCCCAGCAGCACGCGCGCGGCCCGCAGGTCCCCGGCCGCGAAGGCCGCCACCCCCGCCTCGTGCGCCACGTGCGGTTCCTCCACGCAGCGCACCACGCACTCCCACCGCCCCTTGTTCTCCACCTCCGCCTCCGGGTCCAGCTCGCCGCCCGACGGCTCCGATGTCTTAATGTGCAACCAGAAGCACATATTAACATTATATTTTGTAAGAGTTCCACCGGTAACTTTAACAACCACAACGACAAGAAAAGATCCATGCAGCGTCACAGTTTGATCCAATATAAACAAAATGCATATAGTTACATCGTTTCCGGTGTGGAGCGCGGCCGCCCTGGCGAGGAACTTGGCGCACATGGGCGGGTTATTGAGCAGCGAACACTCCACGCCCACGTACAGCGGCGGCAGGTGGCAACCACTCATCAACTGGCTCGCCTAAACACAATACTTAACATTAAACTACAACTGAATTGAGTAAGAACCCATCTCATACTCATCGCTATTTTTAAAAATAGAATAGAATAGAAAATAGTTTAACTTAATTCGAACACTTTTTAATAGTCATAGTTATCTGTCTTTTAATCTACCGCTCATTCGAAAAGCTTTCTCATCACAAGAAGGAGCAAAAAACTTGCGTGTTGCTCTTTTAAAGTATCATTCTAACTTAAGCAGACTAAAGTTAAGCAGAATTTGTATTATGAGTACTAGACAACTAATAGAAAAAATATTTTCTTTAGCTAACCTTAAAATAGGCCGCCATTGCCTGATCGTGTTCGTTGTCTGCTGCAAAGCTGTGCCCGTACGCGAGCCACACACATCCAGCTCCGGGTTCCAGGGTTTTCGCCTTGCTTAGGTAGCGTCTCGCGAACTCGCTCTTACCTGTCACATTTTTATGATAGTATGTATTTCCATTCACGATGCTCTGTATATAAAATGTATTTCTAAACAATTTTTGAATTGAATGTATTTCATGAGCACTTACTATAGTTTCAAGCTAAAAATACACAATGTTTTTCACTTTTTTATGTAATATGTATTTGTTATATCTCCCTCACAAATTCTTCTATCTATCGCCGAAATCTGCATTAAAATTACAGGCAGGAACTATATTTTATACTATTTCAAGATTTATTATAGATCGTAATCACCTCTGACTCCACACGAATAAACATATAGTACCTATGAGGTAGTAGTAGCACCCGACCGCGAACCAGGAGGTCCAGTCGTGCGGGTAGGCGTCGACGAGCTCGTGCGCGAACGCGAACAGCTCGGCGCTGCGGCGCAGCTCGACGAGGCAGGCCACGCGGTCGGCGGCGGCGGCCCAGGGCTCCGCCAGCGCCCCCAGCGCGGCCCGCCAGCGCCCGCCCGCCGCCAGCCGCCGCGCGCGCGCCGCCGCCGCCTCCAGCGTGCGCGCGCGCACCGCCTCCGCCGCCGCCTCCGTCTCCGCCTCCGCCTCCGCCCCCTGCCACGTTATTTGGGACTACTCTAATACCGTCGGCCGCAGCCTCCGATCGATCCCCCGTCCGATTCAAACGGGGATCGATATTACGACGGCCCGAGCCGAGATCGGGCAGGGCGGCCTCGGCTCGACCGTCGTAATATCGATCGTTGGCCTTCAGCAGCTCCATAAGTCCTTCCGCGGGTTTAGAGTGCCAGCTGCACTCGCGCCCTATCGTCCGGTGAAGCTGCGGGCGACAGCATTAGAGTAGTCCCAAAAATTTTAAGACGATAAGTCACGAGTGCAGATGGCACTCCAAACCCGTAGAAGTACTTATGTAGCAGCCGAAGGCCGACTCCCGTCTGACATATACACCTTCAGTCCGAGGGTACCGCTTGGGGTTCGAATCTCGTCTGGGGTTGTCGTAATTTAGATCCCCGTTGGACGCGGGATCAATCGAAGGGAGGACCGGGGGTACCGGTGTGGGCGCCCCATTATTGCGCGGTATGGTGTGGTGTAGGCAGTGAGGTGGCCCCGGGGCCCTCAAGTTCAGAGGGCTCTCGAAGCCTTAGCAGAAACTTTCAATCGAACTGAACTTTTGAAGAACAGGTTGCAACCCGACTTTATTCATAACAACTTAGTTGAGAGAAATTCGAAAGTTATAACTTCGGAATACCCCTAAATTCTTTCTGTGGATTGGCAGTGTTGTCAATTTGATGGATAGATATATGTTCGTTTTAATAAAACTATGATGTAAGGCCCCACTGCTGGGCCCCATTTTTTTATTTGCCCCAGGCCCTTGCTACCTAACTACGCCACTGAGTGTAGGGGACGCGGGGTTAATCTCTATGTAGTCAGAATTGCAGAATTTTCTTTTGAAATAATCGCAATGGGTTATGCGGGCGATCACTCTATTCTTCCTGATTTAAATTGAATAATAAATCTGTATTTTACAACCAAATAATAACAGATGAGTTTCTTGTCAGTTCTTTCGCCGGAAGCGCTTCGAACCGACAGTAGATTTGACATGAGCTCGTGATAGACCTGCATGAACAAAGATATTTGTATTGGTATACCGATCCGAGTGCGGGTTCGTCGGGCCCCGGAGGCCCCGGCGGTCGGGCGGCGGGCTCGGGCGTGTAGCGGAGCGCCCGCTGGCGGTAGGCGCGTCGCACCAGCGCGCCCTCCGCCGGGCCCAGCTGCGTGCTCACCGCCAGCGACGAGATCAGCTCCAATTCTGCTGACGACACTTTCATATACCCACGAACAAGTATCTAATACATTTTATGACTTTCAATATCTACATTTTATGTCTTTCAATATCTACATTTTATGATCTTCCGATATCTGCATTCTTTGAAAGATCATAAATCTTTCTGCATATATTTTGTATCCTGTCTTTTACAGTGTAGTTGGAAGGTGAGATACATTAGACAGATAAATTACATAACATTACAGTCCTCCCTAGTGGCGACGCATGTTGACGTGATTTCCATCTTCTTCCATCCATCCTCTTCTTCTATGTAGGCGACGGTTGCCACAAGGCGAGACGTCAACCATTATTTACAAGTTTGTTTTTTTTTTAATTTTAAATATGCGACGTATATATGAAACATTAGTTTCTCAAACTTATAGTCTCAATTCAAGCGGTAACAGCGCTTAATGAATACGATACAAACAAACAAACCTTGCCTGGGCGTGAGTGCGTGCTGATCCAATAACAGATCGAGCGCTTCGTAGTTAGCACAGTCGGCGCGCAACGCTGCAGCTAGCGCTTCAGCGGCTGCCTCGCGGCGCTCCAGCGATGACAGTGCTCGAGCCTGCCACACCAGCACGCCAGCGAGTGCTCGCTGTAAATGATACAAACCAAATTACTTAAGTAAACATAAGAAATCTATACTAATATACATGTCTGTTTATTACCATTTTAGGAACATTTTGACGTGTACGACGACGTATGAGGAGGTCATATTATGAGGCAGACTTAGGCTTACATTTATAGCATACACAGTCACCACTAGTCAAAAGATTAGCACAACTTTTTACTTCCGATGATCCAGGGTTTGATTTCTCTTGATTCATTGTACACTGCAAATATTTGTACTAATATCTCTAATTGTTTGTATCATCCTGTGTTTTTTATACATACTACATAGGTATTTATGCAAAAAAATGTATTTCTGTATTTTATACTCAAGAAAACTTCACAACTCAACTCTACTGTGTCTAGGGAGACACCAGACGTTCCAAAATCACTAATCTCATTTGGGCTTTGGAATTAAAAGAAGTAACTCACATTATGTGTTTGATCCGTATTCCGAGGTTCGAGTAGAGCTGGATCACACTCGTCCAGCATGTTGAGCGCCGTCGCTGGCTCTTTGGCGGCGAGGTACGCTCGCATCACCACACCAAGGCACAACAAATGTCTCCTGTACAAAGAAATGCTGTTTGTCATTTTCATTCTTTTAGCTGATAATTTTTAAACCATTTAGTGCTAAGCAATTTTTACAAAAATGTATGTGTACAATGTATATATTTTGTACAACGCCATCTGGTAAGAAGTAGTAGAAGTAGACAACATGTAAAATAAGAAGAGAGTTGTTAGTAATGTGGACTCTTGACCCCATTGCTAGCAATGTATGGTACATTGTATGGTTACCAGGTTGACCTCCATGACTTAATTTTGATCTTTAACCCATAACAGACAAGCTATATTATGTTTAAATAAATGGAAAGCCTAATAAACAATATACTGTTCAACATCATCTGATTTGGGACCCACAATAACAGGCAACAGAAGGCATTATTTTTTGGTGACAAAAACAACTGTAGTTTATTACATAATTATTTAGATTATGGGTCGTTTGGGCTATTATACACTGTAGCACTGCGAACTACATAGATCTATTTTACTTGCCCTTATTCAGAGTTTGCTCTTGGTAGCAATCTCCCATTCCCGTCAGGACCCGTCAGGGACAAGAATTGAATCATATTCTTAGGAGCGATGATTTCTATCTCCTCGGGAAAGAGTGTAAACTTTCCAAAGGAGATATTTCGTTTATGCATGAGTGGGTTACAACCGCATAGGATGTGTAGTGGCATTTCCTCTTCAGTTTGGCAGAATCTGCAGATTTTTGTCATGCATAGGCCTAGTTTTGCCATATGTTTGTTTACTTTGCAGTGTCCTGTGAGGGCCCTAGTAATCATGTATATGTTGTTTTTACTCAATAGCAGTAGTCTATTGGAGTATTTGTTCAAGTAGCCGAGAATTCGAGTATTTTTTAGATACTTTAGGAATGCTAATTGGTATGTTCGCATTTTCAAGTACATTGCACCTTATGAGGTTACAACCTTTTTTCATCTTTGTATTATTAAGACATATTTTATTTTATTCATTTATAGCCTTTGTACTGATGATAAAATTAAAGTTGGTTTTTTTATTTATTATTTCACTGCCTAGATTCAATAGGCCGATGTCTTATGATAAGAGACATCGGCCTCCGCCAAAAAACTCCATATTCCTCTGTCCAACTCATTCTAGAATAGAATAGAATAGAATAGAATAGAAAATCATTTATTCAAATAAACTTACATTGAAGCACTTTTGAATAGTCATAACATTTTTTTTTTTTTAATCTACCGCTCATTCGGAATGCTGTCTCATCACAAGAAGAACAAGCAAGAAACTTGTGTGTTGCTCTTTTAAATAATTTATTCTTACTTACAATTTAAGTTTAAGTGTGTGAATACAAACCACCGATTAGCACTAATTCAATTAAATACTCAAAAAGAAAAAAATATTGAATACATAACCAACTGGTTAAACAATTAATAAGAGGAAATCAGTCATAGTGATTAGAGCAGACCAGTCCCTACAAGCAGCACCCGTTCACGAGTATGACGGATGAGCCAGCCATCACTGCGCTCGACCATATTTTAGGGAGCCCAATGACCCGGCCCACCACGCCGCCACAAGTCTGGACATTTTAGTGAGCATGACTACTCAAAACACCAGACCATGTCATAGCTACTCACAATTGCCATCTGATGTTTATAGTATTCACATTTCACATAAGAATGCATGCGGCAATTAATACAAAACCCGCTACGCTTTCATATTTCTAAAATAATTGAATCAAGAAAGCAAAGCAATCTTCTCCATGTTGGTCCAGCTACTGCCCTTGTGTTAGCCTTACTCACTGCCATTATTAAGACATAACTTTTTTCTTCTTTTCTCTTTCTATCTGCCATCAGCTATATTCAGATACATTGATATTATTATTTTTTAGGGATATGTCAACCATTGATGTGAATCATTTCAATCAAACCAAATCAAAATTTTATTGCGTATATGTATTTATATTTTGGCCAGACGTATGTCTGGAGGGTATGTAGAGAGGGTATCCTCTTCAGACGTAATACCTCATCACTGGCATCTAGAAACTTTAAAGCTAATTTGTTCATGTCGTATTTATTAAAACATAACTGAGCACTAACCTGTGTAGAGCTCTCGATGTTACTGCATATGCTGCTCTGTGGAGTTCACCACGAGCCAGCATTGCACTGGCGAGGAGCCAGATGTCGTCTCCACTGGCCTGCCCCCCAGCACTGCTAGCAGATGCGGCCACATCAGCCCAAAATAGTGCACTTGTCCATTGTCCCTAAATAGAATTAATGATTAAAATATTGATACCATTTCCAATTGGTATAATGCTTATGATCCCTATAATTAAATAAGAAATGTCGGGCAGTCTGTAGAAGATCTGTAACTCTAATACACTAAATCCAAATACATCCTCCCTCCTCGATTCCCATCACATTCCATTAATAGATGATGCACATCTTCTACTTTTTATACACAATAAATCTAAACTCATCTTAATAAAATTTGATATGATGTAAGGTTATTTTGTTATTTTAAAACAGTCAGGCCAGATAGCTTGTTTTAACATTAAAAAGAATAACAAACAACTTACTAATTCAGAGTATTGTTTCACTAGTGATCGCATAAACTCAATGTTGAAGCATTCTGTACTAGCTGCAGACTCTGATTTGGCCATTACAGTTATTACAAATATAAGATTTGAACACGTTTACTTTTGCGCTAAATATGAGAAATATATATATAGTACATATGAGTCTTAGGTAAATAGAACTGTAAAAATAATAATTCAAATAAGATTTTTCGGGTTGGCGCCGGTAAATTTCACAGGTAAATTGTAAATTAAACAAAATGAATAAGATCTGTGTAATAAAAAGTAAATGTCAAAATGACATTGATATTTTTTAATTTGGAAGAATAGGCTCTTAAGTTCTACCGCAATTATTATCTTTATATGTAAATGATTTGTTATTTGAGTTGCACCGTGCTATACTAAGATTCGATACTGCGATAGTGTGTATTTTTGGTAGATTAATGGAAATAAGTAATTGTCATTGTTAGTTTAAGATAAATAAAACCACAGTGAAAATAGCTTATATTATCTAAAACAAAATTGTTTTTACTAATTATATATGTACATGTTAAATTAAGCTTACTTATATAATACATTTTAATGTAACTAAAAAGTACTGATAAATATGTTTTTTTCTTCTAAAACTGCAGAAAACCACTTATATTACCTATAATATATACAAATTACTACCGTCGTCGGCTGTCAATTCAAATGACTGACAGGAAAAGCGCGGGAACGCTTGAAAGGAAGCGCGCTATTTTAAAAATTTTATTATATTTTATTTGGTTTATTCAATTATATATCGTATATATTGTGGTTAAAATAAAATAAATAACCCACAACATGGGGAAGAGTAGAAGAAAGCGTAAAAAGCCTGTATCTCCAGATGATCCAGATAGTGACTGCAAATCTTCAACTTCATCCGAATCTGACGAAGTGGAATTAGATCAGAAAGAACTGTATAAAACTTATTTTGTCACGGATTATCATAGACGTTATCCAGAGGATTCCGGTGCAACTGAATTCGTTGTATTCGTTGAGTCTAGTGACCCTAAAACTATAATAGGCTCTAGAGACCTTCTATCTCTTTCATCTTGTTTAAAAAGGTTTAATAAAGGAGTCAAGTATCTCAGAAGCTTAAATAAGTATAAAATAGGAGTATATTTTGAGAAACCTGGCCTTGCAAATGCTTTCCTAAATAATTTTACCTTTCTTAAAGAATACCAATTTAAAGCGAGTATACCAGCTGGATCCACAGAAGTTACAGGAGTCATTAGGAATGTCCCATTAAACCTATCCAATAAGAAGATATATACCATGATATCAAGTTATAAAAAAATTATATGTGTTCGGCGGTTTCTACGTAAAGTTAAAAATGATACTAACTTTTTTCTACAGCCAACTCAGACCATAGCAATCACTTTTGCAGCTTCAGTTCTTCCAGATTATGTGGACCTTGAAGGATGGCGACACGATATATCACCATACATCGCTCCTGTGAAGCAGTGCTTCCGTTGTTTGAGGTATGGACATCTAGCTAAATATTGTAAAAATGCAGAGACATGCTCCATATGCAAAGGAAGTCATAATTTTAAAATATGCGATACACCAGTAGAAAATGCCAAATGTTTCCATTGCGATGGTAATCATGTTAGTATTTCCTCCAAATGTCCAATCAAACAAAAAAAAATTATAGAAAACAGAAACAAAGCTCAAACATCTTCATATGCAGATGTATTTAAATCTTTCCCATCACTAGGTACTAGACAGAATAAATATAATAATGATTTGATTTCTTTTCTTAAAAATGATGATAAATCTCTTGGTCTCTTAGTAGAGTCCATAGTAAAATTGATTACATTAAATAAAACTCAAAATACTTCAATTTGCACAAAAAATTTATTAGACATTCTTACTGAAAATTTCAGTAACAAAAACATTAGCTCTCAAAATTCACCTTAAATAATTTAAATATAGCTCAGTGGAACGCTCAAAGTCTGCTGAGCAATCGACATTTACTCACACATTTTCTTTACAGTAATAACATACATATTGCACTTTTATGTGAAACTTGGCTTCGGCCACATCATAAATTAAAAATAAAGGGTTATAAAATAGAACGCAATGACTCAGGTAATTACCACAACGGTGTTGCTATTATCATACATGAAAACCTTCATTATAATAGAATTAATATGTTTTCTGACGATTCAATACAAACTTTAGTCATTCAGATCATTATAAACAATGAAAAAATATCATTAGCTACTATTTATTGCCCCACCAATTGTTCAGTACCTTTCACAAAATCTAAACTTGTTAACTTTGTAAATAATACTCCTAAGCCTTTTATAATTGCTGGTGATTTTAATGCACATCACACCATTTGGGGTTGTGATTCAATTAAACCCAGAGGTAGAGATATTTTAGAAACTTTAGATGAATGTAACCTAGTTTTATTAAACGATGGTCATGTCACTACTGTAGGTAGTCATATTTGGAAGCCAAATGGCTTGGATTTAACCATAGTTAGTCCTTCTTTATCCCTTTCATGTAACTGGTATGTTTACGAAGATCCGTTAGGCAGTTATCATTTGCCAACAATAACACAATTAAATTTACAATATTCCAATTTTTCTTGTAAAGGAGCAAATAATTGTGTATCAGTTCCAGTAAATCGGCGTAACTTGCGACTTGTAAACTGGGACAATTACAGTAAAATTGTTAATTCCAAATTACAAGGCTTTTCTGTCAATGAGAGCGATCCGTGTTCAACATATGACACTTTTTGTAATATTATTTTAAATTCTATTGATATTGTTCTAAATAAGAGTTCATCGGCACATCAAAAACAATACAATTGTAATTCTTCTAGCAATTCTAAACTATCAAAATATAAGCATCCTCCAGTACCATGGTGGAATGACACTTGTGCAACAGCTGTTCGTAAAAGTAAACAAGCATATATAGATTTTAAATATGATCCTACCACAGATAATTATATTAAGTTTAAAAGATTGCAAGCGGAAAAAAAACTTACTATTAAAACTGTGCGTTTACAAAGTTGGCATGAATACTGTTCTAATTTAAACAGAACCACTTCTATATCTAATGTTTGGACAAAAGTTCGAAAATTTAATAAGAAATATATAAATAAACCTCGCACTTACAACTCAGGTAACGATGATATGTGGTTAAATGAATTTTTACACAAATATACTCCAGATTACGTTGCGAGCCCTTTTACAACAGTTCCTAACAATTCTGATAAAGCTAAAGATATTTTCTTTGATAAACCTTTCAAATTAGCAGAGCTTCAATCAGCATTAAAATCAAGAAGGGACACAGCAGTTGGGTTGGATAATATTTCATACAAAATGTTGAAAGCATTAAATGGTAACAATTTAAATACCTTCTTAATTATTATAAATTTATTATGGTATAACTCTATAATTCCAAAAGAATGGAAAACAGATTATCTTATTCCTGTGTTAAAGCCTTAAAAATTTATATGTTGCTGATTCTTATCGGCCCATTACATTAACATCGTGTATAGGAAAAGTTTTTGAACAATTGCTTAAACAAAGACTAGAGTTTTATTTCGAGTCTCAAAATCTATTGCCGTCGAATCAATTTGGATTCAGACGAGGATTTTCAGCTCGGGAAAGCTTAGGGCATTTTTATATCGATATTAAGAAAGCTTTAGAAAATAATCAACATTTGGTAGCAATTTTTCTGGATATAGTGGGTGCATTCAATAATGTAAATCCGAAGATTTTGGCAGATATCTTAATTTCTGCCGGAGTTTCAAATAAACTAGCAATATGGTTATATAATTTTATGAATGGTCGAAAATTATACGTTAAAGTTAGTAATGTTTCATGTATAGGTCCTCGCTTATCTCATGTAGGAGTATCACAAGGTGGTATACTCAGTCCTTTATTATATATTATTTATGTTCATAGAATTAATGATGCTTTAGGGCCTTATGTCCATAATCTCCAATTTGCTGACGACTTAGCTGTATATTGTTATGGTGACAATATTGTGGATACATTATCCAAAATCAATATTGCTCTTAGTAATCTTTCAGTATATTTTTCTTATGTAAATTTGGAAATCAGTCCTTCTAAAAGCAAAATGGTAGTGTTTAGTAATAACAATTTAAATATAGACTCATCTAATCAGGTGAAATATATGAGCGCTATTATTCCAGTAGAGCCAGAAGCAAAATTTTTAGGTGTAATATTTCAAAATAATTTAAGTTTTAAAAAATATGTCGATTGTGTATCAGATAGAGCCATGATGTCCACTAATATTCTCAGATCTTTGGTCGGCACTACTTGGGGAGCAGACCCTAAAATTCTGTTAATTCTTTACAAGTCGCTGGTTCGAACGCATTTTGAATATGCGTTCTTCTGTTTTTGTAACAAAGAAAAATATGTTGATAAATTAGAAAAACTCCAAAATATAAATTTAAGATTAATTTTGGGAGCCATGAGCACATCACCAATAAATTCGTTGCAAGTTGAATGTAATATACCCCCATTGCCGTTACGTTTTGAATTGCTAAAACTTATGTTTTTACTGAAACTTTATTCTGTTCATGATAACCAATTATTACATAAATTAAAAAATCCATCCTCTCTAATAATTTCCTCTCTAATAATATAACTGAAATTATTAAAAGTCTACATAACTCCAACATATTTATTAATCAGAAATTAGTTCACAATAGCAATCCATATGATTGTAATTTTTTAAAAACCCCCATTTTTATAAATAAGAATTTACATAATAAATATGATGTCTATGATTACATATCTCAATGGAACAATTATAGGCATATGTATACGGATGGTGCTAAAAATAAAGACTGCACGGCTATTGCTGTTTATGATGCCAAGGAAAAAATATCATTCGGTACAAAAATATCGAATAAATCGAGCATATTTACTGCTGAAGCTTACGCTATTATCTCAGCGCTAGACTATATTGGTGAAACGAACAATAATGATAAATGGGTCATATTAACGGACAGCATGAGTGTCTTGTTGGCCCTTGCGAATGTTTCTTCTAGTAAAACATCTTTCGTTATACAAAATATTCAAAGGAAAATATATGATTTTAAAAAACGGCTTAATATGGATATTAATCTTATCTGGACTCCAGCTCATTGATGTCACTGGCAACGAAAAAGCTGATGAACTGGCTAGGTTCATCACAAACTGTCAAATTCAAGGAAAAGAAAAATACATGTTAATCCCAGCTTCAGATTTTATCGTTGAAATAAGAAAAACAATTAAAACTAAATGGAAACAACAGTGGGAAGAATCCATAAAAGTTAAAGGGAAATGGTTCAGAGAAATACAGCAAGAATTTAAAACGCCATGGTTCGTTCAAGGAAAATATGTGGAAAGAAAATTTTATTCAATTTTATGTCGTCTTAGAATTGGACATGGAAGATATAAAAAGCATTTGCATAGGATGAAAATGGTTTCGTCTCCTATATGTGATTATTGTTCTGCCGACGAAGATCAATCATTAGATCACTTGTTTTTTGAATGTCAACATTTCGCAATCCAGCGATTAATATTTATTGATAAATTGATCAATATATATGATAAAATGGAGATCCCGCGCTCCATCCAGAATTTATTAAAGAACACAGAAACATACAAACCCATTTTCGAGTACGTAATATCAACATTTCAAGATATATAACTACTGAAGACAAGTATTAGAAAAAAAAAAAAAATACGAAAATATTACTGAAGACAATGGCTGTATGGGCTGAGTCCTTTTGCCTTTCCCTAAAAAGGGAAAAACAGAACCAAAAAAAAAAAAAAAAAAATGACTGACAGATGTGCTAGGGCCTAGAGACAGTTGTCAGTTGGAATTCAGATTGATGACGGAAAGAGAAATAGGTTTGAATGAAAAGGTTATAAACAGAAAAAGAAGCATACTTATTGACTGAGCATATTGATAATTAATTTCTATTTTTATTATAACATTTATTAAAAGGGTGATTAACTATTTGCCGCGTCTTGCCATTTTTTTCTAATTCTTTATTCTTTCTCACGGACTTTTTAAATATCGGTTCAAAGGGACCACATCCTCAAAGACGCAACGTGTCGTTAGGCCGTTAGCGAATCATGTTAGTACTATACTTGGCGTAACATGAATGAAAGGAAAATGTGCAAATTCTACAATTTGAACGTGCCTGATCGACGATCTGCTGAGGGAGGTGGCTTCCAGAACCACGACCACGACCAGGACAATGACGATGATGATGACCGGGCTCCTGATGAAGCGACCCCGCCACCGGTGCCTCCGAACGAGCACAAGCTTGAATACAGCTATTGGATGTGGTTTTCACGACGGCCGCCCGCACGTGAACTCACTGCCACCACTACTGGTTATGGCCAGGTATACTTTGTGTATATTTTTCCTTTGATCTCTATCATAAAAAGTTTTATTACTAAACTAGTGAGCTACCCAGGCTTTATCCCGGTGTTCTTCCTTTTCTTATTTGTATGTTATATGTGAGATGTCTCTCAAATTTCTAGTAGTGAAATAATTCCCCGAAATGGTTTAATGCTTGTGCAGTTGAACAATAACAATATCTCAAGCCATTTAGTGCCTAGTTAAGCAGACCATGTGATATGAGTACTAGACAACTGATACAAAAATCTATCTGTTTAAGATAATTTTTTTATAAATGCAAATTTTTATAATTTTTTTTATAAATGTATATACATAACATAATGCATCAAAAGTAAGGTGATCTGCTAAACTGCTATACCACCGGGACCATCAAAGCTTTGTAATGAAATTAATTCTCTCTATTTTATTATACATATACATAATATACCCAATAGGGTCAAGAACACAGTACATACAAAATGTCGGAAATAATTGTTTAGAAAATGCTCTTGTGTCAAACACTCTTAATTCAAGATAATATACAACAGGTATAATTAGTAAAAATCACGGGATCTTACCACGTTTTATATTTATTTGCTGAGTTCCCAATATTTCGGTAGTGTTTCAACCACCATGATCACGGGTAAACTAATATATAACAATAAATACAAAAACATGGTAAGATCCTGTGAATTTTACTAATTATACGTATAAATAATGACCGCGTCAAGTTTAAAACAGTATATAATATACAACAGACCAAATAAACCTTGCCTCTTCTTCTAATTTAAATGGCTTCCACCAAAGGATATCAGTGATTTTCCCAATATCTTGGTTAGGGAGACACAGTGGTGTGATGTATGGTTTTCTTGACTGTGTTCATAAAAAATACTGTTTCATTTGCCTGAGAATGCTAAAAATAAGGACTACACAATATATATTTGCGTACAAGATATGTTAGACAGTTTTACTGTTAAACAACTATTTAAGAAATAGAAATAGAAATAATCTTTATTCAAAGTAGAGTAGAGTAGTAAAGAGTAAATTTTATGAGTTTACTCATTACAAGCATTACAAGCAAGTATAACTATTCAAGTCATATTTTGATTCTACCACTCATTCGATTCATCACAAGAAGAATGAGTAAGAAACTTGTGTGTTGCTCTTTTTAATAGATGTTTTTTTATATAAATAATTACAGTTTACCAAGTAAGAGGCATGTGAAAATCAATATAGAAATCGCAACACACTCATTATTAGTGTAATCAGATATTATTGTCAGCGCTATGCACAAGCATTAAACAATTTTTACATTATTATAAGAACCATTATATTTAATTTAATTAATTAAAATACTAATAATTTAATGTTTGACAATTTATGATGGCCTCATGTGTTGAGAGCAACAGATAAAGTGATTCATTTACAATTATGTGCAAGCTATATTCATAGAAAATTGTAGGCCCTGGAAGTAGTTTGATGGAAGATACTAAAGTTAAGAAGAAGAAGAAGAACTGTAGTTACATCTTCAATTTAAGAAATCAAAATGTAACATGGAAATAGAAATATAGCTGTTTCTTTTTATAATGGACTAGCTGCATATGCGACTTTGTCCGCGTGGAATTTAACTTTATTTTTCTAAAATAAAAATCGGCCTAAGTTACTCCGTATTACATCAGCTACCTACCAAAAAAAGTCCCGTCAAAATCGGTCCAGCCATTTCAGAGATTAGCCAGAACAAACAGACCGACAGAAAGACACAAAAATTTTAAAAAGTGTTTTTTTTTTGGTGTATATCCCGTATTTATATTCATATGTAAATAGTAAAAAACTGTTATTTCAGTATTACAAACAGACACTCCAATTTTATTTATATATATAGATTACATGGAAATTACAAAAAGACTGACAATATATCCAATTAATTGTGTAAATTGTAATTATGATAATGAACAATCATCAATATTGTCAATCAGCAAAGGATGATAGATGTCATTACACATTATACTTATTTCCGACACCAGATTTTTACAACTATTGAGTGTAAAAGTAAATTTGTGTATTGCAATATCCTAAATACTACATGTATTTGTTGCCATTCATATCATGAAGAGTGTTCTGAGGAATTGTTCGGATTAATACCAGCTGCTGAGTTTCACCACCGTACCACCCGCCAGAAACTGAAATACCATCCTGATCATCTGGATGAATGGCGGTCTTCTACAGTACGGTTTTCTAAAAACTTTTTGCCTTGCACAACCACATTGTGGAAGCACCTTCCAGCAATGGTATTTCCGAACCGATACGATATTGAAACCTTCAAGAAAAGAGCTTATTCCTTTTTAAAAGGCTGACAACGTACTTGCAATTCCCCTGGTGTTGCGGGTCCTCATGGGCGGCGGTAATCACTTACCATCAGGTGAGCCGCATGCTCGTTTGTCCCGTGTTAATAAAAAAAAATGTTTGTCTATAGAAATAAAATAAAATAATTTTATTATTATCCACTAACTATTCATTATATAAATTGCATTATTGACTTTCATTTAGTCATAATTCTCTTGTTTAAGGAATGAGTTCTATTACAATTATGTATATTGCTATAGATGTCTTTTATTTGGCAAGCAGTTTGCATTGTAAACTGTGTTTCTATTGAATGAAATCACGGTTGAATTCATTACAGTAGTAGATATGAAGTAATTACTCCAGATTGAAATCAGTTTTTGAATTCCCAGGCTTTACGTATGGTGGGTCGGGTGGCCAGCGTGGAGCAGTGGTGGGGACTGTACACGCACCTTGCGCGACCCGGGGACCTGCCCCCACTCTCCGACCTACACCTCTTCAAGCTCGGCATCAAGCCAATGTGGGAGGATCCTGCCAACGTTAATGGAGGGAAATGGGTAAGTCAACAGTTTCTTGTGGTAGACTTTGTACAAAATTGTCTGTAATAATCTACAAAGCAGTTTATAAAGACGAGCACAATGTGTAGATCTGGGCAGGGCGCAATGTCACAGGTTAAAAACACCTTGTAGGTAATGCCCAAACCCCTTATAATTAGGTTTACACTCTAGGTCACATGTTGAGCGGAGCGCGTTTGTTCCTAAAAACTCGACCCGGACTGAATGGATTTTTTTCATTGGTAAACGATGGAGGCCCTGAGGTCGATCTTCGATGAAATGTTGGTTTCGATAGGTCAAGCCGTTTCGGAGGAGTAGAGTTCAGCTCGTACAAAGAGCGAATCTAATCTCTAAGATCGCTCCGCTCATCTACTATTTCCACACTTGTAACTTGTTCACATCACTAACTGTCTCTTTCCTCCAAATTTGTTATATATATTTTTTCAAATATGAATATGGAATGGTGGATCCGCCTGTGCTAACGGTATACGCCTGTGGGGCACCAGTGGAAGATGATAAGACGAACTTGAAGACAGGTCGGTTCGCACTGCGTGACAAAGTCACAAAGAATTTATTAGGATTGTTTCCAGGCCAACCTGAAATGGTACATTGCTTGCCATGGGGTCAATAGGCCTCATTACTCACAATATCCGTCCCCTATTTATATAGATATTTCTTTTAATGGATGATAATGGAATGGGATTACACTGGCAGGTCCCTCACTGGTGAGTGAGGGATGATAAGATGAACGTGAGGTCAGGTCAGTTAGCCCATCATGACAAGTTCACTAAGAATTTATCACGATGGAGGAACCGCCTGGAGGGTGACCTAACATGGTACATTGCTAGCCAGTCCTTATTACTAACAATCCCCTTCTCTTCTATTAATATTTGTATGGTTGGTTTCCAGGTGGTGCGACTCCGCAAGACGCAGACGGGGCGTGCGTGGGAAGATCTCTGCATGGCGATGCTGGGCGAGCAGTTTATGGTTGGCGCCGAGCTATGCGGGGTCGTGCTCTCAATACGTTTCCAGGTAACAACTGACTCACATAAATAGATAGATAGATAAAGGTAGGGATCTGTGGCAGAGGATTGCATTCTGCATCGACCACAAATAATGGGAATGCAATGCAATGATGATGATGTAAAGTTGTGATTTTTCTGACGATCATTTTAGTGGCCATTTTAGTCACAGGAATAATTTGATTGGGCGCCGCATGTACAGGAGGATCACTTGTTCCTCCTGTACACACAATTTTTTTTTATGAAATTTCGTATTTCCTTCGCTGCGCTTCAATCGCTGCGTGCTGATTTAAGAAAGAAAACGGCGGGAAAGCTACAGTGTACTGTGTACTGTACAGCAGTTTTATAGTTTAGCTTATTTAAAATTAACTGATTTGAAAAACTTCATATGATATACATGCGTGTTTAATACACTCGACTCTATTACGTTTTATTCCACTTGGTGTCTTAAAATCATCGTAGCGTACTTAAATTGATGGTAGGTAGGCTGACTGTTCGCATGTGTGTCGTGTCAGGAGGACCACCTGGCGGTGTGGCACCGGACGGCGGCGGACGCGGTGGCGGCGGGCCACGTGCGCGACGCGCTGCGCCGCATCCTGCAGCTGCCGCCCACCGTGCCCGTCGAGTACAAGGCGCACGGCGACTGCCTGCGGGCCTCCGCCTCGCGCGCCTCCGAGTCGGACGGCTCGACCACGCCGCAGCCGTCGTCGCCGCCCGAGCCGCGCTCCTAGCGCCACGCCCTGCCCCGCCGCCCCCGCACCGCGTAGGCAGCCCGGCCCCCCCCGACGCCCCGCCCCGCGCACGCCCCCCGCACCGCGGCCGCGTCGCTCGCCGCTCGTACTTTGCCGCGATAGGACGCACCGTGTCGCGGGGACCCGACGAGTCGGCAGTATTTTAAAATTATTATGTACATTATCGAATATTTACATAGACGTTGTAGCAAAATTACAAGTTTATTTGTGAGAATATATATGTACTAGCAATAAATGCTTACCTATTAACAGTAAATTATCCACTTTAAGCGATTTTTGGGGTTGTATATAACGTTGTCCCGGTTTGTATGCAGCTTCTAGTAGTTCACGTCGATGAAATATATACCTGCAGTTTTTATTAGTGTAATCTTCCAAACTAGTAGAACCCTTTTCATCTAGCTGACTAGTCAATGTATCAGTTATAAAGATATCTCCGGTAGAGCACAATGAAATTATACCCAGTGAGCGTGCGTCAGTGAAACTATAGTTGTAAGCGCATCGCTCTCACGAGCGCATTAGTTCCGAGACGATGTACATATAGTCAAATTCAGTGTTGGTATTTGTTAATTGCGAGTTTAGTGAGGAGCGACGCGCCGCCGCCTTAATATGCATCAACTCTGTGTACAGTGAAAACTTTCTTCTTTAATGAAAATAATAAAATCAGTCTTTTTATTACCTAGTTTTCTTACTATGTCCTATAATGTTAGCATGTTAGTTACTAGTGATTCCCTTTTCATAATAAACGCAATTGAGTTTGATCAACTGAGTTAAAGACTGAATTCGACTGAAGTTTTGTGGACTAAAATAATATTATATACTAGCTGTTCCCGCGACTTCGTCCGCGTGGAATTTAACTTCACTTTTGTGAAATAAAAGATTTTTCTAAAATAAAGTAGCCTATGTTACTCCTTATTACATCAGTTACCTGCCAATAAAAATTCCGTCAAAATCGGTCCAGCCATTTCAGAGATTAGGCGGAACAAACAGACATAGACAAAACTTGTAAAAAATGTGTATGTACCGTATTTCTATTCATAGGCATGTAGTAAAAAACGGTTATTTCAATATTACAAACAGACACTCCAATTATATAAATAATTATATGTATAGATTATCATTGTCCTTGATAATGGCAGTGTATAAAAATAATAACCCAGAACAAATCACACAGCGCCATCTAGTTCCAAGGTAAACAGAGCTTTAATGGGTACCAGACAACTTATTTTTTTTTGTATAACAATATATCTAGGAAATAGACCAATACAACTTATGAATACAAATATTTGTCCTGTGCGAGGAATCGAACCCGCGACCATCGGAGGTAAGGTGGTGTGCTAAACCGCTCGACCATCGAGGCCGTATCAGTATGTCTAACTTACAATAAAATTATAATAATATTTAAGGGCGTCATGAAAATGAAAGTGCAATATTTGTCTAGAAAATATATTTTAATACGTACATCAAATTTCAACAGACAGTTTCGTTAATTGAATAAAAATAAAAATGTATAGCTGGCATAACGGTCGTAGTCTACACGAGAAGAACACTCAACGAATAGTCGAATTCGCTACACTACAAAATATAAACGTCGCTAAATATTCAATTTACAAGTTATCCTACATCTGTGGACTCATGTTTCATAACAGTTATTTGGAATTCATTTAGGCCGCTTCACCTTCGTTACATTTAATTATTCTAATATGATTCCTTTTTTACAATAAATACAGTAGAGTAAATAAAAAAAATCATTATAAATATGTGCATAGTCGTCTTAAAAATTATAATAAAAATTCATTTTTCTACACAAAAACAATACATGCGTCCACAATCTAAACTGCCGACAATCAGACGAAAATACTAAAGCTATCTTACAATATAACTTTATATACATTTGGCAACTTTACTTAGTCTATGTATGGTGATATGCACACGGCATTGGTTAATCAAATAAAGTATGATTTCCCATTGATATATCTTTCGTACAATGCTATCATGTAGATCACAATTATTTTCATTGATATATACATTCAAATGTTCCAAATTTAAAACGATTTATGGGCTTATTACACTATCACAGATATATATTTTCTGACTCATCATAAACGTAATGCAAACAAAAAATAACATTACTCTCTATTCATCTTATGTTGTGACGCGTGAAATTTTTTCTAATATTATAAAAGTACTTTAAAAATTATATAAACGTCAAATAATGTATATGTAATCGATTATTTCAAACAGATTTATACATTTTGATAATACATATAGATACCTAAATAATTCAAACAATAGAATATAAATCTATAATCTTCATTCAAATAAACTTAATTATAAGCACCTTTAATATATATTTCTGATTCTACCGTCACATTCGGAAAGCGGAGCTATCACGTGTTACGTTAACATGAACGAAGTATACATTAGTAATGTGAATGTAACTTTATAAATCTATAAATTTGTCCAAATGAATATTTGATAGTGTTATATGCCCTTAATGAACTACTAATAAGTAATTTAAACGTTGTACGATTTGATACTAACAAGTTTATTTGTACAATTAAACAAGTTATACACTTTCAATCTACGTAACAAACAACATCTTATCATCTTAAGTCACAGTACAAGATTAAATGTCAAATCCATACATGGTTTTATATGAATTAGCGACCGAATAGGGAATTTTGCTAATTTTGTGTGGGAGGTTCTTTGTAAATTGTGCTTTAGGACTATGATAATAGAGTTTTGAACATTCAGTAAGGAATTTACAATAAGTACTATATATATAAAGAGTCTAGATACCATTTCGTCTAGGTTTTGTATGTATCGCTGTTTGACGATTTTTGTCTTTTGTAGTATCCAAACCAATACTATAAATACTATTATAAAAAAAATCTGTTTGTTACCTTTCATACATAAAATGAGCCTAAAAAAATTTGACCTACTGGAAGGTTGTATTTTTTTAGTTACATAAAACACAAGCTGACCCGTGCAATTGTCTGTACATTTACTTCACATTTATCATTTTTAATCAGATCCTGTGTTACTTGACAAGCTGCAGTGTAAAGCCACCACACGTCCTATGTGTTTGTAGCCCCACACATGCATAAACGAAATATCTCCCTTGGGAAGTTTACACTCTATCCTGAGGTGATAAAAACCATCCCTCCTAAGAATATCCTTCAATTTTTTTACTATTTACCAATTTTATAACACGTAGGTGGCAAACAAGCATACTGCCCATCTAATGGTAAACCGTAGTCTATGGACGCCTGAAACACCAGGGGTGTCACATGTGCATTGCCGACCCTTAAGAAACCTTAATATACCCTACAGGTCCAAGCACCTCATAATAGGCCTTACCATTTTTTTTCAGATGTATAAGCTATATTCCTGTAAAGTTTCATCAAAATCCGTTCAGAAGTTTTTGCGTGAAAGAGTAACAAACATCCATCCATTCATACTGTAACATAGTAAGATAAAATACATTGTGAAACTTTTTGTTAATAAAGCGAGATCCCATTCTACTACTTTCAATTCATACTTATGCCACTGTTTAAAACAACGCATGTACATACAAAACCTAAAATCATTGACAATAGATTGATGGCGACATCGGGAAGTACTTAATCGTAATTTTCACAACAATGGAAGTGTCATTTCGTTTATTAAATATAATTAATGGAAATTTTGATACGTCAATGATCTACACAAGTAGACTATATTGGATGGTTTTCTTTATCGCGCGGAAAAATATGGCATGACAGACACTATGGTGATATAAATAAGGTATAATATGGCATGATACAAAGGTCCGTTCGGTTTTTAATTGTATTTACAATAAACTTTTATAAAAAAATTAGTAATTTTAAAATACAATAATTTTGGAAAAATAACTTATGTTCCGTATTTCTCGCGTTAACAACAACATTAAACAGCTTATCTTGGGAGTAGATGGCGCTGTGTCAATTATCCAAGCTTATTATTATTTATAAATCCAATCATTAATTAGTACTTCAACTATTTATGCCCTAATTTTCCGAACGATAAAACAAGTCATCCCGTTTAATTTTATATGGCACGAATCTCGAAAATTTATTATCCTAAAGACAAATACAGCGCTAAACAACTTGAATATAGCCAATTATTTACATCAGCTTACAGTTAATGCTTATTTCATTGCTTTATTTTCGTCGTAATTTAGCACTTACCAAATTTTGAAACTTATCACAAACTAAGTAAAAATAAAGCCAACTAAATTTAAAACTTAGATTATTACAATAAGAGGCGCTGCTTGTAATCTCGCTGACCATATTCAGAAATTAGAATTCCGTATAAATCTGGGCTCACATTATTAGGTTCAGTCTGGACGGTTTGTGCCAACAAAGCAGCTCGCGATTGGCGCATTTCCAAAAAAGGCGGGGCTTAGCAACCAATCAAAACCAGCAACAAATACAAAGCGCCAATTGCCTGGCGTCGTCGACGGGCCGCCCGACTCTTTGATTCTTATCGGAAATGTACGACGGTTTTACACAATAATAAGATCATTTATGGATTTTATAATTTACCTCTATACTAATATTTTAAAGAGGAAAGATTCGCTTTTTTTTTGTTATCAACATTCAACTCAAAGTACCTCTATCGAGACCGATTATAAAAATTCTTACCGTAAAGTGATATTATTATATATTCCACGTATATACCGTCGCGGAATCAAATTCGTTTTAGGAAAATAACATTAAAGGTAAATTGCTTCCCGGATTAAGTTATAAAAATTATTAATAATAATTTGCCAATCAATATACAAACAAACAACTGGTGTTGTAAACTAGTATTCAGCCCAATCTTCGTCCTTCGACCAACTTGGGTCCTTAAAGCTTTGTGCGTTTTGTATATATTAACATAATTTGACATATATATAACAATTGACATAGGCATGTTTTGAACAGTGAAACAAATTCTCCAGAATTTACTTTCCTCATCATAAAATCTAGCCTCTTTATAATATTAGTATAGATAAATCAGTATGACAAACAGAATGGAAGACAGTCACACAAATAACTAGTATTCCTTTTAAGTGAAGAAACACACTGATCAATTCTGTTGCATTTTTAAAGTACGCCTCATATTGTGAACTATCTAATTAAAATAATGGTTAACGCCAGTCTTACTAATATGGGGGGTTCCTATGACAGTGGTGGGGGCAAGATATGTATAATGATATATTTGTATGGTTATATGAGCATGTATTCACCAACCCCTAAAAAACAACTATACCTCTTAACTGTAAACCTGGCTGAATTAACAAATAAATAAACTTCAGCTTAATATTATGTCAGTCGGTACATTTGACTTGTGCCATAAAATAATTAAAAAAAACCCAATAGTCTATTGCTGTATTTGTGACTGATAACAGACATCTGTCGAATATTAAAAAGTAATAAATTTTGTTGATGCATCACAGTTATGATTGTGGAGTGACATTTGACTTGTATTTACTATAAATGTCATACAAATATAATAATTAAAATTTAATGTACATGCTATAAACAATAACAAAATACTATAAACAAAAAACTATCTAATATATAGCTCGTACATATGAGCTGTATGCATAAGCATACAGCTCATATTGAACCGCTGCATACATAGCAAGGGTCCATACTGCCAACATTCCTCATCAGATTTTTTCAGAATCCTCTTTATTTAGTCTAGAATATATTTTATATAAAATGAATTGATTGTAATATATTGTACAATGCTTACTGCATGTCCATTAAAATTAATTTTTATTCATTTACATTCCTATTGTTAGTATCTGCCTTTAAAAGGTCAGGGCATTTTTAGACTAACGTAACATTTATGTATATAATAGGTAAATAAAAAAATAAATTAAAATAATTATATTCAGATTTAAACTACTACTCAACTATATTTATATTGTTGTTATTGATTTATTAATTGTACATTAGTAATTTACTTATGTGCTTAGTTTTGCGATTTATATTCGAAACATAAATATAATTATGTTCAGGATATTCATATAAAAAAAAAAAATATATGCTCATGGCATTAATCTTAGTTGGTTACTTAATAAATCTATACTTTATTTAATTCCACTACCATTAGCATGTGAGACCACAAATATTCAGTGCGGAAACCTGACCACCGGGGGAAGGGGCTTGGTAGTAATGTGAACTCTCGACCCCATTGCTAGCAATGTATGGTACATTCATACAGTCAGGTTGGCCTACACGTGGTTCACCTGGAAACCATCGTGATAAATTCCAGGTGAAGTTATCACGACGGGCTAACTGATCTTACTTCATCTCATATTATCATCCTCCACTGGTTCCCCGCCAGTGTAAACCGTTGGCGCAGGCGGGTGCACTAGTTCATTATCATATACATTATCATTACAACCTTCTCTATTGGTGATAAAATCCGACCGTTATTGAGTCTACACCCATATTGGTGTAGAAATATGAAATATGGGTATAGACTCATGCTAGTGGTAGCGGAATTAAACAAAATAATATAAATCCATTACACAATAAAATGGACTTCCGCAAAATCATAACTAATTGGATAAAACATAATCTTAGTTGGATCAAATAGTGCACTTGTGCTTAGTAATAAAACTGTCAAATTAACATTTACTATACCGATTTTTATAGCATATATTAATTTGATATAGTCTTTATAAGACGTCTACTACAATCAAATTGTATCACGGAGAAACTTCAAATTATATCATCAACTATTGGGTTTTTCTGAGACTGCAACGGACGGATAGTATTTACAAAAATGATTTGCATGTGAGTTCAGATTGACTATTTTTATAATATGGTACACTAAATGATTAAATAATGACAGAAAACAACCTAAAAATGCTCAGTGTAGTTTTCAACAAATGCCGCTGGTATACAGTCGGTTAGTTAATGCGACAACTGACTGTATGCCAGCAGCCTAAATGTGTATGATATCGTTTGAGATAACAATACTTATATTTTATATTTTTACACAATATATTTAATTGTAACTTACTGGTAAAGTCAAACTGGGTGAATGTTTGTTAGTACTTTTAATAAGTTAAATGGTAGACTTATTATAGTGCAATGAAATAATTGAACAGTTTTTATTTAATATTACAAATTAAATATGGTACATATGGGTAGAAAATTGTCGCTACTTTTTAGACGTATGATATTTGGTCTAAACTTAAGATCATAAAAAGAAAAAAAAATGTAAATAGAATAATTAAGATAAATAAACATAAGCCGAAATAATCGTTTTGGCTTAAGTTTATTTAACTTTAAATTCACCTAAAACAATTGGATACCTGTAAAATTTTTGTAATAGTTCATTATTAAATTGTAATAGTGAGTACATGTTTGAGCACCACTGGATTTTATTCTGAATTATTACAATGTCTGTTTATTTACTTCATTGTACTAATAGATTTATTTAGACAAGATTAAAGTGTTCAAATTCTATAACATAATTGCTTTAACAATGTATTTAATACATAACCTGTGCCCCATTTTGGACAAGTGCAGTGATTCCGGAGTTATAACAAAATTAACTTTCGGGCGTTACGTAGAGATTCGAATTTACAATGATCGTATAATAAATTCAACGCTTTCAAACAATTCTCCAAATTACTAAAACTTCTCACTAAAATCTTGTATAAATCAAAATATCTACAGGACACTTATTTTTAAACTTTCGTGCTTAGTACACAATATTGATATAGTTAAACGGGTAAATACGAATCATTTTATGGCAAATAAAGGTATTTACATCTGTTGACGTTTCGACTAGATCGCACTAGCCGTGTTCACGAGCTGACTGACTGCTCGTGTGTTAAAACCAGTTTAACTATATTAATATTAACTACAGGATATATTTCCCGCCCAGATTTGACTAGGTTGTTTCGAGGAAGCGCACATGTTTTGTGTTGATTTGCTAATAATGATCACTCACAGCAGTATGAGGGGCAGGTGGTCGTGCTGGTGATGGCGGGGATTGTGCTGCGGTCAGCAGACGCGGGGCGGCGGCGCCAGGTCGTGTATGAGCAGCGGGGCCGTGTCCGCGGCCCGGGCCGGGGCCGGGGCCAGGGACGGGGCCAGGGACGCGGCCAGGGACGGGGCCAGGGCCGGGCCTGTCGCGGGTCGCTGGGCGTTCACCCGCTCCAGCACGCAGGACGCAGACAGCCGGGCCTCCGCGTCGTGGTCCCAGCATTCTTCCATTGTGTCGCACAACACCGACAGGCCCTGTCGTCAGAACGGAATTTTTTTATTAATATGGACAACTAGACCAGGGCAGATAAATTTAGAAATCAAAAACAAATAATAGTAATATAATTTATCGGCGATCTGATGATGATGATCTGTCGGGAGGTAGAAGAATCAAGCCTGGTTATTTGATTTTTTCAAATAAATTTTGAGGTCATGTTGAAAGAGTGAATACAGAAGTTTAGATCGTTTTATTACCTACAAAGGTGAGAAAGGGCAGTGAAATTACAGCATAAGGGGCATGACATCTTAGTCTATCCACTGGCAACGTGGTGGTGTGTGTCCCAGTGGTGTATCACGTGTGTCACATAATATATATACATACTCTTCATGTATATAGGCTATGGTTACCACTTACCATCAGGTAGGCCCATCATACATAGAAATGTAACTAAGGTACGTACCGGATGGTCCCGCCAGACACCCGGTATGAGCGGTCGAAGTTTCCTCTGTACCACCGCTTCCTGCATCTCCTCAAGACTGGGATGTGAACCCACTTCCTCCTCAAGTGGCAGCCGGTACTGTAACGAAGGGTCCGCGCCCACATCGTTACATCTGTAACATTAATAAGAGAATAAAGAATATACATATTTTCTTTTAACAATTATCGTGGTTTAATTAACCTTTGATGCCTGCAATGTTTATAATATTCAATTTGTGAATATATATATAATATCAAATTTGTGATAAATTGGATTCGTTTTATAATAAACATTATAAAGAGGCAAAGTTGGCGAGTTTGGATGTTAGGTGTAATTTTCCGTACTATGATTTCCATCATTGTCAATGATCCTGATCTCTCTGGCGGTATCGAACCACTTAGCTTGAGGCGAGACTTCGCTTCGCTTTGTGTGTTCTACTTAATATACAACGGACTGTGTATATTCTGAGGAATTGTTCGACATGATGCCTACGGCTACCTTTTACCATCGCATCGCTCGCCATCATCAGGGAATTCATTCCCACATACTAGAACCTAAGTGGTCTCGGACAGTGTGGTTTCAGTGCTTCCTCCCGCGTACACTTAGATTGTGAAATGAATTACCTGTCGAGGTTTTCTCAAGAGACTACAGCCAGGGGTGTCACGTGCGCGTTCTTGAAAAACCCCGTGTTTTCAAGAACGCGCACGTGACACCCCTAGTGTTTCGGGCATCCATAGGCTACGGTAACCATTTACCAACAAACTTGCTTGTTTGTCACCATAATAGTATAAAAAAAATATTTTGTATAAACAGAAATTCCAGTGAGATACATTTTATAAAGTCTACGTGGGTGCCTCAGTTTCATCTGTTTTGGTAGAAAGTTATATAATGAGATTAAGTAGTGAAACATGGAGTACAGAAGCAAGATACCTCAAACCTCCGTAATTAGAGAAACAATGCGTTTCCAATTACTATTAGGTAGGCCGTACACTTATTTCGTATGGTATGACAATAGTAGTTCATGTACGGGATTTTCATTTAATGTTAGACATAGACACCTACATAAGAACACCATGTAAATAATCTGGCTTTAAAAAGAAATCAGTTGAGTTTCTCGCCAGTTCTTCTCAATTGAATTTGTATTTTGAACTGGACAGTAGGGAAAATTATTAATAAAAAAATGACTTTCATAAGGGACTAAAATGACTTCGTCCGCGTGGACTTTAACTTTATTTTTCTAAAATAAAAGTAGCCTAAGTTACTTCTCATTACATCAGCTACCTGGCAAAAAAATCCCGTCAAAATAGGTCCAACCACTTTAGAGATTAGCCGGAACAAACAGAGGTAGACAAAAATTGTAAAAAATATATTTTGGTGTATGTACCGTATTTATATTCATATGCATGTAGTAAAAAACGGTTATTTCAATGTTACAAATAGAAACTCCAATTTTATTTATATGCATAGATGATTTGTCATGCCTTTTAATAAAAAAACAGTTCATCGGGTCATTCATTATTATATAATAAGCATTATATAAGATATAGAGGTAATATATTATAATTAAGTTAAGCAGTGGCAATTATATTCCATTATTCAGATAAAACACTTTAAATTCTATATATTATGTTCTTAAACCGCGTGAATACTGATAAAAAGTGCGTACATATGTCAACAAACAAACGTAACACGTGGCTTTGATAAACACATAGTTGTGACTATCGCAGATATCATTGTTTTTGTATATTAAATAAATTTTCCTCTCATTTCAGTGCAGTTTGTCTAAAAATAATGATAGCATTCAATTATTTTCCCCTCCGAACGATCCCTGTTTGAATTGGATAGGGGATCTATCCAATTCAAACAGGGATCGAAATTACGATCGTCTGAGCCGAGGTTTGAACCTCTAGCGGTGCGGTGGAGTTGACCTGAAGGCCAACTCCCGCTCTATAAGTCCTTTCGCGGGTTTGGAGTGCCATCTGCACTCGTATCGTCCGGTGAAGCTGTAAAGGCCAGCTGCGGCCAACAGCATTAGAGTAGTAAAAAAATATTAATAATATTTGGATGAGCAATAAATTTATAGACTGTAATGGAATTTTAAAAATTCATTCACGATCAGAAAAAAAGATGTAAGGGGTTCATCAAATTTGATGAAACTTTCCAATAATATAAGTATGTAGCTTATGCATCAGAATAACACATACGTTATATTTTATATTGAAATTTAACGCGGGTGAAACCGCGGGCGCAGTTAGTACCTATATAATGATATTTTTATTTATATGAAAAAAAAAAGAGTTACCTAAAGAAATTATAACGAGTCGGGGCGGATGTAGTTTTGGAAAAATATAGTCCAAATTTTATTTGTCGATGAAATAAAAAGCTGATTTCACATTAATAGTGTTTATGTAGTGCAAATATTTCGCCGTAGTTAGCTGTAATCTGAGCTGGCTTTGTTTTTACAACACATGTTAAATATGTTGATTACGCTGAGTTTGGTTGAATTAATATTTATTTAACCAAATGATTTATATTTTAAAAAATGCTGTCATTCATAAAATAATTTAATTAAAATATAGATGTTTGAAACACTTTATGTGGTAATCTTATATATAAAATTTTGTGCCCTGCCCCCCCCCCCCTCCCCTAATAAGTCTATTTTGTTTTTTGGACAATTTTTTTTTATATTTCATAATGTGGCATTAAAATACATATAACCTTAAACTTTCACTTTTCTATCACCAACCCATATATTTTAATAAAAATTTTTATTAATTGGCAAAACAATGATTGTGATATAAATAGAAATTGCTATTACTTTACAATAATATACCTTATACATCATAATAACACAGGCTATAAATTTGACGCGTGTGAGAGCGCGGGCACATTATAAAAATGGCAGTGATTAATAAAAGAAATATTAACAAACAACATTACAAACCTGGACGCTATCTCCCATAGCACGAGTGCGCACGCATACATATCTATCCTGAGGAAGGCGTCTTTTGTGAAGTTGATCGCACCATCCAAAACTTCCGGCGCCATGTACCGTCTCGTGCCAACTTGACCGTGTGCATCACCACAGCCTCGTCCTTGCGCGAATACTAGCGCCAGTCCGAAGTCTGCTATACAAGCGCTCATATCCGCTTTGAGGAGGACATTCTTGGACTTGAAGTCCCGGTGGGCGACGGCTGGTTTCCCGCCACCTTCCTCGTGTAGGTGTGCTAGACCGCGCGCCACGCAGACCGCTACACGCCATGCTTCTGCCCATGTTAGCGTGTTGGCTTTCAAGTAGTCACATAGTGAACCCTGTGTAATATCCACACAAAATTCTTAATGTAATTGTAAACAACATTTATTTAATAGAGCAACACGTAGGTCTCTTTCTCTTTCTTTTTGTGATGAGTTTGCGTTCCGAATGAGTGGTAGAATAAAAAATATACGTTTCTTTAAATTGAGACGAAAAAAACTACTTCAAAGACATTACTAAAGATAACTCCAAAGCAAAAATGTCAGTTCTCATTCAAGTTTATATAGAATAACAAACAAACGCCATTCTTCCGAGGTAAAACTATTTAAAAAATAAATACAGACGATTTCAGAAACTAATAAAAATTTTAGTGCAATATTAAGTGACGATATGGTTGAAGCTGTTACAGATAAACAAAAGAGGCTTTTTTATTGGGGTAATGTTAATGTGACCTTCATATATTATGATAAAAAAATTGTACATTAACGCAAACATACCTTTTCATGGTAAGCAGTGATGAGGCGATACTCTGCTTGTAAGTTATCTCCTTTTTTGTCTACTCCAATAAAATGCAATATATCTGGGTGATCCATCCTCGGAAGCTTGTATATTTCCTGCTCAGCCAGCCACGATTGTTTATCTTGCAGCGGAAATACCTTGACTGCTACATCCGTCTGTCCGTGTTGTGCCCGCCAGACTGCCCCAAATCTTCCCCGAGCTCTGACCTCGCATAAAGTAATTGGTCCTATTAATCCGACTCCTTCATTGTCCATTCCAGCGCTAGCTGACGGTGGCCTTGACAGAGATGGCTCTCCACTAGCAAGCTCGGCAAACGAGCTACCCTTTCGCTTTCTGTACAAGAAGTAGCAACCAATGAGAACCAGAAATAGCACGGATAATGGAATCAACGTATAAGTGATGACCATCTTGGTATCATCGTCGGATGAGGGTACAGGGGACGCACGTATGATCTCCACAGGTGATTCGGTATGAGCTAGTACAACTTCCAAACCTGGGAATGTCAAATTTTGATTGCACATGTCACCTTCGCAGCAGCAATGTAGTAGAGGAAGTTTTATATTATGCAATCGACAATTAAACGCCCTGTCTGTACATGAGACAGTATCAAGGAAGCATCCTTTAACCTTGGGATAAGCAGTGTTGGTGACATTATCGAATTGCCACAGAACAAAGCAATGGCTGCTCTTGTCTGTGGTTTCTGTTGGTAGACATTCCTCCTTCTCTGGTGTTTCGATGCAGCTAGTGTTGTTGGGGTCACACGGCTTCGAGTCATTGTAAAATGCACAGTAGCGTGTCGTTATGGCACCTTCTCGCGGTCTTGGTGGTAGGTTCTCATCATTTGGAGGTGCTGCCAATGTTGTCCCTTAAATGGAAAGAATGATTGACATTATAGATATTGTATGTGCAACATACAATTATTTTTGTTTTGGAATATCTGCAAATAACGCGCCTGTTTCTTTGCCCCCACAACCAAAACTGGTTAGCATTAGGAGCCTGCTAATACAGCTTTACAAAGGTTATCCTTTACCCCATACAAATTTTCAAAGTATACTGAGCAAATTGTAGAGATCCACATCTACAATTCCACTGGCACAATAACATCAAAATTCATTTAAATTAAAGAAAAAATGCTAAAGTTTGTTTGTTACCTACCCTGACTAAATATGTGTATAGATCTTATTGATACATATAATTAGTAAAAATCATGGGATCTTACCATGTTACTTACCGTGATCACACACATGAAACACTGCCGAAATATCGGGAACTCAATAAATAAATATAGAATGTGGTAAGATCCTGTGATTTTTACTAATTATATGTATAAATAATGACCGTGTCGAATTTAAAACAGATCTTATTGAATATACATTGAGCCAACCATACCTCACCACATGTACACCAGATATGAAAACCTAGGCACTGTCAGATAAATTAAGGTGTATATAGGCATTGCATAGCTTAAGTGAGCTACACAACACAATGCATCCCTAAAAATTTTAATATATGTTGAATTAATTTAAAACATCAATGTTTGTTAATGTTAACATTGCATAATAATCAATCACAATAAAATGTACACTAATAACTATGTAACACCTTAGCACTATAATAAAAAAAATTATACTGCATTTTGACATATCTAATTCTTGTACTTAGTATAGATTTTTAATTATTATAATTATAGTAGAGATAGAAATATTAAAAACTTCAAGTGTATCAGTACAAGAATAGATATTGGAGTACTAATTATAATAATTAATTTAATATATTACTAATTTATGATTTTGGACTATAATTATATAGACTTAAAGTTTGGAATAAATGAATACCTATTTGTTAATAGTAATTCAGAATGTATTACACGACATCAAATATGAAAGTTGTACTCATGTATTTATTAAAAACTTATTTCGATTGAGTTTGTTACTAGTAATTCTATTAGTAATTATTTCAACTATCCAGATTATACAGTAGGAAAAAATTAGCCATATGAATGAATAATTTAGTCTTTGATTTTGTAAAATTAAACTAAATAAATTGACAATCTACTTAAAAATTGTGTACTAGACAGTTAGAGACAAATTTATAATATACAACATTACACAATAAGAATAATATATTAAGTTGTAGCCTTATTAAATGTTTTATACCATCTAAAATCTGCAAATAAATAAACAGATATAAAAGTTTATAGAGTACTGAGTTGAGTTTAGTTTTAATATTGTATTAAAATAAATTGAAGTGCTTGCATTTCGGCCTACAAACGAAAATGCCACTTGATAACAAAGCAAAGCTAAACAAAATTTTTGCCTGCACAGTTGGGAAATTCCAAAACAACATTATTTACAAGACACATAAATGTACTCACCAAGAACAAATAGGAAAATATGCAAAACCATTTTTGGAGCCATCATCAGCGCCATAGCGCAGGCGGGATTAGACCTCCTAACCCGTCGCGACAGACCAATGTTATTTTTAAACCCGGTCCCGACATGAAAAGTCTATTCTATTTACGAAATTCCAACATAGGTACATGTCAGACAAACAACGCACATTCAAATAAGGTCAATATAAACACAACAACGTCACTAAACCACTCGTAACGTACGGTTGTGTGAATACAATAGTGAGTATATTAGCAATTGCCTTAATTACACTGATTTAATTTGGATTTCCGAAAATAAAACAAGAACAAGTAATCACAGTATTTTAGACGCAAGCTAAGTTTTTTTTTAATATTTCAACTTTCAATTATTTTTTTTGTTCCGGTCAGGAGTCCTAGCGGTTTTGCGTATAAGCACAGAGTAATTTATTATACATTCTTCCATGACAAACTTCATCGAGCGCCATATTGTGCTGAATTATGAGGAAGAAGGGGTAAAAAACTAAGTCTACTATTTTATTCTTTCATTTATAATATACCTAGCCTACGTATAATGTACTTTAAATTCGATTGTATTATTGAAGATTTAAATAAATAAGTTTATCTAGTGTAATAGAGTATGGTTTGGTTATACATAGATGAAAATATTATCTGCATTGACAGACATTGACAGTTTACTAACATTAATATTCTCAATCTTTATAATCGGAATGGATTCATTGAAAAGATTGTTATTTTTTATTTTATTTTAGATTATTATTCTGACATTACGGCTTTTAAAATTTTGCATCCGCTAAAATTCTGAAGTTAATATAGATATATCAAAATAATAAACTCAGTCAAAACCAAATTCTCATTTAAAAAGATTAAAGTATTTCATCGATCAATTTTATTCTCGATAATTATTTATTAAGTTGTTAGAACATCACTAAACTCAACTGACATTTCACATTTGTTTAGTTTTTCAGTTAAATTTATATTATTCATTCATGTTTCATTTTCAGTTCCAACAAATATCATTATTTTTCATTATAAAACTTGTAAACAATAAAAATGAAGAGCAATAACATATCTTTGGAGTGTTCTGTGTGGATAAACAATTAAAATGAGAAACAAGGAAGATGTCTTTCTTTTATTTATCACCCGTGAAAGGCAATTTACCTGCGCATTTATTGGAAATAATTATAAATAATAGATTGCTTTATTTGGAGGACATTTTAAAAGGTGAACATGTTATTTATAACGAATACGTAGTTGAAGGCAGTGTATATGATAATGTAGGACACTTCATGCTCTGTGTTACCGCAATACTGAACAGAAGTTTCAGTTTTGTACAATTTTTAATGAAGGCAGAAGTGGAGTTATTTAAACGACGTATATCGTCCATCTCTGCTTACGACATGCGATCGTTCGCTAAGAAGTTGATACGATGTATAAAAAAATATGGCGAGGTTCCGAGTTTTATCGACCCACTGTTACTTATGAGCCGGCATTTGATGCTGAAAGATTTAGCCCAGCATATATGCGCATCGTCTCATTGTACTGAATGTACGAACCATTATATTCAATTACATTTTCGACATTGTCCTCAATTGATAGCTAAAAGACAAGTAGAACTAAGAAATGGTATAGCACATTTACCTTGTGGAAAATGGAAGCAATATTTGATACAACTATACAGTATGAATTTAAGATACAGAATTAACAATACCAATTTAGAACCACTAAGAAGTGATCCTAGACTGATTGATGTATTACATAAAGTTAAGGGCCACATAAAAGTTGACAATGTTTTAAATAGTAAATTGTGTAGTAAAGATGTTGATAAAATATTAGATTATTTCCCACCGTGTATGTCAAATCTCCATCAGACTCTACGTAAGAAACATAGATTATCTCACACTCAGCGTTTTTATTACACATTATTTCTGAAAGACATCGGTATGCCCGTCGAAGAGGCTGTTGACTTCTGGAGAAGGGAGCATAGTCAAAGCCCCAATGGCAGCCATACTTGCAGCCACCATTGGGAAAAGGATGAAAAAAAATTTGTTTATGGTATAAGACATATGTATGGTTTAGAAGGTGGGAGGAAAAGCTATTCATCTGTTAGTTGTCAGCATATTCAGAGTAAAGATGTCTCATGCAGTGAAGGTGGTTGCCCATTCAAGTGTTTTGACATAGACAATATGGTAAAGACTTTAAAACTTGACCATAAAGATCCTCTTTTGTCACAAATTGATGAATTAAGAAAAAAGAAGCAATATACATCTGCATGTATTCTATATTTAAAGAATAAACACAATTTGTCCTGTGATAATAATCTTAGCTTTAATTTTACACCAGTTAAGTTTTATATGAAATGTTTTGATGAAAATTGTGTTGACAAATAAAAATATAAAGGTTTGTTACATGGGACAATTTTATTTTATATTTTGTTAATATATGGTACTTCTATTTTAGTAGAAGGCGGGTAAAAATAGATGTTCGACCGCGTGGAGGTCGACCTGACGATGTACATTGCTTATATTATCTGCAGATTATTATTATTATAATAATAATAATCTTAGGACAATTCACACGCCACACACAGCGCCATCTAGACCCATGTTAAGCTATTGCTAAATCTTGTGTTATGGGTATAAAAGAACTGATACAAATACATAGATTTGTTTTCCGTAAATACCGAAAATACATATTATAAATAGAAAACACCCAGACCGACACAAACGATCATACTCATGAATATAAAGCTTGTGCCATGCGAGAAATCAAACCCACGACCATCGGAAGTAAGGCGGTGTGTTAAACCGGTGGACCACAGTGGCCGTCAAATTATATAACACAAAAATTAAATCTAAATTAAAATAATTCATAATCATAAAATCTAAAATTTATTTGTCACTAAAATTACACTACTAGTGCAAAATTTCAACTCTCACTGAAGACGCGAGTTTCATAAATGTGAGAACCAGCAATGACAACGACGGAGAGGAGAGGTTTAAAAAAACATGTTCTCGTTTATGGATTGTCCCTTATTGATTAATGTTTGCCCAACACCAGAAATTCTACCATCTAAGTAGCCTCCTTCAATTGATCCCTCGCCCAACTCGAAATTATTTCGGCCAGAGTCCAGGTTAGATTCTCTAGCAGTGCCATCAGACTAATAGGTATTATAGACGTGAGCCAGTAGGCGTTGGCCTTCGGCCGCTCCGTAAGTCCTTGCGCAGGTTTGGTGTGCCATCTGCACTCGCTCCCTATCATTCGGTGATGCTGTAAAGGCCAGCTGCAGCCAACAGCATTAGTATAGTAATCATCATTATGACATAGTATAAAACAAAGTCGCTGTCGCTATCTGCTATGTATGTATAAATCTTTAAAACTACGCAACGGATTTGAAGGGGTTTTCTTAATAGATAGAGTAATTCAAGAGGAAGGTTTATATGTATAATACATGTATACCCCGGAGAAGCCGGGGCGAGTAGGTAGTTAAAAATATCTAAGCAACCTATCCCCACCATTTTTCTGATATCTCCACTGATTTTAGAGCCGATTATGTAGACGTTTTAGTTATCTAAAAAAATGACAGATAATAAAGATCTTGCGTTGCATGACTTCGTATTCTTACTTCGCATAATTAATCTAGATTGTACGAGATAGTCACCAAAAATATTACTGTATCGTTGATTGTAATGGTCATAAGATGACGTAGACCTATAAGTAGGTTAACACGCTTCACTGACATGTAAATAGAAGGGTATAAATAATAAATTGCCATCCAATTTGTCGAAAAGTATGATAACACGCTGTCACGTGTAGTTACTAGTTTACAATTAAGCATGCTCGTCTAATCAAATTCTTTGCATTCATTGGACCGACGCTGAACTAGGCCGCAAGGTCGTTCGTGAAGTCGCGTCCATGAAGCGACGAGACCGTCATTACAGTCCACAACACATGCTGATATCTCACAGGAGAACTTCGCTGATAAGTAAGAATTCAGTCGTCGATCGCTAATGGATGGCGATGGTCGCCATCATGACTACCAACGACTTTCCAGTACAGTTCGCTGGCAAAAAATACGATTTACATTCATTCATGCGCGATCATCCTGGTGGTGTGAACACTTTGAAGAATTATAAGGGGAAAAGTATATTGAAGGCTATGGAAAAGTTCGGGCACAGCAGCAGTGCGTATCATATGTTAAATGACTTGAAAGTGAAAGTAGTGGAACTTAAAGATGGGAACTTGACTGGGGGTGTGAGTGGGAACGGACGAATTATAACGAATGAGGAGGCCGGTCGAGATGTGGAGGAGATAGAGTTTCTAGAAGAGCTTGAGGTAATAAAGATACTTATTTTTTAACTTTCGCGTTTAGTACACATTATTAATATAGTTAAACGGGTAAACAGACAGACTGACATGCCAGCTAGTGACGACGGCTAGTGCAACCTAGTCAACCTAGTCTAGAAACTCCGAGAGAGGTAACCTTTTTTTGTCTTATATATAAAATTCTCGTGTCACAATGTTAGTTACCATACTCCTCCGAGAAGCTTGATCGATTTTTATGAAATTTTATATGCATTTTCAGTCAATCTGAGAATCGGCTACTATCTATTCTTCATTCCCCTAAGTGGTATGGGATATCCACCCCTAAATATATATTTTTTATTTTTTCGATATAATATTTTATTATTATTTAGGATTGAAAAATACATACAACCCTAAATTTTCACCCTTCCAGGATGAACCCCAATTTTTTAAAAGCGATTTTAATTTATATGGCGAAACAACGTTTGCTAGTTGTCCATAAAAATATTCGTGTTAAAACCAGATTTGATATTAATTCTTCGGGTGTAAATAATACAACTAAGCTCGATAGCTAACGTAAGATACTGTGACACCCATGTTTTACTCGGCCTACATTTGTAAAGTTGTCTAAAATTATATATTAATTACTTTTAAAACTAAGTAATATACATTTTAACACCAATATTTTTATATCTACTCCTACTTTTATAAACGGGAATATAATTAATACTCACCCTGTTGAAGACTTTCAGATAAAATTAAAACAATCGTCGCGAAAGACAAAAATATAGTAAGTTCTAATATTGTCGAAAATTACGTATAAATATGTTTTATATTGAAATAATTAAGGTTCTTCTTAGTTGTTTTTAACGTTTTATTTGAAACCTAAGTAATTGTGGATTTTATAAAATAAATTGATTTTATAATTTTATATTTTTTTTATTACGAGTCAATAATTGAGATATTTTAGCGGATCGTGTTGTTTCTTTTTAATGATTGTTAACAATAATAATATCCTTAGCTAAGAATTGCTTGTGTTATGGATACTAGACAACTGATATTAGATACATTTTTTTATAAATTTATACATTATTACCTACATATATAGAATATATGACCAGGCCAGGCCCATAAGATTACATAGGAATATATATTTTTTTCTATAAAATATTCTATGAATAAAATAGAGCCTACCATTAAAAAGGAAATGGTTTTGTTTGGTTACAAACATGGATAATAATAGGAAAATATTTCGAATTTCCCGTGGAAACAGAATTAAACAAATCTGTGTAAACTGTAACTGAAACCAAGGGCAAAACTTTAAATGTACGGTTCTAAAGCCACGTTGGTTTACCGATTTACTTCCAATGGTCGCGGGTTCGATTCCTCGCACGGCGCAAACATTTGCATTCATGAGTATCTTGTTTTTATCGGTCTGGGTGTTTTATATGTATATTATGTATATATTTACAAAAAAATCTTAATATTTATATCAGTGTATGCTTACCATAGTACTAGATGGCGCGGTGTTAATTTACCAGGGTTATTTATTTATTTATTATTTTAAAAGTCTCGTGCGCAGTATATTTTTGTTACAACTATAATACTTTACGTTTTCTTTAAAAAAACCCTATACCTTTTTCTATAAATGTTTCTAACTGTTGTAATTCCTAAAATAGATTAAACCTAATAGTCCGCATTGTTTGTTTATGCTAATTTTTAGACAGTCATCGTAACTCATTAAAAAAATATTTTACTTTGTAAAGCCCTTTACAAGTTTAGACATAAGAGATCTAATCATTATTGTTCAAACAGATAAAAAAACATCTGTTTACACAGTACAATTATACTTAGATACAGTTTCTTCATACAACCTATTTTTCAGGTTTTATTTGGTTTATCCTATAGGTAGATACAGTATCAACTTAGGATTTTAAAAAAAGTATTATTTATTTGTATTTTGTATTTATTTATATGCTTATAATTTAGTTTAATAGCCTATATTATAAATAGAAGGGGGTAAGGAATTATAAGTAATGAGGATTGTAGTGTTCACTTATTTGTTATTTATGTCTTCTTGTATGTAAGTTGTTATCGACGTAATATCGGCTCGTTAGCCATAGCTCCACGTCTTTACTCCGCGGCGCTTGCGCAGGGAATCCCTTCCCTCTTGCGCACGGCGGTACGTGTACGCTCGGCTCGAGACGATAGATAATAAACTGCTAGTGTTTCCACATACACTACATCTCTCTCCTTTTTAAGTTTATTTTCTTTTCAAGCATGAATCAATCCACTCTATTAGGTATTTGTTCCTTGGAGGCATGTGTGCTACGTTACACCGATAGTGGACTCATTTTGACACTATACTGCCACACATAAGCCGAATGCCTCTAGTGCGATTGGCCTTTCCAGCGTAACCAGCACCGTGATTTTCCTCCTCTTTTGAATATAAATTACATTTATATATTAACTCCAATTTACTCTCTGTTTCACATACTTCACCTTTCTTCTTTTATATTTGTTTTCATATAATCGTTATTCCACTTTGTTATTGTATAATATTATGTAAGATTAGTATAAAGCACTTCTGAAAAATGTTGTAAGTTTATGACCAGAATATCTCTATCACAGTAGTCACTACTTTATATTTTGTAGGTTTAAGGTAAATACTTATATTTTTTTTCCATTATATCTGTCTCATACAATGTGTTATTTACATGTAGTATTTTTCTTTATCATGTACATTTGAAAACTGATTATCTAAAACATAATCTGGAATTTCTTCAAAACTCCCCACTATTTATACCAGAATATTATTATTATATCAAGAGTTGCATCAACAATTGCAAACGACTTTCCACTATATTCTGTCTACACATCTGATATCAGTCCATGTAGTATTAATTGGGTATAACTATAACCATTCTTCATCGTACAAAATTATCTCCCTGATCACCTGCATTAATTCAGTGCTAAAATATTAGGAAAGGTTGTCAGACCAGTCTTTGAGCGATCGACATATACCACATATATCACCACAGCGACTCTACGTACTCCAGCAATCGTCAATTATATTAGTTATAGAAATTATATTTTCGACCAAAATTAATTTGTGTCCTTATGACTTTTGATTTATTATATTTTACTGAATCCGCTCCATTTCACTCCGATAATTAATATGCATTAAAACTGGCAATTTTTTATTACTTATATTCAACCGCAATTTAATGCAACATTCTATCAATTTACACTTTAATGAATAGGACACCATTCATCAATACACAATACAATGCTTGATGACCCCGCCAAAGACAATTTAACAAAACTGGACGTTAATACGCAATTTAATGCTTAACGACCCAGCCAACGCAATTTAATGCAACCTGTCCGCCAATACGCAATTTAATGCTTGACGGCCCAGTTCAACGCAATTTAATGCAATCTGTCCATCAGTTCGCAATTTAATGCCTGATGGCCCAGCCAACGCAATTTAATGCAACCTGTCCGCCAATACGCAATTTAATGCTTGACGGCCCAGTCCAACGCAATTTAATGCAATCTGTCCATCAGTTCGCAATTTAATGCCTGATGGCCCAGCCAACGCAATTTAATGCAATCTGTCCATCAGTTCGCAATTTAATGCCTGATGGCCCAGCCAACGCAATTTAATGCAATCTGTCCATCAGTTCGCAATTTAATGCCTGATGGCCCAGCCAACGCAATTTAATGCAACCTGTCCGTCAATACGCAATTTAATGCTTGACGGCCCAGTCTACCTTACCTCTGTAGCTCCTTTTTTAGAATATCAATGCCATTGTCACCGTCATTATAACTCCATTGAACTTCTTAATTCATCCTCTTTAAGTATTGGTTATTAGTATTATGCTCATTGTTTTTCTTCCTTTGCTAATTTCTTTAAGGTCATCCGAGCCAATAGTCAATTTATAAGCAAATCATGGACTCCTGCAAAACACCAAATTTTATAATTATAAGACAATTAAACGCCACTCTTATCCATTTAATTTTCACAATATATACATTTATGACTACTAATATTAAACATATTTCAGATTTATTTACTCCACAAGAATGTCCAGTAAATAATTCTAATCTAAAGTATAGGAATACTAATAGTATCCTCAGAACCATATATATCCATAACCAATAATGTATCGTTAGTAATTGTTACTGTCATGCATCATGGTTTACATTATTATCTAGTAATAATAATAATAATTGTGCAGCCATAATATAACGCACCTCATTCACAATAATATACCTCGTATATAACGACTTCCTTGATTTAACTAATTCTTTGTAATCCCTTGGATTTTCCATAAGAATCGATGTAAAATATACCTTTACATTGCGACATTATTATTATTTTTCTTTTTAATTTGGAAAAACACCTCTTTCTAAGGAATTTTCTTAACCCAAAACCTTTATATAATGTTCCCACCAATGGTATGACTCTAACTCTACTTATCTCTCATCTCATAAAATGTGATTCATGTCAGGACATGTTTCGACGTACTTATGTTCGTAGAACAATAATTGTTGTTCGATGGAAAGTAATGTAAAGTTTTGTAAACACTGCTGCTCGTCACTATTATTAAAGATTCAAGTTGAAATAACTTACGACAGTTTTTTTTTTTACCTTTTTATAACGAAGTTTAGACCAACGTACCTTCAACATAATAAATCTCAGTTCAACGAATTACTTGATATACTATATATATTTTTTTTTTTTTCTTTGTTTCGATTTGTTTTATCGAGGTTGCACTGTAGTACGTATGTAAAAGTTAAAACACGCTAATTTGTCTAAGCTACCCTGCAATGCGGCCAAAGTATTTAGAGAGCGACCAACACCAGTACTATGACGATAAACAAATACATGTATATATTTTACAACTACTACAATGAAGTAGGTATCATTTCCTATTAGCTATCTCAAAACTCAAAACCACATTAATACACTTATTTCGCGTATCGCAACACTACACAACTCCAGCCGCAACTGGATTAACTGT